GTCAGACAATCTCGTAATATTGCAAATTACAAGCTTTGTACAAAGGAGCAACATTAAAAAGCACGATCAAAACAATGCCGCGCTTAAGCAGTACTGAACGCACTGTATGCTTTCTTTACTGTGAATTGTATCCATTGAAGAATGAGCACAAATCAACTGTAAAGCACTGCTTCAGAGCGGCACTGATCAATTTACTCACACCGGCATTTTGTCAGACGAAAAAGACTGTGTATGAATAATCATATCTGTGCTTAACAATTAACGAATAATAAATTCACGTTGTCCATAGTTAAAACGGCAATTTAAATGTCACTATACAATACTAGTTATATCAAATGCCCAATGTCGGTAACAATAATGTTACGCGTATTTGCGCAAGTGCATGACAGTAATTCATACACCTGCACATATAACAAACGCTTCCTCTCACACAAGGATTTTCAACATAACAGCAAACTTTTGCACATGTGTACGTTGAATGATTACCAGCATCATGCACAATATGTCCCGAATAGATTTTATTATTTCATTTATCATTTTTGCTGTGTTAAGGAGCACTGTCGTTGAACCATCTTCTTTACCAACTGGAATAGCATCAGTAAGTACAGTTCCGGCGTTTTACAAACTGCATTGTGTTTTATAAAGTCAACAACGCGGCCTGGTTGTTGTTCAATATAGACCGAATTGTTTCTGCAAAAATACGGATATCTGCATAAAGGTCATTCAGAAATGGGCAGTTTGGTGCACCGGTCACACATGGAAGCAGCAATCCGAAAGTACCAAGGGTTCATGAAACTGCCAGTGACGGGTAAAATTTCATTTTTAACAAATAAATTGCATAAAATATTGATGTCATATATAGCAGCGGTCTCCTAAACATAAGGCAACGTAGCGCCACTGTTGAGGTCACAGTCAGGCAAGTGGCTAAGTAGCGCGCTAGCGCAACGCTTTAGGGCTCGTAGGTTCAAACCAGACTCCATAGACCATAGGCTGCTAGATTTTTTTCGGTTGATCGTCCTTTAAAAACCAGTGTTCTGTAGCTCTGACGAAAAAGCAAAAATTTTAAGTTTTTCGCTTGTTAAACACCGATTTCTTATGATTGCTGCCCTAGAAACTTTGCACACTAGATCGAGTCAGCAATCTCAGCATGCAAAGCAAATTTAACGGTCGATTTCTACCAAGCAACCGTTGTATTCAAATATGTAATACTGATATACTCGGAAACCGTTTCTTAAAATTTTAGCTATCAGTTACACATCCATTAAGCATCGTAAATATCAGAATTATTTTGCTTTTTCTTTTGTGCTATAGGTCGTTCGTTTTCATCTTCTTTAAGTACGTACACATACTCGTATCAATATGTAGAACAGTAGAAGCACTCGTTAAAAAGTTACTAACGTTTTCATGCTGTTACGAAACTAGGTATACTTGACCAAGCCACTGCAAAAAAGATGATATCACCACGTTGCGGTGTTCCCGACTTCGTAGCCGACGAGCCAGGAGCACGGACGAAACGTTATGCACTTTTGCCAAGTCAAGATCGCTGGCTCACTAGACACCTGACATGGACGGTGTCCAAGATGACTGACCGATTATACCGATTTCAAGTCGAACCTGAAATCGACAAGGCGCTGCAGGTACCGGCACACAGTATACTCACATCCTACTGTGTGTTTATTTGCCAGCTTTGTCCCATTAGGATGATACATGACTAGCAGGTTTCTTCCAGGTGTGGTCGGGCCACACCAATCTCATATTCACTAAAGCCACTGAAGGAAGTAAAGCTGACATCGATATCAGATTCGAGGAACGCGATCACCAGGATGAATTTCCTTTCGATCCCAAAGTCCTGGCGCACCGCCTTTTATCCTAAGTAAGGCATTTGATGTTACGTCTTGTGTTATTTTTTCATGTACATAGAACGCAGAAGCTTTGCAAACAACGGTACGTACGAAAAACGTGCGCGCGCAAATTAAACTTTACCATCAAGATCAGTAATAGAAGGAGTGCGAAGTAGATGCCTGTTATTCCTTTTTGCTCGTTCGAGTCCGTTTGTAAGAAAAATTCTGGCAAATACTGTCTAGGTTTCCGTTAACTAAGATACAATTTTTGCAGTGCACGGGACCGCCGAGGACAGGTACATTTCAATGATGATCAAATATGGAAAGTGGCTTTTGGAGGTATTAGCTGCTTGTGTGCTTTCCGTCTGTGCTGTAGATACCACTTAAAAAAGCTGCTTACCTGTAGATACTCATTTCGGTTACGTTGCTGCTCACGAGTTCGGACACACGCTTGGACTGCGTCATTCCGATCACGAAAATTCCATCATGTTCCCCACATATCCAGGCTACCAAGCTCAATTCGAGTATTTCGTCTTACATGAGGATGATATTGCCGGCATCCAGGCTCTTTACGGACGCCCGGATAAGCCAGGTGTTTTACGTCGTACAGACTGTATGATACAGTCCTATCTGTACATTTGAGAAAGTAGCGTACAAACCGCTCACTTTCGCTTTATTAAGATTCTGTAAAATACAAGTTTCAAATTTTAATAACTGTTTGAATAGCCGTGTTCTCCTTTGCAGCTATAGGGACACGGGACTCCTTCTATGGCATATTCGGTAAAGACTTCAGTTTGTCTGATGAAGATGACCTGTTCTCCAAGAACGACGCGGATGTTCATTAATTCTTACCTTGCTAACGCAATGAGCATGACATACAAAGTGTGATAGAATTACATGTGTTGCTGTATATTTATATTTTGAAATGCCGATGGACGAGGATAACGCCGCGGATCATACCTACCGACATACCTAAATTTCTCCCTGATGCATATTCCGGGACGTGCAAAAAACTACGAACACGGGAGCAATATAACAAACATTGAAAAACCGTTTCTTTTCACTGTTTCTTTGTGACTTATATTGGTACAGTACTTTCTGTACTCGTAGCCTATAGATAAGGCCAATGTCAAAAGTAAGAAAGAAATTTTGGAAGAAAGAACTTTTATGTGGCCAAAAGTAAGAAAGAAGTGGTTAGTGCAATTTATAATTTTATAAAAACATGTACATCGTACCCATGTTTATATCAAAGAAGCAGCGGCAATGCGCTGAACACAAGAAAATTAATGGCTTTGCATCTGCAGACTTTATGGATTGCGTTGCTTACACTGTACACACAGGTGCATCGCATCTTTACGTAACGATTGTGCTATCTACGCCGGGAGAGGGCAGACTTATGCCCGCGTGCCCGTCAGCTGTACTGGTCTAGACTGGGAAAATTTGTTGTTTTGAGGATGATCATAAGAAATCAGACCAGAATCAGACCAGAGTGTCACCGCAACAATGCTTTACTCAGCATGTTATTTGCCGCTTTGATATGGCCAAGGTATATAAGAGATAAATATCTTTATACCGAGATATCTTTATAGATATGGCCTTGCTTCCCGCTCTTCGGTGCACAGTGCATACTATTGTGGTTGTATCCAGTTCATAGTTCCAGTGAGCCAGCCAGCAGCACACGTTTCACGAAAAGCGCGTAATGTATTGCGCTGTATTGTGCATAACATAGTTAATAAAGTTAATTTGTGTTGTACTGTACATAATTTTATTTTAATGGGCAATAGCCACCAAGATAACAATGATTGCAAAGCGCCGGTACACTACTTGCTAGTTAAAATTTAAACATTAAAAAACAACCAAAATCTCTATCTTCTCTTGGATTAAAAGGCAACGTGCTCAAGACAGCCGTGGCATTTCCTTTTACAACAGCGAGACTGAAGCGCTGCTTAAGAAAAGCAGTAGAACGCGCTTCTCCAGTTAAATCACGAATTTTACGGCCCATGAAATGCAACAGTTCACTCAGAGCGGGGCTAAATACTCCCAACGTCTCAATCGCTAAAGGGTAAAAAAAGTATCCACTTCCCAAAAACGAATATGTCCGCCGTTTAGAATTTTCTGCAAGCTGAGCCACGTGTCCAGGTTTCTTCGAACTGCCGGTGACATGCGAGTCTGCGACCGTGCACCAACTGGTTACATCCCAGACCAGCGGTTTTCCTTGGCGGATAGGAATCATAATGAAGCGGTTTTCCTTGGCGGATAGGTACATAATAAATTAGCATCAACAAAATTTCTTTCTTACTTTTGACTGGAGAAATTTCTTTCTTACTATTGACCTAAGAAAACTTCTTTCTTACTTTTGGCCACATAAAAGTTCTTTCTTCCAAAATTTCTTTCTTACTTTTGACATTGGCCTATAGATAATCGATCCTAACGGTAAGCGTATGTACTCGTACGTATGCAGGTAGTGTTCGTGCTGGTACCTGCTTCATCTGAAAAGAAGCAAAATCAATGGAGTTGGCGTTAATTGGGGAAAATGCATTTACACTTATTCTATATATGCACTCAATATACAGTGCAACAGTATTGTGTTTCAAAAATCCAGAATTCACCTTTTGTAATGTCACGACGTTGTAAACTTATACTTAATCTGGGTCGCTTAGTGTTTGATATTAGAAAATCAAGCCGTTTGCCGGCTCACGAAACTTCTTCGTACAACAAACAAGCGAAACCGTCATCATTGCTTCACGATGAACTCCTGATCAAATCAAACAGCGCAGTAGTACGCCGGAATTTCTGAATCATTTACTGATTCTAAGCAGATTTAGGACAGATTTTTGAGCCGCTGACTAATTGACGATGTAAGCAACCGTATTACCGTATATGGTAGTAAATCTTTATATAAGCCACGTTTCAAATTCACGCCGGTCACGCGGTTGTCATAAGATTTTGTATTTGAACAATTGATACAGCATGGGAAAGCCGTAATTAAATGTACTTGTGCCCGCTTAGTCACATCGCTATTTTGTAGGACGAGAAAGATACGTATCTGTAGTAACTGACGCACAACAAACTCACGCCGCCCATAAATACAATTTTACGACGCCACCCAGTATCAAGTGATAATGCCGGTAATATTATTACCTGCGCGAATGCATGGCAGTAGTTTACTTGTATATATAAGAATTATTTCCAAATTATTTCCAGATTTCAGAATTTGGTTCATAAATCATAGCCATACACATTCCACGGTTCTCACATCCCAGTAACGCACAGAACATGACTCGAATTTATTTTCATGTTTTATTTATGGTCTGCGTTGTAATCAGAGAAAGTGTTGTCCATTCCGCTCCCTTACCTACGGGAGCAGCATCAGTGAGTGCACTTTAGACGCTTCCCAAATTCCTCCAGTTTAAATAGATCTGGTTTTCACTACAGACCCAATCATTCCTGCAAAAGTACGGCTATTTGCATAAAGGTCATCCAGAAATGGGACGTTTGGTGCATCGGTCACACGTTGAGACAGCAATTCGGAAGTATCAGGCGTTCATGAAGCTGCCAGTGACCGGTAAAGTTTTGCTCTATGATAAACTGGTTCCAGATATCCGTAATAATACCACATTTGCACGTTATCGAAAACCGGGTTTTATTAGTCTGTAGTCTGTATATTGAGTAGTTTTAGTATTTAATTATTTTGTCTTTACGTATTTCAGTTGTTTATCTTTGCAAATTTGCACACAGCATGTCAAGCGAATTGCGCTTTAATACCAACTTCAGTAGAACTGCCCAACTTGCAGTTAGTACGACCGTACAATTCGGTACTTCTACACTTATTGAATCAACTACTGATAATGCGTTTACGAGTGCAAATGTTCTCTAGCAGTTGTGATCATTCATTAGGTGTAATTGACGACGCCACTGCAAAAATGATGGCAACACCCCGTTGCGGTGTTCCCGACGTCTTTGCAGACGAACAGGTAGCGCGAGCAAAGCGATACGCGTTTTCCCAGAGAGGAGGTCGCTGGCGCAATCGTCATCTTACATGGACCGTATCCAAAATGACCAACCAGTTGTACCGGTTTCAAGTAGAAGCCGAAGTCGACAAGGCGCTGCAGGTACCGGCGTATACTGTAGACTGCAAAAAAAAGGTCACTTTTGCCTTGTGCTTTATTTGAGTTGTTTGGTAGCTTTCCATTACAGTAACCGTTTACTTTTCAGGTGTGGTCGGATCACACAAATTTCGTATTCACAAAAGCCAGCAGAGGAAGTAAAGGTGACATCGATATCCGATTCGAAGAAGGCAATCACCACGACGACAATCCCTTTGACTCAATTACTCTGGCGCACGCTTTTTTTCCACAGTAAGGCACATGATTTTACGCACCGAAATTTTGGGCGCCTGTTGTTGTCATCCAGAATAAAAATTTGTGGCATGAGTGCCAGCGCGGCAATGCCGATAGCTTGCGTCTTGCTGCTTCTGTCTCCTGCAGTTCCGATAATAGTAAAACATTTCGTATATTTGTTTTAAGTTCGTAATCTAAATTTTCCAGTGCAGACAAGCGAGGACAAGTGCACTTCAATGACGATACCAGCTGGAAAACGGCATATGGAGGTACTTACTGTATATAGTATATACGGAGTACTCCTAGAGTAGCATTTGTTGCTGTGCGTCTGTGTACAGTTGCAATTGTACTAAAACGTGAACGGAAACTGCTACGCCTAGACACTCATTTTCGGTACGTTGCTGCCCATGAATTCGGTCACACGCTTGGGTTGGATCATTCCGATTATGAAAACTCCCTCATGTTTCCCCACTATCCTGGTTACCGGGCTGAGTTCGAGTATCTGACCTTACATGAGGATGATATTGCCGGAATTCAAGCTCTTTACAGAGACCCATATAAACCAGGTATGCTACATGCAAAATGTTAACAACTGTTACTATGTAGTAATATGTACTAGTACGATACTATAATTATACATTTCACGAAGTACGTACCACATACGTAGCATATAAAGCGAACGCACAGCGGATATAAAGCCAACTCTTTGCAGCCACAACGACACGTAACCCGTTCTACGGCATATTTGACAAAGACTTCAGTCTCCCGTTTGACTTTGATGAAGACGACACTGTTCTCGACGACGGCTCGGATGGGGTATTTACTAACAGTTTTTACGGCTTGGACGATAGACCGTTCGACTTGAAGACCGACAGTAGGTTTCACACGCTGCAGCCAGATTATTGACAATGGGACCGTGAATACTGGGTTGATCCATCATGTTTAGTATTCGTCTATCGTTGATATCGTAAGTACAGGATTGATATGTCATTTTTAGATGGAACACATTCGAAAAGTCGTCCCATTAAACGGAAGCCGGTCATCGCGAAACAGTCACGATCCGATTGCGATCGGCCGTCAGCCAGCGCCTTCCTTTTAATTATTGGGTTTCTGCTGGTTTGCACTCAATGAATTGCCTGCTTTTTTGAACTATGATTACGCCGAACGCGATCACCCGCACTTCGATATTTTCAGACTTCCCATTTCGAACCTGCCCTCATTCTTCCATCAATACATTATTTGCTGACGCGCTGCTGTACAGAATTATAAATTTTGTATTTTGATGAATAATTTACGATGTTTATTACTTCGACGACATGGGCGATACCGTTCCGTGACATCTGCAGAGTGCAGAGACACGCTGAAAACCATGACTCAACGGCAGTACTGTGCTTGTATTGTACATAATACAGCTTTAAATATCATTGGTGTAATAGGTACGATTTAGATACTCAGTTGCGATTTAGTACTTACGAGTTCCCCTGACTGGCTATTCAATAAAGCGCTTAGTCCAATTCTTTTCATTCGGACAAAGATTACTTCACGCACAACGGGTTCTCTTAAAAATTATTTGAAGTTTCTGGTAAAATGGCGAATGTACGGACCGCGAGATGTAGCTTGTGTTAATTGTAACTTGTAAGTATCCATAAGTAAGCTTGTTTGCATGTTCACTGTACAAAAAGCCTCGCACGTAAATCAATGAGTGAACTCAAAAGTCGAGGCAGGGTTACCTGACATGATAATGAATCATGATTGACTTCACGGATGACTTCACGGATGTTACAGCGCGGTATAACCTCCGGAAGCCAAAAAGAATCGAAGCCAAGGCGAAGAAGAAGATCGGGGAAGGCACGTTGGCCATGCGTTTGAGGGACATTTTCGAGCGCATACAAAACGTTAATATGCAGATACTCAGCGTTGATGGTGTTGGTTTTTTCAAATTTGCTCTCCGAATGGTGGATCTGTCGTAATCTTAACGTTGTTTTTGTAGCGACCAGACGTTGAAGTCCCGTTAAACGGGTTGTCTGCTCTTGATGTAATAATAATAATAATAATAATAATGATAGCAAAAGGTCACTCCGATTTGGTTATGTCTAGCACCGAAGAATTTTTTGAATTTTTTTTATTGAAGGTGTGTTGAATTATTAACTTGAATTTATATTTACATTTGTTTGTGATTTTGTCTATTTAAAGTTGAATCATAATAAGACATTAATTTGGTTTATTCGAGTCTCAAAATTGCTTTAATTCCCGAGAATTGTTTTGGTTGGGTTATGAATTGTCAGCCAACAGACAGTGCGGCGCTTTGGTTAGGAACATTTCGAGTTGTGTTATTGTTGTTTTCGAGATGTAATTCGAGTTGTATTACAGAATCTCTAGTTGTCTATCCTTCGGCATTTATTTGCGGCCGTTGGCGCCCTTCTTCCCAGCTGCCGCCCTTTTGGGAGCAACAGGCTGCGCGGCCAGGATTTGGGGAGCTCCAACACCGGGGGGAACGTAGTCAGCAGGGGGAGTGTCAAAGAGGGGCTGGTCAGTGTACAAGCGGGAGTTGGCGAAGTTCTCGTACTGGGCGAACCTGCAAAAGGAATAGCGGTTCAGCGGAGTGCCGCCTGCACAGAAAAGTATACTAGATGACAAGGTTATTTAAAACTAGTTTCATCAATACTAGTTTCATGCTGCCAAAAAAACTGTTCTATGTTCCAAAACTGGTTGAATAAGTGTTGGGCTTACTTTTGGCAGTCGACGTTGAAGAAGTAGTCGCAGATGAGGGTGACCTGGTTGAAGACGGTGCTGTTGACGCAGAGGTAACTGGTCTGGTTGCCGTTGATGTCGCAGCGGTGGAAGACTTGGCACTGGGCCTCCGTGTCGGCGTAGAATCCCGGCTGCTTCTTGCTCTGACAGCTGAATCCCGTCTGCGGGATGGTGTTGTAGTTGGGGTACTGGTTGGCGTCCCGGTTGGCCAGGATGGCCTGCACTTCCGCCGCGTTCAGCGCCGGCTTCAACAGGTCCCACACGAACTGCTGCTGGGCAGCCACACACGCAGCCAGGCACACCAAGACGACGGCTTTCATCATTTTTTAGAGTTTTCCGTGGGATTAAGTTGAACGCGCCGGCTAAACACTGCTGAAGTGCTACTGAGAAGGTGGTACGTACCATTCCCTATCATGATGGGAGCGTTTTATATGCACAGCGCGATCACAGTATGCTTGCTATGAGAGAGCAGACTGCTCTGGGCGTGTGTTATTTAATTGAATTAATCAGTTTAGTTACTTCTCGATAGCAATGATCTTGGTCAGAATTCATTAACAAGGGTTTTAACAAATAACAATGCACCAGTCAGTCATTAAGCAACGAGGAACAAAATTTGGCAAAGCGATCAATCGAATGTGAAAACCCGCCAGATTCCATAAGTTGAGTCACGGCTGATGGATTGCAGTTCGTAGTTCGTACAGACGAACCGAACGAACAGACATAACAGAGACTGAGAGACATTTGACATAATTAAAGGCATAATCAGCATTGTATTCAATATATCATGTATGTTGCGATTTTAAGTTTCAATACCCTAGATAAGTAATTAACTTAATTTGGCATATGATGATTAGCAGGTGGCAAGTGTCGTTCATGAAGCACCAACCAGGCACCGAAGAAACCTTCAGTTTTCACGGTAGAACATACAGTACTGCGCATTTATACTATGTAGTAGTTCTATATAATTATGCGGCATTCGCACGGCGACGTTAATTATGGACACATTACTGTCACACATCCAAAATTAAGCATTTTGAAGTATTTTCAAAAATTTTGTGACAAATGTTTTCGATGGTGTCTAAGTCGGTCTTGTCATCGAAATGCGTTTGCGTCTAATGCCCAATTGTTTAATTAGTTCAGTAATATCGCTCACCAGTCAATACCGTACTGCGAGATTTGTGTATGCATCAAGAAAAAAATTTTTATTGCAGAATAAAAGTGCAGGGACCTGTGCAACCAGCACTCCTAAAATTTCTAAGCCATCATCAAATTCATAAGAAATACTCATAACTTCGTACTGTACATACAATAATTATTGTAAAATCTAGCCGTAGGACAACAAGTGATTAACTATAAGAATGTGGAACCCATCACATCCGCATTGTCACAAGTCTTTTTAGAAAAAAAAGTCGTTCAGAGAATCAGCAATACCTCGAGTATTTACACTAGTGGTGCAGAGTGCGGACACTTGGATTTGCTGCGCCAATCACAACGCCGCAGTCACGGTGGCGCTTTCCGATGAGATCGGCTGGACATCCGGAGGCGTCGTTGCCGGTTGAACAAGAGCAACCTCTCCAGTAACGATACTTGATGACGGTGGATTGCTCGCTTCAGATGCAGCGGTGATGGGAACCGCAGCGATAGGGGCGCTGCCGTCATTCGGCGCGACAGATGCCAGGAAGCTCACCATTTTTCCATCGGCGGTTTTCTGCTGGATGAGGAATTTCTGTCCGACAGCCGCCGTAACGGGCAATTTCAGCGGTGCGGGCGATGGGCTGGGTGTCGCAATAACAGCCGCCGTAACGGGCAGTTTTGGAGTGGACGATTGGTCGGGTGCCGCACTGCCAACCGCCTTTGGAATCGGATCGGGGGTAGTGTTAATCACCTGAGTTGGAGTGGCATTGACGACCAGCGCCACCGAAGGCCCCGGAGCGATTTTAACGACGGGGGTCACTAGATCTGGACGATTTGGACGCAAGGGGACTTTATTAACCGCCACCGGTGGGCGGTTGGGAGTACTCAACGCCGCTGGATTCAGGCCACTCGCCATCGCATCAGCCAGCATGGGGACCAGCGACTGCGGGATATTGGAGGCCCGCTTCGTCTGCTCCAGGCGGCTCATCGTGATGCACATCTCCGAGCGCTCCTGCTTCAGCTTCAAGATGTCGGCCTCCAGTTCGCGGCGTTTGCAGCGCTCCTGATCCAGTTGTTTGCGCAGCACCGTGATCTCCTCCTCGGGATCGTAGCGGCGCATCTTGCGCTTGGCGGCTGACGCGGGGGCCACGGGCTGGGGTTTGGCCGCGGGAGGGCGGGTGGTGGTCGGTGTGAGGACGCGGTTGGATGCGGGACGCAGGCTGACGTAGGCCATTGCGGAGATGAATTAATTTCGCTGACAAACGACAGTGCTGGTCCGTTGCACCGTTGATGGTACTACAGCAAAACTTGCGACTTTTGGATGCTGTTACGGGTTACCATTCAGATATTTCAGCGGGTAGCTCCGAAAAGATTAAAAACTGACGTAAAATGTTGAGCTACAGTGCAGCTGCTACACAATGTAATGAAGAAACTTCACAGTGGCTGTGAAGTTCACACAACAAACGTTACAAACCGCAAAAATAAGAAAAAAACTGACGCTACTCACTGACCCGTGACTTACGATTGCGCGAAGTGCCAAACGCAAACAGTCCGGTGCAATGGTGTGGCGTGTGCAGCAGCCGCCCTTTTCTGGGCCAGCTCGGCTCGTTACCCCTCGACTCTCTGCGTATGCGAACATTTTCTGGATTTTTAATTTTTATAACCTTTTTGATTTTGTAGAATTTGGATTTATCTGATTCTATGATTCTGAAATGTAATTATTATTCACTTAAGTCTTGTACTTGCGTGTTGATCAGCGCCACTGCATACTTAACGGCAATGTAATCGCATACAGATACAGGTGAAGACAAACTTCCCTGGGACATCACGATGCGCATGCTTCACGCAGCCCATCAAATCTACCGAAGACTAGAACTGGTAAGCGGTCTTTTGACTCTCCTCTCAAACATGCACTTGATTCATGTCCTGTATACTGTTGCATCTAGTTGGCACTGAAACGCGGCATCGGACGCACCCATATCCAGGCGACGCTCTTCCTGATCGCCGTCACCGGGTTTATCGCGCTGAGTACCTACCTGACGATTCTGTATTATGACTCCTTCCCGCGCATCCAGCGTTTCCGCTCTTCCGGATGGAAGGAGTGCGCCGTCTCCTCCGTTCTGCCCGAACCCAAGAATTCTCTGCCGGACCCCCGTTGGCAGAGGATTCTCGAGAAGGTGTGGGTGTACTCGGCCTTCGTGACGGATAAGCATCCACCGCAGCTCACGGTGGAGGTTATTGCCATCGTGGAGCTGGCGGAGAATCGATTTTTGGACGATGCCGAGTGCCAGTGTGTGTTTGGCGGGGATAAAGGGGCGGTGAAGGCGGAGATGCGCGTCCATAACGAAGCCCGTCGTGACAGGCACGGGGTAACGAGATTTACTCAAATTTTAAACTCATTGAAATTTAGGTTTACTTGCGTTAGTTGCGTATTTTTAATTACTTTTACTTTGTAACCGTAAATGACGGAAAACGTCTTTAGAAAATCGGCTAATTTTAGGTATTTTGCCCCAAATCACGACCAAATAATTGATTTTATTTTTCCGCTAAAACAGCTTTGACTGCAGAAAACTCACGTGTTACTGATATGCACTTTCGATATCAGTAACACGTGAGTAGTACTTTAATGATAAATAATTATTGCGTTAGGGCTATTGCTCATGTAAAAAATTATTATATGAAGCAGCGCTGCGCCGTTGTTATTGTATTCGAAGCAGATATAAATAAATTACCGTACTTGCGTTGAAATTTCTGTGTTGTGTTTCGTGGCAGTGAGCGCAAGCATGAGATTTTGTTGTGGGTTTATTTTACAGTGAAATTATTTGCTGTTTTAAATTGCAGACACAGTACGGTGACGTGCGATTTATCTGTGATATTCCTCCCGACGTGAACACCGCTTCCGTCGGCGTACAGTGCCGTTCCCGCTCCGCCTGTGATACTGTTGCTCTCCCCGTGCATCCGCTGCCCGACGAATGGCCACGGAAACTCTCCATGGCCGTGTGTGGTCCGGTGCTGTACGGCAATGTCTCCGTCAACCGGCTGATTGAGTTTATCGAGTATTACCAGCTGATCGGGATCGAGAAGTTCATCTTCTACGTGGATAATCCGCATTCGGACCTGCAGAAAACTCTGGACTACTATCACGCGCTGGGGAAAGTTGATTTTCTCAACTGGAAAATTCCCGGTATCAATCTAACGGATTATGAAGAAATCTGGTATTATGGACAAACGGCCGCGTATAACGACTGCGCCGAGAGGACGGGATATTTGTGGGATTACACGTTAGAAGGTGAATATTTGAGTTTCCTTTGGAGAATTTATTGATGACTGTTGTGCGTGTTTTACATGCTTTCTTGTGTGTCTTTACAGAATTGTATAGCTCACAACACTGATTTTATTGTTTTTTTTAATTGTATGTACTTTACCTTAAATTAGACATTTGACAATCAATTTATTCATTTTTCAGTGCATCTGTTGAGCGTTCATATATGTACATAACGCGAGAAACTTCTTATTAGTGACTTATACTTCTGTTCTTATCGAAAGGTCGTGTTAATCGTTTTTAGCAAATGTTGGTTATTGAATTTTTCATGATTCTGGAGGACGGGTACTAAATTTTTCTTCGTTTTATGATTTTTTTTATTCTGAAGAATTGTGTTGTATATTTAGTATTGCTCTGTTTTATATTTTGCTGCCTTAGCTGTAAAGCCTGTAATGCATGAATACTGTTTCATCTCCAGTGGATTGTTTAATTGTTTTGGTTCATTTTAACGTTTTATGGAAGCAGATTTATTTGAGTACTCTTAATTGTGTTCATTTTGACTGAACCGCTTTATTTTTACGTACTCTTCGGTCTCTTTCATTACTGAAATATATTTGTCGCGGATTTGTAGTTGATTTGGACGAATTCGTGGCCATCACCGACCGCCGTCCGTTATCCGCGGTGGTCCGCAACGGCCTGGACGACTGCGTAATTATCCGCTCGACCAATATGAAGTTGCCCCCGGCCACGGCCTCTTCCAAACGCCTGAGCCCCTACTCTCCCGCGGATCTTCTTCTGCGCTCCTCCACCCACCAGTCATACATCTATCCCTGGTACGATCGCACCAAGGGATTGTGTCGCAACCGGAAGGTGCTGAACGCCGGCATCCATTTTCCGCATTTCCTGACGGCTGGACATTCGATGCGCTACGCCGATCCCGATGAGGAGGCCGTGATATTGCATATGCGTGAGGAGCTGCTGTTTGAAGGCACCTGGCCGTGGGTGCGGTGGGTGGTGGATGAGCGGGGATCCGTGTATGCTGAACGAGTGGCGGCGCATGTGGAGAGGGTCGTACAGGCGCTGGGATGATTTGTGTGACTTGTCGTTGTTGTTGTTTTTAGTGTTCCTCGCTTGCTGCGCAAGATTGTGATTTTTTGATGGACCGTTATCCATGTTGAAAGTTTGGTGGTATCTATTTTGTTGGATAAAAAACTGCATTTTGATAAGTATTAAATTTTGAATGTTACCAAATATTGCGTTGTAGTTATCGATTGAGAATATGAGATGGATCGAATTCCCAAACGCTGATTGTTGTGATATATCAAGCGACCCGAATCTCTTATGAAAATTTCCTCGTAAACTGCATTTTAAATGGTTTGACAAAAGATTCTGGTCGTGGTTCAGGACGCATACGTCTGATTTCGTCAGTTTGGCTACGACAAATTTATTTGGATTTATAGCGATTTATGTGGATTATAATATGTATTAGGATTTTGACTGCCAAATAAAATTTAAATGGGCGAGTGGCAACGTCTGCTCGCGCCTAAAAAACTTATCGGTATTCGCTGTTTAATCTCCAATCTATTTAGTTTAACTCGCAGTTAGCCTATTTCCGATTAGGATGATACTCAAATGTTTCTGTGTCTGTGTTCTGGGTCATGCTGTTTTCGCCGACATTATCGGTTATGCAACACAGAGAAACCGTCACTATCCAAGAAATTATTCGAAAACATCCTGTTACGTCAATAACATGTCTTGGAGTTATGATAATAAAATTCCAGGGCTCAGGAACTTCCGGCCTCCGGGGATGTTCAACAGTGCCGATTCTGTATCGCTTAAACGATTGCATATGTACGAGTATAGGTCACAGCACAGTCCAGTTACCGATTTAATACTGTTCACTGGAGGGCTTCAAATCGAATTAATCGATCGACACTGCATGGTTAACTTTCACAAAAATAATCAGTAACAAAATTAGAACAAATCACAATAAATTTGGATTACACGACCCATCTCGAAATGACTGTAGAGATTCATACAAATCCGATATCGCAGATACCATTAAAATTATCAAAAGATCCGAACATGACAGAGATCAACTTTGGGAAACACAATCTGCGTTTATCTATGCCGAACACAACAATTAGCGGAAGTTTCGGACTTCACTGCAGTGAACGCGACCGCACCGGATAGGACGAATAATCCAGACTGGCGATGTAGCCCATGGATACTTTGTCAATGGGCGGGAAAAATTTCATCACCCATTCCACCCTCTCATACGCAACGGTACGATCGGCAATTTCCAGACGACATCCCAGTGAATAAAACAAGGCATCGAGGTAAAATGCGTGCTGTTGTACCATCAACGCTTTGTTGCTCACATTGGATACATCTGGATAATTGCAAATTTCGTGTCAAAACGAGCAATAGTCGATGCAGGAAAGCAGTACATGAATACAATGTACATTCATGTTTTTGATACCGAACATATCTGTACACAAATACATTGTTAAATAAATAAAATAATACAATAATTATCTATATATGAATTAATAAATCGCTTTTTGCCAAGGAATTAAACTCCTAATTCGAGATTCAACTTCTGAAGTCGTAGAGATATTTGTTAATTAAAAATAGGGTGATACACGTAGATTCGTCATAAGTACTTATACTTATGAAAAAAGTCTGTTAAGTCTGCAAATTCAAAAAAGTTATTGAAACTTGATATTAATTTGAATTTTGAACTTGATATCAATCTCGAAACTTTAGTTTAAAACGCAATCTATTAACTCTGTATAGGCATATTTCTCACCCGGCGCGAACATCGCAACAGCCGCCAACAAATACGCCTCGTTCAATGTCAAACAAATATCATTGCATGCCATGTAGAATGTCGTGCAGAAGCGCAGCACGCTCATATCGAATCCCATGATCTCCACCAAGGAGACCGGAAAATGCACCTTCTCCGGGCACGATAGGTAATAATAGAATTCTCCCTTACAATAATACCGGGCAACATGTATCTGAAAAAGCCACATCAGCATTATAAGATACATATTCACCTCACAGAAACAATCCGAGCAACTTTTGCGTGGCTTCGAGCCTTTCGGCACATGTTTACCATTTTGAGCACCATATATTTTTCGGTCAGCAAGATTTTCTGGTCGGCATAGCAGAAATCATTAAATCCAGGCAGCATGGACGCAAAGCGCGTCATCCGGCAGATGTCGTCTTCGAGAGATACACTGAGCAGGCGAAGCGCTCGAGATGGAGTGACTTGCGGTTGATGCTGCAATAATCATATATACATTACAAAAAATTTACGATTAATAACGTGTGTACAAATCAGAATTCTGATGAAACGAAAATTCGAAAAAGGAGCACGTGCACTATATAATTCTAAAATTGAGATATCAAAAAATATCTAAAATACAGTGGAATTAAAACAGGAAGTTCATCACTCATGATTCGCGCGTCAATTTAAAAACAACAAGAAAAAAGTAACAATAATTAGTTACACGTAAAATTTTCATTCAAACAAAAAGTCCCACATGGAACCGACAAGGAGTGCGCTGCTCAAATAGGATCAAGGAAAATAATACTGATTACCGAAGAAGAAACACAATTCCTGACAAAAAGAAACTGTACTGTAATTATCTGAAATATATTGCAAATAGGTAACAACATCTCGGAACAACACCTTCCCGTACCGGTATCAGACCGTGTTTGAGCGCACAAATCATCAAAGACGAATACATTTCAATTTGGTCGCCATATGCTGTTTCGTACGCCGTCCGCACCGCTTCCGCAGCCTGTCGCAGCATAATGCTCCGTGACTTGGCGAGATCAAAATAGCGGTCAATATACGACGGAATGTAACCGGAATGCTTCAATAAGTTGGGAAAGGCACGCTGCCGTTCACGATCCCAAGAATCTGCAATATCAATTATGTTGGTAAAGCCTGGTATCGTATCCTGGTAAAGCGTCAAAACGAGTTGCTGAAAACAGTATTCTGCTGGGTTAATTTTGTTTCCGGAAATATAAAGAAATACTTCCGGAAATATAAAGAAATCTTGGGAGTGCACGGGATAGGCACAGCTTTTGAAAATATATAAAAACTTAACGAGTTTCGAAGTCGCTTCGAATTTTGGCAAAATTAAAAGCAGAAATGCTGGTATGATTTTTGGAAGTATCTAAACAACAGCAACAGCATTTCAGCAAATGTTCAAATTAAATACAATTCGCCACAATCAAGCGTCAAAAGCAAGCATAAAAGATATTAATTTCTTCAGCAAATGCCTATCTGCGCTTAAAAATCCCACGTACAAAAATGCTATCGTGCCAGTACAATAACCTAGACCAGAACTGATTAATGTAACCGTTTCCTAATTTTCTATAACCAACTGTTATTTTTACTTATCGTTAGTAATTATCTGATTTATTTTATTCACACTCATCGTCAACGTGTACGAACTGCACATCTAGAGGCTTACCCAGTGATGACAGCGGCACTAGTGCGCGGGACACACCCGTTGACACCCGAAAACGGCCGAAGGATCCTTGTGCGAGGACCGAATCAGAAGTGTCGCTGGCGGATGTCGACGACAAGGTATCTGGAAATGCATATTGCACCTCACGGCTGGTTGATCGCGCATCCGACTGTGGCGATGAATTCCCCGAATCTGAATGAAACAGATTATGATAGCTTTTGTGTAAAAATCCCCATATAAGAGCACAACTACGGACGCTGCATCAATTATCAATACGAGTACAGCAAAACAATTTTTATCCTAACAGCCAGCAAAACGTACAGCAAAACGATTTTTATGTTCTAAGTTCTATCCCAAAAGTTGCGAGCAGCACATTCTTAGCTATATGCTATAGCTACCACACATTCGAGCCGGATAAAACTTTTGGCACATAGAAATAGAATATGATACACTTGAAGAGATTTCTGCAGCTAAAGGTTTTGCTCCGCAGATACTGTGTATCCAGTGAGCCCCATCCCAGTACCCACCGAATCCCGAGGCGAAAAATGCAGAACGGCCAACATCGTACTGGGAAGCATCCGCAAAAGAATTACGTCGCGCTGGAGAGTTTGCGGTTGCACTCGAGTCGGGATCCATCCACGGGCCGGCACAGATTCAGAGAGTTTGGATGAATATTGGATCATAACTCCAGGGAGTATCCAGACTCCAACAATTTAAGTTATGCAACTGTTCCAAACTTCAAAGTGATGATTTATCATCGTTTAGGGTTTATGTTCAGTCACGCAACAACACAACAGTGCAACACTGCACCACGTTGAGGTTCATAATTCATATGCCAGGAGCTGTGAATGATGGGATCATGGAACGTTAAGTAATTTTCTTCGGATACTGAAAATCCTGATATAATTTAAAATGAAAAATGAAAATGAAAAGTGAAAACATGCAGAAAATATCATGATAAGTAAATTATAAATAATCAAAAGCTCATAGCGTAACGATGCTCATAGCGTAACGAGCATTTGGCCGGTGAGTAAACCGCCGGCCAGCCGGTGCCGGTTGACACTTGTGATGGGTGTCGTACAACTAACCGCACCGCGTTGTCAGGACCATAGCTTCGAAAGAAATGTTTTTCCTGATTTTCTCCGTTTTAAATCTTCGTGCTCCTGATGTTTTCCGTTTTCGAAGTAATCAGAAGTTTCGATTCAGTAGTTTCTGCAAAACGTGAAAGTGAAACCTCTTCCGCATTCCTTCACCCTGATTTTTTTTGCGAAAGTCTTCCATCTGTTTCATTGAGGCTGTCATCACTGGTGATGGCAGTCACGCTGGTTCCGACCACCTTCGATCCTGACTGATGGCGCCCGATCTCCGTAAACCACAACTGCGTCAGGCACGGATTTATCTCATCGCCGCAGCATCGCTGCTCCTTGTTATCGGAGTGTACAATCTCTTTTCCCTGTGCTACGATGATTCCTTCCCGCGGATTCAGCATTTCGATCTGGCCTTATCTGCTCAATGGAAGCAGTGTGATCCTATGTTGTCGTCAGTTGTCCACGGTTCCCTGACTGATCCACAGTGGCACAGCGTGATTGACAACGTTTTTGTATATTCTGCATTTATGACCGATAAGTATCCGCCGCAGCGTACCGTGGAAATAATGGCGCTGGCGGAGATCTGGCAGGATAGGTTTCTGGAGAGGGAAGTTTGTTGGTGTCAGTTTCAACGAGAGAGCGAAGCTGCTGATGGAGAATCGGTTTCTTCGTCGATGCGGATTGAAAACGAGCGACGCCTGGACAGACATAGGGTACGAAAATCAGCAGCGCATTTTAGGACTTTTTATATCGCCTTTAATGCACCTTATAGATAAAGTAATAAATAAAATAATAATTAAGAAAATCATTAAAATGTATAGCTTATAGGTAAAGCTGCAGTAGTTATTTTTTGAAATTATTATTCAAGCGAGCTTCTTTCGGAATTTATAATGATTGTAAAATAAAATGTAATAACATTTTTATGAATAATATTACTGCTTTATCTTTACGTCAATGACTGTTATTTGTTAGTGCGTACAGGCTTTGACGTAATCGTTGAAGTAAAATAAAATAAATTTAGCAATAACACTGATGTTTTGGATTTCGGTAAGTCTTGTCACTTTCGGGATTACTAACTGTAAATCTACATATGTACAGTACATATGTGCGCTGTTCTGGTGTGAGTGATGCCTGTCATGTCACTTGAATACATTCGCTAATGGCCTAATGCTCTATAATCGTAAAAAGTGAAAACCTAGGAAACATTTCTGTAACTGGACTTTAGAAATTGCTTAGCACGCGCTTAGCCAGTAGCGAATAGAAAACATCTGAACTGCGAATGTGATTTTGTATTGTACTTTGTAGTTCTCTTTTTCTGCGGGCTTTTCTGTTTCTCTCGCCTTCGAGTTGTCTACTACATATTAATATATCGGGCTGAAATTTGTTATGCATTTGTAGAGAAAGTACGGTCACGTGCGTTTGATCTGTGATATCCCACAAAATGCCATTACATCGTCTGTCGTCGCCCGATGCCAATCGCGCACTGCCTGTGGCGCAGTACAACTTCCGGTCCACCAGCTTCCACCACATCCCCCCAAACCGCTGACATTCGCCCTGTGTGTTGCGGTATTATTTGGAGAAATCTCCGCCAACGGTGTTGTGGAGTTCATCGAGTATTACCGGTTGCTCGGATTCGACAAATTCCTGTTCTATAAACACGACGTGCCGGCAGATGTGCAGCGCGTGTTAGAGTACTACCGACAGGAAGGAGTTTTGGATTTGTATACGTGGATTGTTCCCGGTCTGAATATGTCGGAGACGTCGAAGGATGTGTGGTATTTTGCGCAAGCCGGTGCTTTAAATGATTGCACAGAAAGGACGGGTTATACATGGGATTATACTTTTATTGGTAAGAATATTAATTAATTAATTTGCTCTTTTTCCCTTTGCATGTTTTTGGATTAGTAAGCGTGGCGAACGGTTTGCATTCCAATCTTGTCGAAATATTATGGTGAAACTTCGGCGAGAAGCTGGCAGTCTCAAATGCCTGCAATCGAAATAATCTTTTTAATGTGTAATTTCTTTTCACTTATAATTACCTAAGACTGGAGTTTTATTTTTATATCAATTTTTGATTTTTATAGTTGATTTGGATGAGTATCTTGTCCTCAACGACGGACTCTCCCTGTCCACGCTTGTCCGCAAGGGCGAGGACGACTGCACCGTGATCCGCTCCGCCATCGTGAAACTTCCAGCTGCCTCTTCGTCCAACACTACGTTCGCTCTCCACCGACCGCCGTCCACCTTGCTCAAATATTCCCTCCGTCAGTCTTTCATCTACCCATGGGACTCGCGCTCCAAGACAATCTGTCATGGCCGGAAGGTGCTGGCCGCCGGGATTCACTGGCCGCACTATGTCCTCCCGGGGATTCGCTTCACGGGAACGCGGACGGCCGATGCGGATAGCGAAGCTCTAGTCTTTCACCGGCGGAAGGAAGTGCTGAATGATTGGTTGTGGTGGTCGTGGGTCGGTGACGAGCGCGGATTGGCGCATGTGGAACAAGTGGTTGTCAATGTGGATCGGGTGATTCAGAAACTGACGAGCTGACCATTTCCCTCGGTGACCAGGCTTCGTGTTGTTGTTTAGCACAAAAACAAATTTTTTTATAATTTTAAATGTATAATAATGTGTAATTTTAATATAGTTTATACTTTATACGTGTCCGCTCTCGATGTTGCCAGCTTTCATGATTGCCGGTCTGCTAGTGCATTTATTAAGTTAAGTTTTTGAATCTTTTTGCTGCATTGTTAATTCTTTGTGAAATTGGATGTGTAGTAAAATTGAGCATTATAAAAGTTAGCACCGTTCAAGTTCAGTTCTGTGTAGTGCTGCGCTGCATATAATGCTGCTGGAAGAAAGTGCAAAAAGTTTCGAACTTTCGAAACTGTCTTGTTAACACTACAGGAGTACTTGTCTGGTCGGCTTCAATTCGCTGCACTTCCTTTTTCAAAACATATTAGTCATATAGGACGAGTAAATGAATGATTTGCAGGCAAACTTTGAGCTTTCGAAGATGAATTTTACCGGCAATTTCAACATGTACCATGCACATTTATTATACACTGTAATTTTAAAAGAAACGAAATGATGGTATGGAGAGTCAAACGTGGTTTCGCAAAGACGGTAGGTATTACGAGCCAAATAACAGTGAGCCTTCACCTAAATGTGAGCGAGTACAGTTTCGTACTTAAAATTAATGATTACGTGCCCAATAATTAAACCGTAAAGCTAAACGGTATTTTAAAACTTCCCTGCTATCGAAAGCCTAGAGTATCAACCAACAAACACCATTTAATGATCTGCGGACCCAGTCACCATACAGGCGTTATAATTCATTAAGAAATCCATCTGTACATCAAGAAAGTCGAAATACGACGTCGCGTTCACACCCGAGACAGCGGGAAAGCCACACAACACGAACACCGACAGCATGCACATTGCACACTCCACAACCATTAGTGGATGAGAAGCACGTCACAATCAGCTGAAAAAATTCGGGTTGAACATAACTTGCTGCCGTTCAGATGGATCTACAATGCGGAAACAATTCCAACGGGTACCGTACACAATAAACGGAGGTAAACATAAAACGCGCCGCTTTCTCATCGTTCACCGGTGGTCTTCTTCTTGACGGGCGCGCAATCGTACTTCCCGCGCACCACTTTCAGCCGCACTCCGATCAGGTCCTGACAGCGCCCATTGCGCACCATGACGATACTGTGCTCCTGCAGATTGTGCCCTTCACCCGGGACATGGGCGATGCGCTCCTTGCCGGTGACGCTGAGCCGCACGCGGACACACCGCCGGTTGGCGGAGTTGGGCTTCTTCGGCTTCTTGATCAGCGTCTTAATCACCACGGCCTTGGCGCACGGCCGGCCGGCCAGCCACCATTTGCGCTTCTGCTTGGGGATGGGCAGCTGGATGTGGCCTTTGTAGAGGCGTCGGTAATCCTGTATCCGCTGCAACAGAGAGTGGTGATACTTAAATAACAGCTTTAATCCTCAATAATTGAAAATGAATTTAGCGCAGCGCGGCGGACTGGACCACTGGCTGGCAGAAAAATAGGTATGTAGTGTAACCACGCTCAGTTCGCAACCGCGCAAATTACAGAAAACTTAATTAGTTAATTATTAGATGCCAATGCAAAAGTAGTCGATCGCGCTACCGATTGGAACGACTTCTGCTGGACTGGAGAAAAAGATGTTGAATAAGTTGTATAACCACTTTCAATTTGCAGCTGAGCAAAACACAGAAAACAACTGTTAATTGTTAGAATTATGCCAATGCAAAAACAGTCCAGGAAAAAAAAACCCAGCCATAAAAAAACAATATCCTGATGATGAAATTCATAATATTAACTGGATACAGGACAATAAAATGTTATACCACTGTATATATAATACTACAAGTTATCAGTTATGCAACTTAAAAATCTGTTTGCAGAAACCAGTCGAAGCCTGTGACTTGGTGCAAACCACGTCAATTACGCGATTTAAATGGTTTTAATATTTAAATCCTAAATAATAATAAATAAATGTAATTTTGATTTATTAGGCCAAAAATTGTCATCTTGATTTACTTGTTAACTGAAATTAAGCGTAAAATACTTTCTGGCTCAGTTGCATCGCTCACGCGTGCTTGGATTCTGTAAGTCTTGCACTCCGCCTGAGCACTCATAACCTGAGCGCTGAGCACGAACCCGAAGGTGGACCATAAATTCGTACCATATCGTGAAGTTGCTTGAACTGCGGATGCGAAGGCGGGCAGAATGGATCATCCACGTACTCGACGGGCCGATTATCCGGAAGACGGAAGGGCTTGAACTTCATGAACTTGTACGGCTTGGAATGCCGCCAGAACGGGATCTGATCGGCTGCCGTCATCAGCTCGATGTTGCGCGTCGGAACGAAGGATCCAGGCAGAGCCTTGAGAGGGGTCGCGGGATGAAAGAGGGACTTCACTGCGGATTGGCAAGCGCGCATGCATCGTCCCGCTATGCCTAACATGGTTGCTGGGTTCCTCAAGATCTCATCCAGTTAACGAAATCCTGGAAGGCAGCTACCTATGCTGAAGAATCGTTGTTTCACTAGTTTGTCTACAAGATCTGCAGCGAAGAAGAGCAACACGATATGATAAAAAAAACTGACAGCAACAATCTTCTAATTAAAGTGAAAATGAGACAAAGTAATTATGAAACCGAAAATAATGACTTCAAAAGTACAGTATTCGTATACGGAAATTAATACAAGTACTTACAGCTTACTTACAGTTTTGTAAGTTGGCAGCGTAACCGCCGTACGGAGGCGAATGCGATGCAACGAGCAAAGCTGAAATTACTTAAGTACTAGTAATCTGAAGCGTGCATGGTTTTGATTTGTGAACGCCTCTAAATGGCTTCCAAAATTCCAAACATTTTTTTTAACATGTTATGTAAAGGCAATCAAGGGAAAAAATACCTTTGCAGCCAGCGTATGGTAAAGTACTTACAAAAACCAAGCTCGAACCGGAATAAAAAATTAAACCGCAACCGTATGGCAGATGCACGATAAACTGAATAAAGCGCTTTGCTGCTTTTAATTCTCCAACGGCGCAGCTCATCTCGCATACCCCACAGAATACCTAAACTCACAAACGATTAAATCAGATTTTAGTAAAACGAATCGTACAACTTTGTTTCTGCAGCCCATCTGTGACACTGTGTATGAACAATCTCCTGCATGGCAGTAAAAGGGCAGGTAAACTCATACTTGTGCACAAACCAGATCATAAAAACTTTTGAAAATCTTTAAATTTAAAAGACAATCATCGACAGAACCAAGACTGAAAAACTAAACAGTAAGCTGAATCCACATTCCGAATTGCGGTAAATCAATGTGGTTCTCACAAATGGCCGTGCAGCACAGTGAGCACACTACGGATAAAAGGAACATCTGCAGCCTTTCCATCCGCTCGGAATCGCCAAACGTATTGGTTTTGAATCCGCGCTTCATAGTAGATTTTTCTGCGGTACCGCAATCGCAGACAAAATCTTGAGAGGCTCCAGATGCGGGCGACCGGGTTCCACTATCCTCATCCACCAGCACCACACGGCGGTGCGGACATTCCTACCGAAAAACATTCTATAGACATGGTATTTCGGTTGTTACAACAACACAAGTCACGATATTCGTATTATTGGCTTTTCTGCGCATGGCAGCTAATACAATAAATACTATGTATACATTTTAGACAAATTTATGCTTCCTGCTACCGACGTTATTATGGTACTTACAAATTTTTGCAAATGTATCAATAACATCAAATAAATGCACACATATTGTATCAGTAGATTCAGTACTGTTAAATGCACGCGCTCCGGGAAAAACACGGATACTGAAATAAATAATGTAGTACAAGTATACAGTATACCAAACAGTAATAACAGCCATACAACTGGAAAAATTAATCTATAAAGTCTGCACTGCAACAGATTCTAATTCTAGTAAACTAATTATTTGAAAAGTCGAATATTCTATTAAATCAAAACTCAGAACGACGAGGATAAACCCGTTACACTTAATTAAAAAATTACAAAAAGCTTCAACACAATTTTATCGTTGAGCATTTAACGAAAACGTTCAGGAGCAAAACATTAATTACGCACCGCTCGTTTTCGGTAAACCGCCCATCCGCCTGCCTGGACCGGGCGTCCTGTCAATAAAAAATCTTATTAATTGTAAGTATGTATGAAAAATTTATGACAAACGCAAGCAGTAAAGCTGAGAAAGTTAAAGCTTCAGCAGAACCGCTTTACGGATTGATTTACCTTGTTGTACGACCAGCAGCGGACGATGAGGAACGGCTGCTACCACCGGAATTTAAAAACTAAAACATACACTAGTAAACCAATAGTAAACTTATCGGTCGGTAATCGGTATAAAGAAAGGAAATACAATTTCTTACGCTATCATCTGTTTACAAGAAAGTGTACAGTACGTATTGTACAACAGTGTACTGACTTGTGAATTCACAAATAATAATTTTCTGAAGCTCGAATTTATAAGTTGTTCAAGACATGTTAAAACCACTCAAGAAATTAAAAACTTTTAAAATTATATTTCTACTTGAAAGGTAAGTACATGGTACATGACATTTTACTTCAGTTATCGAGTCGTAATTGAAAACTATTTTAACTTACTGGGAGCAATGTCTTGAAGCTGAAACGCAAAAAAAAACAACACTGGTAAACTGAAATCAACAACAACGCTGATAACGAACTCATGGTTCAGGAAGGCAAATATGAACAGTCTCTTACAAGAAGATGACGCCAAATATAAAAGACCAAAAGGTATCGGAGATCTTGCTTAACGACCATGGTCTTCCGTTGGAGATCTCGCCTGCGAAGAACGTTAAGTAACAACGTAAACTTCGTGTATGTATGTTGGTCGTATAATCCCGAATTCGGAATTGTAGCAGAAAAAACAGGTCTCTAGTGCTCTAATCTTACCTCCAGAAATGTACGGCATTTTCCGGGATATGAAGAATGATTCAGTCCCTCGAAAAGGATAAGCTATAAAGTCTAATAAAGATAAAGTCGCTCAACAGAAAAGCCAAAAACTGCCACTGTCAGTGCAAAAGACGTCGTCCCGTCTACGGCCACATGGCGGCTGTCAGATCGTAAAACTTGTTCTTCACACTTTCCTCGTTCGACAAACTGTAAGTTAAAGATTTGAAAATCAAATCAAAAGTAGACCTACAAAACAAGACGCTGATAAGGTACTTACTGCAAACACAATCACAAAAAAACAGGCACTTACTACTGTACGAGTAGCAATCCTAATCGATTTGTAGAAATTTCGCCACGATACGTCCACGTCAGTTGTAATGAGGCATCGGAGGCGAACTTCTATGGAATTCCGAATGGCCGGGAGTTTTGTTGATGTTTGCTGTTTGATTTACAAAGTTTGATCAAAGATCAATGATTACAGGACAATGAATTTGGATAGTTTGATTTAAAACCATTGATTTTCAGATCAGTGATTTTCAGTCAATGATTATGAATCAATGATTTTCGGACACCATGATTTGAAATCAGTGATTTTCAGATCAGTGATTTTCAGCCAATGATTACGAATCTATGATTTTCGAAAACCATGAATTTGAAATCAGTGATTTTCAGATCAGTGATTGTAAATGACTGACTTAAATGTCTTGATTTTGGATTAGTGAATACATTTCACAGGCGATTGAATTAAAATCAATTGTTCATTAAAGATTGATTTGCAATCATAGACTGCCTTTCACTGACCTGCCATCAGTGATTTTCAATACGCAACTGTCGCCGCGTGCACTGGAGGCCGCTATTCGGACTTGGAAAACACGAAAATGTTTGGTATCCAGTGCACCGTAGACTCTGCGGCCAAAGAAAACCGTCTTAAAACGTGGCTGCCCACTCCTGTTCACTACCACCCAACCAATCCGAATTGCGCACAGCTACTCAGTACTCAGTACTGAGTCCAGATTACTAATTGCTAGGGCAGCTTTAATTCTAGCATTTATAATGATGTATTACGTGTGACATTCAACTAAAATAATATCGAAATAATACATTTTCTTCTGGATAAGAACTTGACATTTCATTAGCAGAGATGAAATTACAGCCACAATTGCTTTTACATTTTCCATTAACTGGCAAACTGAAAATCGACGAAAAACAATAAGTATATCAGTTGAACATCTTAACTTAGAAGGCTTATAAATCCTTTTGTAGTAATGTACATAAGAAATGATGACTATACGTGCACATAGATTTTTACTTATTTTTTGAAAAACGAAGAAAAACTCCGTTCAGTATATATTGATAAATTTTGTTATGCTGTGCAAGAAAATTTGACAACATTCTAGACAAATACGAAAGCAACACATGTATCCGAATCATAGAAAACAAACATTTTACTACAGGTCGTACATTGAGATGTACTGCTGGCAGTACGATAAATAATGCTAATGGTATTGCTAAAGACACAAGATATCAGCTAAGCATCCCGAATATTTTTCTTAATTGTACTTTATCACATCAGAAAAATAATTATAGCGTAATAGCACACAGAATTTAAGATATTAAAAAATTTAGGCAGCACATCGCAATGATTGTTGATTTGTTTAACGTAATGCATCTGAATTCTTAAATACTTTTTTGAGTGAAATATAAGTCACCCTATTAACATTTTGTTTGCAAAACTAAAGACAAAAGTGTTTTTTTTTAACTGAAAGCTGCAGATTGTCCGCGTCTCTGCTTTTTTGAATTTGTTAATTCGGCTCGATGCACTGCTAAAATTCATTAATAACTTTGTCTTGCGTATCAAATATATATCCATGCTTCCAGTTTACCGGGTTTAATTTTTACGCCTCAAATTACTTCTGATGTGATTAACTATAATTACAAAAATATTCAATATGCTTAACTAATATCTTCTGCATTTTAACTATACTCCGGCGTGTACAGAACTAGTTTGCCTAATGAACCGCCTGTAGTACAGCTCGTAGTATAGCCTGTAGTATGACCTTATGTAAGGCCTGTAGTTCTACCTGTGCTGCACTAACAAGCTAAATACTCCATTGAGTTATTCTCACACATACCAGACGCATATCGTTTTATAGAAAAAAATTAGCTTTGTTAAGTAGGATTTTTTGTAGTGGGTTGGTTTCTATTTTTATCGTTTAAAAAACATGTTAAGTAAGTATAGCATTTCGTCCAGTGACGTGTCTGTGCGCACTTCAAAGATGCCGCCCATCACGCATCGGAGATACCGATCTTCTGCAGCGCTGATTGCGGGCATGCTGCATCGCGTGGTTATTAGCTCGTCTGATCATATCCGGATTCAGTGGGAGCTGGTACAGAGTACGCTGCAGATTCTGAGCACTAAATACTTGAACGCGATGTAATTTTTGTTTGTGTTCTGAAGGTTCCAAATCTAGATTCGACGATTTTGAACCTTAAATGCACATGACAATATCAACAATCTATTTTGTGAACTCTTTGTAAACTCAAAACTAAAGCAAATAAAAGATTCTTTATTGCCAAATGTCGTACAGGCAGGCCAGCGCTCAGTTTTCACCGAATGTCAGTATTTCGGATGCGTGATGGGTGGCGTCTTTGAAGTGCGCACAGACGCGTCACTGGACGATTTGCAATACTAACTTCACATTTTTTTAAACGATAAGAATAAAAACCACCCCGCTATAAAAAATACTGCTTAACAAAGCTAATTTTTCTCTATAAAACGATATGCGTCTTGTATGTGTGCGAATAACTCAGTGGAAGTATTTAGCTTGTAAGTTTAGTTAGTGGGAAAGACTGTAGTACAGCTTAATGTTCAGCTATCACTGGTCAGTATTACTTAATGTACATCCTGGAGTACCCGTTAATGTGTTGCCTGGAGTAAAAGCTTTATGTTTTTCGTGACCGGATCACTGGAGCCCATATCTTATCTCGCTTGCATAGAATGCCATCCTTATCTTCTTTTACAGCATAACAGAATTTATGATGATATACAGAACTTTGTTTTTACTTGTTTTTCGCATTTTTCATCGAATAATTAAAAATCTGAAGTACTGCAACTTATCATTATTTGTGTACATCACTCTAAATGATTTCTAAACCTTTTTACTGGAGTATATTTACTGGAATCGGTAGATAGGAATTGGAACTTGTAAAGCGTGAAAACTTTTCCAAGTCTGAATAGCGGGTTTCCATTGCACGCGGGGACGGTTACGTATTGAAAATCACTGATGGCAAGCCAATGAATGGCAATCAATGATTGCAGGTCAGTCTTTAACTAATTATTGATTTAATACAATCGCCAGTGAATCGCCAGTGAATTGTATTCAGTGATCCAAAATCAAGACATTTAAGTCAGTCATTTTCAATCACTGTTCTGAAATTCACTGATTTCAAATCATGGTGTTCGAAAATCATTGATTCATAATCATTGACTGAAAATCACTGATCTGAAAATCACTGATTTTAAATCGTGGTGTCCGAAAATCATTGATTCATAATCATTGACTGAAAATCACTGATCTGAAAATCAATGGTTTTAAATCAAACTATCCAAATTCATTGTCTTGTAATCATTGATCTTTGATCAAACTTTCTAAATCAAACAGCAAACATCAACAAAACTCCCGGCCATTCGGAATTCCATAAACTTCTATGTATGCAGTATTTTGATCTTATTGTACTGACGTCACCGCTACACGCTCCGTCCACCGCTGTGGCAGCTGATTTCTATGATTTGCTTGCAAGTTGCAACGACGTGCTGCGTTTGCTTTTATCGCATTTTTTAGATTTTTCAAACAGTTTGTGGTATTTTATGTGATTTTGCTTCCTTATCCTTGACTCCTTAGCACCCCACCTTTCAACTTTCATCAGTAACGTTTTGTAAAATGTGGTGTATCAGTTTTATAACTACTTCAGTAGAATGATCGTAAAGAATGCCGAGAAAAGTGAATCTCGTCACATTTGAGGGCTTTTTAAGCTTTTAGTCGTGAATCTGTGTCTGGACTCTGGATGTTGCTATAACTTTGGGATAGCTCACCGATGAATTGACTGGCGCCATGTCGATCTCCTTCCAGCAGATCGTGGCCGTCGATGCCCGCTACAGCCTGCATCGTCTCCCACAGGATCCGCAGTTTCGCACCTTATACATTCGACGGCGCAGTCAACTGCTGCGGCAGGTGTTCAAGAGCGATGGCCAGATGGTGTCGGGCGCTGCGGCCAGCAGTCTGACACCCGACGAAGTGCGGGACAGTCGCAAAACCTACCTGCACACACGGCTGGCCCTGCTGGCGAAAAAGTACGGATCGCAGATGGACAACCGCAGTGTGTTTGGCTCGTCGGGGAAGAACAGTCGCTGTCGCAGTATCAGTCGCTCCACCATCAACAGTCGTCTGCCGGAGGACGGGTCCGATGAGGAGAACACCGTGCATTCGGCCAATTTTACCACGGCTGCTGGTAAGATTTTGTACTTGTAAATTAGTCAAAGTTTTGTAACCAGTGGGCCAGATGTGCCATGTGGGTATAGTGGACTCGTAGATTGTGGTTGGTTAATTTTAAATCGTTCTTTTTTTTCCATGGTCGGTGTGATACACAATTTCACTCACATCGGTGCTCGTTGATATTAATTTTGATCGTAGTATGTAAGTATTATGTACATATTTGCCAAAGTTTGGCAATTTGTTTACGTTTACTGGAGGTGCAATCAGTTTATGCGAAATACAGCTAATAAGAATTTTTTTGGTTGTACAGTGTATAATTTAACCAATGGTTTGCCGATTTTCGTTTCTGCTGTTGTTAAAGCGAAGCGGTCGTTTTTCGTTTGCACGAAAAATTGAAATTGTTTGCTGCAAATGTACTGTAATGAGTACTAACACAAGAATGCATTGAGTTATTGCACAATTGCAACTGTAGTTATCGTTCGTTTATTCTGGCATCGCATAACTCAGATTATTGCATTTTTTTTATGCTTTTATAGTTGCTGCTCCGAAGAAGTCCGCGGAAACCTATGCGTTTTCCGGTGTGCAGCACATCTTCGATCAGCACAAGAAGGCCGTTGGTTCCGTGCGATTCGCCGGGGACGATAAACACCGTTTGGCTTGCTGTTCGGCTGATGGCATGTTGTCTGTAATTATGCTATTACCCAGTTACGCCGAGGGAGAATCTCCATACTCCATCCAGCTGCTAAAAGGCCACACCGATGAGGTAGAAAATTACAACGGTGATTTCGAAATTCGCTAATACAAAGGCCATTTTGCTGATACACTGTAAGTTATAAGAGTACTTACTGTTTTAGGACACATACTTATTGCAGTTTAATTTTTGTGCAATGAAAAATCTGAAAGTCTGAAACCGAAACCAATCTCAAACTGAAAGTTATTAGCTGCGGATTTGAATGTACTCGTACATAGCCGTTTTACTGTACATACCACGAATGCCTAAACTTACGCCTTAGCGATTTTTATAAAATTAAAAAACTTAAACATAATGACTCGCATTTTTGGTGATTCTCATTTTTGGCATTTTCGCTCGCATTCGCATCGCATTTTTGGTAATTCTTAAAAACGTTTTTAGGTGACTGATTTCTCATGGGGTACATCCGGTGATCTCATCGTTTCCTGTAGTTTGGACGGTTCAGGTACTGCACATTTCTCTCTCTCTCGTAGCAAATGCTGATCATTGGAGCTGGATGATTTTTCATCCTTTGTAGTTCGTTTATGGGACACCTACAACGCTACCTGTCTGCGCACCGTGCACGACCACTTCCGCTGCGGCATCCTCTCCTGCACCTTTCATCCGCGCAATAACAACTTTGTCGTCACCGGCAACGAGCGCGGTTTCCTGCAGGTGCTCAACGTGTCCACGGGGAAGTTCCTCTCCGAGTCGCTGGTGAAGACCAACGGCCGGGTTCTGTGTATGTGCTTCGACGCCGTCTCCAGCATCCTGTGGATCGGCAACGACAACGCCACGCTCTTCTCCTTCCTCTTCGACGTTCTCTCCTCCAAATTCATCCTCATCAAACAGATCCACCTATCCTCAAAGAACGTGGCCATCACCAGCATCAGCGCGCTGACGACCGCCGCCCAGCGAGGTCCCCTGGATCGCGGGGATGAGAAACTCCCCGGGAAGACCCCGCTGCTGTTGTTGAATTGTTCCGGGAATGCGCTGCTGCTCTTTCAGATTAAGGAAGCGGATTTAAGGAGGCAGCAGTTGATCTTGAAACGGAGGTTTATCATTCGACAGAAGAAGTTCCGGATTCGCTCGTCGTTTTGCGCGCGGGGCTCGGCGGCCGGGCAGGGGGTGGTGGTCAGCGGGAGTGAGGACGGACGGGTGATGGTGTACGATGCGGATAAGCCGGTGAGTAAGGCCTGCGTCAATGAACTGCAGGGACACTCGGCCGCCGTGCTGGATGTGTGTTTTAATCTGGATGAGAGTCTGCTGGCCAGTTGTGACGCCAATGGGATCGTTATCATCTGGAAGCGGGTTAACAAGGCTGGAAATTACTGAAAAGGAATTTTTTAAAATTATTTATTCGGACACTGTCCGGTTGATGGGATTCTTATAGATCTGCTGCATGAATGTGATGGGTATAATGGGAATTTTTTATGTTAACTTGGAACGGAATCGCGGTGGTGTACAGACGGAAATTAAATAATTTGAACATGTGATGAAATTGTGTTGACGGCATTCGTCAGTGGGCTCCCGTTGAAATTCTCGTCGACCGACAAAAAAACGAAGACACTCGCTGTACTTGCGTGATTTGTATAGTTGCTGCTTCGGCTGAAATAATGGTACTTCGAAGTATTCATATCGTTATTCATGACAATGCAAATTGCCCACTTAATGGCAGCGTTTTGCTGCTTCGTTTTTTGATTAGTCAGGGAAATATCGGCATTCTGGATTCTTTTCGCAGCAGAATTGCGTCTGGTTCACCGCTCGATCATTCACTCCTTCGCATTGTGGAGATTAAAAACATTATTAGAGGTGCTAGATTTTTTGTTAGTATAAGAGCTCGTTCCAGCATCGCAACTCTTGCAGTGCGGTTTTGGCGTTGATGTTTTTATCTGAGCAGTTTAATCTGGTTTTCAGAAACCTTGAATTTTAAAGCTTGCAAAATGTCGCCTGGAAGCACATCATCATTTTCACCGTTTTATATACTTTTTGCATTGATTTTGTTGATGGTTTCGGGCCTCGGCGCGGCTGCCACAACCACCGGAAGTACGTAATGTGACAATCCGCATATTTTGTAATTTGTGAGTTGTGTCATAAAACCGAAATGACATTCGTTTCTTATCAGGTTCCGTTCCGGTTCCCACTTCCGGGCCCATTATTGGTAAGTGGACTGTCCTGTCAAAAACGAACTGCAAAGATATTTTCACATGTATTTTAAGGATATATACAAATATTTTATTTTCTCAAAATGCGCAGTAACCTTAATTCATTACTCTCGTACAAACCCGAACGCTGTATTCGCGCTGTATAGAGTACGCAATATGCATCTACGTATCCTATATCTATATAGATATGTAAAGTATTGTACAATACTGGTATAGATATAAATATTTCGGCTATGCTGACTCAATCGGACACTTCTCTTATTATAGCATATTGATAAAAGTTCTTACTTCCTTATTACAGGAGTCCTGGCGGAAGAAATAACGTCGGAGTCTATGCAAAAATTTGCTACATCCAATACATCGTCTTTCATAACCGCTTCGTACATAAAATGGATTGAAAGTGGCGGAGGTCGTGCAGTACCCATTACGTCAGTGGAAATTTGTATACTCGTACTTGCTTTTACTTAAAACAGTAAAAATACCGTACTGCACCGTAGATGTTTCGTACGTTCTTTCACTACGAATATAGATATTACCCGAATGTCGGGTGCATTGTATGCCACTTTATAAACTCTGTAAATACCGCACATAAATTGTATACAAGACATTAAGGACAGCATGATGAAACGGTACTAATGAAGCGAAGGAATCGTTAATCATAATTTACTTTTCAGTCTCAATCAACCGGATAGTTATTACAATAACCTGATCTCTAAATTGAACGGGTACGTATGTTTTATATTTTTACTATTGCAAAGCGTACTTGTTAGTATTTTTGACAGTGCGGCATGCAAAGATACTGGCACATGTTCTTTTCTATAAGACTACGAAGTAATCGGCACTTTGTGTATGCAGCCTCGTGTTTCCTGGAGGTGCGGCATCGTTACATCTGGGTGGATATGCGAAAGCGGGAAAGGTTCTCTATGGCACTGCACAGACGGTAAGATCTGCAGAAACTGGATTTTTTCATTTGTCTCCTGAAGATTGCCTTAAAGCCTTAAACGTAGTTGTTTTTCAGATGAACCAGCAAGGCAATTATTTTCCCATTTGGGGCACCTGTTTAGGATTCGAACTGCTCAGTACGTTCACAGCTGATCGGGGGAATATTCTGGGCTCATGCAGTGCAGAAAATATCAGTTTACCGGTGTCCTTTCAAAATGGTACGTACGTGTAATTAACTACTGCGGAAAGAATGCTAATTTCTACAGTGTACAATGCGCAGTGTTATTTAATGGATTTTCCAGGATATAAAACCTCAAAAATGTTGGCCAGTGCCTCGACCGACATCCTCAGTATGTTGGCCAAAGAGCCCATCACCGCCAACAACCACAAGAAATGCCTGGCTCCGACTAATTTCACGGCCAATGGTCTTAACACCAAGATGAACATCTTAGCGACTTCAGTTTCCCAGGATAACGTTGTTTTCGTGGCAATGGTGGAAGGTACGAAACCACTGGCCTGCTTTCTAAAATCTGCAGAAAACAGGATATGCGGTATCTTACTGTGCCGTACTGTTAAAAATTTACTGAAAATACTTTCCAGATTCTCGATATCCTTTCTATGGCGTTCAGTTTCATTCGGAGAAGCCCCAGTTTGAAAGTCATCATCCATCAGCGGGAGCCTTTGCAGCGCATGCTGTCCAGGCCGGCCAATATTTTGCAAATTTCCTGGTTTCTGAAGGTAACCTTTAGATACATGTGCATATACTCTGTAGATATGTATATCGTTCCAGAACATTAACGCTTTACTTAACTCGATTTTGTAAAGAAATGGCTCATATATCGAGTGACTTAAGTAAGTAAGGAAGTCAGTTAATCACTTTCCGTTATATATGAACTTGGGCCTTACTTTACAGCAAAGAAGAACAAGCAGCGCTTCGCCAATAAGGAAGAAGAGGATAAATATTCTATCCACAGCTATAAACCAATTCCCGCCAGAGGAACCATCTACGATGAAATCTATGTTTTCAACTGAACTGTTCTAGTATTTTGAACGTTAGCGAGAAGATTTTACGATGTCTTGGGTGCTTGATTAGTTACAATTTTTTACGTATCTAAAGATATACGTTTGGCTGCGTTTATAAATAATCAGTGCGGCAATCGCAGAAACACTTTCCGTATCCATCCGGTTCTGCAGTTTTCAAAATATAATGTATAACGACATACCCTAATAACATACAAATCGTACGAACAAAATTAATAATGCACAGCTAATAACAATGCGATTAATGTACAACTCTAATGAGGAAATTTAATTGTTGTTTTCTTTAATACATATTTAAATCTTTTAAAATGCAGTCTTCTAATGCTGGTATATTGAAAATTCGCGATACAAATTCGCGGTAGATAAAAACTACTTATTACATCTTAGCGTGATGTTTTACATTTGTCATTTAAAAGAGATTGATAGGTATGAATGTCAGCTTCTTTCTGCAGCATGCTGCGTGGAAATGTTCGCGCTGGGGAAAAGAAAAATATCTGTAGATATAAGACTCACTGAGACAATTATACGAGTACGCAACTTGATCGCCCTTTACAAATTTTGCTTATGTGCACGAAAGTCTGGCTTAGGAAACCAGTTTCTCAGTGAAGATGTCCCTGAAATCTCCTTTGCAATGAGTAGTTTTAGCTGACAGCTTAGCATATTGCTAAACAGAGACACGCGACTAAATGTGAAAACATCATCAGTTATGGCAAATATGGAACCGCCGAACACTTTGTTAAGTTTCCCGGATGTCGGTTTTCGTGAAACGGAAAACTTTTATTCCGACCGGTCATTTTGCTTAAAGCAGAACGGGTTCCGTGTAGAATCCCGGACCACTTCTAAGCAAGCTGTCTGTGGTTTTCTCGGCCGTCGAAATTCGGGAGTTTACTTCCGGTTGGTTAAAGTTAACCATGTTTCTAAAAATTGGTCAGCGTCCATATTCAAATATTGCGGAAGTAATCGCTATTGTCGCGATAGTTCTTATTACTATCTTACATCGAGGTCATGCAGATGTCACTCCCGACGAAAGTAAGTGCAATCGCTAGAACGGCACGTGACTGTGATCAGTTTGATTTTACTTGTTACTGAATAATTCTTGAATGCACTCCTTTTCAGGATCCGCTGTATCCCAAGCATCCCGTGACGCTCCTGTTATCGGTACGACAAGAGCTAAGAGTGTTAATAGAATACGTAGTTTTTTATGTAACTAAAGTTTTTGAAACGGTTAGACATTTTTATGGAACGGTATTCGGCTTAAATTTAAAGAATGACTATTCTATTAATTTTTTAATACCGTTTAACTTTTGTATTTAATTGATATGCCATGCAACCAGAAATGGCTAGAAGTACGGTTAATTATAGTGTAGCCGCAATTTTCGTATTATTTGTTCGGCTTTTCAAGTGCAAACGATAAAAAAAAGGATTAGGATTATACACATCAAATGCATTACGCGTGTGTGTTTATCTCTGCAACCGTGTCTTTGCGGCATATACAGTAGTTGCGTACGTGTACATACTACGTCGGAAACCTGTATCTCGGGCGTTTGTTCTTTGATTTTCTTATTTGAATCTGTAATTTACCATGGTCTCCGAATATTGTTTTACTGATTATGCAACCTTGTCAACAGGAATATTGGCCGAATCGGTTGTTTCGAAGAAGATGCAGTCGACACTGGGCGTGAAGCGGACAGCGTCCTTTATAGCGGCATCCTACGTGAAATGGGCGGAAACGGCAGGAGCGCGCGTTGTGCCAATACTGTAAAATATATGAATTGGTTATTTCCTTCCCTAAAACAAAACATGAACATTTGACTGAGAAATTTATTACGAGCAGTGATATGGTATTAACACAAATTTACAATTTACTTACGTGCGATCTTGATTCAGGTCACTTATTAGCATCAATATCAACCAGTAAACTGTTGGGTTTGTTTTACAGACTAAATCAACCTGAGAGCTATTATGCAAATCTCATGAGCAAAATCAATGGGTAACTATAACTTGCTATACTTCTATACATTTGAATGCAATTTGCACTACTCAGTACTTGAGTAGCAGCTAATTCGACAACGTTGCACTATAGGGTGATATTCCCGGGAGGAGCGGTTTCGTTGAGCCGGGGAGGATATGCAACAGCTGGTCGAACAATTTTTGAACTTGCAGAAAAGGTACTTGCACAAGATATCAGCCCAGTCATATCTATATACAATTTTACATGCATCTGTCTGCACATAATTCGAGTATTATTTTCACATAAATGAACCCAGCTTAGTAGACTGGGCATTGCATTGAGTTCTAATGTTCTAATGAAAACACCAGTCGTCAATTAGAGCGGCAAAATGAATTACTCTGTAGTCTGTGCATGCGTTATTACAATATTAAAATGCCATAAACACTTATACGATGACCTTATTAGATGAACCAACTGGCAACATATTTCCCGATTTGGGGAACATGCTTGGGATTTGAGCTGCTGACGGTGGTAATGGCCAATCGCAATGTGCTGGCGTCGTGCAGCGCAAAGAAACTCCATCTTCCAATAAGTTTTCAGAGTGGTACGTTTAATTGCGTGCACTATTGTGCGACTATTATGAGCTGCAGCTAATATTTATGCTAATCCTGCATGTGGATTTTGTATGGTGACAACTGAAAACTGAAAATATTAATATCTGGCAAATTAACACACAGAATGTAAACATATAATACAGGTTTGTATTAGGATATCATAAGTACCGATTGCCTACTAGTAGACAACCTACATGGCTTTCTTCTCATTGAATATACCAATGATTGAAAATATCTTGTTCAGGTTATGAGACCTCAAAAATATTTTCGGCTGCTCCTAAGGAAATCATCAGCATGCTGGCAAATGAACCCATAACGGTCAACAGCCACCATAAATGTCTCACGCCGACTAACATGACCCTTTCCGGTTTGAGCTCCCGTCTGAGAAATTTGGGTAATTCGGTTTCGCGAGACGGAATTGTCTTCTCAGCGGTATTTGAAGGTACGTTAACGCCTTGCGCAGGTTGTAATCTTGCGGTTGATTATGGGATTCAGAAATTATTGATAGGTACATGTACTCAACGCAGAGATATGAACCAAAATTAAAGGTCTTGTTAATAAATATATTGATTTTCTCAGATATGCGGTATCCTTTCTATGGCGTCCAGTTTCATCCGGAAAAGCCGGGATTTGAGCCTGGTTCCTATTCCACCCATGCTGTACAGGCTGGCAACTATTTTGGCACATTTTTCGTTAACGAAGGTACAATGCTGTATAGGTTAAGACTGTAAATAGTGTACGATAACAGCATAACGTAATCGCAGACTCCAATTAAGTTTTGCAGGCAAGTAATACTTGCTATAAATCGCTATGGCGGTTTACTAATACACAGTTTTGTCTGCAGCAAGAAAAAACGGACAACGCTTTGCGAGCAAGCAAGAGGAAAATGCATTTTCCATTCACAACTGGGCACCAACACCGGCACCGGGAACCGTGTATCATGAAATCTATTTATTTCGGTAGCCAAAACAAAATGCAATTCTGCGTTAGTTAAACCTGTGCTTTTGTATTGCTTCCTTACTGTAAGCAGGCATAAATTTGCTGCTTACAGAGAGAAATTTGTCGCTATCACAGCCACTATTTTTTTCCGGCCATTAAGTACAGAACGTCTGATTTTTAAAAATAACAGAAAACCATCGACGAATAAATATGCCGGAAGTTAAGAAAAAGTGCTTAATGCACAAACTTGATATTGCGCAAAGTATTGACCAGCTAAAGCTTGCGGTAGTTGCCGTAATATTCCACATTATGACAAAATACAAAGTGTTAATTGCTCTTGACATTTGACAGTTGGATAATGATTCGGCTATTGTCGTGAAACCGGCAATTTGCCGGTCTGTCATCGCTACTGAATTTTAATGAGTACCATTAATTTATTGATGACCACCAATTAATCTCATATTAATCATCCACGTAATACCTGTACGCCGGTAATTTGCCAAGCGTGAAATTAAACGATTAGAAAGTTATCGCCAGGCGCACGCATTATGCCATTGTTTCTTCCTGCCCGGTCCTTCTATTCATATCCGGTTTTCTTCTAAAACTACCAGATTCATGACCGGCTCTCAGGTTTGTGATAGCACTCACACTGCTTGAAAAAATGCAAAATCTTGTACGGCTTAACACCAGCTAATAGTTTTGTTGGGTTTACCTGAAATTGTGATTGACCATGGGATGTGGTCTCATCGCCAGACTGATTTTCCCGGTCATGTTTCTCTGGACGGTGTCAGCGGAAGGTATCATAATTAAATATCGAGCCATAATTAAATATCGAGCTTAAATTACTTTGATCAGCGATTATCATTTATTCGTTCAAGTTTACACTACCCTAGGTTTCCGCAATTTATGCTAGTGTAGCTCGTTTTTTTTGTTCGCTGGGAATAGAACAGTTATGCGGCGCTGCAACAAAGAAAAGTAATTTTTTTCTTGTTGGTAGTTTTGCTGCCACCAAACCAATCGAATGTCCCCGGATCTGCAGCGCTTAAAGATGGAGGAGAAGTCATGTCTTTGATGGTCACTTCCGGCATACTCCGTCTTCGGCATTCCTTATCGGCAACCACCGCCAACACCCATGCACTCACAAAACATGTGACCATGAATCCGAAAGTTTTGAACAAAATGCCGTCATGGTTCCGGCTTTTATCGGATTCCGACGATGCACAAGCAGCACAACGCCGACAACCTTGATGACAAGTTGATGTGTGTACATGTTATACGTATACATATTGTAAACACTATAATCATTATTGTGCATATGCTGATGTATAGTTTGTACAGACTACAAATACATTATGCGTGTGGTATGTTATACGTATACAAAAAGTATTAATCATGCGCAGCAATGGTAATGGGGTGAATCACAGCTGCAATCCGATTCGCGACCGTACAAATATTTGCTTGTTCGAACCATAAAAGTGTGTAAAGAAGTTATGGCATTACAAACATGGCTTCGATACTGCATATTCTCCGATGTACATATAATTAAGATTTAAGGACAGTATAGAGTGTAAGGAACAGACTTTTTATATATGAAGTCGGATTACACTTCAAGTTTGAATTCGTTAAACTAAACAATGTGGTTGTCGTTGGACGTTGCACCTTAAGTTACACTACGCGTACAAGGTGTGACCAGTTTGCCGCGCGTTAGTGCAGATTTTACATAAGGTCCTAATCGACATTTGACAACCGTTAACCGCAAAACACAACCAGAAACGTGTTCTGAAATAAATCTGAATGGCGGCAGTGTAAAGCGTAAACGTAGTCGCACTTGTGAACCGCTGCATCCATAATAATGGTTACCGGTCTAGAAGACCAAGGGCCATGGGTTTATTACGAAAACTGCTTAAAAGCTTTTGTTTGTCGTAATTAGGTGTGATTATAAATGCAAATTTGCACATGGTGCGCCTGCTAGGCATGGTTGCCAAACTCAGAACGATAAGGAATGATGTAAGCTGGTGAGAACGCATATGTTATGGGATGGAAAGTAGTATGTTGCGAGTAAAATGTAATTCTCCGCGTAAACAGCACTCGGTGATATACCTGCAACTGTAAATTCGGCTTGTTCTTGTAATTGTTTACAGCGCCTATTAAACGGCACTGATTTGCATGAGAGCATTAAATTGACTCACCTAATTACCATCATGAATAAAGCTGATGACAGTATTCTTCACGTCGGCTACATTATGATTTGCATATTCGCATTCATTATTGGGAGCGGATTCATACCGGCAGCCTGTGAGTTTTAATCTTATACTTACTAATTGTTTTTACAACGGGTGGGCCATTATTAAAGTTAATTTGCTTATTTAATTTTCTTCCTGGATCCTTGTGAAGCGCACAAAAACCGCTGCATGAAGCAGCATAAATTAGAACACATCGGAAGATATTGCGACGCACTGCCGCCACTGCGTAAATATTTAGTATGATTTAATTTACCATTGAGCTGTAACAATTGTGGCTTATTGATATAATGATGATTCAGTAATTTTCTTAATTTTTCACTACAGAGTAGGACTATACCGCTACAGTATATGTAGGCATAAGAACCATATGCTTTCCAAATAACACTTTTTATTATTTTGGTTGTTTACATACAACTCTTCCATTTTCCTCTACAGTGGCCCAGGAAAGCAACCTCATATTGCCGGTATTCAGCGGTATAAACGCATATCACGAAGGAGATGAAGTCTTCAGCACGGTTGTTGAATCGGATGCCGTCCTTTTCGTCCCCTAGCACCGGTAAAGATGCACACCAATTCTGATCCTATGAAACTGACCATCGAGAAGCGCTACTTTCGCGAGATGCCAACATGGTATCGGCTGTTGCAGAATTTTAACGACGTGATGGGTTATGACATGTCTTGATCTGGATGGGCACGGTTGTGTCAAGGCAATTGCACGAGTACGCCCTTTCAGTTACATTTCGCTCATTCACAGAATCTCAAACCAGATTACGCATTAAAGCAAACAAACGGAATTATGGAGAAGGCATTGTGCTAGCAGGTTCTAGGTTAACCAAGTAAACCGCACATTAGTACTACCCTACTACAAATTTAATGCACAACCTTAAAGCTGGATCTATCCGAAAAAGGTCAACCCTCAAGAAGAGGTTTAGAGAACTCGGCACCTCGTTTTCGACCGACCATACACAGCCCGATATATATTAGGAATGTCTGGTTTGGCATGAAAATTTCCCTTTCTCGTAACGAAACCTGGACCGACCTATGTATAGTAGCCGATAGTAGTGCGTTCCTTAGATTATTCACGGGTTGTTTTACAATGTGTTACAACGAACAACCATAGAGCCTGCATATAAACCTTCGGCTAGCATATTTGCTGCTACACCTCACTTAACGTATGCCTACATTGTGCTTGTACATGCAGGACGAGTAACTTAATCGCTCTAGGTTAGTGTTGCCACAATTTCATTGGTTCTTCCCATAGCCGGCGCAATCGTCCTCCACATTTTCACCCAAACAATCAGCAGGTTCAACACGCCACAAGTAAACTTGAGATACCTAGAGGAGTACCCAGTTAATAACAAGTTCATTCAGTGCGTATGAAATTAGTATTAGTATTGTCAGGAAAATTCAAGGATGACTGAGTAGTAAGCAGAAGATTTGTTAGTTGTGCGATGGAAGCCGTCTACACTCCGTTGCTTGTAATGGCTTTGCTGGTTTTGGATGTACGCTCAACAGGTAAACGCTCTTGATTAGTGTCACAAACTTATTGCTTAACGTGTCGTTTCGCGCGCATGCCACACGTGTTCGCGGTCTGGTAAGGTGCGGTAACAGATTTTTATGGAAATCAACATAGAAGTGTCAAAAAATGAGTCAGTAGCAACTATACTGTGTTAGTTCTAACTTCTAAGATTATTTTTTAACAACGGTAAGTTAATTTGATTCTCACTTTGTCTTGTGGCTTGAACTGTGCAGGTGCTCAATACAATCGGTTGATTGTTGTCGAAACACCCAGAGTGTACCGTGATGGAGACGAAGTGATGACACTAACTGTAACATCCGATATTCTGACCATACTTCGCCCTAAAGCGGCAATCAGCCCCGCCCCCAATAACACCATCACCGTGAATTCCAGTTCTTTCAGAATGCCGTCATGGTATCGTCTTCTGGCCAGATCGGACGACGATTCACAGCTGCAGTGGCGGTGACACGTACCGGAAAAGACACGCAATAAGGAGAAAGCGTAAATTGTTTTTGACTGATTGATTGAACCAGCATCTTGATACAATAGTTAAAGGTATTATGCATTTGTCTGATCTGTTTTTTTTAAAATTACCCAGTATCTCTGGTACAATCGGTAAATCCCGTGAATTCTAGAAAAAAGATCACAAGGTGAAGGTCAATAGGAAGGGCATTTTGTGAGCTGTAGCAACGTTATGTAATTCCAGATTTACCAGACAGCCTAACCGCCTAGGGCTAGAGGTGCAGCGCGCACGTTATGAATTCACATTACTTATGGTTAGTAACTATCGGTATTCTACACATAGCCATCCCTGGGCTCCAGTAGTGGAGAAAAAATTACATATAACTGTATAAGCGGTAATTCTTTCTTTACCACAGGTGCCGTATCTCTCGAAACCGACTCTAATTATACATATTGTGAGAGGATATCATAATACTGCAATATGAATATTGCAGTATCAAATTGTGCAATGTCGGAGTACCATGTGCGCATTAGCAAATATGCTCCAGGTACGCTATAATTGTTTCATGAAAACGCGAAACCTTTCCGGAGAGATAACTATATACCGCAATAACAATTAAATTATTAAGCCAACCTTAAGCTATAAAATTCCAGTAATACTAGTATAATACTGGTAATTCTTACAATGCATCATACAGAAATACCGCGCAAATCAGATATACAAAGATCCTAAGTAGTTATTCATTACATGTCACCTCGCGCTGGAGAGCTTTTCTGATGAGCGACAAGCCTGAAGCAGTATTAGAGTTATAAGCAGTTAGCAAAACACCTAATCTTGATTAACGCCCGTCGCATGGTTAACCAGTAGTATAATGCCGATACGACCACTACCTTTTGAAAAGGTCAACGGCAAGCCGACAGTAGGGTTTACCAATAATTTTAGACTGAGAGCAACGGACACGCCTATATGACGCCGAATGTATCTGGATCTGTACGTACACGCTAACGGGAACACATTTTTTTATTATTTTTTTAATTTCCAAAAACATTTTGGAAAGTATCGGCAGCTCAGTAGGTAAGTAAATTATTAACGCCATGTATCTGTACCTAAGCTTATCATGCGAACAATTTCAGTCCATCTGCAAGTACATTATTATCGCGAATTTTAACGCTCGTGACACTGTCACGTAATACACTTGCTCATTAGGATATTACGTAATTATAACAAAATTTTCTTACGTTGTTAACGCGTGTTGAAGAGACGTATACAATAATGTTTCCAGTATGTTCCCTTCAGGAAGTTTCCGATATACATTTCCGTCAGGACAAAAATTGCCACCACCTACAGTAGTTGCTGTTGCAATGGTAAAACCAGTAATCCTGCGAGATAATTACCCATGACGCTTGTATTTCTTAAGCGTATTAAATACTGCCGTGGAAAGACAGTATTCACATGAATAATCAATTAAATCTGCTTTGCTGTACCCGGTTTCTTCCGTCATCTCTGTGGGAGACTGCGGAAGCCAGGCTGTTGCGTTACATCCGTTTTCTTAGGGTTGCAGGAAACCCTCTTTCGCTTCCGCCCTTTAATAAGAAATATTAAGTATTTACACCGTTATTAATTTTGCACTGGCTTGTTGGTGTATTACCAGACTTTCCACTTCTATCTGCTTGCTGTGCTAGTAAAGACAGAGCCTTATTATACCACCCCGAAACTGGTATTACAATAAACTCTTAACTTCTCAGGAGGTCAGAGGCGCAATTAAACCGTTATGAATGCTACACATGAGAATGGAAGTTTCATTACAGATCAGTTCCCCCATGCAAACTGGACGCCCTTGCTGGTGATAAAAACCGGCGTTATGCTGCTCTCCATCTGCCTTAACGTCGGAGTCGGATTCTACCATTTAACATCACCATCGCAGGTCACTCCGTTCAGTGTTTACCTGGTCGGTCTGTTTATCATGAATGTCATTTACTGTTCCATGTGCACGCCACTGGAAATCGCCAGTGAACTGTACGGCGATTGGTGGATGGGACATTGGGCGTGTAATTTCTACAACTATTTCGAATTTGTCATCAGTCTCGGACCAGTGATGTTACATGCGCTGATTGCTGTCAGCCGAATCTGGGCGGTCGCCTATCCGGTATCTTATAGAGAGAAGCACACATACAAAATTGCCATTCTGCTATCGGCATTAGGATTCGGCTATGCACATATTGTGGATGTACCTGGTTATGTCATTGATATGCTGTATTATCATCTTCCCGAGAAGGAATACGGCTGCCGATTGCATACGGCGGTGATGCGAGAATGGAGTCGTGCGGAAAGCGTCATGTGTCGACTGTCTCCTCTGCTGTTGATTATGCTCGCGTATGTTTATGTGACCGCGGCCATATGGCGGAGAAAGCGCAGACGAACAGCAGCGACCTACGCGCGTAACTACGAACTGAACACGCTTCCTGTGAACTCTACGGAAACAGCCGTAGTACAAGAGGCACAAAGTGTCACAACTGTGTGTAAGCACCCGGTGAAGGAAGTAAAGGCTTCGTTGATACTAACGCTAACGGCAATCAGCGTGATGATTTGCTGGTTGCCAGCTGATGCCATGTTTGTGGCTTATTTGTTCTTTGGAATTCCCTTCTCTACAACTACATTTACTGTCGTTATGCTCCTGTACTCTATCCAGGGCGTGTTTGATCCGCTGATGCTGCTTTTCAGTCTGAGAAGAATTGCTGATTAGGACGGATGTACGAGTGTTTTGGATCGTGAATTATGGCCCAGCCTCACCAATATGACTACGGCATAGTTAATTCATGTTTGCAGGATACGCACACAGCCTTTGTAAAAATTTGTTAAAGTACACTTTACAAGATCACATGGTTGTATGAGAGCCGTGGTGACCCGCCATTTCGTTGACGAAAATTCGTCGACCGTCACTACGTCGAATGGACACAATGTCGACCCGTCACGACGTCGAACTAACGCTTAACTAAACCATTTCAGTTTTCTTAGGTTTTTTAGGTTTCTTAGGTTTCTTAGGTTTTCCTAGGTTTCTTAGGTTTCTTAGGTTTCTTAGGTTTCTTAGGTTTCTTAGGTTTCTTAGGTTTCTTAGGTTTCTTAGGTTTTTAGGTTTCTTAGGTTTCTTAGGTTTCTTAGGTTTCTTAGGTTTTCTTAGGTTTCTTAGGTTTCTTAGGTTTCTTAGGTTTCTTAGGTTTCTTAGGTTTCTTAGGTTTCTTAAGTTTCTTAGGTTTCTTGTGTCGGTCGACGAAGTGTTTGTCGACGAAATGTCGGGGAGCCGTTGTATGAAACGGGATGGATCGAGTTACCCATCTACGAAATTGCCTGACACTCGGTACATCCCAAGCTGACACAGTTCCACGCTCTATGAGGACCTGCACGCTTACTGTACCTTTGACCTTCCGTATTTTCAAGCCTGACCGTGAGTGTGAGTGAATATCTCTGGCAGTTTGCTGAATTTTATAAAATCTTATGTACGATCTGTACCGCTCTGTAAAATCTGTATCGCACCTACTGCTCTGTGAGGTTTCTTTATCCGAAACCGCATTTACAAGGGTTGATGCAGGACTTGTAACGTTGTAAGTGTATGCTTTTTCTAGGCTTACGAATTCGTTCTTACTGTTTTGCAGTATCTTTTTAATAACGATTATTTTTCTAAGCGCTAATGGCGCGGTTATTAAGTTTTGTTATACGAATTAACTTTCGCAGATCATCTCTTTTTAGCAGATACATATTATAAGTTTTTGTAATGTATAACATTCTTCGACATTTATTGCAGATAATTAATCACCGCGTAGAAAGACCAAATACTGGTATGGGATTTGAAAGATGTATTAAAACGGCCACCACATCACGCAGTTTTGTTTCGTGAAAACGCACTACAGTATATAAACAAACTTAGCTAATTCGACCGGTCAAAACACCAAAGCCAGTAATTACCGGTAAGGGTTTGTATCTTGTAATGAACTTAGCGCTGTAGAAAACGTCCGAGCGACGTCTTTAACGGTCGCCACACAGGACATGGTCCAGTTAGCAGTCGTAAAGTCCTTCTGGCCAAGCAGCGTCTGTAGAATAGTTAATCCATGGTAAAAGTCGATCAGGTTCTGCAGCCATTTCTCAGTATTCCCGGCCGATGCGTGGTTCTTCCCCTCCACTAAAGTAACTTGCAGTGTCAGTCCCAGCTCGTTGAGAATATACTGATATTTTGCTGCAATTAGTTTGCGTATTGTTACCGCTCAGTGCCTAATATTAGTAAAACGAGAGAAGCGGTGCTGAAATGACGTAACGTTATACCTTCGCCTTCTAAGTGGTCGCAGCACGTGAACGGCGATGTGCAATTCCAGCCAATAATCGGATTTATGGAGGCAGACTGCAGAATGGTGTCGATGGCGTTAACGATGTTGAGAGCGACATCCGGACAGTTTCCCGGTGTGATAGACAGATTCCCGGCGGCAACGGCAACCACAAGGCTACTGCCCTGCTGTAACTGCAGTATACGGCTCAGATAGACCCCGGTGCTGTTACCAATGGTGGTGTTGGGATGCGCTGCAGCCACAACAGATAGCGCCTGAATCCAGGTGGCATAGTCTTTCTGCTCTTGCTTGTACAGCGCTACAAAGCGGTACCAAGAACTCAGTTACGCAAATTGTTATCGATAGTTCGGTTCCACCTTCTTGGTATCGCGTTTAAAGATTGCTGTTGTATTAAAAATACTATTATAAGAAATAAATAAAACCGTATGTGCTGAATCGCTGATCACCTTCTCCAGTCAGATCGGAGTGGTTGGGCGTTGTCGGAAAGCAGCTGGGTGGTGGAGAGGTATTGTTCTGAGCTCGGATTGTCAGAAGGAGAGTGCCATAACACACGACCATCCATATCACGAATTTATCCATCTACAGTTAATATTAAATTTCTTTTAATCGAAATAACTGATGTGTCTGCCTAGTAAAAACCTGTACGTGCATGTAAAATATACGGTTTCAAGGCTTGTTGTCGGTTTTGCGGCAAACAATTTCAACCATGTTGTAAAACAATGACTGTAGTATACGATATATACAGAAAACGCATGGTTTCTGAAGGTACATGCATACAGTATCATTCGATACGAGTGCACGGATGACGTACCTACCCGCAAAATCGCTACAATCGAGCGCTCAGATCATCCTAGCGGCTAGCCACTGCTTTCGCTGTAACATGTATCTCCAGCGCGGCAATGGTCGCAATTCGCGGCAAGATGTATCAGCGACTGACTGTACGTTACAGCTGTTTTTTAAGCAATAAGGCGCGATTCAAGTATTACGTAACGCTAAGGGGTGGGGGGGTGGTCATGGGTTTTTGTTACGCCTTGTTACATGGGGTAGGGGGTCCAAAAATTTTTGTTACTTGCGGGCCGACACCCCATAAAAAAACGAAAAAAATTAATATATTTTAATTGAAATTTAATAGGGGGGTGGTCGGGCTCTCTGTTACGTATGCAGTTAGGGGGTCGAAAATTTTGTTATGCGGTGTTACAAGGGGTGGGGGGTGGTCCAAAATCACGAAAAATCGCGTTACGTAATACTTGAATCGCGCCTAACAGAAAACTCAATGAGGTTAGTTGGTTATTTTTGTCCTAATTATAGTTATTAAGTGCAATGCGCTTTGGATCGGAGCTAATATTCACCGTATAATATCTAGTTTCGATGAATTTTATCGATCAGACATGAATGAATATATTACAAACGCTACTCGTTTTTTTCTGACATACAGAGTAGTAAGCACATACTAATACTTCATGCCAGATTTAACAGAACTTCTTAAAGCCACAACGGTAGCAAACTCAGCGGATCGTTCTTGGTTGATAGCCGGGAGCTGTTTATCTTTCGCAAGGAATTTGTTGAATATTTTGCATATGCTTCTTAATCTGCGACGGTACTCCGCGTTCATCATCAGAAAAATCAGCTATAAGAAGCCCAGGTTGCAGATTAATAATATTTACCGTATTTATTATTCTTGATCATCAAATATTGTAGCAAAGCAGTGTTCATACATACCGATACAATATGAATTAATGAATATGAATTAATGAATTACAATATTGACTAGCGAAAATGACGATTTTATCGAACCCGCAATCACTTGAAATAGAAGTAACTCAACCTACCGGAATTGTAGCATATCCAACCAGGAACACAGCTCGAATAATTAGTGATAACAGCGGAAGTTTGACATAAGCAACGGGATACAAGCTCAAAGCAATCGGCGCCGGCATTAACGTGGCCACATACCACAGATACGACACAAAGAGAATCTTGGCGCTTCGGTATCGCCGCTCAAATAACCTTCGCGTCTGGACATTATCTCCTTTTTTAACCACTGTTTTCTGCTCCGCACGGATTTGCCTCTGATCCAGGCGGTTTTTAACGGCTACTCCGATAAAAATCCCCAAGTACAATAATCCCAAAATAGTCAGCGGCAGCGTGACATTGACGTTGGTGACAATGGCGAAATTCACATCCGGTTTGGTAATTCCGCACGTCCCCCATGGCGCCGTGACCCCGTAGGTACCGGCACGACCGTAAACAATCTGCGTGGAGCAGCCGAAACACACTGCCCAGATGCTCAGAATCATCACAACAATCACTTTATTCTGGATCAAGACTGAATATTTCATGGGGAAGAATATGGCAATGAATCGGTTAATGCCGATTAACAGCGATGACCAGTTGACCGCGTTAATACAGGTGTAGTACATCCACGTTGTATAGACACAGAAAGGTGTACTTAGTGGATAATAAGGTGCGTAGCAGTAGGTGGAGACGGTGATAAGGAAGAGATGGACGGCACAGTGCGAGGTGAGGACTGCCAGGAGGTGGGCGATCAGAATCCCGGAACCGATGCGTAATTTGGCTGTTGAGAGAATGATGGACATGACCAGCAGATTGAGAATGGTGCCACCGATGCAGAAGGTCATCATGGCCCCGAACCACACCGCCAGACCGACACGGTAGGTGGTGTATAAGGACGGTGTTGCGGTCGTATTGAACGTGGTGAGATTGGAGGAATTCATACTGGAAAGATGTGGATTCCACTCACAATTTTACGAAAAAATTGCTGCTTTCATGCTACACTTTCCTTGTTCTACACATTCATTTAATATGCCTATAAATTGCGCTGAATAATTTCTCGGAATGAAAACTGCCAACAAACTGTAAAATAGGCAAAATATATTATTGAGACTTATATAAATGACGGCAGTATAAAGAATTGAAGAAATAACTGAAAATAAATTCAGCGGAGAAAGTGTATAACGGCATACGGTAAAAATGCCCCATCATAGCTAAATTTAACAATTTGTCGGATTCTCAGCCGTACAGTCTGTACACTGGTGCGACATTTCACCTTTTACGCGATTACGGAGACTCTCAGCGACAACCAGTATACTGTAAGTGGTTTCATTTTGGTATGCTCGCGATTGTCCTACGGCAAAGATCCTCCTTTCGCTTTCATTTCCAAAGGGAAAACAGTTTAATCTTTGATTTTAAGCTATAATCAATAGAAAACATCTTGAGCGAACAGTGTGACGTCATCCTCCTCCTATGCGCTTGCCGGGTTCAAACAATATTAGGTAACAGAAACTGTCAGAAAGGATGGTACCGTATCGTATAACACCACTGGAGTGTGTGATGTTTTGCATAATCTACACAAGACGGTATGCAGCCAATTCCGCTGGCAAACGCAGAGTAAACATCCGCACAGCTCTCGATAAATCAAAGCAGGCTCCCCAGTGATTTATTTAGTAAATATTAAGTCGGCGGCGAAAGATTATCCAATGCTGGACATTTGTGCAACACTCCTTTTCTTTAACGCAGCAACCGGCATCGTTTAAATGAATTTTTTATAAATTTTTCACCATGATAATGTCGTGTTACATGATCGATACGTCGAGTAACCACTTCCCTGCCACGCTGAGCGGTATGAGCACTCTTCTCTCTCAAACTGGTATGGCGAAAACAACTTGGAGGAACTATGGAGATAAGAACCGGAACACAGGAACCAGGAATCCCTATCAGGAGCCCTGCGAGCCACACGAACAGACGAACGAATACCTTACTTCTCACTTCTGGTCTCGGGTAATACAAGGATCAGATCAAGGTGAAAGTCAATTGTGACGCGAGTATACTGCGGCTGACTACGCTATAATCCGAAAGGTCGATTATGAACGCCAGTCGTAGCCTTTAGAACATACTGCCCTTTATTTTAATTCACAAGTATTTCCTCGACACATAGGAGTCAGAAAAGTAAGAATGTCAGAAATCGAGAGACTAATTCCTGACTGCCTCCGATATTAGGCATCACTCGAGCTTATATAGACTAGTAGAAGTACACGGCATACATCGCTAGGGATTTATCGTACGACCAATCACAGGTAGAGGGATGACTAGATAATAACATGGCGGCTCGTATTTACAGGTGAAAGGCGGACATCTTAGAGGCATCTGGACGTACGATGTGGGTACATCCTCCTACCCACGTCAATAAACAGTGAATCGAAATGAAATTAAACGCAGTTTGCATTAAACGCATTTTTACCGCAGGTCTGCATCGTGATTTAGCGTTTTTTTTACAACGGCATTATCTGGTTTTATTTATCAAATTGTCTAGGGTATAGACAGTAAGTCTACTCGTAGAGTGTTGAGAAGGCCGGAAATGAACTTGGTGCGTGTGCGGATCGCCAGGATCCCCGACAAAAGCGGAGGCTTTGTAAATCAGAAGCCACGAAGTATGACCATGAATTAGTAACGTTTCTAGTGTCTCCTCTAACGGTCGACAGTCAAAACCTTCATATATTGCTGAGCTGATAATTATTGTATTAGATTCTTCTAACCAGAATAATCGATTTTTTTGTTATTTTGATCGATATGTATAATACGTACAGTACTAATCGATATCGATCCAGGGAAGTTATCTAAGCCGGCCCAGAAAGACGATTTACGCTTAACGGATGCTTATACAGATCAGCCCAACAGACGATGGTTTTTTTAAATTTTTCTCTAATCAAGCGAAGGACCATAAAGTGTTTCAAATAGTGCAACATAATTTCCTACCAGTTCAGATTCGGATTTTGCTTTTCCGTTGCAACAAAGATTTTTGTCGGCATTCTGGTGCCGCTTAGGTATAGTTATTCTTCAGTTAAGTTCTTTATGAGTAAGGCATAATTTACGTCAGTCTCTTTCATAAAATCTGGATCATCACATTCAACTGACTCTTTGCTGCAAAATAAAAATTATCCAGCGTTAAACAAGGAAACAGAATAAGACTGGAGAGATATCTACAGTAGCTAGGTTTAAGGCTCTGTGTTTACCTCAGTTTCAGGACTTCCCTCTGAATTGTGTCAACGGCAGTCAAATCGCACATTAGTCTAGCCAAAGATGTCTTACGAATCTGGGCTAATTGAGCTACAAAAACATACCAAAAGTTACGCATATACTCGCACAACGGAAACATTCTAACTTGTCGCCGGTATTGTACTACGCCTGTACTTACTTACCTCCCGTAAATTGTGATTTTCCATTGACGGTATTTTCAAACTCATACCAGAATCTGTCACCAAATTTGGTATGCTGAAACTGCTTCGCTATGATGCAGGAAAATGTTGGTCCGAGCAGTCCACCATATTCTGGATCAGGCTTCTCAGAAATGCCTCCAGCAAAAAGGTCCTAAACAGCATCGAAGTTTGCTAGAACCCCACCTGGCCCAACGGTTTCATACACACCGATACAACTATTTGCTTACCACATCCATTGGAGAAATGTACAGAGACTTTATAGTTTTCAGTGAATCTCCGTTAAAGACGCCATCCCACACCGGAGAATCCCATGAAGGATCCACGCTGATATCTCCCAAACAGTATGAGCGGAGATCGTAGTACGTTCCTATGCCTAAAAGAATTTCCACTACTCAGTCGATTCTCTGGACAAGTCCATGCTGTAACCGACTCACCATGATCGCGCCCGCGTTGGATATTCGTCGCAAATAGATCTCCACCGTATGGCGCACTAGGCTTCTTGAACAGTTTATTCTGCACTTCGCCGGTTATCTGCTGATCCATTTTCAAAGCTGCATGCGTACAGTGACCTTTCAGCAGAGCGCCAACGTCGTCGCTGTCGGATATGGCTAAACCGATGTTATTTAAGTTGTCGGACAATGGGTCGCTGCTGACATCGCCCGATGAGCTTTGTTTGTAGATATTATCGTGCAGCAGTGAGTGTCCAAATCTACAAAGTTGAGTCATCATCACTGAACTGGAAAACGAGGGCGATGTGCAACAGTTACACGTTTACCGGCCCGCGGCAGTTGAATATTCCAGGATAACCTTGCCAAATCCGGGATGATACTGTTTTGCCGGAAGGTAATGAGTTCCGTTTAATACTGACAGCTCGTATAAGGCCATTCGACGTTTTCCCAGGATTAGCGGAAGGAATTCATTAAACACAATATGCTGGTATTGTGCGGTGACAATTCGCCGCGCTGCCTAAAATTGCGCTTTTTAAAACTCGCATTAGACTGTTGCGCTATTTAGCATTAGGCTGTTAACCTGTATTTACAGCTTTTTACCTGAAACACCTTTTCATCATCAAAATCTGCATACTGCTCCGAAATAAGATCTGCGATTCTGTTATGATGACGTATCCACAGCTGCAACGGCCATAGTCGTTTAACGAGTTTTATGTTTACGTAATTTAGATTTGTATCGTCTACAAGTTGAATAAGAATATTCTGTGTAAGAAATGGAAAGTTGAAGCGTTACAGTGTGCATCGCGGAAAGCGCTGGTTGTTCCCCGGCTCGCGGGTCTCCTGCCATAACACAGCACTGGCCGTCCTCGCACGGGGCGTTGGTGGTGTGGGGGTTTTCCTGGCAGGCGTCGTCGTCCTGCATGGGCAGAAACGTGTCGGGTGTATCCTTGAGAGACCGCCGCTTGCGACTAGCATCGTACGGATAGCTAATCAGCATCTCTCCACTGTCAAACTTTCGCAACATGGTCGATTCCTTGCCACCGGAACCATAGATATTGGATCCGTCCAGCCAGTGGGAATTTTGATTTATTTGTAAACGCACGCCCAGACCTGAACCGAAATACGCGGGGTTACTAAGAATGTGTTACGCATTGTCTTTTAATAATTTAATTTTAGAGCGGTACCTACCAGAAATACGAAGCGACACTTTTCTGACTGTACATATTATGAAATATGATTTTGTAATAAACTTCTGTCACTGATCAGAAGATTGTTTACCGCATGCAGGATCAGTTGTAGTTCCGACTGATCGAGCAAAATTCAGGCATGTCACACCATAATCCGAATAAAATGGATCATAATCGGAAACCGCAATGGCCAGACACTCCCGAGACGTATGGAACGGACAGCATAATGGCAATGCCGGCTTGCCGTAGTTTTTTCGCATAAACATCGGTGCTGCATAACAAATCTATGTAGTGTCGGAATACTTTTCATTCAGTTGCAAAGAAATCACTATACTTCTATACATAATAGGTATCATTTACTTAGGGTCAAATCATGGTCAAGAAACTGTCCGAATGTTGTCAGCAGCAGCGAGATGGTTTTGTCGGCTGTCCGCACCGACTGGCTCAGTGTGCTGCTAACGGCCCGCGCACTGGGCAGCGGTGAGCATTTGCTGGTTTCTCGGAGACTGTACCGTCTGGCCAAGTCGCAGCCTGGGATAAAGAGATAAGTTACACTAACTTTAGTGAACTAAGTAGTGTTCCACAAAGTATAAGGAACGACAAGTCTATGCTCCGTTTCTGGTTAGTTGTTACCGTCTGCATATCTGTTAGCGACCAATCGCTGCTGTGTCGTGCCGGCCATTCCCAGATTCGGCACGCCCAGATCATTGCACGATCCGTCTTCATTGCGGAAAGCTTTAGTTTTGCTGCATTTCGCATTGGGGTGTGCTTCGATAGCGGGGCAAACTTTACTGGGTTTGCAGAACCCGGCCAGCGGTATGCAGTGACCCTTTTCGTCCGTTGTTAGCGTATTCCCGTTAGCAAGCCTAAACAAATAAATCGCCCTCGAATAACAGCAAGCCCAGAAAAGATGACGACAAAATGTAATAAGACAGTTTCATCTTCGTACCAGTTTCGTGTAGTTTCCAACGCGAAACTGTTCCGGAGGCCGGTCAGGGACGTTTTCATGCTCTCTTCATTTGGTTTACTGAAGGCCGGAAGCATGCTAGCTAAAAATTAAATATTGGAAAAAGAAATTACATTTATTGACCCTTGCGTTTAATATAAAGCAGACCAATCGAAAATTTTTGCTTAGCTGTTATCCGTTCGTTTCTTCAGACCGCGATTTGGTCATTACAGTTCACAGCTTGATCTAACGCTTTGTACAACAAAAACTTCTTACATGCGTTAATGGGTGGACCACCATTTAACTCTTCATACGCATCTTTATATGAAATTTGCAGAGCCGATAGCATCATCTGCTGATCGGGAATACCGTTGGCAGCAAAATTGACCGTATAATCCGGAACTGGAGCGATTCGTGCCTGCTTCAGCTCCGCATGGGCGCGTGTGCCAGCCAATAAACCGCAAAACAATACGACAACAAGGCGATCCATGATTAGCAGGAAAAATAAATATTAGTATAAAGAAGCCACAAAGCTGTGATAGTACTGTAAACACGAAAACGGATGGCAGAATCCCATCCGTCAGTTTACTGTGCTAGTAAACAACTGGACGTTAACAAAATCAAGTTTTCTTGTGGACTCTGACAAAAATATCCCAGATAAGAGTGATTTATCGTTTTGCTAATCGGTAACCGATTTGGTGATTTTGTTTCTTTTATTTTAATGTGACAATAGTGGCCAATCTTATCAAGCCGGTCAGAAACTGACTGGAGCTCATTAATATGTTGAACGTGACGAAGCACGCTGTTATTGAATTTTCGATACTAATGTTCGTTAGCCGGGTGATGTTGTCCTAAGCAGCCACTGACTGGTTTTTGATGGGTTTTTGACTGGTTTTCGTTCAAAAAGAGTTTTGTTATTTACTTTTACTCTGGCTTAATAAGAATATGAACCGAAAAAACAATTATTAGAAACCAAAAAAGAAAAAAAGTTGACGACGGTGGGATTTGAACCCACGCCTACCGAAGTAGACTGGTACCTGAAACCAGCGCCTTAGACCGCTCGGCCACATCGTCTTAACTGATGTTCGATTGCCTATTGAACAAACAAGCTGTGGCAATCGGTGATTCAGCTGTTTATCAGTGTATTCGTGCTCTTACCCCCGTCGCGCTAACTTACGCAATGAGTACTGCACTGCCGCAGATTACCCAGTTTATTTTAAACTCTGCAGAAGCGTCGTAGTGTACAAACTACTGTATCACACTACGAAGTTATGAAATCTCTAATAATTGTTATAAACCTGTATAAAGTACGTACAAAATACCAAAATTAATAATAAATATAGTTAGCTGCATAAATACTGCGGGTAATAACAACACACCCGATTATACATTACCAAGCAACACGGCGCTAGCTAGAAGTACATAAAATTCTATGCATAGTCAACTCGTAAGATGTTTATTCACCGAAGTAATGTAGCATTCATGCGTAAAAAGGCCAGCTTTCGCATGTTATGTCCTTTACGCATTCAACAAATGTAACTCAATTAATCTCAATAAAACATTTCATTTGGCTGGTTTTTGGCATGAACATGTTTTGAAATTGTAAAAATTTCTTGTGTGCACGGGAAAGTTGGTGGCTGTGGAGACCGGAAGTGGGATATGGAATGGTACAGCTGCACAAATCTTGATCGATAATCATTGCTTAAAGCCAGATAAATAAACTGTAAACACAAAACGTTATTGCACACTGCATACCTAGTACAAGTAGAGATACTGTATTCGGTGTGCATGCTACAGAAATGAGAAAGTATGTACCGGTATGGTTGTGTATCCGCACAATAAAAGCACCCTCAGGAACAGCTGCAGCAGCGGTGATGAGCTGTACACGTGGGGGAAGATACTGGAGGCAATGGGAGCCGGCATAAAGCACACGGAATACCACAGATATGACACCGACAACATCTTGACACTGCGGTACCGCTTCTGCACCAAACTATTTCGCCGTTCAATGGCCCTTTCCACGACATGCCGAATCTTCCGCCGACGCAGAAGCGCGCGCCATCCTACCGTCGCAAAAATTGCCACGTACATCACGCCTTCGAGAGCCGTGGGGAAGGTCACACAGATCACCGTGATCATCGGATAGATCATGGAATTCCTAATCACGGTGATGCCACAGGCGCCCCAGGGGCGGGTCGCTTCGAAGCGCCCTCCATGATTAAAAAACACTAAAAAGTTGCAGCATAACACCACCGTCCAGCTCAACGCAATCAGCGAGAATCCCACTTTGTACGAGGCGAAATGGGCGTTGTACTTGTACGGATACACAATCGCCACAAAGCGATTAATACTGATTAACATGGCCGTCCAATTAACGACGTACAGGGTGGAGAAGTAGAACAGTACTGTTACCCGGCAGAAGGTTATGCCTAGTGGCTGCTTAGGAGCCATATAGTACGTTGTCACAGTTAAAAGCGGAAGATGGACAGCGCATAACGTGGCACTGACCAATAGTAAATGAGCGATTAAAACGCCGCATCCTGAGCGTAATTTCTCCGACGACAGAATGGTGATAGTTAGAGTGATGTTAGCTACGGCACCGACAGCGCTTAGTCCCATCATAACAGCGAACCACAACGTGACAAAGAAATGGTACTCAATCCACATGGAGCGGTCATATAACGTCAGATTAGAATTATTTTGCCCGATCTCCATTATTTGGCTCTTCGTCAAATATCCAGGAAATTAATATCGCAGGAATAAATTTCATGTTCTTGTGAATCGACGAAGGCAAAAGCGCAGTGTACAGATATACTGACAACGGCGACTTTTTGAATACCGTACTGACGTACTGAAAACCAAAATCCAGTAGACCAGTACAGCATTTCAATTTTTCTTGGACTGGGTTGCCTATATGTGCTCGCATCAAGGATTTGGGATTAAGCACGTTCTTATTGTTCCCGATTTACTTTTTGTTTATGACATGTAAGTAGTTTTCGTGCCGGCAACCGTGTATTCAAATACAATCAGACACGAGCGCAATGTCGTTTTCATCTTGTCCATACAAGCGCGAAGGCCGCCAGAGAGCGTCCGCAGAATTAATCAGCTGTACACATTAATCTGGATGGTTCGTCGTCTACGCACATCTGTACCTTTAAATAATATAATATGGAACAGCGGTACACCAGTACAAGTACTCTGTACGTACCTGCCACCTACAAACTGTAGCTTAAAAAGAAACAAACCCGAAAGCGCAACGCGAAAGAAAACTGGCGCGCGTCATATCAGCTTATACTTTTGCTCTGATAAAGCAATGCGTGTCTGAACTAATTGGATTTTGTATTCATCCGGTGTACAATGGCGAATCCTTTGAATCGATGATTTCCGAACGGCAGTGATCAGATGTCACCAACTGAACGCCTAGAACAACACATCGATCTCATCAGTTAACGAGTATTTCTTAGGTACATCGGCAACATACTTTTACTTTATGTATTGACATCTGTCGAGATATCGTATAAACTGTCATACTACAACAATGCTTTCCTGCTCTCGAGTGAGTCAAGTCACAACTACGCAATCCAGTTTTTTCCAAATAGTTATGGTATTTGTACAAACCTGCGCACTGTAGTTCGCATATGTTTCTGTGGGTTTTCCCATCGCTTCCGCATACCGGATCGTATTGGTGTGAGCAGGCACACGCTGGACCAATTCTCCTTTGAGTACACTCGCCAGAATACGCTATTTTGGTTCCTATGAAACAGATCCAGTTGTACTAGGCACCACTTATTGCTGTAGTCAGAAATCGGCACTGCCTCAGAATTTCTGTATTGATCTGTGGTAGATGCGATGGTGTCACGATACTTGCCTCGACATTCCAAAGCCGAACAGTTATTTCGGTAGGTTTTGCCGTCCGTGCCACATACCGGTTCCAGTTTCATGGGACAGCCACAGGTTGGACTTTCGGTAGCATTTGGATCCAGAGCGGATTGCTCAGCACAGACACGAGCACTATGTTGCACAACTACGAACAGCCATCAGTGGTGCTTTCATCGAATAGACAGAGATGTGGTACACCAACGCAAAAGTGATATCCCTACATTTTCCGATTTTCATTAAAAGAAACCTTTGCCATGCCATGAGGCTTCGGCAAAATGTTTTAACTGGTACGATCGAATATTCGTTTCTCTACACAACATGCATCGTTTAATGCGTCTTACAAAAAACTTTCATTAATCCTGTTTTCTCTGCTCTCACCAAGCGTGATACCAAATGCTGCAAAGTACCTGTTGATATGTAAAGTGCATGTAGTATTACGCTACCACCCGACAGAAGAATAAGGTTTTTAGACATTTTAGAAATCGTTGACTGAGTATAAAAGCGTTGAAGCAGTGGAAATAAAGGAATACATCAAACGTACAATGTTACATGTACAGTCTGTATAACGTGATACTGCGGGAATAGTTTCTTTCGGCCTCTGATAAATTTACTAGCGCATACGAGCACTATTGATTTTTCGATTGCTACTACAGATAAAATGGTTTCCGAGGAAAAGCCGCATTTCCGCTAATGTATAAACTGTTATGCTATATCAACGCTTTACAAGTTAGCCAGCTGTCGCTACCAAAAAAGGTTTTTGCGTTGGGTGTAGACCGGTAAGTACACTTCTCTCATCGGCAACGACCATGAAATAAATGTGTAAAGTAGAAGACTAACGATGCCCGCAACCTCTAACAACACCAAGATCGCTTTATACTTAAGTTCATGGCTCAAAAGATTCGTTATACGATTAATATGTCGACAAACAGCTGTCGAAGTTCGAACTGCCATAACACCAAATCAGAGTCTAAAAACATTACAGCTTAACTGCGTATGTACGTCGCGGAAAACGGCGACAAACCTCCATATTTTGTCTAAACTTGTAAATTTATGTTTTACTTGATTACAAAAATCCAAGTAAAAAACTTGTAAAACAAGTAAAACCGTTTTTTACTTGTTATAAGTTAGTGTTTTGCTCTCGGCGAAATAATATCGCAAATTCACGAAGACTTTATTTTTATTATGACCAAAATTCCGTTTGTTGTCTGGAATCCATGGAATGTAATCAGTAATGTATAATGCAATGGCACGACGTGTAATTGCATTAATATTGATTTGTCTGGCTCATTGGTTAATTAAGGTTTCTTGAATCTGTGCTTCGATCTACACAAACAACTAAGACAACAGGTGACGTTCATCCAGGAACGAGGCGCATTGGCAGGAGCATGCTATAGTAATGCGAGTAGTCCAATCAGTTTCGGGTTTCACCTTTGCGTACCTAGTACAGTGACTGAAAATTCACGTGCATGTAATTACCTAAATGCAATTAACTGACGCTTTGTGCCTTGTAACACTACTCGGTAAATTATACGAAAATATCGTTGTGCTATACCATAGTGTGTTAATGCTTTTGAAGTTTTATGGTAAGCCAGTTATCCCAAGCCCCTTCTTCATGACACAATCCTCGAACCCGGACTAGTCGAATCAGCACGACAGCCTAACCGAAAGCGTTTGTTTGTGATTTTACGTAATTATTTTCCATCAAGATATTTAGAGACCCTTATAATTCTAATAATAACTTGCAAGCGCTATGAATTGTTCGAATATCACCAAATCAGCTGTTCCACTCTGGCAATCGTATGCCCCCTGGTTCAGCATGTGGTTCAATATAATGATGGTGATTAATGTTTTCGGAGTGTTGTCCAACAGTCTGGTTATCCATATCAGTTTATCATACACACGACAACGTTCTGGTTGCAGCCGATAAGACGGCTGTGCTGTGGATGATCCTGATTGGCTGGTCCATCGCGTTAGTCTGCAATTCGCTGGTGACCGCCGGGATTGGTGGTTCGTACGAGGCCACGGAGCCCTGGGGCACGTGTGGAGCAAAGGTCACCAGTGCCGTGGTGCAGCCGCTCATTGTCTTCATCAGCGTGGTGTTTCCTCTGGCTCTCGAAGGTTCCATTTATCTATGCATTTTTACTACGATTTTACTACGTAAATTTGTTGCCGGGAAGAATCTGGTTGCCCCGTCGCATGCTGCAACTTCCCAGCCAGGATCGCAACAGCGGCAGAAAAGACTTAAAGTTGCCAGAATGTTGTTTTGCTCGAATATCTGGTATATGGCCTGCTTTCTTCCGGCGCCCATGACCTCCGGTTTGAATCCGCAGCTGTATAATATGGCGCCGTTGATGCAGCTCTATTTTCGGAGTTTGTTAGCTGTTGGCTATGCCACTGTGCCGGTATGTGTTTTTTGTTGTATGTACTTATATGCATCATAAAATTAAATACAGTCCGGGTAGACGGTAAAACTAACCAACCGATTCTTAAAGTTTCACTTATTTAATTTGCTATAGGTAATCTACCTGGTCATGAATAATGATTACCGGAATGGATTATACGAAATCTGGAGGAGCAGCAAAGGCATGCGGTGTTACAAATTTATGGGATGCAAAAAGGCTGCCATAAGAGCCCCAACTGAAAACCGTTAATTGAGGAAACAGAACGCACTTTTGAGCTTTTTTAAGCGGTCGTAATTTATTTGTAATTACAGCCGAAGCGCTATTTTTAATGATACAACAATGCTTGGGTAGATAAAACCGTACAAGTACCTCGTCTTACAGCATTATTAATTTGGATTGTCTTGGGCTACTTATTGTGGGGATCACTGATGATTAGCAACTGATCATATGTTGAGAATAAATTGTTCCCTAATCCGTAAGGAGATTCAATTTTCTCACAATTTTTTTAGAATTTTATTATACTTAAAACCTTTCCGATTTTGAATTTCTTTTAACTTGCAGGTACGGTATTTAAATAGCTGAATCAGACATTGTGCAGTACTCGTATATAATCTCCTGCACTCTTCCAACAAATCTGGAGTAATTGGATATGATAAACGTCTTCTCATCTCGGGAACGAATCATGAGCAGTGCTTTTTCTTTTTCATAAGGGTGTAATTCTTCGACAGGACAATCCATTCTGCATGATTCATAGATCTGTGCAAATATGTAGCCACAGCAAATTTAATCCTGACTATTACTGGCACTATTAAAGATTAATTAATCAAAATGGCAGAAAGATCAGTATAAGTAAGTACATATTCCGTGAAACTGCCATACCTCTACATCAGTAATACTCTGGCAAAACAGCTGCAGAGCATTTGCTTATACCTCCTGCACACCAATTTCCAGACTCTATCAATTTGGTAAAGATCTAGAACTAGCTTTTATGCTGTACCAACTACGGTGAACTACCCGAAACGAAGCCTTACCCTCATTATACAATTTCCGAGTGCGAGATAATCAAATTACCGCAAAGATGCCGGCGCACATGTTCGCTCGTGATTTCACATCCTTGTATATGCGTGCACAATGCAGTATTTCAGTATTATGTGACTGTCTGAGATATTATTCCTGTTAATAGTGTTTCTTTATATGAATAGCGAATATGCAGTCGTAAACTACAATATTGTTTGGATAATGCCGGCCAAGTGCTGATGCGGTTGCAGCTAGACGGTTGAAAAAATTCCGAACTGTTATCTGCATCTGTTACAAGTAGTTTTATACCATGCCGCATCTCCGGATGATGACGTCGGATGAGATAATATGGAAACAATTACTGAAGACGGTTTTACTTACTTGTCTTGCTTAAAATGTTCGTAAACACGTGCGGAGCGGGAACGGAATCAGATTAATGTTTGCATAATTCCGAATTGCGGAAACATGCGCTTCCGTCACCTTGTTTGACTGCCTCAAGGTGAAATTAGTGCACTAATAAACTGCTTATTCCATGATTGTATTATAGTAAATATTTCTTGAGAATAAGGATACTGGAAATTCAAGTACCGGGATTAGCCAGGAGATGCCACTTTAACCATTAATTGGTGTTATTAGTGGGTCAGTTTTCGTCCAAATGGGGAGCCTTTACCAGCTTTGACAAAATCACTGCACCCGTTCGCATGCCTGGATCCATTAGTGCGCAGCAGTATCCAGAATAATCTGGCATACATTCACACTTTTCCGTTTCCCTGTGAATATAAGTAGCTAAGTTTAATGCAAAGAAAACTATGATAATACGCGGTAGACAGTGACCATCGCGATTTACAAACGTACTCAGTAATAAACGATATCGTTGTCAGCATGAATGCAACAAATTTCACCGCGCCCGTTCCGTTATGGCTAGCCTACTCGCAATGGCTCCATGTTTGGCTGTTTGTCATGCTGTGCCTAAGCGTTGGGGGAGTGATTCTCAATGGTTTGTTGATACACGTCATATTAAGCCAGGAAAAATTGCGCTACGGATGTGGTATTCTCATTGTCCATCTTCTGTGCATTAATCTCAGTATGTGTTTGATTATTATGCCGCTGCTGACCACGCAGACCTCCATCTATCCGGAACCGACGGAAATGTTCTGCACGATAACCATGTTCTTCTGCCTCTCCGTTATCTATACCGTAAACTGGATATCGCTGATGATCGCCATCAACCGGGTGGTGGCTATATTGTTCCCCTACAGCTACCGTTACTGGGCGCGGAAGCGGACGATTATCACCATGATCCTGATTAGTTGGATGATCCCCGCTGTCTGTAATGTATTGGTGTCCTTTCGCATCGGTGCAACCTTTCAGTTAACTGAGCCGTGGGGTGCCTGCGGGGTGAAAGTGAATAACCGGATTATTTTTCCTCTAATGACCGTTATCTGTGTGGCATTTCCCGTCGGTCTGGAAGGGGTCATATATCTTTGTATTTTTGCGATTCTTACGTGGCGAAAGGTCAGGAAGGTGCGACGGATTTCGGTGGTTGCTTCCGATTCGGAAATGTCAGCATTCAGACGCGAAGTGTTTGTGCGGAGGGTAAAGGTCACCAGGATGCTGTTTCTATCGAATGTATGGTACATGGTATGCTTTTTGCCGGCGCCTATTTCATCTAGTTTATACCCGAAGCAGTACATATCGCAACCGCTGCTGCAGCTGTATTTTCGATCATTATTGGCGATGGGTTATGCAACGATACCGGTAGGTACCACATAGGTTTTTTCCAGTCTGGGTCGTGTTATGTTCAACTCTATGTTATCTGCATACGCACTCATTAGTAAAACAACATACTGTATATCGATTGTTACACTGTATTTGCAGCTTTTTGCTTAAAAACTTACAACTTAAAGCTTATTTACAAAATTACATGTAAAACTTACTTACTGCAGTAGGTTATCATCTACATTAGCAAACTACTGTATTTAACCGCCAGATCTTCCGTAATCGGTGTAAATAAATGTCAAAATGTAATGTGACCCTGTATAGCTAGCGCCATGCATCACGTGCGCATCGCCATAGCGTGGGCACTTGTATCGTGCCGCACATGTTTTGATAATTAGTTAAATGCCGCCTAATAGCCAATAAATGTAGGACAGTACGAGTACAAATTTTAACTGTGTTACAGTTAATATACGTGGCTTTCAACAATGACTATCGCAACGGCATCAGGGAATTCTGGAGGAAAGCCCGGAGGAATTTGGGTAGCTTAATGGGACTGGAAAGCGAGCGACTGCGAAAAACTTCAGAATCCACAAAGGATGATGGACGCGGTTCATCTACCAAGAGGGAAACATCTCAGTTTCCGCTGAAATAATCATTTAAATGTACTACTCGTGCAGATATATAATTACCGAAATAAGCGAGCGTGACATATGTAATGTCTGTCACGTTGTGGCGCGTTCTGTTCACTTACAATACTTCTGTGTGGTTTGCCGACGAGGACATAATAATACCTCCATAGAAGAATGTTGCCCTTCGCCGTGGAATACCAAAGTCACGTTTTAACTTCTTTTCTATATTAATATTAAGAAACTCTCACAACTTTCTATTTCAGTTGTAAGTGTTGCACATTGGCTTCACGCTAGTCCTGTATTCGTACTGAGTAGATAAAAAATTAAATTCTGTGCGTGTTCACAATTTTTGTGCTGCTTGTAGGAATATATTGTAGCTGTATGTTTTCTGAGTTTTCAATCATACATGCACATACAGAAATTAGTGTGCTAACTTTTATCTTTTTCTTGCATAAAAATTGCCTCGCTGATATTGACATCGGTATGGAGAAAATGCACAAACTTAGAGAACGATGACCTCTGTCGGAATTGTTGCCCAACTCTATAACTGTCCCAAACTGTTCTGCGTAACTACCCATTTCTCGAAATCGTGGCATATTTCGTTTGGATAGATGGGGACATCAAGGGGTAACGGAACACTTATTCGCAAGTCTGCTGCACTTTGGTTTCGACTGTACTTCCCGGGAAACAGCGCAATAGGGCATCTAATTTTCTGTATCAGCTAATTATAAGGTGCAAACACACCAGGTTTTCATGGCCGTTGTTTGCCGAAAGTGCAAAAAGTTTTACAGTACAAACTTAAAATCTTGATTAGCAAAAGATTTATAACCAACAGGAAACTCAAAGCGTTTAATGAACCAGGACTGAAAGATCAGGCGGCAGTTATTAAGAAGATCTGGTTTCCATCACATCTGCAGAGTACTATAGAAAGTCAGTACGGTTGTTTGAATTCCGCAGTGCAAAATTGCCTAGGATCCAGTTCGCGATCCACCTCCCGACTTGGTGGCGTCAACAGAAACCATGAATGACTGTTGGCCCAGAAGTCTTCGGAGACGCTTTCCCACAATCTTCAGTCCACTACGGTAATCATTATTCATGATTAGGTAGATCAACTGAAAAACACCAAATAATATCGGTTAAAATATGTAGAGTGTACATTTTGGAATGTTTTTCAGTTAAAGTTGGGTACACCCTCCATTTACGAACCGTTAGAAACAGAAACTCACTAAAGACCAAGTATTTAACCATTCACGGGTGCACTGTAACAGCCCAACTCTGACCACGCTTTGTGTTAATACTGGGATACCCGTGGTAAAAAGGTAAACATAACCGAAGGTAAAAATTTGAACGTCAGCGCAAAACGTTAACATGCAGAGTGTTGTGTCGAACCAATATGGCAGTGTCAATACGAGTCTACATTGTAACGTGTTCCAGAATGCTATACAAGTACCGTTTTGAGAGCGTTAAAGAAAACAGAAGTAGAATAATTTGTAAATCGCGGAATAAAACAAATCAGATGTCTTTGGTTTTTGGAGCTCTTGCTAAACGCCTGCATAAATATGTCGCAAACTGGGCAATTCGAAGCACGCAGCCTGGATTTAACTTCACTACAGCTTTTAATAGTAAATTCTTGGCACAGAGAGCGTTACGTGATTCTAAATATAAAAGGTCACTCGCCAGTCTGATTAGGCTGAAAATGTAACCTCATGTAGGGAGCAAAACTGCCATCCGATATTGATTTTTTAAAATCTTTATTGAAGTCTTTATCTTTATTAAAATCTTTATACGATAATAATAATCATACATTTAATGTTGATTGCCCATAGCCTGGTGGTAGTACGTCTGGCTTTAAGATTGTATGTCCTGGGTTGGATTCCTAGGTGGGTAACTTTTATCTCATAAAATCAAACCAAAAAAAGTATAAAATTTTCAAACTTAACAAAAAAAATTTTCCAATAGCCTGGTTTGCCCAACGGTTTTCACCTGAGGGTAATAAGTCTCCGTAATGGAGTTTGGCTACTGTAGTACGATAATAATTACAATAAAAAAAAGTATCGTCGGATTAAGTATGGTAAATACCTTTACAGCATCATGCAAAATTATTGACTACTGTTACCACATCACGCGAAATATACCGTACCGGGATGGTGGCGTATCCCAGCACCAGCAGCACCCTCAGAAACAACTGCAAAAGCGGTAAGGAAGCATACTGGACCGGATACAGACTGGACGCGATGGGTGCCGGTAGAAAACAGATAGAATACCACACATACGAGCAAAACAACATTCTGGCCACTCTAAACCGTTTCTTAAACTGGTGCTGATGGGCCACATCGGCATTCACATCCGCCACCGACACCCGTCGCCGATTGATCAACTTCCGTAATCCCACCACCGCAAAGATGCTTAGATACACAACGCCCTCTAGACAAACGGGCAGCGTCACACAGATCACAGTAACGGTGGGATAAGTAACAGCATCGGACACGGTGATGCCGCACGCTCCCCACGGTTTCGTCGACTGATAGGCGCCACCGACCCCGTAAAAAAGTACCAAGTTACAACTAAACGCAATTATCCATCCAGTGACTATCATCGAAATAACACCGTATCGTCCGGCGCATTTGCGGTAATGATGCGGGAGAAAGATAGCCACATACCGGTTAACAGAAATCAGGCACGCTGCCCAATCAACGGTGTATAAAGATGAGTAGTAAAACAAGATGGTGTAATTACAGAACGTCTTCCCGAGCCGTACGTACGGTGCGTAGAAATACGTGGAGATACTGAGGATCGGCATGTGTACTAAGCAGAGTGTCACGTTGATAAACAGCAAGTGCGCAATGAGGATACCGCACCCGGAGCGGAGTTTACGTTGTGACAGGATAATGTACATGACGAGGATGTTGCACAGCACTCCGCACAGGCTAATGATGATCATAATCCAGAACCAAACGCTCAGCCAGTATCCGTAGGTTATCCATAACGGTGTAATTGTTGCGTTATCCGATGCGTTCATGATTTAATAACGTCAGACGAAAGCGGTGTAATGAAATGGTTGGAGATTTATGTTGAGTCTGCGTCGATTTGTTGTGGAAGCATTATATGGATGAAAAAGCGCAGCCGAATAATTGGATCCGCCTGTCGATACCTTGGGGATATCTCTCTGGATAAACATTAATGAATTCAAGTAGCATGAAACACGTTAGGGTGACGCGTGCCAGGATAGGCACAAACTGCTCGATCATGTGCCGGTAAATCTTTGCATAATTCAACGATTATCCGGTTATAAACAGTCGAATGAGACAAAATCTCGTCGATATTGGTATTTGTTGATATATGTCTGCGTAGAACACGGATCATTGGGTGGCACTTTACATAACAGGGAAGATTCCTTTTTCTGCAATTATGCACTACTTCTTTCATATTCAATTAGCGATCACGTATTGGAAGTGAACAGGAGCAATCGTTACACAAATCGTCGTATAATATTAGGACTGCGTAACAGCGCTAAAAGTACATGGTACAACCGTGTTAAATGGTTAAAGGTTTTCATCTGTCAAGTGCATTTGCATCGATCAGTCTGGGATGCTGGGATGAAGTGCCTTAGGCAGTTGTAGTTTGTCTCGCCATACTCAAATGGTTTTTGCTTTGCTGGCAATTAATTTCAACAACGCAGGCAATCGTTACGGCGGTACATAGTTATGCGAATACGGTACTTGATGAATGCAGATTGAGCAAAAGTGGCAGACAATTGTGCAGCTTTTATTTTTTTCTCTTCATCGGTTTTCACTTTCTCTGTCGGGCGCACCACTTGATGTCATACAGCTCAGGATGTAAGCATTCGTAGAATATAATTATACTATACAACTTTCCCAAGATACAACGTATAACACATTCAGTTACGGTGGTAGTCGGATTACTAAGCAAATTTACAGACTGACGACGCGGCATAAGTACAAAGATTTTTTCTAGTTGGATCTTGGAAATTATGCTTTGTGCACTAACAGCATCTCTTCACTACTCCTACGGTTACAAAATATACCATATAGACATAAATGGTAAAAACAAAAAGCGGCTACGTTTCCCTTCGTCACAGCTAAACCAATTCACTGTTCCAGAAATTTCGTAGATCAACGTTCTTCAAACTTCTCCCGAATCCGGTGCCGAGTGAAACTGACATATGGTGATTCCGTAGTAATTTTCTGCTAAACCGACGCCTTCCAACCACTCCCAGTGCTTATAACCGGTAGAACAAATATTGATATCCAAATTTGCGGGAATTTTGCCGCATTCGGTGCTTTTCTTGACGGGCCGCGGGTCTGGTAGGTTAGGCAGACCCTTTCAAGATGAATATGCGGCTTATACGCCAAAGTGTTCGCGCAGGCAACATTCAAAAGCCAACTTCTTCCGTTACGCGCCCTGTTAAATCTTACTAAAAATGTATCGCAGCTGCCAGGGCACCTTTACTCGCAGCGCTTCTAGGGAGCTTTTAGACTATGCATCCAACTTGAAAACGTATGTAAAGCGCTCGTTGTGATAACTGTATGATTTGTGATCGAAAAAATCGAGAAAACTCCGGATCACAAGGTTAATTTACCAGACGATAAAATCGTTTTATGCATAAGAAAGAAGAAAGCAAAACTATAATAAGATTAGAAAGAGCTTTCTAATGCTAATATTCTGAAAGCAGTTCACATTTTGCACGTGTTCGTGGATTTCGCAAAGGTTCGAGCAAAATATTCACTGGTTTCGTTACAAGAACATTACGCAGGCACAAACTGCTGCTCTTCTTACGATTTTTTAAAATGTGAGCCTGCAGCAGCAAATCGGCAATAATAAGGAACTCGATGGAAATACTGGGACTGAACGGTTTGTGCTGAGGTACCCGCCTGGGTCTTGACAGACTTGACACACATAGCATAAACGACACTTTTTGGCTCTGACACAGAGATCGGTTTTGAATTGTGATAAGCTTCAGGTGGTCGTTGAACAATGGTTCTCATCTTCTCACGATCGACAGAGTCAACAGGGCGTGAGCCCGAACGTTGTACAACTTTGCCACACGTCTGAAGGACAGTACTGTGTTTTATGTAGCGCTGAATTGTGTGTAAGTAAAAAGGTTTATGTAAATACGGCGTAGTAAATACAAATGCTACACGATCAACACTTTTATACCTTCACTCTGCACATCCCAGTTTGTGGACAGTTAATGTGACCTTTACAGGCACCAATCCATTAACGTAAATAACTGTAGTTGTATGCATTCAGTTTACATTTCCTGTGTACTTAGATCTTTTTATTCGCTCTGCGAAGTAGTTCCCCGTTTGGCGTTTAAAACATCACTAAACTAAACGTTTCGTACTCAGTAGTCAGTACGGCTGTTACTGCTAATGCGTTCAGCAACCTAGCTGAAGGCGCTGCTGATTAGGAGCGAAGGCAGAGATTCTAGAAACAGAAATTGTGGATCAGACTTTAGAATTACCAAATTACAGACCTCCGATCATGACCAGACAAGGTGAACTTCTGTACTGTACACACACATAATGCATAACCTTTGCACGATCGTACTTATCGTTAGTCTTTGTTAATAGATATAGATATTATTACTGGCAGTGCAAGTACTCGGGATTCTCGTTTTTTCCGGGGAATGGGGATAAGTACCGTTACCGGGAATTTTGCTGTGCCGATGTACATAGTAGCAGAGTACGTAACGTTCTTATACGAAATCTCTGTTTGAAGTTTTGAAATCAATTAAGTAAATATCTGACAACCGAAAAAGGTTCAATAAACACAAGAAAACGCTAACAGCACTAAACAGCATGAAACTGGCAACCAGACGTAAAAGGAAGCAAAATGATGCTTGTGCGTCGTGATGGTGACTGTGTTCGCAGAAGTCACGATGTCTGTCTTACTAACCCGAGCGTGCATAATAACCATATAAACTGATTCATATTTTGATTTCGTATTTGCACTAATACAGCTTGTGGCTGTGGCTTCTAAAGTCCTTGGGAGACCTTGACTGTACGTCATCAGCGTCCGTACGTTAGTAGGACACTTCCGCTGGATCAGATGTACATTCTTGAAAACGCGCAATTACTGTGTAAGTATAGGATCAGACTTTACGGATGACCGCGGTTGCTATCGAAATCCATAGCCCTTTCTTTGTAAATTGTTACACGACTTCTCGGGCACGGCTGGCGTGGAAAGTCAACATGTTTTCGTAATTACAATAAGATAATCTTCTGCTTGGGTGGATTTTCTACAATCACTCAGCTCAGTTTCGAATTATATGGGCAGAGTAAATAATTTGTTTCCAGTGAGAGCATTTGACTCATACGACCACCCTGAACACATCTGCACTGATAAATTTCGGTTCACTAGGACACCGGTTTTAATGGTTTGACTTCGCCCAAATTCTGATTACTTCGTTAGCAAAAAGACTCAGACGAAGCATTCCTGCTTGCGCATTTGGCATCAGTAAGAGCACCCGCTGCATCCTAAAAAGCTATAAGTGTTGTTGTTTCAGGCACACTTAAGTACAGTAATCACCGCTCTGTTTGAAATCTACTACATTCGATCAGATTACATTGTCCTGGATGTTCCCATTTCACGTATACGTTGTCAGTACCAACGGGCTATTTGTGGCGTTTTCTTCCCAAGATTTCCATTTTCTTCTGTATAAGGAAATTACTGAATTTTAATTTCCGTTCACCATAGCTGCTCAGATCAAGATATACGTCACGTGTAGGATAAAGGAAACCTTACGCGAGACCGGTGCAAATGCAGCGCTTGGTCTGCTTGTTCGACAAGAATGTGACGTGGACACTTGCATCCGCTCCAAATGCCTCCGTGTCCGGATGACTTGGTACTCGTACAATGCATATGTATGCCGGTCTTGCAACTGAGAAGAAAAGACGGACTATTTTAATTAAACTTTTCTTATGGGGCTCCACATTCTAATCTGTTTTATGGACCGGCAAGATAACTGTTAAGTTAACTAAAGCCTTGCGTATGCGTGGTTGAATATGGCTTTGATTATGCAGCTTGGACATAACGTCAGATTTTAAAAGGTGGAGGCTTCGTTTTACCGCTTATTGCGCGAATAAGCGCTTCTCTGCTCGAGTGCACGAAAACTTATTTATGCGCAATAGATGTGTTGTTCCTCTTTCACAACGTTTGTTGCTTTTGATCATAAAATTTCCAAACAGCGGATCGACTGATCTTAATTTCTTGGTCCTGTGTTGAAATTCACGTAGACCTGCGTAATATGAATGCCACATACGCCAACCTCAGCAATCCCGCTGTAGTGGACCGTGGTCCGCACTGGACATTTTTACTCGGTACCAAGATGGTCATCCTGATTGTCTCCGTATGTCTCAACGCCGGCGTCTTCATGTACCATCTGGTATTCCACTCCCAGCTGACCATGACACCACTGTGTGTCTACCTCATCGCGCTGTTTGGCTTCAACATCGTGTACTGCTTACTGGCGACGCCCTTCCAGATTGCTAAGGAACTCTACGGATACTGGTGGATGGGCTTCCCCGCCTATGCCCTATACTACTACGCTTACTCGGTGTTAAGCTTAGTTTTGGTGATGCTGCACACGCTGATCGCTGTCAACCGAATCTGGGCGGTAGCGTATCGGGTGTCGTATAAACAGCGTCATACAAAGAGGACCGCAGCATTCCTATGTTGCGTAATGTTTTTGTACGCTCATATCATCGAAATGCCGGGTACGGTAATGGATATCGTATTTTATCATTACCACCAATCAGAAAACGGCGGAATCCTTAATACACCAGCGCGGAGAAATTTAAGCCGGGTTGAAATTTTTCTCGGTCGAATCATTCCGCTTGTAGCAGTCATTGCGGCGTACGTGTACACGACCGTTAAGATTTGGCAAAGACATCGAAAACGTGCCGATGCATCATCGGGAAAGTCGGGGGACGCTGGCGAATTCAATCCCGCGCGGATTGTCAACGTAAGATCGGTGGAGAGTGATAAACTGGCAAAAATGCCGAGCAATGCAGTGGTAGCGGTGACTCACCGACGAGAGATCAAGGCCTCGGCGCTGATGACCGTAACGGTAGTCAGTGTGGTTGTTTGCTGGTTGCCGGCGGATGTGCTCTTTTTTGGATACCTGTACTGTGGAATGCCTTTCTCCAGCACCGCGTTTAGCGCGGTTATGCTTCTTTATTCTGTTCAGACAGTATTGGATCCGTTAATGTTACTTGTTAGTCTGCGGAAAATTCGACGCTAATTTACCGATGAACACTATTTCACAAGCTGGTACGACCTACAAAATGATCACAGTTTAATTTAGGTGTTCTTGTAAATGTACGCTGACTTGTTTAGAATCTGTTCGAATTCAACTTGTTTCGACCTTTCCGTTTAACGTTACGAGATCGGTCATGGATAGCTCGGTTTACTGTTAGTGTCTCAGTTTCCTATTAAACGGAGAATTTAAAGTACATCGTCATATCGCAGGTCGAATTAGCATGGGCTATTTTGCCTATACGAGTCCGCTTCATGAGGCTCGAATTTCTCTAGTCCCGTTATCAAACCAATCTCACTAGATCGTGCGAATGGAAAACGCCGTTTCGGCTTTCAAGTAACCAATCACAACTTGTCACTCAGTACGACATATCCTTCCCCTGTGCTAAACGTTACCGCAAGGTGTGTGATGTAATTTGGGAATATTAGTTTGCTCGCGTTGCAAAGACGCATGCAACGTTAGAATACAATATTTATTATGGGAATTCTTCCGTCATGCGCAAGTAGCTGTCTTGAATTTGATTGGGAAAATCCATCGACATTTCTAAACGATTCTAAACCTTGTCTGCTTATTTCCGTAGAGCAGTTATGTGACCTTGAAACGCCAGACGAATTACGGCATAAGCGCGATCATTGTAAGTCTTCTGCGTGCACGGAAAGGCTCGATGTCCCACTTAGAGTTGTACGTGCTGTACCAGCCTTGCCGAAGCGAAGCGGGGGCTGTAAAACGCACTTTACACACATATTGCCAGCAAATCCGCCCATCTTGTCACTACCGAAACTCGCTTTTTTTAAAATTTTAATGCAACAGTAATTTTTATTTCTCAAATTTTGAAATTTTCTAAAGTGAAGAACACTAACAGCGAAACTTGTGTTACTTCTTCTGCTTTTGCTGTGCGCAAACTGATAACTGTGATCATCTTTGGTGTGGAAATTCTGAAGATGTACTTACTTAACAAGGTTCATTAACAAGGCCGACATATTGAACATATGTCGAGTTACATAATTATGCTCGAAAATTTTCGCCATAGTTCTTTAGCGCACTATGAACCGATGCCTCAGTATAATCCGTAGTTTAAATAACTAGAGTAACACTGCTCAGTAATATTTGCAAATTCTCTTACACAATTACATACAGCAATTAACGGGGCGATCGTTCATATTGCAGATCTTTGGTATGTCTGGTCTTTTGGTAACATGCTAATGTGCAAAATTGTCATAAAACCAATATTGGCTCGTTAATTAATGATCATTATCCGCAGGATCATCGAGAGCGGTTTTTCTCCCGGCTAAATCGTGGGTGTCGGCTCATGTCAAATCAACTCCGAGCACTGTGAACGAAAAGGCAGACTAAAGTGCGAAGCGATCAGCACAAGGGCAAGGCACAAATTAATGCATAATTGTCATTAATCAATTAACCCGGCGTTTCCGCAACACTGTCGGTCTGTCGGTACGTTCGCGCTTGTCGGCAATAAGTGCGAACCAAAAACGTACAACGGTATAAAACTGACCGAAGAGTTCATTTTTTTCCATGCAAATAGCGTCTCAGAAAAATCAGAAATATTGCACTGGCTTTATTAAGTTAACTAATTATTCTGGTACTTCCAAAATGAAGCTTTTTGCATCCCTCATAATTGCTGCGGTTGTGGGACTGACTTCTGCTAAACTGGTAAGTTTCGGAATATTAATGCTTCTACTCCTTTAGAAATTTTGAATATTATTTTGCTGTACGATAAAAAAGTTTTTTTTGTGGATAACTACTGGAAACGCGAACCGTGACATTTATACTATAATGTATTGTGTGAGTTATGTTTTTATGATACTGTAAATTGATCAAAATCCTCTCCGTAGTCTAAACGTGCAGCGCAGAATCCCGGTGTGTGGTCGGCTCTGGACAGCCTGCGCGGGAAGTCCAAGCTGGGCAACGATGATATTCTCCAGATGGTTTTAACTGCCAAAGCCGGTCAAGACTACCCCGACCTGTCGGAAATTCCCGCCGGAAGCTTCGACTGCACGCAGCATTCTCCCGGCTTTTACGCCGACGTCGATTCTCGCTGCCAGGTTTATCGTCGGTGCGATGTCAATGGAAATCAAACCGCTTATCTTTGCCCTAACATGACGGTACGGTATACGGATACGAAAGTGACGACACGATTATTAATATTAATCATATCCAGACTATTTGCTTACTTTATTCGCAACATTGGATTAAACCTGCATAAAATGGCGCGACCAGTAACTAGCCACAGTTGTCAACCTATTTAATATAACAGTTATAACCCTACGATGATCTTTCAGGTGTTTAACCAAATCACGCTGACCTGCCACTGGTTCTGGGACGTAGACTGCAGCAAATCCACCGATTTCTATGACTACAGCAACAGCCGCCTGTATCAGAACGTCCCGCTCTTGGACGACGAGCCCTCGTACACCGGCGCCCGTCGCAAACGTGCCGCCCAGAACCCAGGAGTGTTTACCGCTCTGGATCAACTGCGGGGGAAATCCAAGCTGGGCAACGACGATATTCTCCAGATGGTCCTGACTGCAAAACCCGGTCAAGACTACCCTGACCTGTCGGAAATTCCTGCCGGAAGCTTTGACTGCACGCAGCATTCTCCCGGGTTTTATGCCGACGTTGAATCTCGCTGCCAGGTTGTTCGCCGGTGCGATGTCAACGGCAATCAAACCGCCTATCTCTGTCCCAACATGACGGTACTAAATACTACATACTATGTATAATGCACAGATAAAAAACTAAATACTTTATATGATTATTATTAATAACTGATGCCAAGACATTTCTTGCTCGCTTTATTCGTAACATCAGATTAAATATGCATCGTCCAATGCCACGGTTTGTAAGCTTGTTATGACCTTCTGATGAGCTTTCAGGTGTTTAACCAAATCACCCTGACCTGCCACTGGTTCTGGGATGTGGACTGCAGCAAATCAACGGATTTCTATGACTACAGCAACAGCCGCCTGTACCAGAACGTCCCGCTCTTGGACGATGAGCCCTCGTACACCGGCGCCCGTCGCAAGCGTGCCGCCCAAAATCCGGGAGTGTATTCCGCTCTAGACCAACTGCGTGGGAAATCGAAGTTGAGCAACGACGATATTCTGCAGATGTTTGTCAATTCCAAAGCCGGTCAGGATTATCCTAACCTGTCCGAGATCCCTCCCGGCAACTTTGACTGCTCGCAGCACGCGCCGGGCTTTTATGCGGATGTTGATACCCGGTGTCAGGTGGTGCGCCGATGCGACGTCAACGGCAACCAGACGGCATATCTCTGCCCCAACATGACGGTATGAATTATTACTGAACATAAAATACATTCAGTAATTGTGTAACTAGTATATGTAGTGATTTAAATAATTATAATAATTAAGGCCGTGCTTTGTTTACAAACAGACCTTGACAGTTCTTCTTATTCATTTTCGGAGCTTTGTTTTTGAAGTTAAATAATTTAAAAAGGTTGTTATGCGGGACACTACTCTGTATTATTATTATGTGACGCACAGAATTATTTTATATCAGTTTAATGCATTTTAATAATTTACTCCTTCGTGTTTAACATCAATACAAGTATGTCTTTGCTACGATTATATGCGCCATCATACGTAATATACTTAAGGCATTACAATTTTACATTAGGTGTTCAACCAAATCACGCTGGTTTGCCACTGGTTCTGGGATGTGGACTGCAGCAAATCTACCGATTTCTATGAGTACAGTAATAGTCGCCTGTACCAGAATGTCGCGCTCTTGGATGACGAGCCATCATACACTGGAGCCCGCCGAAAGCGTGCTGCCAATAAGCCACGGCAAAGCCAGTTCGTCGCCGGTAAACTCGTTCAACTTGGCCATCGCAACTGATCGATCTCTGAGGCGAATACTGACTACTTGGTTTTCGTAAGTTTTGGACGCAATTCAAATGAATTTCACCTAAATTAATTTTATCGTGTACACTTGTTTGAACTGGCTTGTTTGAATGTACATTACCGAACGAAATGTGGATTAACTATGTCATTCTCGCACCTTTGTAAAATAAAACCATGACTTAACGGATTACTTTCGTTTTCCATATCTGACACCGCTGTTGAAGCAAAATTTTCATTTTTGAAGCAAAATTTTCAATCAGAAAAAAGTGTGTAGCATAATAAATGCGCATGTGACCATGAATTATACGTACCGTCTCGGTTCCTCGTATTAATTATTATCGTTCCAGCCAATACCACCTTAAGTCTGTGGTCTACTACATAATCAGCTTTTTGTAACGTGCAACTTAACGCTCGGATAGTGAAATCCTTTAAGCCTAGGATGTCACCGGCAAATACACAGTAACATTTTGAGTTAGTTTATGCTCTATCGCTAATTTAACGTCCGTACAATTATACGAAGTATCAGTATACGAAGTACGCAGTGTAAAGAAGTATCAGTATTCGTACAGTAATTCAGTATAACTGATTGTGATTTGTGAATATACTGTACCAGCGAAAAAAACTTTAACGTCTTGAAATTTTAGCCCAGCCGACATCAAATTCTTGATGTTAATACGAGTTCCACTCTAAATTGCCTGATTTGCATCGGCAAATTGATCTATCACTTTCAATTTAATCCTCCGAGTGTGCCCGCATAGTGCTATGAACGCCAGGTGCAACGGTGGCAAACTCGGCAGTTCGCTCGTGTGTGACTTCCGGCCGGATGCCCAGCTGTCTTCCCAGTAGTCTGGCCATGTTGCTTAATCGTCTTCGATATTCCATATTCATCATCAGAAAGATCAACTGTAACAAAGAGAAAAATGGGCTGGGCATGGATTTTTAATCAATAAACACTATTTATGTTGATCAGGCGTTAACCGATCGCAGTTGTGCGTGACGGCGTGCGGGTTTGTTGGCGCTGACCGTCATATGTAGTCATTAAATTATACAGCAGCGCAGTCTACTTTTGTTTGGAAGTGAACAAGCTTTCTCCGATTTAAAGAGTGAATGTTCAGCTTTAATGGGAAACGGAAAAAGTATGACATATCATAATTTAAGTACAAACAAATAAGTAACAAAATAAACAGTAACGAATTACGAGACGAAACTCTCACCGGAATGGTAGCGTATCCACAAAGCAGCACAGCCCGCATAATTGGCGATAAAAGCGGAATCCTGGAATAAGATGCCGGATACACACTCAGGGCAATCGGCGCCGGCAGTAGGCAGGCAATATACCATAGATACGACACAAACAAGACTTTTGCGCTGTGGTACCGCCTCTCGAATAATTTATGTGCTTGCCCTTTCCCATCCTTGGTCTTCGTATGTTCCCCATCCAGAATCTTTTTCCGATCAAAATAATTTTTTACCGCTACGCCGATGAATATAGCCAAATACAGTATCCCCAGAATCGTCAACGGGATCGTTACCGCAAATGCGGTAATGATAGCGAAATCCGAATTCGGGTTAACCATACCGCACGTTCCCCAGGGCTTCGTTGACCCGTACCACCCACCATGTCCGGCCAAAATCTGGCTGCAACAGGCAAAACAAATCATCCAGCTCAAGATGATCATCGTCGCGATGACGTTGTTGCGAATCATCAGCGGGTATTTCGTCGGGAAGAAGATGGCCACAAACCGGTTGATCCCGATTAGCAGCGATGACCAGTTAACCGAATCCAGGCAAGCGTAATACAGCCACGTGGAGTAGACGCAGAAATTCGAACTGAGCGTCTGGTAGGGCGCGTAAAAGTACGTGGACACGCTGAGCAGCAGCATGTGTACGGCGCATAATGACGTCAGGACGGCCAGGAGGTGCACGATGAGGATACCGGAACCGACGCGCAGTTTAGCGGAACTGAGGATAATGTAGATCATCAAAAGGTTAAGGATGGTTCCTACAATACAGAGTGACAGCATCACCCAGAACCATACGGCGAAACCGATCCGGTAGGTGATGAAGAGCGGTGTGGTGGTGATGTTTATCGTGGCGTTGGTGATGTTCATCGTGTGGCTGGGGAAGTGACGCTTTCATGCAAATGTGCGATGGTTTAAATGGCATGTCCCAAAAGATCGGGGAAACAATGGCGTAGGCAGCATGGAATAAGAGTAACCACGCAAATTATCACAAATCGATGGGTTTGATAACTTATGCAGTCCCACGGTGCTGACGATCATCAGGTTATTCCTGTCGCGTTAACGACTTATTAAGCACTTGGCGACATAATAATTGCGTTAAGTAAACAGTCCAATATAACACGTTGCGCTGGAAATCGTGCTTAAACCAGCGAAAACTGTTTTCCGGTGGAGATATATTAGCGTCATCATACAACTACTAAATCGATATACATATGTGTATACCGGCAACAATAACTGCATATATTTTGGTGCAGAATGGTAAAGAATAAAACCGCTAACCGAAACACAAGAAAAAGACAGACAGATTATAAACAGTATGGCGAGAAACCTTTCCGCTTTTAAATAATCCACAGAAAATCGGCGATTGATCCACATCCTGATCACGGCAAAAACGCCAATAAATCCAGATGGTACTTTCGCTCTGCAGTGTACATAGAAACCACATGCTGCAAAATAATTGCACTGCTTGATAGTTGAAGAGGCGCTCAATTTGTATGTGAAGTGGTCGCCCGGTAAGGATGGTTCTGATCCGGTATGTACACGCAAGACCACGCCGACTGTTTGCGTAAAAAGCATCTGGCCGGCTTCCGCTTTTCCCTTGGATTAAGCCGTATAGCATGCTTTATAATCCAGCGCATGTATAACGGGAGGGACGCTCCCTACCGCGCTCCATAGTAGCGTGTATTACGCAGAACAATCGGCGCATGTAGGTGTTTTTTGTTTCGTTGGCGATCAAGATCAGTGGCGTCATATTCTCAATGCTGCATCCTGCTAAGCGTCCATAATACCGCTTTGTTAGGAAAAGCACGTTCCAGTCGGCAGTCATTCGTGTACGTCATGTATGCTGCCAATTTGCCGGTAGCGATAATTTTACCCTGATTGTGTACGTGATGGGGAAACCTCATGTGGGATTGCAAAATTGATCTTTACATCTGAAAAACACACATCCAATATTGCATCGATTGAACTGACTGAGCTGGCTTACAAGTTAGCTTGGTCATGCCTTTTAAATGGTGTTTTGTTGGCAGTTCAGATTAGCTTGTGCTCTTCTTGCTCAGTTTTCAAGGTCATTTTTGTTACATTGTACAGTACATCGAAAGTCAACACACGTACGCGGTGAACTGCGCACAGCTGCAGTCTACCAAAGCGCAATAAGTTTCATTATGTATGCTTTGCGTGTGATTATGATGAATATTTTTCATATTTTATTATATTTGTTATGACAGTGAAATCTTTTAGAAAGGATTTCATTTGTCACATTCGTACATCCGCTTAAAGTTGAATGTGGGTTGTCTCAGTTACGCGCCCTCTGGCAGATCACAGTAAACTATCTACGGGTAGGTGTACCGAGTGTGAGCCCAGATTCTCAGTGTGGCATTGTAGCACTATAGTCTAAGAATCTATGCAAAGTAGGAAATCTGCTTAGGTATTCAACGACAAATTTATTAAAGTCGGATTGCTCCCCAAAATGTCAGAACTGGCAAATTATGCCAAAAAGAATGCTCCTAATAGGCTAATACTGCACGGTATGTTGCAATCGGCGGGCTTATAACGGGTGTCAGAGAGAACTCCAAGTAGAAAATTTATTCCTAACTAAAAAAACAGAAAGTACGAGTACGAAGTACAGCATCATACTACCATATTGCATACTGTAATGTATACTAACATATTGTATAGTACATAATGTATACATATTGTATATTGTAATGTATACCGAACCGCGGTCGACGGCGGTTGGCGGTTTATAATAAACCTCGTTTAAGCCTTTTTACAGTAGACCTTCATCCGCCACAAAACGAACCCTATCCGATTTGCATACGATGTACGAGCAGAGTCAGAAATCTTTTTTTTTGAAACCGGAAATATCTAAGGCAGGATAACAGCGCGCTAAACATATCTGAGATATTCGTGAACAATCGTATAGAAAAATGCCTACACACATTAACATAGCAGCGATACACGGATTACTGGTGCAGTAAATTACGAACGCACCCGTTCCGCTTAACATCACACTAGCGATAGCGCATGGAAGATTACCACTTTTCGTACGCCCGTTGATCAAGAAGTGGCAGTGACTCAATCTGAATAATGCATGTCATAACAAGATTTCACAAATATTACAGTTCTCCCACAATCATTCAGTTGACGCTCTTGCATTCTAAATAGGAGTTTAATGTCCGTCCGACATGGGTCTTTATGTTAGTGTAGCATGACTGATCAATAAAAATTTAATTCTGTTAAGTATGCTTTTTTCAGAGCATGGTTTTTTGTGGAGTCATGGTTCGCTTATTAGAAAACTAATAGTAACACGGAACATTTAGTTAACAATGTGTTCACTTGATATACAGATAGAAAAGCCTGTTTGGATATGGGGGTGTTTACCGACAGAAACAGTACCCAGCTTATGCTCTTCATCAATAATATCCAACTCGAACTGTTCCTGTATTCCGCCACGGCACCACAGCCACCACTGCTTTGTTTTTCAGTAATATTTGATGTCCTTGAAATCCTCCCACGTTTGTTTTAGATTTTCAACTCGGAAAACCATACTACGCATCATCACGCTATTTCCGCTGTTAGCATTGAGCAATTTCTGAACAGTGTTCAGTTGCATATTTTTCAAGAGTCCATATTTGATACCATATTAATTTCACAGTTCATTGTATCCACGCGTAACATACACGGACATTGCTGCTTGTCACATTTCGCGTATAAATAGCAGCAGGTTTTCCAAGTAAAATAGTTATTATCCTGGTAAACTACATAATACTAAAACTGATCACAATGTCAACGGTATCGAGCAACGTCTCTCTAGTGACTAATGTAACGGTAAGCGTTCCCGCTTGGGTGCTGTATTCCCAGTGGTTGAGCCTGTGGTTCATCATCACGGTATGCTTATGCGTTATGGGAACACTGTTAAACGCTCTGCTTTTTGCTGCCATTGTGACATCGGGCAAACTTCGCCAGGGATCCGGTGTTTTGATAGCGCATTCCATTTTCCTAGAGACCGTTCTCTGCGCTATCGCGTTCCCGCTGATTGTAGCCTCTACGTATAGACCGCAAAATTCCATGACCTCCGTACCAATGTGTCGCTTCACGATGCTGGTGTTTTACGGGGTCATGTGGACGGAGAACTGGGCCAGTGTGATTATCGGCATCAACAGATTTGTGGCCATTTTCTTCCCGCATGGCTACAACCTGATCAGAAAAAAGCAGGCGGTGTGTGTGATGATAGCGTCGGCATGGATCATTTCCATTTGTTGTATTGCGCTGTTTTGCTTCGATATTGGCGCTATTCTTCAGGTGACCTTTCAATTGGAACGGAATTTGCAAACCCTTTTATACAAAAAAACCCTTCGCGTATAAAATAAGTAACCGTTGGTGCAAAATTAAATATTGTTTTAAACAGATTCATTACTTGTTATTATCTTTGTACATAGCATTAAATTTTTCCGTTTAAGGTGTTTGTATAAGTCCCTGTTCCCTGTTGTTAAGTTATTTTTCTTACATTATCTGATTTTGTATTCCGACGTTTTGCGACGCATAAATTATATCCGATTATACATTTTCAGTGCTAAGTTGTTAAATGTCTTAAGGCCTCAATAATTTTGGTTTTTTTGCTTAAGCCATGTTTTTCATTGTAGACCACAATGCCATGGGGTGCTTGTGGAGCGCGACCAATCAGTGCGGTATACGGCATCGTCACCATTCTAACCACACCTTTGCCAGTGGCGACACTTGGCTTCCTGTATGTGTCCATATTCAGCGCTATATTTATTCGCAATGCGATGTCTCGTCGGAAAACCGATCCTGGTGGAGCACCTGGTAATAAAAAGCCCCACGGAATCATTCACAAACGGTTGAAAACAGCGCGGATGATGTTCACTTCGTACATCTGGTTTTCCTTATGCTACTTACCGGCACCCGTTGCGTCCAGTGTAGCGCCGGTGGCGTACAGTTCCAGCCCGCTGATCTCGTTGTTTCTGAGGCTACTGTTACTCTGCGGCTACGCTACTAGTCCGGTAAACCGTAAAACGAAGTGTTAAGACACGAAATACATGTGTTTCATGCAAAACGACAATATTCATATTGTAACAATTTATTAAAACCTTATAATTACTGTTTTTGCTACAAATAAAATTATTTATGAAGGATGACATTGCGCTTGTCGGAAATCGCCCTTTTATTTTAGCTACCCAAAGCATCTGCTTACTGAATACATTTTCTCTTATTATCATTTTCTAACTGTATAGGATTACGGATGTATAGTGTTGAGAAACGTGACCTTTAAATAAGCTACGATCACGTTCACTAACACCCAGCACAAACAGGCTCACATCTGCCACTTCCTGTGATAATTCGTTGTCAACAGTTTTGCTTACGAGTGCTTTACGTATGCAGATTATTTATCTGAGTATGAACGAGGAGTACCGAAGACGTGCAAAGAAAATCCTCATGAAGATTGGCGGCATTTGGAGTCCACAGCTGCGAAAGGAATCCGAGCTCACCACATTCAAATCCGACAACAGAACGAAAGAAACCACGGCCAATGCCATTGATTAGCCAACCCAAACCGAAGGTTGCAACCATGGAAGACAATAGACATCAACGTGCACGAAAATTACTGCGACAATAAGAACGTTAATGATGTGCGCGAAGTTACTGTGCATCCGAAATTGGATTTTCACCTATTTTAATGCAGTTCATCTTCTTACTTCAAATTGCCATTTCTGCAACCGTTTTCGTAAAGCTTCACGTGCTTACTATTAGCTCGTACGTCTAGTCCAAACATTTGCAGAATATGGGCCGCCGCAATTTCTGTGCTACTTAAAAATAATATATTTATTTAGTTAATTTAGGTGTTATGCCATTGAGGTATTTTACCATTTAGGTTTTGCATCAAACAGCTTATGTACATTTTTATATACACACTGTGCAGTCTGCATATTACAGCTGATATACTTAAATCAGTTTGTTAGAGCGACGGATGCGCCACCCGCATGAGTGCTCCTTTGGTGAAATGAGGCTAGAATTGGCTCGAAGCTGAACATTTTTTGTGCGACTGACGTACTATTTCCGTTATAAACAACAACATCATGACAGCCAGATAAAAAACGCGGCTTAGTAACACCATAATGTTTTTTTGCGCCGTGGCGGTATAGACATTTAGCACGCACTGACTGAGCTTCTTTACTTACCTACTCTAGTGCATCTTAGCTGACGCAATGTCGAGCGGTATTTTACAGATAGCTGTGGTACTGTTTCTAGTTAGCGGAATAAGTGCAATCTACATTCCACGCAGCGGTAAGTTGTTTCGGTTTACAGTTGTGCTGTTGCTGATCTACATGCATACTGAAAATTTGTAGCGCTGAAAATTAGCCACAGGATAATATTTAAATTTGTGCGCTAGTTTAATCCGGTATTTCTTCCGCTTTCTATCCGAGTGGCGCGGTGTTCGTGACCTTAACGTTGCCCGGAAGTTCAAACGTTTTTATGGACCGCGATCAATCAGACCATGATGCAGCTTTTTTTGCTCTAGTTATTAAGCGGCATTTTTTTTACAGTTTAAGGCTTTTTTGCAGTTCATTTTGAAGCCCCCATTCGGATTCCGCCCCCGCGAACGTATGAGTTGCTCGAGAGACCTCCGATGCGTAAGTGGATGCAGCCGCTGGACAGTAGTATCTTTCTCCCACTTGATTAAAGTAAAAGTTACAAACATCTGTATGAATTATACGAGCGCCAGTTTTCGACCTTTGTCTGTACCCTTACAAGAGTTATTATTCTTTCCTTCTGCTAAATATTGTTGTGATTCCCATTGCCCGGTGCAACCTCCTTTCATAAGTGCGGGAATTGAATGTTTGCGCGAATGATTGCAGCATCTTCGTACAACAGTGAGTACAACTCCAGACCGCGCTCCAGTGGCGACCACGATGACGAGGAGAAAGCACATGGCGGCCATGCTCATGCCCCTGAACCCCATGCAGTCCTCGAATCATCTTCCACGATGAGCAGTGGGACCATTAGCTGGACTATAACTCGGAAACCCATTATTCCAGTTTTATTAACAATTTTCGTTTTCCTTGGTTTGCTTATTTCATAATTATTCGCATTACACCCCGCAGTATTTTTTCCTGTTTGAGTTGCATCTTAAATTTTAAAGCACAGATAACTTTTTATCAATAGGTAAGTGTTCGCTTAAATGATAATTCTGCTTAGCCAATGTCAAAATTATTTATTTAGTCAACAGTTACAAGTTACAACGCCACATTTATTTGTAAATTAGTCTCCGAAGCGCTAATCGAAATTTTTTATGGCTAAAAAGCATAAAAGCGGATTAATCCAGGAATTCGAATAACCAGAACATATTGCACGGCACAAAAGGCGTTGTTCCAGTAACCGGTAAATTCCGCCAGTAAGAAATACACCGCATTCGGCATCCAGCACACAGTCATGGCACCCACCAGGTACTGCAGCACCCTATCGGCATCACGTTTCTTTGTATGTCGCGCTTCGGAATGTTTCCCGCTACCTTCGGAACTACCTAAACTGATCCAGTGTCTGTGTTACGGTGTCCAGATTGCGTTTCACGCTAACACCTTCTCTCTCTTCTGTCCTCTTTAGCTTTTCTGTAAGAAGAATTCGCGAATGACCTTTACTGTGAATTAATTGCTTATTTTCCATGCCAAGCGAAACAAACGGTTTCCTATCCAGTGCCCTCGTTTTACAGACACCGCACAGCATGCTGACGATCCATTTAATACCGAACGCCGTCGCTCGTGGTTAAATTTTACTCCGGCGCGTCAAGCTGATTAAAAGAAAGGGAGTAACGAAATGGAAAGTTTTTAACCAAGCAAATATTGATGCATGGGAGAAGAAATGTATACGGATGCGTTACCACCTCGAAGATGAAAAGGTCAGATGGACCGAAAGCTTTGCTTTATTGTACTGTTATTCGAAATGTGTCGAACGAAAGATTACGTTGAAACTGATTTCTGCACGGTTTTTTTTGCGCTTTCCATTGCGGAGAAACAAATTGACATGATAAAAATCGTTGTGCTAGTATACAACTAAACGATATCTGCATAAATATGATCCATGAACGTCGGAGTAGACTATGCCTGTATCTCACTAATTGGCAATCTTTAATTTTTATTTTTATATGTAGTTACGGAATGGAACTGTGCACCGTTCAACATATATGTAAGATCAATATGAACTCCGCGTTTCTTTATTTAAAACCAGTAATCAACTATTAGAGCGCGAAAAATGTACGTAGCGAGAGCTCCAGCAAGCTGCAAACTAAGGACCTTTGTTCGTTAATATTGGTAAATCATTCTAATTTCGAGTAACAGCAAAACGATAGGTTATAGTAGATTCATTTAGTTTGCAAATTCGAGGTACATTAAGAAAAACTATTTTCTCTTGGTTCTGCGTGCACTGCTAGCATAGTTGATTCGCGAATCAAATCCAGCGGATGTATTGGAAAACTTTTAACCGGTGATCAAACCTTGGTTGCAACTGCCCAGATGTAAATGATGTTTCCGTTACACGTTGCTTTGTACTTTGTTCCGGTGGTGCGAGTAAACTAGAAACAACCATTATAATGATTATATACAGGAATTCATGATTCACTAAGATTATAAATATCCCGAAGTCACACGGAGCTTACATGGAAATTTAAATAGCCGTCTGTATCTTCCGACACGACAACAACTTGCCAGGCGTATCCAGGAAAGCTCTTTGTCAGCTGGTCATTTATGTACGTCGAGATATCCCGACGGGCATTACCAAAACGCCGACTGTTGATATAGGCTACTGTGGCATTACATTTCTTCAACGTTTGAGCATCCATATCTGTCCACTCAGTATCCACAACCGGTGCATCTGATTCTGTACTGGAATCTGCATTACATACAATACATTAACAGAAGTGCGCATGTTGTAACATCATAGGTTTATGAAACTATCATACGCAACTATACTGTCACATTGATATGCTCGTACACACAGGTACTAAAAAATGCATAACTGCATCATGACATAATTCACACCACATTTACTCACGTTTAATAAATTATCCTTACAACATTTTGTAATTTAAGTTGAGAAAAAGTACCGCGCTTTCATGTCAAACGAAAAAGTACCGTGATAGTTTGTAAGCAAAATCGGAACAATATCTATGTTATTTTATCGCTACTTGAGTTTTTAACAAATGCTGCGCAAACAAAGAACATGCTTTACGCTGGTTTGTGCAGGACGTAAGTACGGTTCAGTTGTACGGTTTTATTGATTTTTGGTTCAATGCAGGAGTGATCTTACCTTTCAAAGCCCGCTTTGCACGAATTTTCTGAGTACTTTCCACTGCATTCTGTAGAAAAAAAACATAAGTTCAGTTTGAAACTCCTAATATTTTAGATTTCAATTATTATGTGCGACATATTAAAATACATAATTCTATACAAACGAATTATCTGACCTTTGATGCTTCCTCAGCGTTTTGATGAGCGTTTGGAAACGCAAAAGCAAAAGTAACTCCAACTCCAACTAGAAGCAGCAAAAACCATAGTGCATTATTCGTCATGTTGAAACTTTGATGTGAATTGTGACCTGTCAACTATCGTGTCGTTTCGGTGATAAGACTACTGTATTGAAAACATTCGGGAAAAATGTGTTTCCTCCACTGCTTTTATATTAATTTTCAGAGAATTTTATTGACGGAAATGATGTGAAATTGGAAGAACTTTGTTCGGCAAAAGTTAAGTATGATCTGCTTCCTGTGACGTAGTAAGACTAGAAAACTGTGAAAGGGTTCCGTTCAATGAGGGCCAGCCCGTCTGAAAATTTCGTCAGCGAGTTTCTTTATCTTGATGCACTCATAGCACAGTGCCCACTAAACGCAGGAAGCGTCGTTCCATCTTTGATATCATCAAAATGACAATATTAAAATATTGCATTTTCTTAGACAACCGTTAAGTGATGAAAATCACTTCCATGGGTGGCGTCCATGCGTAAGCAAAAGCCACCTTTGACCTTCAACACAGGGGTCTGAGATGAACCCACTGTATGCGTATGTGTCTACATACAATATATCGTTGCATTTTAATCAAGCTTCAGGTTTGTTACCTGAAACGAGTATATTTATACGGATCGCTACATGTGTAGAAATTGTTTAAAAAGCTATTTTGTTTACATAACTTTTATAAAATTTCCAGAAAAATATAAATATACGAATCTACAAAGCCTGGAATCTGGAAACGGATACAACAAAAGTGACATCTTTCTTAACGCAAGCTCCGTAGGATCAATTCTAGCCCAATCGTTGCTGTTACAATGTGTAGCCTGCTATCATTATCAGAAAAAAATAATTATTTATCGTTAGCCCGCTATTTTATGAGATCCACCGTATAAAGAGATTCGTACAATGGTCGGAGATGTACGAAGTTCTGGATTGTTTTCCTGTGTAATATCATTCCGTTAGAAATAAAATTTTATCATATGCAGTTCAGAGCAACACATTCCGTTTATTGTTATTGTCGCACTACAGTAGCCAGCTCCTTTTAATGGAGATATCCTAGGCTATTGGATTTTTTTAGTTAGATTAAAAAATTGTACAATTTTTTGTTTGATTTTATGAGATAAAATTATCTATCTAAAAATCGAACCCATGGTACACAATCCTAAAGCCTGACGCAGAGTTTTATCACCAGGCTATAGGCAATTCACATATTATTAAATGTATGATTATTATTTGGAGGATCACGAGTGACGAGCCTACGCCAACGGCTTCGGTTTGGCTTCCAGTGCCGTGACCTTGCTTCTGAAAATAGAGTGCTGCAAAGAAAACAATCAAGTCAAGGAAAGGCAATTAAAGAAACTTTAGGTCGTACGGGATCCCTGAAGCCGCGGTCTCGTCCCGCTGGTACAGTGACCTTTTGAAGCAGCTGTAACTTGCGTGGACACACTCGCTGCCTCATACACCGACCGCACTTTCGCGACCGTCGGTGCAGCGGAACACGCGGAAAGAGGATACTGTCGAAACATGGCTACAACTAGGGTACCATTTCATAGCTGCCGCCTTTAAAATCTGCGGATCCTGGGGAGGCGGAACTAAAACGATAGTGGAAAAGAGTCGCGTTCTGCGATCTACATAGTACATATCTAGCATCGTCCATTTCCGGTACATGCTGTCGCATGCACGCTGTTCTGGAACATTCTGATGGGCAGGTACATAAGCAGTTCAAGGCTGCTATTAGACCTTAGGAGTTGCATGATTTGGATCTGTGTATCAGAAGATCACGATGAGTAAAGATACCGGTATCCAGTCAGACACAGACGCCTCGTTTACATGTACGTGCAGTAGTTTAGACAGATAGTATATCACTTCCCCTGACCACTCTGAGACCTTACACCGCCACAGGTCAGAAGCGGACAAAAGAGTTTTTTGGACAGTGGCTAATGCTATCTATTCAAACGCAACGAGGAAACGCGGTATGTGTGATGGATATAATCCCCGAGCAGGATAGCAGATCTCGATCCCGACTCTCGCACTGCTCATGGAATAGTTTTTTTACCAGTGGGTTGAGCAACACGAGCAAGAACACAAGGATCGCATCAAACAAGCAGGAAAGGTCATCTCGGAATTTGTGCAACTTATCTTCAGGATCCAACGAAGCGACACAGTTCTTAGTTTTAATTAATTTTCCTCGCAGTCAGAGGGCAACTGCATGGTAGAATGCTGCATTAGCGCGGATTTCCCAGTCCGCGTACTGGGAATTTAATTTCTTTATGCAGGTGGGCGAAGTTGTACAACGCAACACATGTGCCCCTTAATAAAGCAGAAAAAAATGGAACAAACAAAAGTTATTACGGCATGATGGAACGCAGACATGGATTAAATAAAAAAACAGAACTTTTCTTGATGGTTTCTTTTGGTATTACAATGCAAAAATCTTAAATGCCAAATTTTCGCCAATATTTTATCACAGAAAACTCGGCCAGGTTTACAACCAAGCCAGAATTCCGCATGTGAAAGCGTTGTCACTGGTGGATTTCTTGGCCGGTGCTGTTAGATGAAAGATGAGAGCCTTGAGAGGAAACATTTAGTAGGACTGCAGATACATATTTAGATACATCGGCGACCGTATGAAAAGTCTCTTGTCAAACTAAACTTTAAATTACTGCGTTACGTTCATTTCGGTTTTCGCAGCCACTGTTAGCGATTGGAGATAATGTTGTAATTTGTTTAAACGGTTTTATTTTAAACCGCTTATATTCATTTTTATATAAACGCTTTGTAATTTGCATATTAAAGGAGCTGTTATACTTAAATCAGTTGGTTAGAGCGACGGATGCCCACCCGCAGGATGCTGTTTTCGTGTAATGCGATTTTCAGCGTGTGGGACTTTTCTACGCGTTTGTCCAGTCTCATCTGGACTATTGTTCCACTGTGTGGAGCAGAAGTCTGTGTCCCTGCGAGAGAAGTTAAACGTTGCACAGCGCAATGCGATTCGGGCAATCGCGAACTATCCGACGACGCGCGCTAGTGAAATTGTTGATGGACCGCTTCGGAATCGTTCCCCTTTTCACCCGTTGGCAGCACCAGGAGGCTATTTGGCTCTACAAGATTAAACATCCTGTTCCGTTCAACGTACCGACGTACATCCTGGACATGGTCGTGATTGACGACAAACGGGAACCATACAACTTGCGCAACGCCGATAACTGCACCATCAAAACAAAGGCGGCGACAAAATGCGGGGAAACGACATTAGCATGATGACTGAGGAAACTGCTGGATAAGATCAATCGTTTTGGCAGTGATATTCTTGAACTACGTTCTCTGGGCTGTTTTAGAAGTGCGCTATACAATTCTGGTCTTTATTAAACCACTATTGGTGTATCGTTTCCTGTTATTTGGTGCATTACTGCCTTCAGAGGGCTTCAGTTGACTTATACATTATTTCGATGTTTTTTTGTCTTAGAATTCTTCAGCCAGGTTTAAAATCCCAAGCTAGACTGTCACCCTAGCCAGAAATCGGCTACCTGCTCTGATTCGAATTAAATTAAATTGAATTAAATTAGGTTTGGCTCGGAGCTCGCTCGGAAAAGGTTTTTTGTGCGACTGACGGTATATTTCCGTTATAAAAAACAGCAACATCACAGCCAGATAAAAAAATGCGGCTTAGTAGCATAATAATAATTTTTTTTGCGCCGTGGCGGTAAAAAGTTTAGCACGCACGCACGCATAGAGATGGGCAAACTAAAACAGACTAAACTAAACTAAACTAAAACTTGGTCAAAAATATTAGCTGCCAAAACTGACTCGGTTAAAAGTTTTAGTCAGCTAGACTAACAATTAAAATTTTAAGTTGTTTTCTTGGTACGGCGAATGCCTAACGTCAGCTTACTAAACATTGTACAGTTTGTACTGATCATAGTAAATTTGATAGAGAAAAGAGAACTACAACTTTAATCCAAAATCACAACACGTTCCTTCTTCAAAAATCCATTCCATGACTTAAGGCACAATGTTGCTTGCACAGATGAAGTGGACAACCGATTACGTTTATCAGTTATCAAATGCTTGGCTCTAGAGTTTTCTCTCTCTGACTGCACGGAAGTCACGGGTATCCCTAACAAATCCATTGCCAATTTCTGCAGTCGGGGATACTTTTTGGCGATTTTCCAATAATCCATAATACCCAAGTCGTGAACTGTGGCTGTGTTCAGGTATTCTTCCACTTCGTCAATAGCCGCTGGGTGGGTGCCCGTACGTTGTGCCAACAATTTTTCCCGAATCGTCTTTGGCTCGTCCTCGCGATGTGGAGTGCTCTGTACACATCCGGTGCCAGGGCTATACTTTGCCAGCATATTTTTAAGCTGCCCTCTGACCACTCCTTTTTCCGCTTCTCCAAAAAGGGTATCTTTAAAGGCGGGATCAAGTACTTGGCCAACATACACGATATCTTTTTTCCAGTCTGCCAGCGCTTTGTCGATTGGCGCAGTCACTGCCGCCGCAACTTCTTGTATCCACAATGCCTACATACATTAAGTAACTAGTAACTTCATACAATATTATAGCGTACGAGTATCAAACATACACGTATAACTGCATTACCTGAGTATTAATACGCATTTCATCCAGATGTCGCTTAATCTCTGTTAAATAAGTAACTGCCAAGTGCAGAGTCGGCTCAGTTGCCGAAGAGAATTCCCTGCTGATTTTCTCAAAGGGCTCCAACAGTTCCGTCAGTTCCTTGATAGCACCTCAGTCCTCTTCGTTCATTACCAAATTTTCAAAACCAGCCGCGCTTGCAAAATATTCGTCAAGTTCCGAACGAATGGACAGTCCCCTTTGGCACATATCATACGTGCTGTTCCAGCGGGTGATGCAGTCCAACTTCAGGCCGATATCTTTTCGCTGCGCTGCTATTCGGAAATCCTCCATCGCGCGTGGACGTTTCAGTGTGACCACGATCTGCCGCAACTGTCCGATCACCTCTGACTTCTTCTTCAGCCCGGCGGTTACTGACAAATGCAAAGCATGTGCTAGGCAGCGCAGCCATACTTCGGGCACTGCAAATCGCAAAGCACAGTAACGGTCATCACTCAACTAACGGTGTAGTTAATTTTACCATTATAATTATATAAGCTGCAGTAGAAAATAAATTGTAATAAATATTTCATCAATTTTGATATACCGAAAAAAATAAAAATAACTCGTTTTTACCCGAGTTTCCCTTTCCACGAATCTGACGCTGACTTCTGAGAGCATCCAGAAGAAAATTAGGCTTCTCACAGGCTGCCTTCATATTACTTGCTCCATCTGTAACGATCGCCATAATCTTATCTTGAATCTGATATTCCTTGACTACTGCCAAAATGAGAGCCATTATGTTTTCCGCCGTGTGTCGCTCTTGAATGTAAATAAAATCCAGGAGAACAGATACAACATTCCAGTCCTTATCGACCCAGTGGGCAGTGATTGGAAAGTAAGACTCACTAATAACAAAATAATTGCATTTCGATAGTTACTGTACTCATATTATTACACATTATACGGGTGCGCTTATCCAGTCAAACATTTATACGTCAGAAAGTTGTCTTTATTTAAAAATGCCATAGACACATACTATAAATTGTAGCATAAATAAATTTTTATGTATGCGTACCTAGCAATAGATGTCCAGGAATCCAGAGTAATGCTGATGCGGCCGGGTGCATTTTTCAGCAGTTTGATAATTTCGGATTTCGTAGACGCATACTGGGTGAGAATACGCTGTCTAACTGTTTTGCGAGATGGCATCTAAATAATAAAATTATTGCAGAACAGTAAAACCCGATTATGAAATGAATGTCAACAAAAACGTAAGCAAAACCAAAAATCTTTGATGTGTTTACGAATTTTAATAAGCGTTATGTAGTCTATTTCTGAGTAAACACTTACCTTAAAACTGGGATTAAGGAAGGCGGAAAATTCGCGGAAGTCTTGCTCTTCGACAATGCTAAACGGCAGAGAACATGAAGTCAGCAGCCGGACGAGATGATCTTCCCTGCTTTCTGTATGTTTTTAGCCAACGAAGGGGATGACGTCTCTGCTGGTCGAAAACAGGCTGGAATCTGCTTAGGCTTGTCGGCATCGGGCTTAATTTCCTTCCATTTCGATTGGTGTTCAGCTTGGAGATGATACGAAAGTGTGGTTGCGGAACTTTTTTCCGAATACGTATTGGCGCAGTGGTTGCACTTGAGGGTCTTGTCAGGTCTCTCAGTGAAATACGTCCGTACCTTGGCCGCCGTCGTTTTCTTTTTCCCCTTCGAAGGTTCTACAACTTCCGGAACAGAAATGTCGGATTGTGCTGCTGGAGTGTTCGGTTGAATGTACGGGTCGCCAACATCAAGAAGCTCTTCATTTTCAGCTGCAACTCGCTCCTGATAATCGCGTTCAAATTCTTCGTCTTCCAGTCGTTGCCGTCTATGCTCGTCGTTGCGCGACGCGAACGACATTTCAGGCGTGAGAAAAACAAGTGATGCAATTATAAAAAACTCGTAAATCCACTAATAAAATCCGTCAACACTCAACAGGACTCCGCAAGGAGAATCACGAGATCACGGGAGAGCACATTCGGAAACTTGCACTCTTGCAGTATGTTGAATGTGTGTTAATGTTATACAGCATATAAGGCGCGTAATTTTGCATTTGTGCATTAATATTCACTGCTTGCAAGACTGCAAGAGTGGGAAATCACAACTAAGCTGGCCCCCGGTGGCTGTTATCTATGTAGCCTATAGGTATACTGTGTGTACTGCTGACTGCAGTGGCAAAATTAACCGTTTCCCGATGCGGTCAGTGCGTATACCGAATATCACCAAAATTATTTAAAATATTAATAATTGTTTTGGTTAACCGGTTAACCGAGTAGTTCTAGTAGCTAAAATTGACTTGGTTAATAAGTTTAGTCACTAACAGGCATTTGACTAAATTTTTTAGTCACTAATGTTGGCTAAACTAATTTTTTTAGTTTTGGTCAGGTTAACCGATGTTAACCGTTAATTAGTCGACCAATTTTAGTTTGCCCATCTCTATGTGTAAGTACCCGCACTGCATCCCGTGGAACTACAAGCAATGGAATAATATGCAGCTAAAATTTTCTTTTGTTGTGATTTGTATCCAAAATTTAAAAGCACAGCTTTCTGTCAGTAAGCAAACGTATTCCGATTTGTTCTAAAGATGTCGAAATTGTTTATTCCATAAATTAATCAACCATTCAACAGGTACAAGTTACAACGCTACGTTTACTTGTAAATTAGCCTCCGAAGCGCTAATCTAAATTTTCTAATGGCTAAAAAGCACAACAGCGGATTAATCCAGGAATTCGAATAAACCAGAACATATTGCACGGCATAAAAGGCTGTATTCCAATAACCGGTAAAATCCGCCAGTAAGAAATACACTGCATTCGGCATCCAGCACACGATCATTGCTCCCACGAGATACTGCAGCACCCGGTCAGCATCACGCTTCTTTTTATGCCGGACCTCAGAGCGTTTCCCGCTACCTTCGCAACTAAACTGATCTAGTGTTGCGGTGTCCGGATTGCGTACCATACTGACAACTACACGATTTGCTTGTGCATCAAATAAGCGTTTGCCATTTGCAGAATTGGGAATTTGCGCTGCAATTGAAAACGTACAGTGAATTCTACAAAAAATTTTAGCGAGCTCTTGCAGAAAAGATCTTGTTATCAACACTTACGAAGTTCAATTGAAGCTAGTGAGTGCTGTATCCCTGTAGCTCCTTGACGTAGTTTGTAGACAATAAAAATATACATCACCAGCGTCCACACTTCCGGTGTAGTAAACCCAAGAATTTCGATGGTGATCATTGTCAAAAAAGCGTCTGCTAATTTTGTCGTGCAGCGCTTTTCGTTGGGCAGTGCCCACTGTCTGCCCCACGCAAACAGCGGCAAATGCAGCAACAATACACAACACCACGTCGTAGCAATCACAGCGAAGACCAGCTTCTGGGTGTTGTGCTTTTTAAAACCCAGTGGAAAGGTAGCCGCCCAAAACCGGCTGACCGTAATTTGTAAATGCGCATAACGCACTGCCGAGCCAAGGATCTGATTGGACAGCGTGACAAATGAGCAGTACACCAAGTTAGACTGCCAGCCGCCTAAATATCCGTTGACAAACTGACCAGTCATACCGGCAGCGGCTAACAGAATTTCCGCGAAGGCTAAATTCATCAAATATGCATGGAATGGGACAGAGCGGACTGCGCGATCTTTAAGGTACACCACCGTGATTAGCGCGTTCAAACTTAATGCAGCAATGCAGCAGAATAGTGTGAACCAGGTCAACGATGCCGCGACGGGGTCATACTGTGAAGTAGTCCCGTTGACAAGATTTAAACTGATGGTTGCGTTTTTTGTGGTATTATCGAACAGAAGCATTCTTACAGACAGTAGCATAATAAACTGTGAATTTTAAAATAGAATTTCTGATGTGCCACTCACAAAGTGACTCGCAGCAAACCTTTTGTAAGTTAAATTAATGGCTACCTACAGCGAAAAGTGACTTCCATATATTTGCCACGTAGAACGAACGGCAGTTTTCGGTAAAGATTGACACGAACATATGCCGGTTAATCTTTTGCAGAGGCACCGCTCGCCGGATTACCACGCACTGATCGGTGGATTGTGTGCCGGTAATTGTCGTCAGTGGTCCCTGTGTGGTCGCCGACAGCGACCGGTACAGTTGTGCAGGATATTCTCATAATTTTGCAGTGCGTGATGAAATCATTGTGAACGCACTCCTACCTTCAAGTGCCAACACACTTCTCATTGTTTTGTTTATATATCCCTTGGGATGTGTATAGATAAAAACCTATTACAGCGTTGCATGAATGACAGTAAATTGCAACTGTAGGTTTGCAGATTAATAATAAAAGTCAACAGAGCGAATTAGATTGATAAATGTGACGTACTGTTTTTCTTGGCTATCCTCTAGGTAATGCAAAGAAGATTAACAAAATGTGACCTTCCTACGAATTAATTGATCACTTTTCATACAGAACCAAACAGACCAACTTTAATTCCGCCATACAGCACAGCACTTTGATGCTCCGTTGAATACACTGTCGCTCTTAGTCTTGATTAATTTTTACGCTTGCACCGTAATCGGATCAAGAGAAAGGGTGCAGCGAAGTGGAAATTTTTTAATCAAGCAAATTTGCAAACATGGCCGGATAGATTGAGAGAAAAAAGTATACGGACACGTTAAGTCGTTAACGCTTCAGAGACGAGAAGGTCATATGCACCAAAAGCTCTGCTTTATGCTATCGTTCTTTGAAATCTGCCGAGCGATGGATTACGTTGAACTTCATGTTCGCGATTGTTTTCATCGTGGTTGCCGTTCGCTTCCACTGTATAACAGCATACAGTAATTTTAAAAAGCTATTTATAAAATCAAGAAACCCCGGTAAATAAGCCACCTACATGTAGAAACAAATTTGATCGCAACCGCTTCACCCGTCGAAAGTTTCGTACCCCTTATCTCATACTGGATGCGCTTGCATCCAAGTTATTCAACTAAAAAACGCAAAATGAAAAATTTTTACTAATTTTTTGTCATTCCATCAAGATTGAAATGGTGGCAGGCAATATTTCGAACGCTTCAGCAGATGCCGCCGTGATTGTTCCAATCTGGATAGCGTATTGGCATTGGCTAACCGTATGGTTTATTCTATCACTCTTGTTATGCGTGACGGGTCTGTTTCTCAACGTTTCGCTCTTTGCCGCTATTGTCACATCCCCCCGGTTTCGCCAGGGATCTGGGGTGCTGATTGCTCATTCAGTTTTCTTGGAAATTATCCTCTGCTCAGCTGCACATCCTCTGATTACCGTCTCAACATACACCCCGCAATTTCATCTGGCATCCAGCCTGTTCTGCCGATACGTGATGCTGGTGTACTATGGGTGTATGTGGGCGGGTCATTGGGCTAGCGTCCTCATCGCGATCAACCGATTCATTGCCATCTTCTTCCCACACGGATACCGGAAGACGCGAACGCCCCTGGCACTTTCTTTGGTTATATTCATAGGCTGGACTATCCCTCTCGGAAGTGTTCTGACGCTGTTCTTTCAGATCGGAGCTGTTTTCGAGGTACACTAAATAAGCTGCAATGATACTGCAGTAGTGTACTGTACTATTATTTATTGAACAATCTGGTGATACCTATATATTCGAGATATGTGTGAGGTTGCGGTGGGGGTTAAGATTTCCTTAAATAAAGCTGAAGCATAAACATTGCTACCGGTACCAGTGGGTTGGGCAACGCAAACCAGCAGATTGTATGTACTCAGCCACATGGTCATTTAAGAATTTATCCAACCTATCTACCACAAATCAGCAGAATTTGTGCTTATTAATTCTGCTAAGGCAACTCGCAGAATGCCGCATTAGCGAGGGTTTCCCATTCCGCATACTGGGATTTAAGTTTCTTTGTGCTAGCGGGCGAAATTTTACATCTGGGCTTATGGTTAGTCCAGGAGTGTATTATAAAACAAACGGAAGTGATGATTGCATGATGGAGCTCAGATATACTCGTGGATTTAAAATAAAGGTCATGAAGACCAGATTCGTGCAATATAAGTTTATAATACTCAATTACACAACTACAGCAGAAAATCCAGCACTAATAAAGAGCGCTTGATACTGGTTTCATAGATGGGTTACAATTACCTTGACACATTTACGAACGCAGGTTACGATGCCATGGCGTGCCTGTGGCGCGCGTCCAACGAGCTACGCCTACGCCGTGATCATCACTATCAACACCTCCGTTCCCGCTGCCGTAAACGGGTTCATCTACCTCACAATTTTTGGCACGGTGTTTATTAAGCATCTATTATTTGGACGACGAATTCAACCGGAGAACACATCCTTAAACAATGGCTCCTCGGGAATCCTAAAGAAGCGTTTACGCACGGCGCGGATGCTGTTTACCACGTACATCTGGTACTCCATCTGTTACCTGCCGGCGCCCATTGCGGCCAGTGCTGCACCGGCAGCGTATGCCTCCCAACCGCTCATCTCTTTGTTTCTACGGTTACTCCTGGTCTGCTCGGCTACTACGAGCCCAGTAAGTGCATCGAAATCCTGTCTTCTTTGCGCAGTCGATAATTATAATATTTTTAGATGATTTATCTTGCTATGAATGCGGGATACAGGCGCTCCATGAAGTGGGTTATATTCTTCTGGACGCACTGCTGCCGACGATCCAGAAGGTTCAACCAAGAACCGGCAGAAAGTATCAGTGTCACGAAGCTTCGTAGTCGTAGCCGAGCGGCTAGTATGCGAATGGCGCGCAGCCTCAGTCCTCTGCCTGTCGAGCGCTGGTAAACGAGGGTTCCGAAATTCTGATGCAGAATGGTTGCTGACCAGATTTTACCGCTATGCGCCTGAACGATGTGGTTTTGGTTTGTAATTATTTTGAACTTATCGTATCAAGCGTCGGCGAAATTGTGGAACGATGCCATTTTTCTACTTTGCTTTTGCACTTCCGCGGAAATGGTTGAGTTGTATAATTTCTTCTACAGTACGCGAACATAATACGAAAAACACTGCAGCACTTAAAATTAATTAAAAATTCAAATACGGAATATGTATTTCCCGAACTATGCACAGTTCCGCGCAGTTCGGAATATTTGCAGCGCCACCAAAAATATCGAACCGGTTGCCGTGCTGGAACGATATCTTTATATTCATACAATCTTACCGTCCAAAACGTAATTAAGTTTGTTTTTTATGGATTCGGCATCTCGTGGTCAGATGAAGTCAAGCTTAGTCTTAAAAAAGTCCATATTTTCCAGTCCAACTTATCCTGAATTTTGATTTTTTTTAAAACGTTCTGGTCAGAAAATTTTGGGAGTTGGTCTTAAGTATGGCAAAACGCAAGTGCAGTACTAAGAATACTTTAGTAGGCTTTAGTAGTGTGAAGTACAGTTTGTAAAAAGTAAGCACATACGTGGATACTGTAACCATGGATAGTTCTGAAAGTACAGTAATTAAGTGGGAACGGCTTTAGAAGTAGTAATTCAGTTTTTGAACTGCGGGAAAACTGTCATACACGACTGCCGAAACAGTCCAAAAATTCAAACCTGACCAGTCCAGCACACACGCGCCGAGCGCGAAAGCGCGAGGCTTACCTTGTATGCTTACAATATTATTATGCAAGCGTAATTCGTAAATATCTGCTATGATAGTGCACAATCGGTATACGCATAAATAAGGTTAATTGCTACGTACATGCCAGTGTTTATTGCAATTTGCAGTTAAACTTCCAACACGGCAGAAACAAAATACGGACAGTGTAATAACTTTAGCGTGAACGTCGTGAAGAAATTGTGGGTGAAGCCAAGCTGGGTAGCTGAAATGTTGTTCTTTTGAAGCAACGGTCAAAATAGTGTGTTAGGTCTTTCTTCCGAAAACAGCAACCTAATCAACTGCCACTAAAGAGTATAAAAGGCGGCAGAAAAATCGCTACAAGTATCAGTTCAAAGCTTGTTTTGGATGCTTTTGTTTGCCACAGAGCTGGTTTTCCAGTTAGAAAATTTTCTGCATCATCCGCCCATCAACTTGTATAACTATCATGTTCTTATACGTTTCCACTGCGGTTTTACTGCTGAGCTCTTTGGTTTCTAGTAAGTCCCACTTAAGTCTGAATTTCTTTTCGCCATTACTTTTCAAGGATAAACTGCAACTTACAGGTGCATCTGCTACAGATTCCAAGGCGTCCGGCAACGGCAAGGTTTGTCATCATATCCAAAACTGCAAGACGCCGCCTTGCCGTCCCCCTCGTGAGTCACTGCCTGCCGCAAATGAGACAGCCGATATCTGAAGAATTTAAAACCTTTTTTATTTCGATTTCATGTTTAATACGTGTAAATTTGATGATGCAAAATGCAGGAACGGTTAGCGACTTGGTAGCCGTGGAAGTCGAACTAATGCGCCATCAAATATTTCAGTTTTAAATATTAACACGTGTTAAGATTAGCATTAGATTAACCTGTTTCATGATTTGAGCATGATTTTTACAGGAATCCAGGCTTGCAATAGCTGCGATTGCGTGATGCCAGAAAAGACTGGCAGCTCCTCCTCCAGCTCTTCTTCCAAGAGTTAGCATCTACTCGTAATAGATTGCCGGGCGCGCAGCAACACATAATGAAGCGTCATCCAGTTTGAGCTAATTTGTGTGTATTATACGCATGTCCTTTTATAACTTTTCACTGCGCATTGTAATTCTTTTGACATTTTTTCTTGTTCGACTCGAAGAACAATTTTTGTTTTCTAAGAAAATGCAGCCATAAATGGCGCCGTGGTATTTAAAGGTGTGTGAAAGGTTGCGATCCGAGTAAAAGGTAGAGAATGCTTGTGAACGGAGTATCACCAAAACTTAATCATCTCTCCCATCTTGACTCGGAATCCATGTAATTCATGTTGCCACACAAACGCGATCAGCGTCAAGCACATACGCATGCAGTAGATCTGGAGCTGGGAAAGAGAGTCAGTGTCAGAAGGTAACGAATATCCCTGCATACAGATTCGCCAATCAAACGATATCAAGGAAACAAGAGCTGGAATGCACTGGGAATTTATGTGCTCGTATCAATTCATGCTAATGGTAGAAACCACTCGCTTCAGTGGCGCTTTTTAATACAATGAGCCTGAGTCATGATTTAGGTTGATGAGCAGCAACTGAAACTGCAGAACCAATATCGTTGAAACAGGATACTTATGAGATACAACATGAATGGCTTCCTCCCGGAGTGATCGACAGCTTGATAGACACGTGAGATTTTGATCTTAGATCTCCTTGTCAGTGAGCACTTCCGTTTATAGACCCGCTCGTCTTTTTTGATTAGTCTTGTAGAGTGCCCCATCAGAAAAATATTGCAGTACTGGGCTCTTTTCGGTAAAGATTATAAGGAACTTTGATTGTTACCGACATTCGGTGACATTGATTAAGAGCGACACTTGTCACCAAATCTTTGTGGCCAGTACCGCGCAATGAGCAACGCTACCAATTTATCTTCGATTCTGGTTATTCCAGCGTGAATAACGTATTCGCACTGGTTGACCTTATGGTGTGCGTTGACCTTTATACTGTGTGCCGTCGGATTGCTTTTGAACGTATTACTCGTTTCGGCCATAGTCGCCTCACCGACACTCCGCCAGGGATCGGGCATGTTGATCGCTCATACTATCTTTTTAGAAATTATTTTATGTGCTATAGCGTTTCCTCTGGTGACTGTATCGACATACACTCCACAGTTTCACATGTCGTCCAACACATTCTGCCGGTACACAATGCTGCTGTATTACGGGGTGATGTGGGCTGAAAACTGGGCCAGTGTTTTGATTTCTGTTAATCGCTTCATCGCCATATTTTTTCCGCATGGTTACAAGAAAACACGAACGTCAAAAGCTCTGGCTGTAGCGATACTGGTTGGCTGGATTGTTCCGCTGTGCACTGTGCTGCTGCTGTTCTTTGAAGTTGGAGCCGTTTTTCAGTTTCTAAGACTTTTTTCACACTGCAGACATTTGCACTATATGAATTCGTGTGCATAGGTCACCAGAGATAGGGTACTCTGCGTTGTTCCATATTAGAAGACTTGATAACCTTTTATTAATCTCCTGTACATCGGAATGTCTAAGTACTTATATAAAAAAAACTGATATCTTTTCCCGGCAGTAAGTGCGAATTAGTGATAAAAAATAATACTAATTTAGCAAAGTATATTGCTGATAATGTTCTTATGTACTTTATACTAAACACTGCGGTATTACGTATTAACAAGTTAATAATATCGTCGCAGGTCTCCATGCCGTGGCGAGCGTGTGGCGCACGCCCTACCGGTTTCGCTTACGCTGTGATTACCACTATCAACACACCGGTACCCATCGCTATCAGCGGCGCCATCTACATCACTATCTTCATCACGGTATTCGTACGAAGTTGGTTTATCGGACGACAAACATCTCCACAAAATCCCACTCACAACCCAGGCACGGCCGGACCACTGCGAAAGCGTTTACGCAGCGCACAGATGCTCTTCATCTCCTATATCTGGTATTCCATCTGCTATCTGCCGGCACCGATTGTCGCCAGTGCCGCCCCCGTGGCGTATGCCTCGCAACCGCTGATCTCCTTGTTCCTGAGATTACTGCTAGTGTGTTCGGCAACAACGAGCCCGGTAGGAGAAGTTTAATATTGTTGGTGCTGTGGGGAAATAAATGTGGTGTTGTAGATGATCTACCTTGCCATGAATGATGGATACCGACGATCGACCAAATCTATGGTTATATGGATTCTACATGGTTGTCGAGACTTTTCAGGCATCCGCCACGAGGTTGTGGGTACCGTGAGCGGGACACATTACCGAACCAGCAAGGCCACTAGCATGCAGGTTGCGAGGAGCCAAGGCTCTCATCAAACAAATTAATTTGTTCAAGCCTGTTACTTGTAAGATTAGGCGCAAACTCATGTGCTACATAAAAGTCATTAAAACGCTGTTAATGAATGATTAATGTAGTTAATCATAGTTAATTGTGGGCCAATATCCATCCCATTTCTTGTTTATGGCTGTTCGTCAGCTTTCATTGGTTGCTTTGTTTCTTGAGAGATTGAGATTCTGAGCGGTTTCTGCGCTGCTGAAGTGTTGGTGTGTTCATTTGAAATCATTTCTGTAGTTTGGCAGTGAATTTTTCTCCCTCCCGCCCTTTCCCTTTGCATTGACTTTGTTTTTATGAGTGTTTTTCTGAAAATTGCACTTCTAATGTGAAGCCCATCACACGACAATTTGATAATCGCACTGGGCAGTTGCTGCAATGTTACACAGCTCGGAAGGTGTCCATTTTTGATTTTGATTCTTGGTTGTCTGGTTTCAACGTGTTTGCCGCTTATCGTTCCCATTACTTTCCCCATCTGGCGCCACACCTGTTTCGATACATAGATGTCATCAGAAATCTCTCGAAGAATTTTGATTCGGTTCTGTGGCTTGAGTATGACTCGCAGTTTCGGCTGTTGATGTCTACTCGCCCGGACAATTTTCTAATGTGGGGTGAGTTGCACAACTCCTTGTTCCATGAATTTGTGCTGATTAAGAGTCGCTCCGCTGCGCAGCATCGTTTTAACCGTGCGGATAACCGCTTTGCTGGCCCTTCTACATCACGCCAGGATACTGTTCGTAATGACGGGCCCTTTCGTGGCGGCCCCACCTCGGGTGGGGCTGACCAGGTCTGCTTTGCCTTCAATAACGGCAACTGTCGATACGCCATCTGCCCCAGTGGACGACAGCACATCTGCCTCATCTGTGATGAGCAGCGTCACGGGAAGTGGAATTGTCCAAGGCGCCGCGCCATTAAATCCAGCCATTCCAATGGCGCCTCAGACGCCGTTAAAGCCTGATGTCTTCCGTAAGTACCTTGCCAGCCACCCGGATCGGCATTTTGTAAATGATTTATTACAAATTCTCGACTGCGGTGCGGATATTGGTTTTCGTGCAGCACACCGTTCTCGTATTACACCTAACGCACAGTCTGCCCGTTCTCATGCAGATGTTCTAACTGGAGCCATTCATAAAGAAGTTATGTTGGGCCACACAGTGGGCCCATTTTCTCATCCTCCCTTTATTAATTTTGTCTGCAGTTCGTTAGGTGTGCGTGAGAAACGCACTGGTGGGCATCGTATAATTCTCGATCTTAGTCGGCCTGTAGGTGATAGTGTTAATGATGGCATCAGTAAAGAAGATTATTCACCGACTTATTGTTCTATTGATGATGCGATTCGGATTATCATTTCACTCGGGCCTGGATGTCTATTATGTAAACAAGACATTAAGCATGCCTTTCGTTTAGTTCCCGTCCGTCCTGAAGATTATCATCTTTTGGGTTTTAAGGTTGGTAAATACTATTATTTTGATTGTGTTTTGCCTTTCGGTTCCCGCTCTTCTCCTTATTTGTTTTGCATGTTTTCTTATGCTCTTCATTGGATCTTTAATAATCTGTACAGTTTTGAAGATTTTGTACATTATTGCGATGACTATCTGTTTGTTTTTAAATCCCCGTCGTTAGCCTCGAAGTATATCGATTTGTTTGTTGCATTAACTGCAGAGCTTGGTATTCCTCTTGCTCTTGATAAAGCCGAAGGTCCATCCACTAAATTACCATTTTTGGGTATTACTGTTGATACTGCATCTCAAACTGTGAGTCTTCCAGATGGGAAGTTGTTTGAAATTGTTGGTCTCTTAAATTCTTGGTCTGCTCGTTCTTCGTGCACTCGTAAAGAGCTGCAAAGTTTAATAGGCAGTTTGCAGTTTGCTGCACGTTGCGTGCCAGCTGGTCGGTTATTTACTCGTAGAATGATCAATCTGCTGTCTAGTGGGTCGGTTACTGGATCTATTAATCTTTGCGCTGAGTTTCATGCTGATTTGAATTGGTGGAGAGAGTATCTTCCTAAATGGAACGGCACATCATCGTTTATCTGTTCTGATTGGTTAACATCAGATGTTTTGAACTTTTATACCGACGCTTCTGCGGTTACGGGCTTTGGTGGATATTTTGACGGCCGATGGTTCTGCTCCCGAGGGCCGGAGTCTGTTTTGAAAAATAATCTGTGCATCCAGCTTTTGGAATTATTCCCAATTTTGATTGCTTGTACGATTTGGGGATCTCACTTTAGATGTCGTCGTTTAATTTTTCACTGTGATAATCGTTCCGTCGTTGATGCGTGGAAATGTCTTGGTTCGAAAAATCTGACGATGTTGCATTTGATGCGCAAGCTGCTTATGTCTGCAGCTGTTGAAAATTTTACTGTTAAAATCGAACATATTGATGGTTTTGATAATTGTATTGCTGACGCTTTGTCACGGTTTCAATTTGATCGTTTTAGGTCGCTGGTACCATGTGCATCACTCGATCCAGATCCTATTCCCGATTTGTACAGCGATCTACTAATACGTTAGTTAATCATCTTATCCTAAACCATGTCTCTCCTGCTACCCGCCGCGCTTATAACTCTGCTTTGAATCAGTTCATCAAGTTTTGTCGTTGTAAGAAAGTTGCTTTTTGTCCTGCTTCTGTTTCTACGGTATTAGCTTTCATAGCTTTCCAGTTTGCTAAAAAACGTGCGTTGTCCACCGTTCGGGTTTATCTTGCTGCCATTTCTGATCTGCATTGTGTGAATAATTTGCCTAATCCTGTGGATAATCCTTCTTGTACATACGCATTTAAAGGATATGCGCGACTGCATCAGCAAATTGTTGATTCTAGACTTCCTATTACGCCAAATATCCTTGTGCTGATTAAAAATCAGCTGGTTGTGTCATCATTGTGTGAGTTCGATAAAATCATATATTGGTGTGCGTTTGTTATGATTTTTTGTGGTTTCTTGCGAATTGGCGAACTGCTGGCATTGAATTTTGAAGATATTTGTGTTGCTAAGGATTCATCCCTGGTCTCTTTTCGATTATCTCATTCCAAAACGGATCAGCTTCGCCGTGGACATTGGGTTCACTGTGTTCGCGCCTCTGGCTGCATTTGCCCTGTTCGGGCTGTACAGAAATGTCTGCGTGTTCGGTTTGCGTCAGGTGCACATTGTGGTCGATTATTTGTGGACAGTGCTCATCGCATAATCTCCCGTTCCATGTTTCTGTCGGTCCTCAAGTATTGCCTTAGGAATCACCCGAATGTTAGTCGGTTCAATACACACAGTTTTCGAATTGGTGCTGCGACTACGGCCGCCAGGAGAAATGTTCCTGCTTATCGGATCAAGGAGGCTGGGAGATGGAAGTCCGATTGTTACCAGCGTTATATCCGTGATGTGCACGTGAATCCTGCTCTTTTTTGATGTTTTTACTGGTCGCTGATGTCGTTCGTGCTGTTGTTGCCGGTTCGTTGGGGGTTGGTTGTTGGGGGCTGACGGGCCTTTGCCCAGATGTCTTCCAGTTCCGGCAACACCACGCTATGTTTGTTCGTTTAAGCGCCCACAATTAACTGCTCTTACAAAACGTTTTTAACATCTGTTTTTGCACAAAGCACGTGATCTGCGTGTTGATGCGTTAGGACAACTCGAAATATGGAACACTCGTGATTGCCTCCTGAATCCAAAACGTGAGAAGTAATCTGAATTTTAGATAAGAGTAAGACCCGTAATTATTTGGTCGACCAGCGAATATTAAGATCTTTCATTACAGCCGTAAGCGATATAACACGGATCTTTAATCGGAAACAGGACGGCAGCAGAACGCTAAACAGAATTTCTTTACGTTGTTATCTCAAGTTTCAGTAATTAATCCCAGTACTTCTGCACGTAGAAGCAGAACATATCAAAATATTTCAATATCAATGTCTTCTATTGTAAAATACGAAACCAAGACTACAGGTAAATAGTATCAATCTTAAAACGTGCTTTCATTACTATGTACGTGAGAATAACAAAAAATCAGGTTCTTCTAAGCGCTGCACGGAACGTCTTCATGGCTACAAAGCACAGGATCGGATTAATCCAGGAATTGGAATACACCAGGAAATACTGAATTGCGTAGAATTTAATATTCCAGTAACCAGTGATATCTACCAGCAGCCAGTAGATGCAGTTGGGTGTCCAACACACAATGACCGCCACCACGAGGTATTGCACCATGCGATCATGATCCCGTTTGACACCGAATCTGTCTCGAGGTGAACTGTGATCGACCATGGAGTTGATTGGTCGTTGGGGATCAGCTTTGCTGTTGCTCTGATCTTTAGCATCCTCTGAGTCCCGATTGTTCTTTGCGCTACTCACAACAATCGTGGATATGGTCATCATCTTATCTAAAAATTAATAAACATCAGAATGTGGGATAAAAAGGTCATAGTAACTGCTGCAATGTTTTGTAGAAATTTTTAGTGGGTTGCTTTAAGGACAGCAAATAAATAGCCGTTTACTGAAATCAGTGCACAAATGTAAAAACAACCGGAAAGTTAAGCGAAGATTTGACCACATGTTTCTGCACAAGATTCGGAGTAGTAACAAAAATTTTTTGTATCGTTGACATAACAAAAGTAAACAGCAAAATTTATGAGGTTTATAATGACCGTGCTTATTAGTTTTGTATCTGTATATCCAGTGTTCATATGCTGCATACCTAATGTTATAACTGAAACTCGTTTTCTAGCTTTTATGCGTTGTCGGAGTTGGTAAGAAATGTAAACGTATGCCCCCACGATAATAATCTCCGGCAGACTAAACCCAAAAAATTCCACCGCCACGGCCGCTCCGAGTTGGAAAGAGATATTAATAGTGCACTGTTTAGCGTTTGGATTGGGGTACTTTCTACCCAGAACAATGACCGGCAGATTTAAAATCAACAAGAAACACCAGGTTACCCCAATAGTCACCAACGCCGTGCGATGAGTATTATATTTTTTAAAAGCCAGCGGGAATGCCAGAGCGCAGAAGCGGTTCAGGGTGATGAGGACGTGTCCGTAGTGTACGGCTGCTCCGAATATCTGATTGGACAGAGCGGTCAATGTGCAATAACTGGGCCAGGTTTTCCATAAACTGAAGTAGTAATTGACGAAATAGCCGGTCATTCCCAGACCAGCCAGTAGCAGCTCCGCAACGGCTAAGTTGACGAGGTAAGTGTGGAAAGGAACGGATCGAATGGCGCGCCATCGTAGATAGATGTACACAATAAGACCATTAAGACACAGGGTCGCTAAGCAGGAGAATAAAGCGAACGATGGAATAACGCTAGTTATGGGGTCACTCACGAAAGCAGATGCATTCGTAGGAATGGCAACTGTCTGGTTGGAAGTCACCGTGTGGTTAGCCATATCGAGTTAATATCGCTCACCTTTCTGACACCCGTTTAGATGTTGAATTAGTACATTTATCGGGCCTGCATACATACATGCTGTTTATCGCTATAAGCGTATTTTTCAGTTCGGCAATTAACGGTTCCAATAACAAATTTGTCTCTGTAAATTATCTACCTGGACATCTGCGTAGATCATTTGCGGATTCTCTGTATTTGCGGCTCTTAATGATCGGTCTTATTAAAATTCACGGGAATCTAGGTTGTTTCCCCCCAATTAAAGCAGCATAATACAAAATTATTATGACGTACGAGAAAACGTGTTATGGTAATATGCGTACGAGAAAACGTGTCATGGTATTTTGCCGTACACCGCCAAGGCGTTTTTATTTTCCATCTAATAATGGTATGACCGAAGGGTGATTAGTGAGTTTATTCGAGAATTCCCAGTGCTCGTGCACAGTGAATCTTCCGAGTCCGCAATTCATACAGTGTACAGTATAAGAGTAGAGGGACAAATAAAAAGGTCACCAGACACAGACAAGCGGTCAACCCGTTCCAAGACCCATCTGGTTAGATGCCGGCGGAAACGTTCACACTGTTGCCGTAAAAATATTATCTGCAGTAAAGTGCGTCTCATTGGTACCAGTTCAACCGGAAACATTTGAGTGCATACTTGCACGAACTGTCTAGCTCTAATGCCGATTTTCTAGACATTTGAGAATCTCTAAATGTCCTGAAATAATTCTTGCAGTTGCCCCTGTCCTTGCTCTTTCTCAATGACTTTTCAACTGATTAAAAATGTGCGTTCACTTTGAAGATTGCGTCGACATTTGGTTACCATGTTCATACCTGTAGTTGTATAATTATTTTTTGAGTAATTCGTTAGGTTCACAATCGCAGACGGACCTACCGACGAATCATAAAGGAGGTTTGCTTTTTATTGTAGTACGGGTGTGTAACCACTCCACTAATGGCAGCTTAGAAGTTGCCGTTGCAATACCCAGTTTGCTTTTTTTTGGCAGAAGGCGAATCTCAGCGGCATTTGATCTCTTCTCAAGAAGCACCCAATGGCGCTTTGCGCAAGGCAGCACAATACCATCAATACACTTTGTACTTATCCTTCGCTCCGCAGCCACCGAGCGAAGTGGAATTACAACAAACAGCTGAGTACAAGAAAAGCAAAGCTTTATGCAGATACAGACTACTGCAAAAACCTTGAAAATGAAGTGAGCTTTAATTTATGAATCATATAAGAAGTAAGTGAGATGACACTAAAACAGTAGTTTAAACCTGGTTTGAGTACTTTTACCTTTTTTGCATTAGCAGATAACCGTAATAGAAATTAATACATTATGGTAAGCGACACGAGCGAGTCATTCGCTTGTAAAGTTCCGCCCTAAATTTGTGCATGGCAGAAAAGCAAAGAACAGGATTGATCCAGGAATTGGTATACACCAGCAGATACTGTACTGTGTAGAATTTTGAATTCCAGTAACTGCTGAGATCAACCATTAACCAGTAGACACAGTTAGGGGTCCAGCAAATGATCACAGCGGCCACCAGGTACTGCACCATGCGATCTGGATCCTGTCGGTGGTCGCTGCCGGCAGGGGTCATGTTTGCCTCAACACTGTGCTGCTCGGCAGTGTCTCTCTTTGATACATGGGCACCACTGCGAATTTCCTCCAGGTCAACGTGTTCTTTCGTAACGTCTTGTGCATTCGATGTCCTTGTGGCCGAATGGGCTGCAACTGCAATATGCAAAATGCACGTTTCATAATTTTATTTATTGATTCCGCCTGTTAAATCGACATTCAGTTGTTTAATGTATACAATGATATTAATTTTGCCATATTAAACTGTCCGAACTACCTATAAGTCGGAAACAAGGATAACCGTGCAATAAAATTAATTTTTTTAATTATGAAGCATATACAGTTTGTGTATGGCTATTGTACTTACCACTCTGACCAACCCGATTTGATTTCGTTATAGCGAAGCGGTGTTTCAGTTTGTAGGTGATATACGCGTACGCCATTACTATAATTATTTCTGGTAAGCTGAAGCCGATAAATTCAACGACCACAGCGGCCTCCAGCTGGAATGATGTATTAATAGTACACTGTCTTGGATTACGCTGCGGTATCATCATTCCGCGTATTAGAACTGGCAGATTCAGCACGCACAAAAAACACCAAGTCATCGCAGTCAGAAAAAACGCAAAACATCTTGTGTTATACTTTTTAAAATTTAACGGGAACGCAACCGCCCAGAGCCGACTGAGGGTGATAAGAACGTGACCATAATGTACGGCCGATCCAAAGATCTGATTGGACGTTGACAGAAAGCCGCAAAAACCGTTGTCGAATCGCAGGCCGTACCAGTATTGGCTAATAAACTGACTGGACATTCCAAATGCAGCTAGGAGAATTTCAGCGACGGCTAGATTAGCTAGATACACATGAAAGGGCACAGTATAAATGGACCGCGTGGTCAGGTAGATGTGGACGATAGCGCTGTTGCCAAACAATGTAGCGATACTGGAAACCGCGGTGTACCATGTCAAACCGATGGCCACGGGATCACGGTTTAAAATAACAGCTGATAAGTTTGTCTGATTGTTTGACCAGGTCGGTACCGAAGCGTGTGCAACGTACGTAATATTATCCGAGCTGCCGGTCATGTTCATAATGGCGGGTATAATTACCAGGTATTACGTTGCGGTAGCGACCAAAAAGCAGTTAATATTGACAACAACCTTTTTTCTTGCGAATAACAAAATTACCGGCTACTAATCCGGCAGTGGGTAGTATTTTCGTGAAATACAGACAGTTCATCCATACTGACGGAAGTGCGGGGGTACGCCCTCTCATGGTGGTCAAGAGGAATTCGCTACCTTAAAAGATGAGCAATCTACCATATCCGCGTGTAGGTGGCGCGACATTACGCTGATTAAAATTAATAAACCGCAACAAGAGAGTATACGCTGGATCGTGGTGACTCATGTGACCTTGCGTTAAGTGCATTACAAACGCGCGTCATGACAATTTGATTACCAGCCGTTATCACCCATGTCAGATGATTTGTTTGTGCAGCTTTGGGATAAATTTTTAATTCCTTATGCGCGCCGTGACGCCGCCATCCTTGCGCAGACTATATGTTTGTATGGCAGGCATATGTCAGCACACAGCGTTGGTATGGGATAGGCACTAATTATTTAATCCCATCGGTAATACATTAATCATCTTACCAGCCATTACTCAAGCGCAGTTATTACGAAAGCAATAAGCAATAAATTAGCATTACTACTTTCTTTCACAGGAAATAAATATTAATATTAATAGCTTAAAACCGACAGCCACGTGTATTATCGGCTATTTTTCGGTTTCGGTCTCTTTTTCTTGTGCAGGATGCTTTCCGTGTAAACCGTGGAGCGCTTTGAGGATAATAGGCACATATACAGTTGTGGTCTCCTCCATATTGTCGCTGTTGGTCGTATCAGACTCGGGAGCTTCCGTGGTCTCTTCCCCATCAGAACTGCCAGCCTCTGTGGTACCGTCCGTGTCACTTTGATCGTCCGCATCGGTAGTTTGTTCTTCGCTATCGGCATCGGATACTACTGTACCGGTGTGGTGATGTTCCTGGTGGTGATGATCAGGCTTATCTTTGGAGAGCCGACCGGATAGTTCCGACAGCGTAATAGAGTTTAAAACAAAATTTGTGTCACGTTTGAACATCCATATGTTCGGGTCGCTATTGTCTTCGGTCGTCCACCAACCCGAAGGTGAAGTGGTTGGCTCTCCGTCGGTTGTGGAGTCGGTGACTGTGGCGCCATCTGTGGACACTTCTTCAGTTGTAGCAGTAGGTTCGGTTATTAAGGTCGACTCGCTGTACTGATTCTCTGCGTCGTCCGTCGACGACGATACACCTTCCGGCGTGGTAGTAAGTTCGGTAGACTCTGTCTGTTCTGTGGCGTCGGTAGGCATTTCGTCATTGGCTGGCGCATCAGTGGACTCTGATGCCTCAGTGCTGGCTTCCGTTACGGAATCTTCCCCATACGTATTATCTTCCCCATCAGAACCGCCAGCCTCGGTGGTAGTCTCTGTTTCGTTCTGATCATCCGCAGCGGTGGTTTGCTCTTTGTCATCTCCATCGGAAACTACTGTACCCGTGTGATGATGTTCGTGGAGATGGTGATCTGGCTTCGTTTCACTTTGATCATCCGCAACGGTAGTCTGTTCCTCGTCATCTGCATCGGAAACCACTGTATTGGTATGGTGATGTCCCTGGTGATGGGGGCGGTCCGGCTCATCCTTGGATAGCCGACCGGACAGTTCCGACAGTGTCATGGAGTTGAGAACGAAGCGTGTGTCGCGTTTCTCTCGATCCTCCAGGACAGTGTGGTACCAAGGGGGAGTAGTTGGCTCTCTGTCGGTCACCGGTTCCACAGAGGCTTCGGTTGTGACTTCGGTGTTCTCGGTATCGTCCGTGGACGCTTCTGGAGTTGTGGTAGGAGGTTCGGTTATTAAGGTGGACTCGCTGTCTTGAGAATTCGTTGTATCATCCGTTGATGATGATATGCCTTCCGGTACACCATCAGCCTGGTGTAATTCAATGGTACCCTCGGTGTTCTCGGTCTGATCTGTGGTATCGGCTGGCGTGTTGTTATTGGCGGGCGCTTCAGTGTTTCCCTCAGTCGTTGTCTCCTCTTCCGGTGTACTTGTGTCCGACGACGAGTCAGACGCTACCGTGGTTACAGGTTCGCCGGTTACCACGGAGATATCGGTATTTTCTTGTGTTGATTCAGATCCGCTTTGTGCTTCTGTTGTTGCCGATTCCGAGTCGGTTGCCGGTGGCTCGGTGGTTTGTGCATCCTCAGTATCCGCTGGTGTGTCGGTAACGGTTTCTCCTAGTGTGTCATCGGTGCTGTCTGTTGTCTCGTCAGTGACATCCGCGGTTTGGGTCGTCTGCACAATGTCCTCCGTGGTTGTGGTAACATCGGTATCATCGGTAGGAATATCGGTAGCAACCGTTGTATCCTCTACATTTACCGTAGCAACATCAGCTTCCATGGTCGTTGGCTCGCTTTCCGGGGTAGTAGCAACTTCTGTAGTCACGTCACCGCTTTCTGCTGTTGATGGTTCTGACGTTGCATCTTCGCTAGTTGTTATTTCGGTCGTAACTTCTGTGGTGATGTCATCGGTAACAGGTTGTTCTGTCGGTTTTTCAGTGGATTGCTTTAGAATGGCGTGCAGCGTGGTTTCGCTGGGTGGTCGTTCCGTAGTAATGCCAATCTGCTCGCAACGCTGTTCCTGTGACCACTTGCAGTAGCCGTTCTCGTAACCACAGGGTTCCACTTCACAGTGAATATACACTTGCGCGTTGCCGGCGTGAGGAAACTGGAATTCATCCATGGTGAAGCTCTGACGGATGTAGCGTTCGCTGGTCTCCAAGGTCATTTCCACGGATGGATCAACGTAGCACCTGCCGAATAAAAATCGTATGAACAGTGAACATACGTACATTAAAAGTATAGTATTGTACCCGTTAGAAATGATGACGTGTTGATTATCGTCTGATGCATTGTTAGTCGGCGTTGCCCAACACTTCTCCACGGACAGGGGCCATTGTCCGTCTGCTGTAGTGTCCAGTGTGATGTCAAAAGCGTATCCACCGCCAAGCGATGTTGTCGGTTGAACATCCATTCTGTGCAAGATAAGTTGACAATTTCCAAATTATCCTTTATAAAAATTTTCTATCGAACCATTACTCTAAAACTTTTCAATGAACAACAAGAAAAAATAAAAAAGCTGACAGATGAAGTGACCTTTAGCGAATCCTAGCTAATAATGATTTCCTACAGGTCTGCTCTAATAAAAAAGCAGCGGATAAATCATTTTTTAACTACACACGTATAGAAAAACAACAAAACTAATTACACTAGAAGAAGTAACGAGATAAAAACCTTCGCTTACTTGACACGAACTTGTCCATCTCCTTGTTGGATCGGGTATGCCGGCGCCGGTGTCTGAAACTGCTGGCTGAGATCGCCCAGCTGATTTAGCCGACATTCAACCGGGATCTCTTTTCCACCAGCTACCTTGACTGACCGACCAGCCGCCTTACGATTATCGGCTTCCTTCTTGGTGACCACAATTTTATTTTGTATCACCATCAACTTCGTCCCTCGGGGATGATTAATAGTGGTTCCGCATTGGTTCAGCGGAACATCGAAATGCACGGTCCCGGCATGCAGTCGTCCCTCACACCGTTCCTCCAGACTTCCATTCAGGCGAAACGCCAGATTCGTCGTCACACCGACATTGCGCAGACGCACCTTGAGATTCTTGTAGTCACAGGAGATCTGCGAGCCGGACAGCGGCGCCACGCCCGCTCCCACCGGCGCAAACGGCACCATCGGGCAATCCGGTAAGGTGAATTTGGAAAGGGATACACCTTTCTGGGGAAAGTCCCCGCACGTCGCTCCGTGATGGGTCCCACATTCCCAGGTATCCCCTTCGACCAGCGGGTTCTCGTATGCTCCATTCTGCCTCCAGATGGGTGCTCGCCGCATAATATCCAACATGGCACAATCACAGACGAAAGCCTTACCGCGAAGATTGAAGCACTGTAGCGCCCTCAGGGTGACAACGGAGCGGGATAAGTTGACACGCCCACCGATATCCAGAGACAAACTCTCCAATGCGGTGGCGCCGTTGAAAAAGTCGCTGGTCAGGTGGCTACCATCGTGGGCGGCGGTTAGATTGAGGATCTTCAGGTTCGGCATAAATCTCCAGATATTCTTATCAATCTCGAACAAACTGAGGGTGTTAATGACAAGCTTGTGGATCAAAGAGGCGGAGTTGCCCAGTGACTGCTCGCTGATCAGTAGGTCGGGTAAAGGTTTCTCACTGCTCACTTCCAGGGAGAGCGGGACTTTGGAGCCGGTGAGGTAGTAGCTGTCTAGGGCGGAGCGCAGTTCCGTGGGTTGCACGTGGTGGCAGTGTAGGTGGACTTGTTGACCTCCATCACAGCGGAAGAAACGGCAACGGTGGGAGTTGTATTCAGCGAAGGCGGTATCCGGGTGATTGCATTGCGACGGACGGGAATCTTCGTGTTCGGCCTTCCTGGGAGAGGGACGCGCCAAAGATGATTGGGCAATAAGAAACACGAGGAGAATGACGGGGACAAGCATTTTCATCATTTACATTAGCGGACGATCGAAAACGACGGTGGAAGTGTATGACATTGATGCTTACATTTGTTTATATATGATACAAAACGGGTATGGGTTGTGTTCAACCGTGTTGTTGATAATATATGCGCTACGGTGTATGGATGTAGTCATGGGGGAGAAAATGTTTATTGTTTGTTGAATGGAAGTTTTATTGCTGGTCCGCACGCATGCGTTTGTGTTCCAACGAGATGTTCAGTAATAGTTAATTAGCATGCCTGAGTCAGCTTTAGCGTATTATGGACTTTTAACGGTTTGTTGCTGGCATTCTGCAATATTGCACAATGGCGAATTATTTTGCGACACAGCCCTTCGTGCATTTGAATGACCTTGGTTTTCTATACGTAATTGTATCATTATTTGTAATTTATGCGCTGAAACATAAGCGTAATGTCAGTATCAAATTAATATGCAACGTACTGCTGTTGCATGCCTTGCCGGCTTTCGCCTTTGATTGAGTAAAACTTGTAGAAGTATGTAAAAAAACAAAAGATTTTTATTCAACAACAGAGCGCGTAATAAAACTTTCCGTTTTTCATAACCAGGAAGGCATATACCGCAGAACATCCATTATCGGCGCTTGGTTGTCACTGATCCAGGAATTATGTGGCCCACCAAACGATGCTTAGTAGCGAGATAAGGTCGAACATAGGGATCTACAACAATACAGTACGTCGGTTATCTTGAGCGGCGTAGTTGGCAAGTTTACAACATACGCGGAAAATATTAAAAATGACTGTTACTGTTATCGTCATTTAAGCCTTCTTTGGCAAAATGGTCAGTGCCGCGATTTAATATTACGTATACTAAATTTCAGAATAAATTTATTTAGTATTCAATCGATAAAATCTGAGTAATTTAGGCAGTTCTTCGGTATTAAGTAAGGGACATGTACTCCCAATAAGCAAAACAAAAACTTTCCACTCTTACCTGGCCGAAAACGATGACCACGCCCAAGCAGTTCCCACTGATCTACGGCAGTATCTTCGGTACGTGGTACGGGTTCAAGCGTTGGAACAGTGAGTAGTTCAGCAGGTTGGTCTTTGCCTGTGGAATCGTTAAGATGCTCGACGGTCGCGGTGGGTTCTGTAAGCTTTTCTGTTGTCGTGGGATCGGTCTGGTGCTCAGTTGATGTATATTCTAGTACGGTAGTAGTTTCTATGGTAGTCAATACGGTAAAGGTCGCTGGTTCGCTGGTGGTGGTGGTTGCGACGGTGGATGGTGCGATGGGCGTGGTATGCAGCGCAGCACAGCGTTCTTCCTGGGTTAACTTGCAGTAGCCGTTGCCCTTCTGGCAGGGTTCCACCTCGCAGTGGATGAACACCTGGGCGTTTAGGGTTGAAGAAAACTGGAATTCATCCAGTGTGTAGGTTTGACGGATGTACTGGTCGCCGGATTGGGATTCCATGTGGACAGTCGGATCCACGAAACAGCTAAAACAGCCAGAACGCGGCATTATTGGGCAGATGATTCGGTTGTCAAGGTTTTGGTGAAGTAAAGGTTATCTTTTTATGGGGCAGAAGACAATAAATATGACAGTATAGAGCGCTCACCCGCTTTTAATAATATCGTAGCGAAGGGCATCAGATGGGTTATTAGTGGGTGTGGCCCAACAGTCTTCTACGGACATGGACCAGTTGCCGGCAGCCGTCGTGTCCAGCGTAAGGTCAAAAGCAAATCCACCCCAGATTGATGTTGAAGGCAGAACATCCATTCTGTACAAAAAATTACGTTATGAACAGTAGCATATCGAATACTGGCTTGTGAAATGCGTGTATAATAATAGTTACTAATTAGAAACTCTTTCGACACTAAATGATTATTCTGTGGAGTTTGAGGTTTTCTTATTCCATAATCGAATTTTCTACGAAATACACTTCACCATACAAAATTTCACCACCCACTTGATTCTCACACGACCGTCCCAATGTTGTTTGGGATAAATCTGGTACGGAGCTTGGAACTGCTGCGACAAATCACCATACTGATTCAACCGGCATTCAATGGGCACTACTTTCCCGGATACCGTCTGTGCGCTGGGGTTCGTTATCACCGTCCCGCTTGTCTTGCGCGTTATCACCACCTTATTTTGATACAACACTGACTTGGCCTGACGGTTGATAGTCACATTGGTTCCGCATTCCGATGCCGGTACGTCGAAATGGATGACCCCGGCTTTAAGTGTGCCTCCGCAACGCGGATCAGCGTCACCGTTTAACCGGAAACTCAGATGATTCACAATTCCCATATTACGTAGCTTAATACGCAAATTCTCGTAATCACAGGAGACTTGCGATCCGGCCAGCGGTGCCGCCCCAAGGATGGTGGATACGAAGGGAATATGCGGACAATCGGGGAAGTTGAAGTTGTTCAACGCTTTACCGTTATGGGAGGGAATCGTGGCGCCGCACTTCGCGCCGGTATGGGTTCCGCACTGCCAGATATCGTCGTCCAGCAGCGGATTCTCGTAGTCAGTGGTCATTCTCCAAGCCGGCGACCGGCGCATAAATTCCATCATATGACAATCACAAACAAAGCGGGTCCCTCGCAGATTAAAACACTGCAGGGATTTCAGATCGATGACCTGGCTGGTGAAATTATAATCCCGCGCTGCGCCGAGATCCAGGTGCAGGCTTTCCAGGGCGTCCGCGCCGGCGAAAAACGTCGGCGGGGGATTTCCATTCGTATCTTGCACCGTAATCTCCACAATTTTCAGGTTCGGCATGGTGGACCAGAATGTGCTGCCGGATGAAATAGAAGTAAGAAAGTGGGTGTCGATGGACATGCGGTGAATGAGTGCCGCGGAGAGTCCGAGGAGACCACTGTTGACCGTAAACGGTTCGTTCCGGCCGTTGTTGTATAACCGGCCATACAGTTGCAGGTGCAACAGCGGCTGTGTTCCCCCCGGCTGCGTGGCTCGCCGGTAATAGTTAGCCAGGACATCACGGACGTGATTATTCATGCTGTTGCCATCGGTGACCCCTGCGTTTCGGCACTCCAGGCGCAGTTGTTGACCGCCATCACAGCTGTAAAATTTGCAGTATGCGGTGTTGAATTCGGCGAAACCGGTAGTTTCGTGGTTGCAGTTGGGTTTGAAATTTTTGGTGTCGGCCAGCGCCGCTGCCACAATCGTCAGAGCGAGTACGAGTTTCAGCATTATGGAATTTGATTTTTGTAAAATATCATTCGCATGCAAAAACACCCGGCGCGACCATATATAAGTCGGAAATAGACTGCGAGTTAAATGGAATGTGATTATTATGATAATTTCGCTACCGTTCTGACTTTTATATCCAATTGTGCTGTTATCGGTCTAACAGATAATGTGCCACGTTGTGCCATTCTACTTACTTTCGGTCGACTCTTTAAACGATTAATCGTATGGTGATTGTTCAACGTCTTTCGGCGTTCGCCGGCAACGGATAACATGAAATAACCTTGCCCGACGCATCCGCTGTTTTGTGTGATTCACAAAGAACGATAACAACAGCTATCAAATACTGCGCCTCTTACTGAAATGTGTCTTTGTTGTACGAAGAATGGTCAGTCCAATATTTAAGGGGATCCCTATGAGATGAAAGTGGGTCTGGGAAAACATGAATAAGTTTGAAACAGTTGAAAGATCACTGTTGCCATTGTTCTGTCTGCATGCGCAAAGGGTTTGGCTATACAATGGTGTGCTGCGATCTTGTCTACGCTCTCTCTAGACAGGGCTATTCAAGAAACAAAGAAAAAACTTTGGAATCAAAAGTTGAATGAGAAAGTTTTCTCGAATTAGATGCAATACACATCACTGGATGTGTTTTAGCCTGAAAAGCTTATATTCTCCAACATGCTAATAAAAAATGTTGTTAACTTACAAAACAATTGAGAAAAACACTTTTCAAAAAGTGTTTTTTGGAGTTTATTCAAACATGCTTTGTTGGACTATAGCGGAGTGTCGGTATATAAGCTTTCTAGAAAATAACACATTATCTGATGCCCTTTTGGAAAGTGTAGCAAGTTTTACAATGAAGTTATTGATTTTTAAAGCCCTTTAACTAGTTTTTGAAAAACGGCAGCTGAATGGAGGGCTTGTTGACTGACCGGCAGCAATGTGTGCCAGAGCCGGCTACCCATGCCCGCGCTTTGCAGAAAGAGATCAGACAGGACATAGCTTGAGAGGGAAGAATGGGTATGCTCCGGCCACAGGACAGCATCAGGTGTTCTGTCTGAGATCTTCTGTGGCATATCTGCCATGAGGCTGGCCATGGCTAGCCGATAACATCACTGCATTTATTGCGCCGCTGTTGACCCAGCCTTGTTTTTTTACTTATAACTTGTGATCACAGTGTACTGTGCCGTATCGGGGCACACTCTCTGGAAGCCCGAAAAATTTCCTACAGGCTGATGTAAAGTTCAAAACATATTTAAACGAAAAGTCATCTCATAGTGGTCGCCTTAAAACAGCACCGACTGCTGTTATTATTGGACGAGAACTACGAGTTAGGGTAATTCAGATTTCAGAGTAGAAGTAAAACACTACGAGTAGAATTTCTCATTTTTGTGCCAGTTTGATTTTTTATAAGTGGTTGGTCAAGACTCAAACAAAAAGGTGATTGAATCCACTGAAAATAATAATATTTGTTATAATTATTATTGCCTTTTAAAACACGTGCAAGTAGCACTGTTACACCGTAAACAGTGATAAATTAAGATAAATAAAATTTAGCACTATGCGCTATACATAGACCATTCAAGCGTCAAAAAATTGTGCTAGAACGCAGCTGTTCCTTAAAATGACTGGAAGAAACCCATTTGAAGGTGGTCGATGTGACGCTTGTAGAACGCCATAATAATCGCTTGATGAAATCTGTACAGAATTCGGATTTTAAAGGTTTGATCTTGCGGCCACTATTTTTCCATCATATTCCGCTCGGTGTTCTCCATAGCGAAAGAAACATATTGATCTCGTCCTTCCGCCGCATCAGATGTTCAAGAATCCGACTGATTTCAGCAAAATCTGGTCGATCTTCTGGTTTAAAATTCCAGCATTCCTTCGCAACAGAACGTCTGAAAGTATAATACGGTACACGGTATCGTGCTTCAAAGTTCAACGTAATCGCAAAAATAATATTGCTGTTTATAGTATAACCTTTGTCTTTCAATATTTCATAAAAAATTGAATTAAACAGGCACTACTTACACTGGATGCGGACAAATAGCTGGTAATTCCAGTCTGTGACCTTCTCGAAGAAAATTACACAGCTGTTCAAAAAGTACTCCTTTCGGGAACTCAGATACATAGGGCGTTTGTGCCAGAGTAAAAATTTCCCACAGTACGACACCGAAGGACCACACATCGCCGGCTGTGGTAAATACTCCGCGGCCGGGAATTATGGCTTCAGGAGCCATCCAACAAACCGGTAGAGGAACCTGCATAAGCGGCTAGGTACAATCTTATGTTAGGCTGGTCGAAACTATTGGCACTATGGGCTAGCTGAAAGTGCTAGTTTAGTAAAAATGCAACTACCAGCTGCCGTTCCAGTATATATTCCGGTTGGGTTTTGGCCATTCCAAAATCAGCAACTTTCGCTGTTTTCCGCGAGTTCAGCAAAATATTCCTAGCGGCTAAATCCCGGTGAATTACATTCATGGATGATAGAAACTCCATTCCACGGCTGATCTGATAGGCAAAGCGAGTCAGCTCCATCAACAGGTTTTCACTTGACTTGTTGGATTTGTTGAGTACCATCACATAGTAACCAGCAACAGCTGCCGTTCCGCAAGAGACGCTTTTGGCACTTAAATCTCGTAGATAGGTATGTGTCACGACCTGGCGCATATTTATTAGCAGCCAGGGAGCTGCTCAAACGCAGACTGAACTGAACAATTACTGACAGACTCAGACATGGCAACTCTGTTGCCATGTCACTACGCTACACCTTTCCATCTTATAAAAAAAACAACAAAAAAAACGTTCTGAACTCGCCATGAAAAATTCACAGGAATAGGTTGAATAACCACAATGTTATCACAATACTCGGCAAAATTCAAATTCATTCACAGTTCACGGAACGCTATATTAAGCTGCTTCGCGTAGCAACGGTTTCTGAATCCACATACACCATGACTTGCAGAGCGACGACAACACGCTCCATGACCTTTTCGAACGTTCCGATCGTACTTAATTCCACGACCTTCGGTTCGGCGTCAATCCGCTCGTGCACTCTCTCTGGGCCACACTCGGACGCTTTCTCACTCGGCCGGGTCTCGCTCATTCTCACCTTCACTCACACCACACGTGGGGCACATGGTACAACATCCACCGTCAGCGTCACTCTGTGCTTCGCTTTCACTCAGACGGCGCTCGCCGTCCTCGCTCACCATTCACCACACTGGTCCACACACGCAGTTCGCGGGGTTCCATCCTGTTCTCACCGCAGGACACTCCCGCTGGGCAGGGCGCTCGCTCTTCATGCACAGAAATTCTCGGCGGGACGGGCGTAGCCACAGTTCATACCACTGGCACCTCCGCCCACTGACCGGCTCCACTGACCTTCCCACAGGTCGTCACACTGGCCTGGGTGCTCCATCCGTCTCACGGAATGGCTTCCCCTTTCTGCCAAGGGATCGGCCTTTCCGTCCCTTTTGCTGCCGTGGATCCCATCCACTGCAACAGCTGCGTGGCTCGCGCCACGGCTTCCTCCGGTCACGGGTATTCGCTGCTGCCCTCGTCCGCCCTTCTCACAACTTTCCTTCTGCGACCACGCCCACACTCTCTCTCCCACGGATTCACTACTACCTCCGTGAATACACTCTCCCATGCAGTACCACAACTCTGCCACAGTCTCAAGAATAATATTACAGCATAAGTTTACTACAGACTTCACGCCACTGTCACGACCTGGCGCATATTTATTAGCAGCCAGGGAGCTGCTCAAACGCAGACTGAACTGAACAATTACTGACAGACTCAGACATGGCAACTCTGTTGCCATGTCACTACGCTACAGTATGCAAGGAACCGTGTTCGCAGTACTCCAGAACAATCATCATACGACCTGCATAAGAAAACGCATAGAAGTAGTACCGTGTAGCTGCAGGTTTTTTTCAGTTATCAACAAAAATGCTGGTTGTTTAAATGGAAGCAATAAGGTCACATACCGGTAAGAACGATGCCAATAAGATTGACAATGTTGGAATGCTTTCCCAGTGTCATTAAGATACTTGCTTCTTTCAGGAAAGCAGGAATCTCTTTGCTGTTACGTGGTATCTTTACTGCCACATGCTGCCGATGGCGACGACTTTGCTTCGGCTTGCCCAGATCCCGAATATTCTTTTCTGCTAGTGACGCTTTATAAACATGACCTTGCACGCCACTACTTAAAAGGTAAACTGCAAAAACAACAGTCTGTTGAATTATCGTTGAAAAATATATCGGCAGTGATAAGTTATTTTACGTAAACTGATCGACCAGTGAGGCAGCTCGTGTTGTTGAACAACAATGGGTGGCACTAGCTTTGCGAGTCCAGTCCGGAAGTCCGATCGCATCTAAAATCGCGTCTTCCATTGAGTCTTATATATGGCGATAACGTAAATGTTTTGCAACTGAATGCACCTGTTTTACTCGTCTTCTCTTGTAGCATGTGTACAGCAGCATTGCTGCTAAAAGAAGGAATATGACAAAGCCCACAGCGATCCCACCCAGTATTCCATCTAGATGGTCGTCTGTAACTGGAATCCAGAAAATAATACGCAAATCATAAAGTGCAGGGAATTTCTAACTGCAGGTTGGAATAATGAACACCTTACCATCGGTAGAAGCAGGCGTATTTACCATTAAGATAGCGGTTGTTATTGTTGACGGCGCTGTGTTATCTGCTGTTACCCCGTACAGCCCAGTTTCAGAAGTGCCTGTACTAAATTCTGTGGTTGTTTCTGCTTTCGACGTGTACCAGGTAGAGGTGTCGGATTCAAATTCCGCTGTTGTCAAAAGATCTTCTGATGTTCCAGAGCTCCCTGTGATGTTGAAATATTCTTCTTCCGTAGTTGCAGTTACGGTATACGCTGTAGATTTTGCAGTGATTTCCGCGTGCGTGCTTGGCCTATGAGTGGTGCTTGGAAGGGGGCAATCTGGAATAGTTAGACTGTCCAGGGGCAGTCCAGAATATTCCGCTACTGCCGTGCCGCATGTGGCTTCTGAGTGGTTCCCGCATTCCCATAATTCGCCCTTTAGCAAAGGATTTTCATAATAGCTTATTTCCTGATTAGCGGGAAATTTATGCATAAACTGCTGCACGGTGCAGTTGCAGAAAAATCGCTGGCCGCGCAGAGTCAAACACCGGAGAGACGGCAGGCGACTGAGGTCACTCGCAAATAAATAATCCTGTATGCTTCCGAAATCCAAGTTGAGCCTTTCGACTGAATTCGCCCCGGCAAAAAAATGCAGTGGAACCGATTGCCACGCTGGGTCTAATATCTTAACATGAATTTCCAAAATTTTTAAACTGACCATTTTTCTCCAGATATCTGGTCGAATGCTTGACAACTGATAAGCATGAATATTTAATCTATGGATCAAACCGATCGCATTTTTCAGAAGGTTTTCTTCAACTATAAACGGTGCTAGCTCACCATAGTCGTCCCCGTTTATTCCATAATGCAACTCAAGGAACAGCAAGGGACGCGTTGAATTTTGACCAAACAGATTGGTATGTATCAGGTACTTCCCAAGGGCCCTCTGCAGCGACGTATCATCTGGATACCACTCGTACGGCCACGGGTTGGGTAACATGACTTCCGAATGGTAATCGAAAACCAGCTTGACCTGTTTCCCCCCTGTGCAGTAATAAAACGTGGAAGTGGCGGTATTAAATGCAGCAAATCCTGTGATGGCATTAGTGCAATTTGATTCTGTGCTTTGGATTTGTAGCTGACTTTCAGCATATTCTTCCATGTTTGGGCAGTCAGGAAAGCGGAACGCATGTAACGGCTTCCCGTTATGAAAGGGCATTCTGTCGTACGAACTTCCGCAAGTCGCTGCCGTAAATGTACCACACTCCCAAACATCGCCATTGAACAGAGGATCGATGAAAAGCCTCTTAGTTGTTTAGAGAGGCGACCGGTGCATAAATTCCATCAGTGCACAGTCACACACAAAACGACTGCCTCGCAAGTTAAAACATTTGAGATACTGGAGATGCTGGAGCGATTTAGGGAGAAAATGGTAATCTGCATCATTTCCGAGATCTAAACTCAAGCTTTCTATGGATAAAGCTCCGACATAGAAGTTTTCTTCCAAGATCGACAACACGTTCGTAATGTTCTTCACTTTAATTTCCAAGATTCTCAGAAATGGCATTTTGCTCTAGATGTCGCTGATGATGCTCGGGAGACGGTGCACTTCTATTGTCAGGCGGTAGATTACTCGCACTCCGTCTCCCAAAAGGTTAAGATCCACTACGAACGGATCATACAAACCCTGGATTAGCGCGCCGGTAAGATGAAGATACAGACCAACTCTTCTGCCGTTGTGTGCTCCCTTGCGGTAATAGTTATTTAGAACAGTGCGAATATGATCATTCATCATCGTAGCATGTAGGCCAGAATTGTTACAAACCAATCGGAATCTTTGACCACCATCGCAATAAAACTGACAGTAAGCTGTGCTCATCTGCTTGATACGATACATGTAAAGGTCAGAAGTACAGTAAGGTACAATGTCGTCGCAATTCGTCAACGTAAGCAGGACCGCTCCAAAAATTCCACAATAAAGCAGTAAAGTTTTGGAAAAGGTCATGGTGGTTTTCGTTTTGACTACGCGAGCAGTTAAAGGTGCCTAAAGGCGCTAACTTGCCGCAGAGGTAACTGTCAGCGGCACCCACTGTAATCGAAAATTCCCATTGGTATAATTTTTTTGCCTTAGATATGTAAGGAAATATACTGTAAGGGTTCCACAATACAGCATTTTCGATCAACGTTTTACTCGTCCTAATAATCTATTATCGTTGCGGTGTGTAGTCCGGAAATTACAAACATTAAAAACATGTTTGCTCTGGCTGCAAACAATGAGGGCCGTCAGATACAAAAGCGTCAAATACGATAACAGGACATGTTTTAACTGCTGGTTATGTATCTCGCAGCGTATAAGTAAACAAATCAAAGTGTACCTGTAGTACCTAATCATCGTCTGCTGATCACTATTAAAAGCAAACAAAATTTTTGCTTCTTAAATGAAAATTATGAATGATTGCCGATATCTCATCAGCGCATTGTTATAATATTATTATTTGAACGTGTGAACAATGCGTACTCACTTCGGTCAAGATCAATATAGGCATAAGAAACTTTATTATCCGCATTACGCTCGTGAAACCGCGCACCGTGTTCAATAAAAGAAATCGCAACGCTGTTGCATTTTGGTATCCAATTAAGCATAAAACCGAAGGTTTGATTATAATTACAAGGTGAAACCGTTCTTCCGCTTTCCGGTCTGTTAAAGCGAGATGCGATACGTTGTCGTGATTTATAAATCTTGCAAATCAGTAACACAAACGAATAACTAAAGATTTTGGCAGAGCACGGAGTATCATATCCCAACGGAGTTAGTTCTGCTCCAACGCCACAGGCTTCGCATAACTGTTTATTTAAAATTTCGACCTACAGAGTATTCCGTTGACATCACGGTCAACGCATTACAAGCAGGACCGTACTCTCACAGCCCGTCAGGTCATCAATGCCGCTTAACTTTTCTTACGCTAAACATAACTATCAGAGGGTCGAACACACCTTGAACAGAATACAGGAGCATGACTACCGTAAAGGCCGTATCCGAGAATGGTACATCAAAGAACAGGTACGCAGTATACATGAAATCAGCTGGCAGCCAGCAGATTGTCACGCTGATGATCGTTAGCGTTAATATCAACGATGCCTTTACTTTCTTGACGGGTCGAACAGCCGACTTTTTCGTAGCATTAGTTTTCTTAAATTTGGCTGAAATAATGCTCATTTCATGATGGTATGCCGAGACCGCATCCGTTCGTCGTCGCCTTCTCAGCCATATCGTCACGTTAACGTATACGTACAACAACAAGATGAGCATCAGCGGAAAAAGCCGGCCCACGACAACTTCGGTGCGGCTCCACTGCCGGATTGCCGGCGTATGCAGAACGCAGCCAAACTGCTTTTCGGGAAGATGATAGTACAACATATCCATGGTATAACCCGGTAACTCCACCACGTGTGCGTAGCAGAATCCAAGTACGGATATCACAATTGCCCTGATGTACGTGTGGCGCCGTTTATACGTGTGCGGACGGGCAACCGCCCAAGTGCGACTGACCGCAATCAACACATGCATCATCAACTGCCCCAGACTGATGACAAATTCGAAATAGTTGTAGAAATCACACACCCAGTGTCCCATCCACCAGCCACCGTACAGATCACTAGCGATTTCTAACGGTGGACATACGGAGCAATAAATGATGTTGGTGACAAAAAGACCGATCAGGTAGACGCTGAACGGGTTGATCCGTAATGGCGCCAACCGGTGATAAGCGATTATTCCGATGTTGAGACAAATGTACAGCGTCATGATAAAGGTTTTGACCACAAGCAAGAACGTCCAGTTCGTCTTTGAAAATGGGGATATTACCGAAGTGTCGTTTTCGTGCGTTGTGTTCATCATGGTAGATTGCTTAGCTTTTGTGATGGCTTATTCCTGTATGAGCGGGCGCATGTTAACATAAACATTCAATCGGCTTTCCAGAAGGGTATAATAAAGCTTTGGTTTGATGCATTGCTTGTAACAGGTACCGTAGGTACCAGGTATCTCTTTCCTCGCTCACGCTACTGGTGAGCAGATGGAAAGAGTATATTCTAGAAGTTTTGCTTCCGCGGGTGCATAGATACAGTAGTAGTTTGGATAGATTGAGGCAGCTATAAGGAATATACTCATTGTTCAGCGCGACAATACTGACATGTTACATATGCAACCGTTAGGAGGATTATGTTCACACGTGTTCAGCTAACAGCGGAAACATCTGCGTTTCACAATAATTAATTCGTCGTAAAGGGAAGAACTAGAGAATTAATAATCGCGACAGTGATACGGAACATGTACAACAGCTGTCCGGGGTTATCTGGAACTGTCAACCATGACCAAATGTATTCTCTGTACGGTTTTCGATTTCCGGTATTTCACTGTGACGTAGGGGATATCTTATTGAGACTCATTGCCTAATTTCAGTAAACTGATCCGTATACCCGCACTACAACTCCTTATTACGTAGACTGCAGCTGGAGTCTTGCTAAATACTGTAACTGGACATAAACACTTCATCACAATAAACCGAATACGTTGTAATAAGCATTATCCGAAGTTTTATACTAAGTTCATGGTTAAGCTTTGCCTCCGTTTGTTCGTGGTATGGAGATAGACTGTAGCTCGGAAACGTAATAGATAACTTGGGGGAAGCCTTGTTGATTATGGTTCATAGTGGCTTGACTCTCAAATGGTAAGGCAGCTATTCATTCACCCGCTGTCCAGACTTTTCGGGGAAAATTATCGGTTGTGAAATACAGCCTAACAATTTACTAAATCTAATCCCAGGTGGTAAATTGGATAATTAAATCTTCACTTGGGCAGATTCGTGATACAGACATAAGACATTCTAGCATTTATAACGTAGGGCGTTCACTCACAGCAATTGATGAAAACACTCTGAAGATTAGACCTCGATGCTGTACATTTAAATTTTATAATCAGTACTTACTATTCAGAATTAGTATTCCAAAATATTTATCCATGAAAGCAATCCGTATGAAAATTTTATAATCAGTACTTACTAGGCAGAATTAGTGCTCCGAAACAATTATCCATAAAAGGAGTCTATAAAAATGGTGCTACGCTTGTCTAAAAAAAAAGACGTCCCCGCAAAACAATTACACCGAAAACTGTTTTGAAATCCTGAAATGATTGACGGTGAGAGAAGAAAAGATGCAGTACTTCAAGTAGTCGAATTCAGTTCCGAGGTTTAGATGTACTAAAGGAAGTGAGTTTAAATTAAATTTAATTTTTGGAGAGTAAAACAGTTTCTTGACATTTATACAGCAGGATGTTTGTCCACTGATGATGACACTTGTGCGCATAATTTTGCAGTCATACAAATGATTCGCAGTTTAATGTTAGCGACGTTGATATCCAAAAGGTGTTCTCAAGAAGAAAATTAATCCAACTACCGCAGTGTGGATTAGTTACCGATTTAATGCAAGCACATTTAACCACAAGCAGGAACGTGCGGCACACTCTTGTTTATTACTTTGCTGATTCTGGGGAATAACGAAGAATTTCCAATAGAACGTGACACTGTCTTCTCGTAAAGGAAGTGTGTCACTTCCGTTTAGCGGATGGATCTGTGCAGTTCAGGTATTTATGAAAGCTTCAGAATACATAGCATACAGCAGACCGCCAATTAATCTATTAACAATGTAATTTACTGTACGTACAAGGTTCTCGTTCAGATTACGGTTGGGAGGTATCAGAACCACTTCACTTGTCTCATGCTAATCACCAGCATCAACGGATCGAACACACCTTGTATAGAATACAAGAGCATAACTAATGTAAAAGCTAGTTCTGATAAAGGTACATCAAAAAACAAGTAAACCGTATACATTAGATCAGCTGGTAACCAGCAAATCGTTACGCTAATGGTTGTTAATGTTAAAATCAGCGATGCCTTTACTTCCTTTACCGGTCCAGCAGCCGCTTCTTTCGGGTTGGTGTCTGTTAGGGATTTCCCTGGGACGCTATTCATCTCATAGCTCCTCGTCGAGAAAATACCGGTGCGTCTTCGCTTTCTCAGCCAAATCGTCACATTGACGTACACATAAGAGAGCAATATAAACAAGAGCGGAGAAAGCCGGCCCACGATAACTTCGGCGCGACTCCACTCTCTGACTGCCGCCGTATGCATCTGGCAGCCGAACTCCTTCTCGGGAATGTGATAATACAACATATCCAAAGCATAACCAGGTACATCCACCAAGTGCGCATAACAGAATCCGAGTCCTGACAATAAAAACGCCATTTTGTACGTATGACGGCATTTGTAGGACAGCGGATGGGCCACCGCCCAGATTCGGCTGACCGCGATCAGAGCGTGCAGCATCAGCGGACCCAGGCTGATGACAAATTCGAAATAGTTGTAGAAGTTGCACACCCAGTGTCCCATCCACCAACCACCGTACAGGTCACGGGCGATTTCTAAAGGCGGACACACGGCACTATACAGGGCGTTAGTGATGAAAAGGACAATCAAGTACACACTGAAGGGAGTAATCCGTAATGAGAACCAGTAGTATACGGCCATTCCGACGTTCAGACCAATGGACAGCACCATAATGATCGTTTTCACCACCAGTAAGAATGTCCAGTGCGGCTGTGTAGACGGATTCGTAAGCGCACTATCATTGTAGTGTGTTTCATTCATCCCGATTGGTGACTTTGCGTACACTATATGGTAGCCTTATCAATGAGAATAAAGCACGGTGGAAAACGAAAAATGGTCTTGCAACCCAGCTCTTCCTTAGACGTGACTAGACTAATTGGATACTTGATTCAAGCAGCTCTAAAGAAGTTTATATATTATATGCTCGTTACTCCAGGCCGGAAGTGAGGTACGACCGTTAGAAAATGGTAATTGGAATTAGTAGCATTACACCCGCGCTTCAGCAGCGGCGGCCGCGTTTGTTTTTCCGTATCAATGTAATTATTTCGTTTGAAAAGGCGCAGTCGGATCTCCATTACCAGATTCACCGCACAGCATGAATCATTTCATTCATGAGAAAAGGCCTGCTGGCGCTTCTATTTCAGACCGTTTTCTCTTTTGATGGAAACACGGACGATTGCGTCACTTCCCCTAGGTCACTATAAATAAGACCTACCGCAAAGCACTACACAATACAACGCACTGCAAAGTAGTATATTATACAGCTGGAACATTGGGCTTTTTATGCCTGAAAAGTAGAGCTGACTTGTAACTAAAACCGCGGGATCCTCAAATGGCTGCTTTAATATCTACGTTAGCACTTATGACCGGACGCAGTGCTGGATTAAAAAAAAATAGATCCTTTCATTCCGTAATGGCATTCTGCAACAATTCTTTAATTGGCAAGACATTCACAACAAAACACAGACACGGCAATACATACGGCTACCGTTTCCAGGATTTCAAGCAACAGATGAACTGATCCGGTGCGAATGATACAGGCCTCGTTCTGATCCTGCCGAAACTCTGAACGAACACTGTAGCGATCATACCACCAGTAGGAGACTTAACTGCCTTCCATTCCTGTTTATTGGTTGCTGTGTTACTACATTTTACCTACCGCACCTCACGGTGAGAATCATCCTGCAATTAGTCTTGCTGTGGTTTGGTCAGAGTTTTGCTAATTATTTCGTACTGTCGTTATCCTGCTCCGCGCCTTCTGCATTGCTCGCCCACGTTTATGCCTTCTTTCTCATAGCCTGTTATAGCCTTCTCATAGATCCTCATATGCTTTGCTTGCTGAATCTTGCTTTGCGTACTTGCTAATAAGCGTCTTGCCAGTGCCGTTGTGTTGCTTGACCGCAATGGGATGATCGCGCAGCCCACTGCTGTCACATGTGTAAACTCACCACCGCCGACTGTGCACGTCTTTTTCACACTAACAACCGACAGATTGTGGTAAGGTTGATTAACCAACCCACTAGAACAACAGCCAAACCGGTAACGGTTATGGTTATGCATTAAAAAATTGTATCGTACACAGTATATCGTTAAATCTGCGCTCAAATTTGGGTTTCAAAAATGCGTGATCGCACACCTGCTATTGCACTGTTTACATTAAGCCACTTCCCCAGGAATGATTTTCAGTTGAGGGCAGGTCGCCACATTTCGAATGGCAATCTGCGTATAATTAGTTCTTCTATCATTCTGTATTTTGTCCAAAAAATGCGCGCAACCGACATATCTGTATATGTTATTTTTATTCGGCAATTTTTGTTAACGTTCAAATGTTACACCGACAACTGCCAATGAAAACAAAACTAAAAAGCCGCTCATAGGCTGCTAAGGTTCAGTTACTGAAATCGCAAAGTCTCTGAAGCAGTGTAACATAATACGGCAAAACCATGGAGCGATGTGCATTTAAATGCCTGTAATTATATAGCGTATTTTGTTTTCTGAGTAAAAGTAACAACAAACAAATCAATTACAGGCCTTGTGGATATCTACTACCGGTATCGAGCCGTATAACTTCACCGTTAATTAAGGGATTTTCAATGATTGCCTGCACCAAGTGGGCGAACTCATCCGGATGTCCAGGCCGGCGCGGAAATAGTGCTATTTCCGTAGCACGTGCTAAGTACTGTTCTTTAAGCATCGGGGTTCGCATCATACCTTATAAAAAAAATAATATCAATAAGAAGCAGTATATCAATAAGAAACAGTATAGCAGTGAATCAATAAGGAGTCATTATAATATAGGTTGATGACCTTAATGATGATGATGAACTAATCGATATAAGCCATATCTACAAAATTCCTGCGTATGTAGTTCGGTACTTGCGATTCATATGCAGTGTATGCTTCGTTATATGCATTGTACTTAAAGGTCAGTATGCACGTACGGTGCATTGTACTTCAAGGTCAATATGCACGTACGGTGCACGAGCAAGTAAATTGTGTGAAAATGAACATCGTAGCAGTTAAAATACATATTTTAAATACACATTGATATCACTAGTGTTCGCATTTACACTAATAGCATGTAAAGATGATTCTACAGAGTATCGTACTCGTTTAGTAGGTTAATTACTAAAGGAGTAGAATAGTTAGTGACCTAGAGACCGGCATTCCAAAAGTCCAGCGTACCGGGTGAAATGGTCGCCACGCGTATTCCCACGGGACTGAATTCTCTGGCATACCCAAGGGTCATCCCAATTATGGCTGCCTTACTTCCACCGTAGCCGACGACACCCGGTCCCGACTCCAGACCCAGCGAACTGGCGACATTAATAATGACTCCTCGGGCGCCATCGGTGTTGGGCTGATTGCGCGACATCAAACCGACTCCCAACCGAATCACGTTGAATGTACCGATTGTATTAACCTACACGACACAGCGACACATTTTTGAAAGGTTTCTGACCATCTTCAACCATTTAATGCAATAATGCCTAATAATGTGTGAATGGTATGGTCTGGGTGTGGCACAATAGAAATAAAGTTGTTGCAATAAGTTATTACGTATTTACGCATTTCACAACCTGAAGCATTTTAGCGAAGTCTGACAGACTATGGGGTGTATCGGTGGTGAAATCATAAACTGGCTGCGTCAAACATATCCCTGTAAAAAAATCAGGCTGTAATAATCGTAGAAAACACACTACTTTCTCCATACTGCAATGGGCATACCGGCACAGTTCACGATGATATCGAGTCTTCCATATGTTTCGGCTACGTACGCAATGAGATTCTGAATATCCCCTTCTGAACTAACCTAGACAAAATCCCGATTCTGTATATAAATATTATGAAATGCGGTATAATAAACAGCCAATATGCACATAAAAAAATCATAACAATACTGTAATTTCTGACTAAGATTAATTATTTCACACCAACATTAAAACCGGGTGATTCTTTTGAACTTACATCTGCCGGGTACAACACTATGGGGGCATCGGTAGCAACTGCCCTTTCGGTGTAGGAAAAATCAACGGAGATCACCCGTACATCCCGCGCTGCCAGCAGATCCACACAGGCCTTTCCCAGACCGGAAGCTCCACCGGTAACAATGGCCACTGCACCAGTTAAAGTACCATTCATTTTCAGAATCCCGTGCAAGGAACTGCTTGGCCGAATTTAATATAAATTACAGCTACAACAAGCAACTCTTTGACCGAAGGTTGTTCGTCATTTCGGCCGCCCTTGCACCAAAACTAAAAATATTGGTCCGGTGTTATGCTGCTGTATGAGGAAAAATTAATTCAAACCGACTTGTTTTGAAACCGTCGAATATGACTGACGAAATGCGGAAAAACTGCTTTTAATTAATTCTCCTTTTGGCTAATAGGTGTAAGTAAAAAATTTTTATCGCATATTTAACTTGTTGCAAAAAGCCTGCTCAACGACCCAGCTCCGTCGGTGTCTGTACAATCCTGTATTTTACAAAAATACAGATCAACGTTTGGACACATCATGGGAGTGTACAGATAGAACGCTTGCCTACAGTCAGTATACACTTACAGAGTACAGTGGAAACTGGAAACATTAATCTCTGGTAAGGATCGGAAAAAACAATATTCTGAGATTTTCAGCGAAACTGGAATGGCCTGTCACCATCCATCATGTAGATAAAAATCTACATACTTTATTCCATTAACAACACATTCGAACCTGCGGAATGTAATTGCCACGCCCACGAGTGCACGAGTGCACAACTAATACGACATAAAAACTGTGAAAAATAAACAGCCAAATGTAAGAATGAAAAGTTTTATTGTCCCGGTCTCTATTAATTTGCGGATATATTAAAAGTAGAGATATACCACGTAGAGAAAAGAAGCTCGAACATCTGGCGGACTGGAGACGGTTATTTACAACCGAAAGCACATCTTTATAACATATCCCGTCAACGCTATTTCTAATTGCCGGTTAATCTAGGAAACAATTTCAAAGCGTTTTGCGCATTAATAGCGTCAATTTCCGGTCGGTTTTTTTTCTTGATATATTCATTAAATCTTTGCGTTTCCGCTTCGACTGCATGAATTGGATGATAAGGAAAGTCACTCCCAAACAATATTCGATCCGTTTTGGCAAACTGCGTTAACAAATCCAGCGTTAAATCGTACTTCGACGTGGCCGTATCATAGTACAGCATCTGCACATCCTTCGTAAATTCTTCCGGCGATTTATTAATCCTCTTGGCGTCGTACAACGAATTCTCCAGCCGTCCGGCAATATACGGCAGCGTTCCACCGGCATGCGAAACAATCACACTGACCTTTGGAAAATCCCGCAGAACATTGGCCGCCACCATGTCAACGATGGTCCTGGTGGTCTCCTGGGGAAATCAATCGTGGAAATACTCAAATTCGCGGAGACCGGCGTCAGACTGCATCCGTACGTCGGGTGGATGAACACCGTTGCGTTGCGGTCATTCAGCGCCGCCCAGATCTCCCGAAAATCCGGGTGCCCGAGATATTTCGTCGCATTGCCGTAGCTGGAAAAAAGGTCACACCGTCCGCGTGGAGGGTGTCCAGGGCGTACGCAATCTCGGCTAGTGTCGCGTCTTTTAAGAATAAGGACGGTAGCGCCGCGAAGAATCCGTATTTCGAGGGGTTTTGGCTGCGGATGGATGCGCCGTACTCGTTAACCCGCCGGACCAGCTGGATAGCCTGGGCGTCCGGCATGGCGTCCGTGCCGGGGGAGGAGATGGAAAACATGGCCGTGGTGATGCTGTTGTTTTTACAGAATTCGTCATCGCTTTCGAGTGACCATTCCGGGGTTCCGAAGTTGCCGGTATCGCCGCCGTTGGCGACCAGCGCATCCCGGTAGAAGTCGGAAGATAGTGGTGATGGACGTCGATACGTGCCGGTGTCTTCGGCATGGGAATGGGATATCCGTTGATCAAATTAATCAAAACTGTGGGAAATAATACAAGGGGAAAATGCATGCTAGTTTTGCGTTCAACTATGTATGCGAATGCGCTATGTACAAACATGCCGCAAGCGATTATGTATAATGCAAGTCATGGAAATTCAGTAATTAGTTTTTCACAGAACGCGTACAATTATCTGTAAACATGCAATTAGCCTTTTAATTAGCTCTATAAAAGTTTTTAAATAAAAGACAATTACCCAGAAAAGTCGCTTACGGCTATAACATTTCGTTCTGATTCTTTACTATAGCATGTGCTCGTCTGGATTTTCGCGTTGAAGCTCGGTAAACTGCGCGATCAAAGAGCATTCTATACGTAGGAATTTACCTGCATTAAGTGTAGTGTTTTCCCAAATACCGCCGCACTGACGGTTTGTCTTAATAGTTTCCACGCGAGTAGCAGTATTGTAACGTAGGTACAACTACAAGTACAGTAAACATGGATTCCATGGCATTGATAAGTGCATTAGAATTTAGTGGCCGCAGTAACAGTACACACGGACCACGGTCACGATTATTTTTAGTTAACTAATTATTATCATAACGATTTTATCGGCATAACGATCGTCGTTGCCACACTGTCACAGTCATTTTTCAAAACCGGGTATCGTAAGCATGAAAGCAGCTATATCAAATAATTTCCAGGCTACCGTAGTCTGTATTGCTTGTATATGGATACACCTAAAAATTTACACGCAAATATTTTTCATTGCCATCGTAGCGTGCGTGGTGTCACTGGTGTGTACTGCGTAGTATTGAAGTTCGAGCGAATTTGAGTATATATTGTAGATATCTATAAATAGAATATATGTGACTGTAGGTACTGGTGAATTTGTTGCGGCGGCGGCATTGCATAATAATTGTTTCATATGTACAAATATATTATGTACGTATGCGTCCGCTGATAGCGCTGCTTGTATTGCAATTTGCAGCTGTGTTTGCTTTCTTTGACTGCGTGTTAGGCCCATTAAACGTTATAAAGTACGAGTACGTACATTATAGCGTAGCGCACATGGTTGGCTAGAAGCGGCATGTGGTTACCAGGAGCCGGTTGACACTTTTGCGAAACGTGCAGGCCGTCGAGGTACCGCTCCACATTTCCGGTGGCATGCTTTCAAACTTTTCAAAACGGCTTTATGTGCTGCGATTGCAGGCATAAGTGGAGCATGTTTGGTGTGCAAGTATCCGTATATGCATTTATAATCAAAGGAATCCATCAAAAGTCACTGCGGTTGCGGCGGCTGCACCGCTATCGAAAACAGATTAGAAAAGTCGCGCGACTTCTAAATGTAGTGCACAAAAGTACTTACCAGTACTGTTATGATATTCATCTACAGATACTATAATCCACAAATAAAAACGGAATAATTTTAGAAGTTAAACCCGCTCTTGCTTTCGCACCGATCGGATAATCACTATGAAGATAAGTGAAGCTGATGCGCTACCGCTAATATACTACTTATATTCTCGGTCCTTTATGTATGGTGCAGATCGTACGAACAGTGGATTTTTTATTTAAGCTCAGGTTGCACTGGTTACCGGTGGTGCTTCCGGATTGGGTTTGGCATGCGTGGAACACTTTTGTAAGCTTGGCGTCAAAGTGATCGCAGTAGACCTTCCGGGAGATGGAAAAGCAACAGAACTGGCAAAATTTGGCGATGCGGTTCAGTTTATGCCTGCCGATGTGAGTTTTGAATTGAATCTATGCGGACTGCATTGTTATGTTTAGTATTTTTTTACAAGTGATACCTAATAACCATACCCTAGGAAGATGCACCGAAACTGGTACTAACACGATGTAGCTTTTTAGGCAGTCTGAGTTTGCTGTTGTATCAACGTTATATATCAATAGATTCATATATCCTTACGTCCTTGTTTTTTGGAAATTATCTTCTAAATCAAGATTGATTTTTTTAATAAGGTGATAATTTTGTAAAATAGAGCATCGCGCAAACGTTCCTACCTTTATATTTAAAAAAATCTCAAGTTTTGGAGAAGGTCTAACAAAATTTTTAGAAGCTGTAGTACTTAAAGGTTGTTAGTACTTAAAGGTTGTTAGTTTTGGAAATTATCTACTAATTCGAGATTCCATTGGTGAAGCTTTTGATTATTTTATAAAACCCAGCATCTTCTAAAGCTTCCTATCTGCTGCTTCGAAAAAAATTTTGGTTTCCGGAACGTTTTCAAAAACCCTTTCAAACTTTCCGTACTTAGCGTTTAAAGTTCATAGAAATTTCCAGTAAATTCTACAAACGTCTCGAATGAGCAAATACAAGTTTCGCAACTTAGCAACCTAAACTATAGTTATTTGAAATTGACAATCCTATCAAACTTATAATTTTTTTAAATTCTTGAAACCTTTAAGATGTTTTTAAATCTGTTTGAATACCTCAAAATAACTATAAATGTTTTGAAAGTCGGCTCCAAAGCTTTTACATTTCAAGAATTTCTAAATATTTCTAAATATTTCGACTCGGCCCCGCGCAGCGGGGCCGTTACCTCGAATTTTTTGAGCCTCCAAAGTTTCGAAATTTAAAATTATCTAGAAATCTAAGTACCTCAATATCTCACGGTCTAAATTGTCTGATTTATATGTAATTTCTAAATATCTAAAAGCCAGCCCGCGGCCCGTTCACCGTATTCACTCACATAGCGGCTCTGTGATACTGGTATTGTAGCTTGGGTATTCACTAAGTCCTACGTTGCTCTGTAATACTGGCGGTAGCTTGGGTATTCACTAACCTCAAAATTTAATAAATATGTATTTATTTTATTTTTATAAATACTCCAGAGCTTGACTGAATGGCTGAAAATCTTACAATTAGCAGCTGAAGATGCAGCCTCCCAGGTCACCTTGGGCAACCGTTATTCTGCGCTAAAATATCGGTTGAATGGTTTTTGTGGGCATCGTGTAAATGATCCCACTCCATTCATTTAATCGATAATAATTATTTAAACGGCCGTTTAAATAATTATTATCGGTCGTGCAAAAAAATTCAAGTTTTCAGTTCGTTAGATCGGCAATACAAAGTTACATTAGAGTGCGTGCGATGACAATCTGCCGCTCGTGACAAAATACAAAATGCGCCATTAATTTGATTTACGCCCATTTTTTCAATGGAATTTTCAATATTAAAAACTATTAAAAACGTGAATAAGAACCGTGAAAAATGCAAACAAAAAGAAAAACTGCGGAGGCTTTCACAGTTTTTATACCACTGGTCGAATTTGACCGGAAAGCTTGAAAACTGTCCTCATTTCTACATGTTAAAATATTTTCGTAGCTGGCCTCGCTGGGGGTTTCATAATTGAAATATAGATATATTTCTCAAAATCATTTTTATTGCTGTACGATGTGTATTTTGTGTTTTTTTTAATTCTTCCATACCTCGAACACAACTGGTCGCGCGCTAGCGCGACCAATACTTGTATTATCATTACGACTATATCAAAACACCAATCATCCGTGCATGTTCAACAGAATGCCGCAACAGCCGTTAAAATAGCAACAGATCATGAACAACAGCCGTTAAAACACTCAAATTTTTAAATAAATATAGTTGATTTATTACGAATGTTGATACGGAAACGAGGAATAAGGCTTATTATACTGTACATTATGGCTTATTATACTGTACATACTTTGTTTCATCTACGTACACCGTAAAGTGCAAACTCGCAGCAAATTTTAATTTACATGAACAATAAAAATAAAGAAGTATATACATATATATTATTATATGTCAAATATAATAAAATTGTATATATTTGTTATATTTTCGCTGTTCTACATTACTAAAAACTGGTTTTCCGATTTAATTGGTTTTTCCCATCTGGATGTCCCAGATTTTTTTGTGGTTAATAGTTATGTTATAGATCTGGTTCCTTGGTAATGTTCTCATGCTGCAGGTTACCAGCGAACAAGATATTAGTCAAATTATCGACCATATTGAAAAGCAGTATGGACATCTGGACGTGTGCATTAATTCGGCTGGCATCCAGGTGCGGCAGCTGGCATACGATTTCCAGAAACAAAAGCCTCATGATCTCCAATTATGGACCAAAGTTTTAACGGTTCGTAGAAAAGCACAGTATACCACGACAGATACTCTTATGTTGTACGAAAATGAACGCATTTCGTATCAATTCTTGCAACAGGTAAACACCATGGGAACATTCAATGTCCTGTGTTTAGCTGTGGGACTGATGGCCAAAAACACGCCCAACGAGGACGGTGAACGGGGCGTGGTTATCAATCTATCCAGCTCCCTGGGTTTCGAAGGATCCGCGGGATTTTCGGCCTATGCGGCAAGTAAGGCGGCCATCAACGGGATGACATTGCCGTTGGCCAGGGAATTCGGACCAATGGGCATCCGGGTGGTCGCCATTGCGCCAGGTACTTGCTTTCACATCTCGCCAAATATTTGTGCTGCAAAAGACAGTTTCAAAATGTAGATGTTGTATAAAGTTACAAAAGAAAAGCCTTTGCAACATAAAAAAATGTGGACTGTAAAATTCGTTTGATTTATAACTTCTTCGATTGCGTATGTATTGTACACAAATTCATGCACACAAAATACGTATGCGTTTCATAAGCTAAAATAAATATACCAAATTACAAATATTTTCACTTAAAAGTTAGAGAAGCAAACGATTCAAATTGCACAATTATAGTGCATACAACTTAACTGTTTTCGCGTAACAACCTAAGTTTAAAGCAAACTTGTAGAGTAATGTGTCTATGGTTTTCCTTATTTTACAGGATTAATGGAAACGCCAATGACCACAAATTTTCCACCGCAGTTGAAAGACGCACTGTTTGAGCGATTTACCAATATTGCCGCTTTTCCCAAAAGAGCCGGTAGAGCGGAAGAGTTGGCCAGATTTGTCCAGTCTGTCGTCGAAACACCGATGATCAACGCCGAAGTAATCCGTTTCGATGGCGGATCCCGTAATCCTTGATACTGCGTTCAAAGTTGCATGGCCATTTTAAATTTGGTTGGCAGACATGCTTCGTATATTATATTATAAAGATACAGTACTTTGCCTGAGCCGTGAGAAATAAGGCGAAGTAAAGTAAATGGCTTACAATCAGCTGCGGCGTGCACATATCTGTACAGAGTACAATCATGTAAACGTGTCAGTCGCAAATTTCAGGACGGGAACATCTCGGGGGCGGTGCAGCAGTTGATCAGCCAGGAAACAGTACTGCCACCGTCCCCAGAGACCCTCGTTGCCCTGAACGAAAAACACCCTCCCAACCCCCCGATCACACACCCGCCCCCGGGAGCCGCACTTCAGTCAGCTCCTGAGATTACCTCCAAAGAGATCGTCGACGCTATTAAAGCTTTCCCTAATGGATCTGCAGCAGGTCCCGATGGCCTGAGGCCACAATACCTGAAAGAGTTGGTCGGGATAAAAAACCGTGAAACAGCAAGAAAGCTTGGTGCGTCGCTGGCCAGCGTAACGAACATCATGTTGAGGGAGAAGTGCCCTCGGAAATCAGGCCCATGCTCTACGGCGCTTGCCTTTTTGCCTTTAGGAAGAAAGACGGTGGAATTCGGCCTATCGCCGTCGGTCTAGCTCTACGCCGCATCATGTCCCGCATTGTGTCGTTCCGCTCACGCCATTTATCAGACATTCTGCAACCAGTTCAGCTAGGTTTTGCGACCAAAGGAGGTGTTGAAGCAGCAGTCCATGGCGCCAGATCCTTCATTGAAGACGGTTTGAAATGCGACAGGCCCCAGGTATTCCTCAAATTAGACGTAAAAAATGCGTTTAATTCTCTCGACAGAAACTGCATCCTTGAATCCACTAAAGAATTTCTACCAGACTATTATCCATATATATGGCAGTGTTATGGCGCGCCGTCTGTGTTGATCCATGGTGCTAACCGTATATCGTCCCAGGCGGGTATCCAACAGGGCGACCCCCTCGGCCCGCTACTGTATTGTCTGTCAACCTTTGGATCGTATAAACATCTTAAATCCGCTTTCCGTGAAAGCTTTCTGGATGATGACGCTCTGGGTGGAGAGCGGACGATGTCTTCGACGACTTGTGTACGCTGAAAGAAGACTTGGAAAACGTGGACTGGTACTAAACATTGCTAAATGTGAGCTAGTGGTGGTTGGGAAGCGAAGCAGACCGCAACTCGGTTACGGCTGCCTTTCTCCAGTCATTTCCTGACCTGAAGTGCCCGTCGTTGAAGGATTTGCAGTACCTTGGCGCACCACTTCATGATGATGCCGTTACCGGGGCGCTCGTCAGTGCAACGGAGGTAGTCGCCCGAATGACTGAACGTCTGCTAATTGTACCAGCCCACCAGGCACTCTATCTACTGCGATGCAGTATGGGACCGGTAAGGCTGCTTTACAAACTGCGTACCGGTCGATGTTACTTGCAGGAACCCTTGCTGGCTGAATTTGACACCATGATACGCGATAGCCTGTCCAAAATAACTAACACTGCTATCACCGACGTTATCTGGGCGCAGGCGTCACTTCCGATTTCAAGAGGCGGTTTGGGCATTAGGAGCATTGTAAAGCTAGCACTGCCGGCCTTTCTGGCCTCGGCTTATTCAATAGCTCCCTTAGCCTGCGCCATTACGAATTTCCAGCCGGAGACGTATTGCAGTGAAGCGACCACCAAATGGCAGCAGATGGCGAATCAAAGCGCGCCACCATCTGAAGTTCGGGGAGTGCAGAAAGCGTGGGACGAACCTATCATAAGGTCACAACTGAGACTGTTGGAGCGGGCTTTTGAAAACGATATCGCCAGTCAGGCGCGGATGCTGGCAGTCAGCACCAAAGAGGCGGGCGCATGGCTCCAAGCACTACCGGCAGCATCCTCGGGAACTTACTAAACGACTCCAGCCTAAGGACGGCTGCAGCGCTGCGCCTTGGTGCACCGGTATGCACACCACACCAGTGCATTTGCGGTGACCAAGCGGATGAGCATGGATATCATGGTTCAAGTTGCAAGTTCAGTGCCGGACGGAAACCGACCCACGAAAGCCTCAAAGCGGTAATAAAGCGCGCCTTTGCATCGGCCGGAATCGAAACTGAGCTGGAACCTCCCGGAATCTCCCGTACAGATGGCAAACGACCAGACGGAGTGACAATTACCCCGTGGGAAAGAGGAAAGGCGCTGGCCTGGGATGTAACCTGCCGCAGCACCATGGCATTGTCATACATCGCAGCCACATCCACTCAAGCCGGAGCGGCAGCAGCGCTAGCCGAGCGGAGCAAGACCGAGAAATACCGCAACATCACCCAGGATTACTGGTTCAAGCCCTGGCTTTTGAGACCTACGGAACATTCGGACCAGAAACCACCCAGCTACTGAACGTGCTAGGAAAGATGATCCAGCAGCAGTCAGGCGAACCGCGAGCACTAGAGTTTCTGCGTCAACGGATCAGCATCGAAATACAGCGGGGAAACACAGCATCTATAATGGGAACAGCACCACCGGCGGCGAATTTAGACGAAATATTCTCTGTCATCCGCCCGCCTGTGTTTGTAGATGTTGTGTAACTCGCTTGTGTTTTAGTTTCTCACGATTTACGTAAAAAGTGCGAAAAATTTTGTTGCTACTGACGCGAATAAAAAAAGATGCTGTTTAAAAAAAAAAAAAAAAAAAAAAAATCATGCGCTACATAATTTACAATTAGTACTGGAAGCGGAAACATTTATTCTTGTTTGCGTCTTTGCGACGCTATCAAGAGGTACAGACTATAGACCATATTAATTTTGCTGGAGGCTCTGGCATTTAAAGATAAGTGCCTTTAAAAAAAACCGGATCAAAAGAAAAGCAGGTACGTACTGTGTTGTATTAGTATTATACATTAATAACTGGAAAGCTGCTTGTGAACGCGGGAGAGAGCCCTTTTATTTGTCATTTGTTTGAACGTCTAAATTTAGAAATAATGCGGGATAATGGACGTTGTGTGCGATATGTTACGTTAATTGGGATTGAGGAACATTTTAATGGTAGCCCATAATTTGAGCGATGCTTGCCTGCTTAATTAAACACAGGAATTTATAAAAAACAAGGAACTTACATATTTCTGTAATCAGAGAATGCTGTACTTAAAAATTTTTTGGTAGGCGCTTGATCTAAACTGTAGATCAGATCCAACAAATGGTTGAAAACTATGAATTATTCGCAAATGTTACTGCACCGGAGTACTTAATGAAGGACCATTGACAATACAGTAATAAAATATGCTGTACAGATATAACATTATGAGTCGAGCTGTCACGATTAGGCAATGCAAAACAAAAGGTTTTTAACGTAAAAGTGTGCGACATACATAGGCTTACGTATACACACGATGGGTATTAAACGAATTAACAAAACAATTAAGAAAGGCATCAAAAACAAGCAAAAACAACATCAATCTTGGAATAATAAAGCAGTTATCAGTATCAGGGTCAGACAAAACGTATATATCTGCCGAAGACGCCAGCCAAAATTGAGCAGTCCGTATTGCCCCACCACTGCCCATGGATCGGATCCGTCGATAAAACGCAACGGACAATCGTCAACTGCAAAGAAAACAGTCTTCTACGCATTTACTGGCGTAATTACGTAGTTAAATAACTCAAGTACGTGTTTCTAAATTCAGTTACCAAATTAGCAGCTGACCATGTCTATGTGTACCATTGCCGGCAAACCTCAAATCTTACATAAACGCTCGTTCTCCCTGAGATCCAGCGCTAACGATGCACCGTACGAAAAATTTTGACTATCGGGCTCCTGGTGGATGCCACAAAAGGATGCGGCTCCCCTTGATAAAAGGATACGATTGTAGCTGATGCGGTTATAAACCTGCATAAAACAAATGTGACTTGGTCTGGTTTTTTGGATTGGTGTACAGTAGCTAAAACATGGTAAAAACCGCGTTAGAATGTAATTAAACGCAACCGGAATGTAATACAATAATTTGTATTGCAACCAGATAGTTTTGCTGTTGTGATGTACCCAGCAGCGGAATGGACTTAGGGCGTCTTCCTTCTCATAAGTCACCAAAACGATCGGGCATTTTCCCTCCAGTATCCGATGCAATGCAGAATGTAATCGGGTTCGTCTGACATATGCGCAGAAGTATATAGAAATTGGTAAGAAAAAATTATCGAAATAAAAGAATTGTTAAAGAATTTATAAGTGCGTTAGTACATATAAAACGGCATGTGGGTTCTCGCATATGTAGAAAAACCTTTCGGTACATAGATTTGTTTACCGTATTCGCCAATTGGTTTCGCTTGCCAGTCCAGTGTCATGCATTTATCCAGATCGATAAGGATTTGCTTAGTCGTGTACTGTTTGTACCATTGCTGAGGACACACGGAAAAATCGGTTTCGTATTCTTTGCATTCGACTTGATCGCGAGGTGATTTCGTCACTCCGCCGCGTACACGTGTTTGTAAGGGAATGTCACCGGCCTGTGCGAAAATGAATTTTCCACCAATTGGGCACTCAACCGGAAATGGGTTGGAAGCTGGAAAAAAGCACCATGCAAATATGTACAGTAAAATTGCATATGTCTTGCAATGTCATGTACGAGGACATTTGGGTGCTGTGAACATACCCTGCACGATTAGGCTGCGATGAACAGCTGGTTAACCGTAGCTCGCAACGCTACTGATATCACAGTCTGAATGCAAACGCCTATAAATTTAGCCGGCTGTTCATCGCAGCCTAATCGTGCAGGGTATGTTCACAGCACCCAAATGTCCTCGTAGTGAAGTGAAGTGAAAGTGAAGTGAAGTTTATTGTCCTTGCAACGAGGCGGTTGCCCCCTCCAGGCTTCAGACAGCAGAAAGAAAACAAAGTGTAGCAACAACATCCAGAAATATAAACATGAAAACATGAAGGTCTTTTAAAACAAGCAGGAAACAAAACAAGCAAAGTAACACGCGTTGGCCATTAGCACATGAACAGGCAGAAAGGAAGTGAGTACTTTTACTGCGGTTTTGAAAAGTTGTTTTTACCAATGTGGAAAAAGGGAGGGAGACCTCAGACGATCGCGCTGGGGTCGATGCGTAATTTAGATAAACATATATACATATTATCAATTATTATGGTAATTCGCGACATACATAAGTGTTACGCAAATAAAGACGTGATTTTGTCGAGATAAGTATCTATATTATAATCTGAACGTTTAAGGCAAAAAGTGCGCATATATGCTTTTTCACTGACCAATGAGCAAATCAAATTTCCATTCGCGCTGTTGCAGGAAAGACGTCCATGAGCAGACCAGACGAAAGTCTTTCTGTGCGTAGGCAATTCCAACACGATAGCGAATAATGTTGTGATGTCGCGGAAGGAAATGCCAGCAGACGTAAAACACTTGACACCCGCCGACACCGACCCGGGCCATCATGAAGCGGTTCTTTTTCTGCTCCTGACAGACATACGTGGTCAACACCGCCACTCCTTGGTCTGGTTTCCGAATGTCGATCAAGTGTGTTGCATTCATTTCTACCTGTACAAGCCGGTTGCAGTAAAGTGAATTGTTACACTTTACATATTTAACGTGTAACGAATTATGCATGATATTACACAGAAAAAAACTGCAGGATTCATGAGAATGATTCAAAATTAAACATAACGTTATTCTTCAGGCTGTTATACATTTATTCTATCAACTAGATCTCAGCAGTCATTAGCCACTTTGCACAATTGGACAGCTGATTTGACCTTTGAATCCACAGCAGCGTGCGCAGTATTTATCCATTTTCCCGTAAAATTTTTCGGTAGGTAACATGTTGCGTTAATTACCACTGGCTTAACTGCAACATTTAGAACATAAACTTGCGCTTGGTGATCCATGCCGCCTGTAGTTAATATCGTTTATCATCGTTTATCCTATGCTAACCGGTAGCCATTCCAAAATTCAGTCGTTGCAACCAAATATTAGTACCGTCGCTTGCATTAAAGGTTTTTAGTGCTTTTACATACCGCGTTCTAAGCGTATTATCACCGGTGATCGACGAGGAGTCTTTAAATTAGCACAGGTTGCGGTTAAGGACTGACCAAGATATTGGTCATCGTCGCGGTTTTCGATCTGGAATTCAGTTACACACCATTCAATATACCTTGCAAGTTTGCAACGATGCACACAACATGCATGATAAACGACTGTACTTAAATATATGACAAACGACTGTCCTTAAATTTATGGAACTTCCCAATAATTAATCCACATTTTCAGAACAGAAAGTATTTTCATTTGCCCTTACGAAGCAACGATATTTCTCTTCCGGTCGGTTTTCGCCCAAATTGGCAGCAGCGAAATAATGGTCCTTTCCGACGTACCAGTCACCCAAACACGTGAAAGTCATAGCTGTGAAAGCATCATTCAGTTGGAGAATTATTATAACACGTTTCAAATGCGTACATATTGACAGCAAATTTGCAAGGTTTCTTAAATCAGTTTTCTGATTTTAGCAGGTTATGATATTAATTCGATAAATTATAGCCAGCTAACTGGTGGTGATAATAAAAATTCATGCGGTAATAACCGTAACTGCCTGTGTTGTGCTATGTACATAATAATTGTAATTTTTTTTTGCACACTGAACTTGGTGATTCTCATTCATATTGTACAGTTAGTATATCTATCTGGTGGTGATCAAATCTGATACAAAAGTATATCACGTACAAGAATCACGAAAGGGTACAATTCCCGGATCTTCCTTCCTCCAAGACAGTTCCGAACAAGCACCGTAGGAAATGTAGAATCTATTTTCGGTAGAATATCGATTTCCGGGATCGGGACAGGAAGTCAGGTTGTTCTTCGGATGTTTGCAGTGATGCCCAGAAAACTGTTCTAAATGATACTGAAATTTCCACACCCCTTCGATGCTGGACCGACAGGATACCGGTGTGGGATTGACGGAGAACAGTGTCACCCACGGCACTGCATAACGAATGAGCCGATCGCGTAAGGTCCGGCACAGCAGCGGTAAGGATTCGACCACATCGGCGGAATAGCATTCCGCTGTGCAAAGCATTCTCACTTTTTTCATAGGTAGACATTATTGCAACTGTGATCAAATTTAATTATAATTACAGTATAATCTTGATTAATGGTTTTAATGCCACGGATATTTCTAAAGCTCCATAGCAAATTTTTGTAAGCATAATTAATTTACTTTTGAATAAATACTTAAAATTTCTAATAGCGCTTGAAAATATTGGGCTCACTTGTACGCACTCTGACGAAATTCCAGGACGTTAATTGTTCGGATAGCCAGCTCACGGCACCGGAAGCAATTTTTGGTACTGCGCAAGAATAAGATATACACGATAGAAAGGGCACAAACTACAGAGTAGGTGAGCAAGTTGCTATTTATTCAATAATTCAGTACTGTACAGTACTGTACATAATTACAACCGACGAGAAAAATCTGTTAATAAAATTAACTGTTAAATCTTATAACTTACGTGTCTTTTATAAGAAGGCGATACATGTCGCTGTCGTAAACGGTTTGACCATTTTCCGCCAGTATCTGGCATTTGCGTGTGGCTTTGCTGGGCCGATTGCAGGTCATCTTCATGCAGACTTCGCTGGTAGTCGTGTCTTCCATGGCCGACGTGTCAACAATGGCACTGGCAATGGACACCACTGTTTTCCGCTCAAAAGACGAAGCCGCCACAACGGTCAACGTGTTGAGACCGTTTTCCCGGCTGTAATACTGATTGCGAATATATGGCGGCAGGATGCATTCTTCCACTAGCTGATCATCGAAATCCCGGCTACACTGCGCTAATCCAGAAAGTCCATACCAAATGATAACTGCTGCAGCGGTTACGCTAGGTGCCAGGTTCATTTACAATCAATTTAGCAACGCAGTTAAAATTAATGAAATTATATAATATACAAGAAATAGTTAAATAGTTAGTTACCATTGCTTAGTATTACAGCTGTCTTGTAAATCCGGCTGCCATTATTTACTGTGATCATGTTGTGTGCGACTGAAAAGTCTTTCAAGATGGCAGTCGTGTTTGTCAGTATTACGACCGCTTAACATATGCGTCGCATAAATAGTGTAACAGTAATTACAATTGTATTATTCTGCGCCCTTGAAACGACTGTTTAATTTCTCTGACCTGCACTCTGAAAAGTTGACTTATATAATTATGTCGTCAAGAAAATTCTCGGAACTTTACATGTACTCTGTACAATGCCACTCGTGCCATGTCTGTAGCAGTTGTTTGCTTTTCACGGCATCCGCAGAAATTGGAACAACATTTAGACGTAATAAATACATATATACGTACAATTCATGTGTACTTATTCGAAAAATAAATACTAATAATTTTTACTACGGAATGTTAAATCTCTTCTGCATTAGAATGACATGCGCTAAACTAGTAGTATGGAAAGTGTGCGCATTGGTGAGTATGGAAAATCAACAAAAAGCTCCAACGTCGCTAAAAGAAACTAAACCAACCGGCATCCGGCCAAAAATTGCTGACTCATTAGGTGTCATGTCTACCGGCTTTCCGCTGGTTCTGCGGGTCTATAGTAAGTATGTGTGTGTATTTGTATATTCAACCGACAGGCACACCTAGACGAAATTTAAAGGTGCTGCGTCTGCCGCTGTCTGGATACATCGATCGGTCTCTGCTTATGGTTTGCATTGATCGATGCTGCGCCGGAAACGCTGTATTTTGGTTTGCAAAGCAGCTTATACAGCGTAACAGCGGGTAAAGAAGCCCAGTGAATTACATCCAAGAATCCCGTTGGTGTACGTTCTTGTCAATTTTACGGAGTGCGAGTGCGCATCTTAATAGAGGGACTTGTTTTATTACCTCTGCCTGGGATAAGCAACACGGTAATAAAGCTGCGCAGGCCTGTTAACGGAAGCGCTAATCATGACGGACGAAGCCGCAAAACCCGGACATAAAATGTTCACATCGATGCAGGTACGTTTGAAGCGGTTAGAATATTTACTTGTTAGCTATTTCATAACTAGCTTTTAATTCTGTTTATGAGTTATTGCAGCGGTAATATCTTTCGCAATCCTGGAATTCATGGAACGCTACGTGCTCAATTTACAGAATTATTATCATAATAATACAGTCTTGCCGTATTTCCAGCTTAATATATATGGAAGCGCCCGCCAAGATACCAAAATGCTGCATGAGCGCTTTGTTATACAATTGGGCAATGTTTCAGTACAAGTATAACCGTATAAAAAACCAGTTTTCTGGGCAATGCTTAAGATGTAGGATGCTAAAAAATTATGGCTGTTCCCTTGATGATCAGTAAAAAATCACATGATGGGATCGGTGTTTCCTCTACAATTCGTCAGCAAGCCTGGTTATAAAATTTTATAATAATTTAAGAGGATAATACTTTGTACCGTATAACACTCGAGGATAATAATTATTTTGTATAACACTATGCTGCTTTCGAGGAGAAATGTTTTGTGTTAGCATTCGCATTTTAATGTTATTTATTATCGAGACTGGTTTCCTATAACAGCAAACTCTACAGAGCGTTTCCGGAGTAATTTATAAAAAGACGGCTTATGATGTCCGCTTATCTGTTTTCGGCTTGTAGGTATAGTGCAAGTATGCCGTTTAAACAGTACTGAATCTTTGCGTATTTTACATTTGTACATGCTTCTTCCAAATCAGGATGCCATCGCTCTGGTAACGGGAGGTGCATCGGGAATTGGACAGGCTTGCGCCGCCCGGCTAGCCGATCAGGGAGCCCGCGTCGTCATCGTGGATGTCCACTCCTCTCCCGGTCACAGCAGCATCGCTACAAAACACAAGAACCATGTGGAATTTGTTGTTGCTGATGTAAGCCATGTAGTGTTTCCCTTGACCGTCAATATTATGTCAGAGCTGTATCTGACAAGTGAAAATCTAACGTAGTGTTTTTTCCTGCACTATATGTCTTGTTCTCCACAATACTTACTTTATATGAAAATCATTCTCCCATTATGTCCAGATGTCCACACACGTAATATTGTTATTATGTACTCGCATTTGTGGTTAGGTAACCAATGAGTCGCAAATGTTGTCGGTTGTGGAGTACATCAGAGGAAAGTATAGGCGTCTGGATATTGTTATTACATCCGCCGGCATCTGCGAATTTCAGCCAACCTTCAATTTCGACAATAACGAGCCACATAAACTCGATACATTCCAAAAAATTTTAACGGTAAGCCAATCGTGAAACTACTGTATCCGCTCGCACATCTTGAACCACAGAGTGTGTGTACGGGAAAAACGCGCATTCAATATACACACTCTAACCGGGCCAAACGCGCGATTCGCGATTTGATAAATTTCTGATGTCTTTGCAAAATCTGGTCTGGAGAACTTCTTGAATATTAAAAACAATTGGAGCTCTAACAATTTTAAACTTGTTTATGCTCGATAGCAGCCATTAACATACAGCTTTGCCGTAAGCACGAGTTACAAACTGATTTGTTGTGGTTTTTGGGGTACCCCTGGAGGGGGATGGGTACGTTCAGCGTTAACATTCTTGATGGCGATGAGCCACAGAACAATTCGAGCTTTCAGCTGCAGAACCTTTTTTCCAGAGTGAACTGCCATTTAAATGAAAATTCTTGGTTTATTGGACAAATTCACAAGAAGAACTGTTCATCTTGAAACCAAATGAGCAATATTTCGTAGTCGTGCATTTTGCCCGGTTAGAGTGTGTATATTGAATGCGTGTTTTTCCTGTACACAAACTCTGTGGTTCAAGATGTGCGAGCGGATACAGTATAGGAAACTCGATTGATCGCCGGCTAGGCCTCTAATTCCAGCAAGTTAATGATAAGCGCGTGGTCACATTAACCCAACTCGATGCTGTGTTACGTATGTAGGTACGGATGTGATACAATACAAGTATGCCATCGGTTATTATAAGTTTGAAATGATAAGGATCCAGATCGAGGATCCAGATTTTTTGCAAGTGCAGTGGTATTTCTTTTGGGCGGTTACCATAAGATGCCGTAATAATGTGTCACATATCATTCTAGCTTTTTACTGCATTTCCCGTCGTAGGTCAACACATTAGGTACATTCAATACCATCCGTCTGACGGCCGGACTGATCGGCCTGAATGCGCCGGATGCCGACGGTCTCCGCGGTGTCATTGTGATTATCGGCAGCACCACCGGCATCGAAGCAGAAATGGGTTTGGTGGCGTATTCGGCCAGTAAAGCGGCCATCCACAGTATGACCTTACCATTAGCCAGGGAATTCGCATCTGTGGGCATCCGCGTCGTTACCGTCGCTCCCGGTGCGTAGAATCTGCACATTAATTTCTGAGAACACATTACAACAGATTTCTATAGTACGCATTTAAATTGATAAACGATAAATACCGGAAAGAAAATCACGTAATGAAATATTATTGCATGTGAACCAGGACAGCACGTGTGCATGTTATTCGGTACGTGTACTATACTGCGTTTTTAAGTCGGCATATACTCTTGTACCGTTGTGTATGATAGGGCTTCTGTCGCTTGTTAGAGTTACCGGATATAGTATAATGTAGATGATCCCTAACCAGTTTCATTTTAATAACGAATACATTATTTTATTAGGATTAACCGATACGCCCATGTTCCGAGTGAATCCCGCCGCGGCACAGGAAGGCGCCAAGAAAAAGTGGGCGTCCCTGGCAGCCGTGCCGAAACGCCTGGTAACCGCGGAGGAAGTGGCCCATATGGTTACGGCGGTTATCGAGAACCGAGCGGTCAACGGGGAAATCATCCGCGTGGATGGCGCCGCCCGCAACTTTTAACTTCCGCATTTTTTTAAGCTTTCAAGGTCAGCTGACGACGAATGTTTCACAAAACCAATTATGGTACTGGTTTTTCTGATTTTTTTTTCTAGTTAGTAAGCTTTATTCATCTTTGTTTCGGTGTGCCTAGTAACCTCTTACTGACTAGCGACTATCAACGCCAGACGTGTATCTCCTAATTATTTTACATTTTCAGGACTGTACAGATATGCGATCCAGTAGGCAAACATTTTTTTAAATATTATATCTGTACGAGTATGTCTCTTAAATTTAATAAATAATCACGGAATACAAAAGTAATCTGTAAATGTTTTTAAATAACCTACAAATACGTATTTGGTTTCAATCGGGAACGCTAATTTTGAACGAGTATCTGCTTTTACTACAAACAAGAACAGAGAAATCATCGTCACACGATCAGTAAAACACGACAAGAACACTGGACAAAAAATCTTTAGCTAAAAATTAAACAAAGCCAGGCAAATCCAACACGCAACCGTCCCCCGGGCTGCGGGGGGCGGAGAGCAACATGAGCCAATCAAATCCCCGAAAATAGAATCAACGTGTAGAAAAACCGAAGAAAATCCATATAAAGAAAAACCAGTGGAAAGCATAAACGCGATACGGGTCAATCTGATAATCCAGACATGGCGAAAGAAAACACGATGAATAATTAAATTACACGCTTCAACACACCGCCGCGGGTTAGTCGTTTTACAAAAACGGGTTATAATTATTGTTGTTATTCTGCCCTACCCGGCTACTACTGCCCATGCCCATCCCGCCGCCGGACGACGGGACCAGGGGCGCCGGCAAGGTGCTGAGGGGGTCGTAGGGGTTGGGGGGCTGGCCGCCCTGGCGCAGCTGGTTGATGGTGGGCGGGGGCGCGGCCGCGGCGTGGAAGGGGTTGGGTACGCTGGGGGCGTTGTTGCCGGTGGGCGCCGTCAGCGGGCCGCCAAAGGGATTCAAGGCGAAGGCGGAGGTGGGCACCGGGGGCTGCGGGCGTGATGGGAGGGTGACCAGGGAGTCCAGATTGACCAGGTTGGAGTTCTGGCCCAGGAAGTCCACGGCCGGACTGGTGCTGGTGGGTTTCTTCGGCTGCGCCATGGTCGTTGGGGAGATGGAAAGGGGGTTGGAGGCGCTGGTGGGCGTCAGCTGCGACCAGGGGTCCAGGCTGGCCGCTACGGGAGGCGATGGGTGGGTGAAGGCTGCAGAGCAACGTGGAATTATTAGTTACCGGTATACAACTTATACACATCAAATTAAATATTCCCAGCCGACTGTACTACAAGTATCGCTACTATGTGGCTTACTGTTACAATCGTATGTACTGCTACGTACGAAAAACCAATACGTAATTAGAATGGAATCATAATTACCCTATTATTATTTCGAAAGCACAGAACCCCTTATCAACGCTACTATATTAATCAATAACCCAAAATTTAATAATATCCGAAAACGGAAAGTTCATAAGGATGTAAAGCTGTTTGTTAATGACAAAAAAAATGCACAGGGGAGCGTCTGTAGCAGGCGAATAATTCAGCAAAGCGTTCCTGGTACGTGATACCTAATGATTAGCGGACTGCGTACAAGTTATCCCAGGGATTCAAAAATGCTCATAACGCTAGCGCGGAGAATAATCTCTCAGTCCAATACTTATTCTTACTCGGTTTGGGAGGTGAATTCGCCGGCGAAAAGCCATTCCCGAACGCTGACTGTGCCGGCACCGGCGGGGCGCCCCACGGGTCACTGCGGCTGCTGCTCTCCACGAACCCATTCCCGCCGAACCCGTCATCGAAGCCTCCCCCTCCGAAGCCCCCATCACTGGCGCCCCAGGGATCCCCTCCACCCGGCCGCTTATGCTCCGCCGCCGGCTGATGAAAGACGTCGAACAGCTCATCCTGACTGCTGACCTGCACCGGGCGCTGCTTCTGGAAGTCCGTCTGCGACTCCTGCAGGGCCAGCTGCAGCCGCATATCATCCCGCTGCCGACGGCGCTCCTCCTCGTCGGCCTCCTCCTTACTCATGGCCAGCGCGATCTGCAGCTGGATCTCCTCCTCGGTCATGTTCTGCGGACGGACCTGCTCCAGCTCGGCGTTGAGTTTGTTCGCCCCGGGACTGCTGCCGCCGCCGTCCAAGGATGCGAAGCGGGTGGGGTCCACCGTCCCGGTGAAGGGCTCGTCGGCTGGGTACTGGTCGCGGACGCCGGCGTTGCCCGAGTACTGGAAACGCTCACGGGTCTTGGAGGCTTTCACGCGCTCGTTCTTCAGGCGCTCTTCGTCGGTTAGCAGAGCAACAACCTGAAATAAGTGAATGCGTGCGTGAATTATTACAAACGTGGAAACATGTAAAACTTATGGGTTCATACGCCAAAGATAATTCTAGAATTTTACATACATGGTAGATATTAGGAAACATACCAACCCTAATAATTTTCTATTTATTAAATTAATTATTTTTCCTCCAGTTAAAATAGTGCAAATATCAACAGTGTTCAAGTTACGTATTTCCCTAATCGCATGTGAGCGACAGTTCATTCTACTTGTTAAATTATAACCAGCAATGCAACTACGAAAACGACATACTGCTGTATATCTGATTGCTTACAATAAGTATATCTATATATTTTTTACTACTTGTACTTTTATTACAAACTATCCCATATCTCTTATCAGTTTTGAATTTTTTGGTATCTTACGCGCCGTGGTAAATTAGCTTGTTCTAACATTCAAAAGATTTAACATAAGTACAACTCACGTTCAAATTATTTAAATTTAAAATTAGGGTTTTTAATTGGAGTAAGGTGTGTGCGAACTTCATTACACTGCGTAGGTAAAACAATTGTTTGTATTACGCATGTTTTTCTTTAGGAATACGCCAACACAAACGTCTGTCAGATTTTTGTCTGAGTAACGCACAATCAAATCACCAAATATGTGCCGTGAATCAACACAACAAAAGACCACACCGAGACCTTCCACGTGCTCAATAAAAGGATGAGTAAACCGACAATAAAGAACGAATAAACACATAAAACCCAGGTCGATCGCTGATATATCAATAAGCCTGGCCGACTGCTATATAAAATCATGCAACGTGTTATCTCCCCAGGAACATTCACAATGCTCACAGTCACAGATAAGACTGACAAGGGATTTCAACATTTCCGGCCGACAGACTGAGGTTTCCTTATTCTTATCGAAGAAGCAAATCAAAAAAATCTTCACTCCGGTTTATACACACATTTATATAATCGACTATCACATTTCTTCGGTAAAACACTTCAATAAAAGCACTTAATGAAACGCAGAAAACTGGCATGATGAAATTCAAAAGACGGGTTCGGCAAGCAAATCCCTAGTATAAATTACAGCAGATGAAAAGCAAAAAATCCGTTATTTTAAATCCGTTATCCGCTGATCAACCAGACGGGTACACAAGATGCCCGACAAAGTAAGTAAGTACATTTCTGATATTTAAACTGTGTTCTAATACTGGCGATTTACTACAGTAATTTACTACGGTATTTAGTACGGATTTAATAAAGCAGAGAAATGGATTCGGGTGTAAAGTTCAAAATCAAAATTCTATAAAACTGAAGAATGGCGACCTTCTGGTACTTTAAAGATCGCAAGCATAAGTGGCTACAAAACGTTGAAAGCACTTGAGGGAAGATATCCTATTCAACAACATTGTATAACGGTAAAGAACTCAACAAGCACGCTACAGCATCCCGCAACTCATCGAGCGAAATCCGCTCATTCAGCGTGTCAAGGTCGACGACCCCGCACAAAACATTACAGAATCCACATCCCGTTTACTCTAACCTACCCCATGGTAATCTCATTCAAAAAGTTCTGCTGAGAAAATTTTAAAGAAGCCATTCTGAAATATCAAAAAAGAATTCATTCGATACACAAGAATCAAGCGCGATAAACAAGGAAAAAAATCACCGAAAGTCAAAGCTTGTCCGCGAAAGATTCTTTTCTTTAACTCTCAAGATTCTGGATACTACTTTCCCTAAAGCGTGCCTAAAACCTATCAGTATATTTTAAAAATAAGATCTCCACAATCAAAGCCAAAATCGAAGAGAAATAAAAAATAAATTGACAGAACGTCTTACGTATTGTATTTTTACGTCTTCATCACTGCTTGTTTCACAGTTGAAACACTCACGCGCCATTTCTAGTTTCTCTACATTTTTTTGGCAAAAAAATAGATAAAAATTTCCGGATAAAACAATACTGGAGCTAACTACCTAAACTAAAATAAAGCAAAAATTGTAGAAAACCTAGCAAACGTTAGAAACACGAAAAAGCTGAACAAAATGAAAAAAATCGAAGGTATCGTACCTGTTTGGCTTTTTCCCTGACATTCATGCCCAGATCCTTATTTTCCTCCATATGCTGGAAATTCGTCAGGGTCTGGATGAAGTACAGGTTCTCCTTGCAGTGCTGCGCCACTTTCTCCGTGCCCGACTTGATAATGTAATCCAGCACCACCAGCGCCTTGTACACATGACGCCAGTCCTTCCCACTGTCGTTCATCCGCTTCCACAGCATCTGCATAATGTCGGAGAAGGCCAGATGATTGTAGGTCATATCGCTGATGTCGGACATGAGGGAGGCCGCCGGACCCCAGGGGTCGTTGGAGGTGGCTTCGCGCACCTTCACCTGTGCGTCGTTGTAGTTGTGCACCACGTTGCGGACGGTACGCAGGCCCTTACGCACATCACCCATGGTTAACTGATTAGCGCTGTCGAAGAACAAAATAATTTGTCCACAAGGAGGTGTACAAATAATCGCTGGATGGGGATATAGCACAAAGGGGGGATTGTGGATGGTCGCGGAAGTAGACAAGTTTGATTTACTACATTTGACGTGTTTATCAGTTTGTGTGGTGTTTTTTCTCAGCACAGCATGACTGTTCAGACTTTAGAGTAGACGGAAGGATGACGTTTACAAGGTTCCGTACTTACTGCGCAGAGTTATAAATACCGTAAACTCTCACAAGTCAGTTCAAATTTCAAATTCACCTCATAATCTTTCTGTACGTAATACTTTAACCTGTGCTTTGACTTTTTAACAAGCTTGCTGCCTAGTTGCCTACAGTTTTCTTCTGGTGTGTTTTTGAAAACTAATGTACTTACTTCTGGAATTTGGAGACAAGATTTTTTTATTCGTCTAAAATGGAAATGATGCCATCCTTATCTTTGAAATGGTTCTTCTTTGGAACGAGCACTGAGCCGTGAATGCCAGTGATGGTCTGCGTGATACCATGGATAATTCCATCATGCGGCGAAACGCATTCAAATGATGCGGGCTAACAAGAAACCCCAAATTATGGTGGCACTTACTAATGCCATCATAATATTGGATTTTTTGTTAGTTATTTGCGTCAGACTTGTGGCGGGATTATCACAACAGTATAGCTTAAATATATACTAAACGATAATACGGAGCACCGTATTGTGATTTTGGATATTTTATTATTGCCTCTTCGAATCTGCGACTGCGAAAACTGGCATCCAGTTTCATGCACATATGGATTACTCTATCCGCCGATTTCTCCCCAACACCCGAATCGATGTATTTGAAACTTTGCAACCTACAGAGCTTCGGAACCCTGCGGGTCGAACAGCAAAATGATCTGGATGTACATCCTGGTCACTTGGCTCTTGATCCCTCACGGTTTTCATCCACCGCAGTCGTAAAGATGCCGTCCCTCCTCCGTTCCTAGCATCCCGATTCCCGCATGCACTAAGGACTCGGGACAACCCCGGACAGCAAAGTCCTCCGTTCTGGCGTTTGATGGCACCCCTCTCGGCCTGTCCGACGTCAGGGAATCCTGGGCGACCATACCCAAGAAGGGAGAAGCAAGTACTTGCCAGACGCCTTGCAGTGTCAGCAGGGAAAGTCGTTACGCCGAGCCTCCAGCTGCAACGCGTCCCTACAGGCGGAAAAGGAAAGGAGAAGAAAGACCTTTGCCTGACTGTGAGCTTACCATTTAGACAGAAGTCATTCTTCGCTTTTTCTGTCCTCCTCTCGGCCCTCTGGGCTCTGAAGCAGCTACCGGTCATCAAGCTCACGACGACAGCCAAATCTGGACCAGTAACAGGGAACCATCCGGAAATCCCAAAGTTTCCAAGTTGTACCTGTTCCGATTAACCGTGAGAATTACTTATGTAATAGGAATCGTGAGATAATAGGTACAGTTTCAGGAACTTACGTATTGTTTCGGTTTACCGATGCCCAGATCGTAAATTCGGACTAAGCCAGCCAACTAATTGGACGAGTAAAACCGTAAGACGCGATGACTGTGTACAGTACGTATACTGGCTCCGAGTACAAATACTGTAAAGTACGCGTACAGAGCTGACGGTTAAAAATCAAAATTATTCGTACTTAAGGATATTTGTTTACATTTCTTTTTAAATTTATGTTGTTTTAGTTTTTTCCCGTAGCTATGGATGAAGAGGCCTTTCATCCGCGAAGCTATATCCTGACTCTACTTATAGGTAGAGGAATGCACTTTAGTGAAGAGATCAGCGAAAATGAGCGAATTCGGCGATGTAATAAGTCGCAACGAAAATAATGTACGTGATAAGTCGGCGCGACGAATTTAGTCCAAAGTTAATGTGCCGGAGTAATTAGAACGCCTCTGAGTTTCGCAGAGTGCAAGGTGGAATAATGGATATGTCAAAAACGATGTAAATGGTTTTTACGATCCCTGTGCTTAATCCGTATCGAACCTTTTAAGCTTCACATATCGGAAAAAATTCTAGTCGTTTTTAATGTGCGGTACGCAGTTTATAGGGTGGTGAAAACTGTATTATCGGCATTTTTTATGCGCTTTCGAAAATATTTTTAAAAATTAAACCGAAATAAAACTAAAGTGAAGTTGATCTACAAGTCACCTTTAGGGCATTCTCGAATCTCGATAACACTCGAAGTCACCGAACAATTTACCGGTACATAGCACTGCATGTCCGAAGGGCTCGCAGACACGTACAGGTAACTATACAGTATACAGCACGCACTACTGCGGATTGAGTTTTCAAGAAACCTGTAGAATGTGATCGCTCCTGCCTTATTTACGAGCAAATTTCGACCTGTTCACGTACAACACCAGTCTTTTGGTTGCTGTAATCAAGTTCGGGCATTTTATTGCTTACACCGATTACCATAATATTTGCTCATTGTAAGGAACAGACTCTGTTTGATACTTACTTCAACGTCTTATATAATTTTCGTCACCTTTTTACAAATTTGTATGCGCTTATCCAAGGAATTACAGTGTGGGATGGACTTATCTGACGGTGATTAGGAGAATTGACAAAACCAGTCTCTGATTGATGGGATTTCGCACATTTTGTGAATATGGACAACAGAACGGCGCACTTTTTCGATTATCAAGCCAAGTTCGAGGATCTGGATGTGGCCTTTCGTGCCAAGGACAGGAGTCCGTCGGCGGCACAGAAGGCCGCGAAACGACAGGATGATCCAGTGGGCAGCTTCCTCGATAATATTGCCGTCAGCGTCAATCCCCTGCAGAAAATCGTCAGTCGCGCCATGTATCCGGGATCATGGAAGCGTATGCAGCGAATACTGACGGAACATCTCAATAATGGCCGTTTCAAGCTAGCCACGGAAGTAAGTTATACAGACATATTTATACTTATTTTTTTCTAATAATAATTATTATGCTGTGGTGCTAGTACATTATCCACTCTACGCGTAGCTCTTAAATATGCACAATTATTTAACCATAAGAACATTTAATTGCACTTCCTTGAAATAAAGAAAGCCCATTCGAGACGTAAAGTATATAATATCCTAATTTATTCAAAATATGTAATAATGTGTACTTCACAGTTTATACAGTAAACTAGAAGAAATTCAGAATGTAAAGTTGTAAACGTTGCAAATTAGCGGATACCGTATGCTGTACAAGTATAAACGGAATTCATAAAAGTTGGCAATACGGAAAAAATATTAGCAATACGGAAATATTATAAAAAGCTTTTTGAACTTCTTTATGCACGACATTTTCCGTGATGGATAAACCAGTTTGTACTAAAATCTGGAAACAAGGAAAATGATTCTAATTGTCACTCAGAATCAATTAATGCGAGCAACCGCTGCTCGAACTGTAATTAAAGTGCATCCGTCACGTGTGCCATTTGACTGGTAACTTATACAGCTTCTGGTATTATCTGTACTTGTATAATGTGGTGATAGTGTAAATATCGATGAACCTTGCATTTTACCCTGGTTGTGTTCACGGTTGTACCCAATTGTAGTTCGACGCCAAACGCGCCAAAATCGCTACCGCCGATGGGAACCTGCTGGACACGATGTGTGCCGACCGGCGCTCGGAGAGTGAGCAGGGCGAGATCCTGGTCGTGTGCTGCGAAGGAAACTGCGGCTTCTACGAAGTGGGGAATATGTTCACGGCCATTGCCGCCGGCTTCTCTGCCGTCGGCTACAATCTGCCGGGATTCTGCCGGTCCACCGGACATCCGGAGCCCAGCCAGATCCGCTACGCGGTCGATGCGGTGATGCAGTATGCCATTTCCTGCTTGAAATTTCCCGAGAAGAATATACTGATTCTCGGCTATTCCATAGGTAAATTCATCAGAATTATAATTGTTCAAGCAGTGCACCAGTTTTCTAACAAACGGTGCGTTTTGAACAGTAACGTGCTTCATCAAAATTAAACGATAACATTTTCGGAAATGCAACTGAACACGTAAAATTTGGCAACTGTAATTCATACCGTGGAAATAATTTTACTATTTGAAACTTTCATTGTAGCCGTTGTGTTATTATTTTAGTTTTTTACATGATAAATGCTTTCATATGAGACTGTACTCGAACTGAAAGTGTGTTAGCTACAACTTGAATATCAAAATGTGCTCACAATGCATGGTTTTACAAACTTGCAATGTGTTATTTTTGATGAAAACTGTAGCTGTCTGTATGTAAATGTATATGGACATGTACGTTCACTTTTATTCTGCTTGCAGGGGTTTGTGTAAAGTTCTTACATGTTGTAATACGTAGGTGGTTATCCAGCCGCCTGGGCAGCCAGCCAGTATCCCTCCATTCGCGGCCTGATCCTGGACGCTTCCTTTGACCAAGCGCTGCCGTTAGTGCTGCTGCATACAGAGAATAAAATGGAAGATATCCTACGAAAAATCCTGAAGGAAGACCTGAATATCAATCTCGTTGAACTGCTGTCAAATTATCACGGCCCGGTGACAATTATCCGCCGCAGTCAGGATCAGATTGTCGGGGTCAACCGGCAAGAAGGCTACGTTAACCACACCAATCTGCTTCTCAAGAATTTCCTCCATAGTCGGTATCCAGAAATCGTCAATGAGCAGACCTTTCAGGTGCTGGATGAGTGGTTGAACCTCTACGACTGGACGCAAGGTAATCTAAATGTGATTGCGGTAATAAAGTTCGACATTCATGCGAATGCTTTAATCCGGAAACGGTTAAAATTTAAATATTCACAGCGGAATTAAGAGAAACGACCCGGTACATGGTACCAAATTCGTGTACATATACGCAAACTTTAACTTTCATATATTTCCAAACAGTTTTTGCATTTTTATTGTGACAATCTGTAGTTCACGATTTGTATACATTGGTGTATAACCGTTTCTGTGCGCAACTGCATCCGGTTGGAGAGTTACGGACGAAAAATCCAAAAATGCACGAAAAATCCAAAAAGTTTATATCTATACACATGCAGGTCTATCAAAAGTTTCAATATGTACCAAACTTCTTCAAATGTTGCTAAACAACGCACGTAAGTATAATAATCGTTTTTTTACGCCGAACCAGACTAGTTGCACCATTTTCTTCAATTTGAAATAATTCTTTAAAGTTTTCGAATTGATTTCGAAATTTCAAAATGACTGAAGTGTGGTTCGGTTCGGGGTATGTATGCTGTATTACAGTTTGTTGTCGTTGTAAAATTAGAGTATTTGCAGAGGTGATGTTAAATCAGTACGCCGTAAAATGTCCACGCTGTCCGTCGATGCTGGTGGAATACATGCGGGATCGGCGGCGCACCCCGCGACCTTTTCCAGTGAGTACAGGACGCTCTTGGGATCAGAATACACGCGAGCACCTGACGCTGCACTTAGCCGAGCGTCATATGCGAACCTGTGCTGGAACGCACATCACGGAGCTACCGGCGTACTTTATCGCTGTGCCGTGGAATGCCTTTCTGGAATGATGCACCTAGTACAGAGTACTTGCCAGTGCTGATGCATTATTTACGCAACTGTAGACAGGAACTCTTTTCCTTGGCTCTTTTGCTACAACACATTGTGTTCCTTCAACAGTTCTTTGATTATTTTTATTCGCCATGCGCTTTTAATTTGTTCCTTAAATACACTCCAATAAGCTAAGCTAATGACTACGAGTACTTAACGCGTTCATTACCACGAAAATTAAAAATAGCCACTGTACAATTTGCTCAGTTGCAGCTTCGCACACCTTCGTTTCTTTAACTGTCGGACGAGTGCGCTTCAAAAAATAATAAATCTCGGGCCGGTTGGAATGTGCATAAATAATTTAAAATATCCGCTTACGTTTTGCTCGTTGTTACCGGTTAACAGAATTGGTACTGGCAAGTGTGGATAAAAGAAAACTGCAGAAATTTATTGTGTGTTCGCCGATTCAAGCATCGGTAGTTGGAACGATGCAAATAGCCCGAGCCAGGCGAAGGATGTGCGGTATTTATGACAGTGAATCAACTTGGCGCTGGGTTTGTTGACGGAATATTGACTGCGGTCACTCTGTGGTTGTCGTTGGACCACACTCGCTCTGGTCAACGTACTGGATTTTTAGCTGCAAAAACAGCCCCATAAACTCTTATTTATTTTATGCTTCAGTAACTACGAGTACTCGAGCTATGTTCATCGCGTTGCATATATATACGGACGATATGGCGCTGTGATTGGACTATGTATATGAAAATATAATAAATATTAAAATAATCGTTCTGACGTTAACTTACCCGAAACTGCGCTGTGGCATACAGCTCGTTATTTTGCTGACTATTCGTCAGCGTTAATGTGCACTGCAGCACGGTGTCCTGGGTGTAGATGACGGGTTCACAGCAACCGCATTCGGTGTGACCATAGAACAAATAGTAAGCCTGAGCATAAAAACACTTGTTATCTCCGCATTTCAGTGTGGACACAATTTTGGGCTCCGGATCGTTGTTGTAAATGCCGACATCCAGACTTTCATACCGTGTGCAAGCCTACAGAATATGTTTCTTTTTCGTCCATATTTAGTATTCACGTAATAATACAGAATATGAAAAAATATATGTCAAGAACAAAATTCGATCATTGTACGTAACTTACACCAAATGTATAAAGCATGGCATTGGGATAGTCCTTAGTATTTTGCAGTTGGCATGTGGTGACGCACAGCTCTTCGGGCAGATTGACAATCACTGCCTTTCCGTATTCTGTAAAAACAGTTTTATTTGCGACGCATTGCAGATTAATACTACTGCTAAGTGCTAACTAACTGCTCTTATAACATCGTTTACAAGTATATGATTAAAATAAACCTTCTTTTTGGCAGAAATGGCGCACCGTTACTGCGTTAACAATTATAAGCTTCTAGCAAAAGTCGCATATATCAGTAGAATTTGTGTACCGGCAGTTTTCGCCAAGAAATCAGCGCATTGTTCTGCCGAGCACGCAAAAGGCAAGGAAGGAAAATAGCAGGGATTATCGGAGCAGGTTGACGTCGAGGATACGGTTGCCTGCGCCGCCGGACACGGCGGTGGGCAGGTCGCACACGTAGGACAGGTCTTGGGAAGGGATTTTGTGCTGTTGCTGCTGTAGTAATTAGACAACGAGCGGCGCATGCCGGCACGCGGTGCTGCGCGATCCTCTTCCATGGAACCAGCGTCACATACCATGCTCAAACCGAAAAGGCCAAGCACTACCTGCGAAATCATTTAATTAAGGGAATACTTTACCGGCGCAACCGTGGACCAAAAGGAAAAACTACAGATCGTGACAAGTACTGCGCGTTTTATACTGTACCAGTATTATGCCATAAAAACGTCTGCTCTTCCATTGAATATTTCCTTCCATTCGTGAAGAATGTATAATTAAAATCTGGATGTACTCGAAATAAGACAAACCATTAGTTCCCGGTTACAACAATATTATCTAAAAATGGCCTTCTTACTGCACGAGACAAAACACTGGATGGCTTGCGCTGAACATTCAAGATGCAGCTACCAAGGAGCTTAGATGACTCGGAAAAAAGGGCATCGCACCGGTGTCGAGTGTCGGCTAGGAATACAGTAAACAGACCTGACGAGCTAAATCGGGTCAATCAAAAACGTTTCGTTTTGCCTTACTGATAACATCTCACCGATAGCGTGTGGGATATATATTGATGAGGTACGTATGCCGTTTTGCGTTCGCTGCTCTACTCGTAATTTTATTATTGTTTAATTTTCTAACAATTGATGCTACGCTAACCGTGTCCCGCTCATGCAGGAGCGGTGTACGGTAGTAAGGCCCAGCGACTATTTTCACCGTATTTATGATCAGATGGTAAGGGTCAACCGGCAAAAGGGGTGCGTCAAGCTTAATAGCCGGCTGCTGAAAAATTGTTGTCAGCTAACAGGCCTTTCGGTCCTAGACCTGAATCTATGTGAGCAAGAGGTTCGATGTGGTACGATGTACTTTTGTAGGAGGTAATTAACGCAGTCTTATCTATGTGCCAATGCGAGCAATCCGGAAACGGCTAAATTTTTACGGCGCAAAAAATAAAAAATGGTAGTGTAATCTGTAGAAGTGAGTTATCGTTACAAAATGCAGGGATCGGCAGGAAGTAATGCTAAATCCAGTGTGTGACATGCCGTAAAATGTCCATCGACGCTGTCCGTCGATGCAGGTGCATGGGCTTCATGCGTGACTGGCGCCGCACTCCACGACCTTTCCCGGTTAGTGTGAGTATCACCTTTCCCCGCGAACGCTTGAAACTGCATTTTGCATTTAGACGAACGTCATCTGTGAATTATCTGTGCGGGGACAGTAGCACATCATGGAGCTGTACCGGCGTACTTTATTGTCATGCCGGGGAAACTTTCCTTTCCTGGACTGATACTACCAGTACTAACCACTTAATTACTTCAAGCATGAATTACGACTATAATATTATTTTGTATCTGACTGCAAACGTGAACTATTTCCTTAGCCCTTTTGTTTCCGTAATAGCTGCTCCCTTATCGACTTTTTGTTTATTTATATCCACCACCCTTTTAGCTCCTCGATTGCCAGTACTCCTAAGTCCCTAACGACTGCTGAATACTCTGCTTAGATACGAGTACATAACAATTTAAATTAAATTATTCTAAATCTATTCAGTAAAATCGGATAGTCTTGCACTTTCATGTACTCTGCAGTCACTTGGTCTGTTTTTATTTGTCGATGGAATGTTCTTCACTTTTAACACCATGCCCTTTCGCAAAGTCAAAAGGTACAATTCGTGCCGGCTACTCTGCATAATTTCATACGTTTACTTGGATTTTGTTAAGAAAATTTTTACCCAGTCGGCCAGTTCATGTAACAGAAATGCAAAACACTTATATTCGAACAATGCAGATATTGGGCAAAGGTCGTCCTTACGCATTGCCGTTGCTCCTTAGTATCTTTGTATGGATACGCTACCGGCATCCGGTAGCGCGCTGTTTCAGAAACTGGCTACACTTGCCAATAAAATTACTCATGCTAAACATTCAAATACGCGCATCTATTTTCCAGTTGAAAAAAAATGACCATTGCGTATTTGTCTACGGTAACATCGGACGAGCGATCTGCAGAGCTATTAGAACGTTTTGAATGGGCTTACCACCGTCTAGATCCACGGAGAAGGAAAAACATTTTGTTTCGTATTACCGCCCATTGTTTCGTTCTGATTGCACACACTGCAGATCGATCATTGCGACTCGTGGTACCCCGCATTAGAATTAATAATGCGCGTTTTGAGTCGTTTAACTTTGGCAACCCAACGTCAACGTAACACATTAATTAAGCAGAAATACTGAGCATCCGGTTTTCCCAGGTTATATTGGAACTTATTATATAATATATCCCATGTTTGGCAGTTATGGACAGCTTTTGCAAGTGCGCCACAATCTTAAATGTAAAGGCATTACGATACTTATATAGTTAAAAAGTTTTATATATGTTAAGATGACCATTTGCTATCCTTCGTCTTGTAGCTAGGGTTATGGATCTTAGGTGCGTATTTCGTACCACACAGTGAAGGACTTTCACCATCTCGATATCGACGGCAATCTGGTCCTTACTATGCTGCTTTATACCAACCACGATCACCGGCTTACAGTGGTACGTATTCAAGCATCCACACAAATATCTATACAAAGTTTGTAAGATGTCATAATAATTTAATTGATCAATCTTCTTTTCAGGGTCATCGTATCAAAACCGTGTAAACTACAAAGTCCGCACCAGTGGCACGTACAATCAAAACACCGACAACTATCCGGACACTTCCGGTTATTACGATTCCGGACGAGTAAACGTTGAATATGACAATGCGCCTAACGACTACCGGAACACCGGCAGCTCTCCACAGCGAACAAGGAACACGACATTCAACCTGGGCGATTATTTCCCGTATACCCGAAGAAATTTCACCAACAGCGGAAATTATAACCAGCGGCTGACATATGGCAGCAACACATACGGCCAGAGTTATTCTCGCAGCAGCAGTAATTATTCGCCATCGAATTACGCACAGAGTGGAAGCAAGGATAAATACCGCAACGTAAAATATACCCGCAACGACTACAGTTTTCGTTTATCGGATGATTATGGCAGCCGCAATTACGGCTACACCGACTACACCAATACCACCTGTCCGAAGTGTCCGGATTGCCCGCCATCGTGTAATGCCAGCGTTATACCGCCACCGACGAATTCGACTATTCAGGATTTTCAACAGTTGCCGGATCTGTGTGATCCCACTCTGATCAACGAATGCACAACACCGTCGCTACCCTTTCGATGCACTACGGAGCAGTGTATAGCAACAGGTAGTGCAGACATACGGGCACTATTTTATTCATTATTGTTTGATATTCAAATCTTTTGTATACACAAATATTCAAATATACAATATACCGTACACATATTTATATATATACAGATATACATGTATACGTAATATTCAAATACTTTGAATATGCAACTATTATTTGAATATGCAACTATTTAAATTACATATATACAAATGTATATAATATACAAATATTTCGTAATGTACAAATATTGTGCGATACTCTTCGTAATATCTGTCCGTATTTTATCAACGTTTGCGGCTTTTTAAAGTGCTTTGATTTTTAGGAGAAGCCGGTCTCGGTGTACAGATCTTTGCGCCTGGTGAAGTGTCCGTTTCACAATGTATATTTCGAAAATACGTCGGAGCTGTATTGTATTCTTACAACGTAAGACTTAGTAATTACAGTCCTACTGGATACAGACGCTAAAATCAGTAGCTGTAAAACGCACAACTATGACGAGGGAAAACTGCCACTATAACACAAATTCATTTTTAGGTGTGTCAGGTTGGTAGCGAGACACAAGTGGATTTGACGCCCGACTACGTTCAGAACATTGACTGCTCGGAGACAGCTGATCCGGAGTGTCTATGGGCCGCTGCTGGATCGATTACCGTTCGGGATCCACTCCTCTGCAGTAATCTGTGGTCCGTCTCAGAGCCAGTGGTACTCTACTGCATTTTGTACCTGTGGAATCATGACAATGGACAGACGAATGTGCTGGCCACGGCAAATATCAATGTAAGAATTCATGGGTTCGACCGTTCGATCATCATGATGATCTAATACACCGGGCTTATGGGATGGAGTTCCTCTAATGTTAATTATTTTGCATATCCTCCATATTAGCTGTTATTGTATATAATTTTTATATTTTACAGATAACAGTCAATCCTGACTGCCGTTGTTAAGTGGGATGAAGCGCTACTTAGCAATTTTGTTTCCCCGGATGTTCCTAGTTCCTACAGCTAATTTCCTATGGGCGAAAATTACTGTCCTTATTATAATGTTTTCTGATAGAACAGGAACTCTGTTATTTATACAGTATTATTTATATCTCACAATTTAAAATTAATGTTACTTGTCATTATTTATAATTATTCAAAATAGGAGATCTATGTAAGTAGTACTTCATGTCGTTCCGACTTGTTCGTAAAAGATACAAAATGGACAAATTGCTTCTGTAAAATGTTTATTAAACATAAGCAAAAAATAAGTCAGTCGTCAATTTCGCGTTGCGCTGCACCTGGTACAACCACTAGTTATCGTACGTTCATGAATTTGTTACATATGTATGCACTAGCTAATAATAGTAATATTTTATGATGTGCGAGAACTGTGGAATTGATAATACTTTTGTATTCAATCGTGTGTTTTATTTGGCATCGCAATCACCACCAGCATCGAAAGATCATGACTAAGAAATCCGTAGACTCAGCCGACATTATTAATGCAGAGTTTGATAATTACGAGTAGTTGGAAGATAACCTTTTCCAGCTTTGCATGTGTTCATATATATTTCTTTATTATACTTAAATAATAGAGAATCAAACGTTTTTAAGGTTACCATAAATTTAACGCACAGTATAACACTATCAGCAAACTTCTACTACGTCGACACATATTAGCTTGTGGAAACAGTGAACGAAAGCAAGCCGCAACACCAAGCGGTCAGGTTTTTCGGTTACGAGAATCCAGCAAAACTGCCAATTCAGTAAGGGAACGTTGGTAACCTTGCAATAGAATTGTCGCATTATAATGGTGGAAATTCAGGTACATTTTGCGGTGTGTTTCTTCTGCTTACACCATGCAATGTCCTCAGCACTCCCTGCATAAGGCTAACAAGAGCTAACGTAGCAATAAAAGAATTGGTCGGAAGAAAAAAACAAAGGGCAGCGAACGCCGAACGGATACGCACCTTACCCGTATTCCACTTGGTCGCGCTAGCTGCATGTCATCTGTGAAGGAAACACGATTTTTTTATTTGACTCGCTCCCGCTCGCAAAGTCTGTTCGATCGGTATCCTTGAAAATTCGAAAATAACCATGTGTCGCATGGTCGTCAGTCGATACCCTTCAGAATTTATTACTTATACAATCCCATTCATCTTGAGTAAACCATCCAGTTTGATTTTTACCTTAAGATAAGATGCCGGTTCTTGCATATTACTGAATCCAGAAAACCATTTGTTTCTATGATAATTTAAAAATTTCGCGGTTTTAAAACTGTTTTAAACTTTTCGCGAATGGAAGGGAATTTCCGTAGGATTAACTGCCTTTCTTATGGCCGGATGCCGGTACAGTACAGTCGTTGTCAGTCATAGTATTTTCTGCAGTTATTGTAGTAGACATTGCATAGTGTGCCCTGTATGTGCACAGTTGCTGTTTTACCTCCCACAACTACTCACATAAATCGTAATTTGCAGGTAATAATCCTTTGCCTTTTCTCAATCAGTACGGTATGTGGCGCTGGCTCGATGGAAGAGGACCGCGCAGCACTGCGTGCCCGCATGCGCCGCTCGTTGTCTACTTACTACAGTAGCAACAACACCAAATCCCTTCCCAAGACCTGTCCTACATGTGCGACCTGCCCACCGCCGTGTCCAGCGACGCCGGCGACCGTACCTTCGACGTCGTCCTGCTCCGATAATCCCTGCTATTTTTCCTCCTTACCATACGCTTGCTCGGCTGAACAGTGCGCTGATTTCATGGCGAAAACTGGCGGTAAATATACTCTCAGGATAATGATGATATCATACGAATTTGGAGAGAAGCTTGTAAATAATGTTTACACAATAACATCGCGCCACGTACGGCACAAAGCAAGGTATACAGAGGCATACTTATCCGTAAACGATCTTATAATTAGTTACGCGTACAAAAGCAGTTTCCACTGGTGCTGTTCTGCAGTGCATCGCAAAGTAAAATTTTCTTTGTCAATGTAGAGTATGGAAAGGCAGTGATCGTCAATCTTCCGGAAGAGCTGTGCGTCACCACGTGTCAACTGCAAGATCTGTCGGGGACAGAACCCGTTGCCGGCCTGTATGCATTTGGTGTAAGGGGCAACTCCTAAGGTTCTCTATATTATTCTTTTATGGAATCAGAATATTAACAAGAGAGGAACCTGTTTTAAGGCGTGTACACGGTACGAACGTTTGGACATCACGGTCAACGGTCAGGAGCCCAACGTGGTGTCCGTGCTGAAATGCGGCGCTGATCAATGCTTTCAAGCTAGTGGTTACGGACTGTTTTACTCCACCGACAACTGCAATCCCGTCATGTACAGCCAAGATACCGTGCTGCAGTGCACTTTATCGCTGATTAATGCACAAACCATGAATGGTGAATTATATGCCACAGCGCAATTTCGGGTAAAGTTTTACTGCGATCGTGTTTAGAATCATTATGTTACTACATTATTCGTCATTATTTGCAACGCCATCGACATACAATAACTGTGAGAGTTTGACTGATATTAAATTGGTTCTCTTTGCAGTTAAAAATCCAGTACGTTGACCAGAGGGACTGTGGACCAGTAATAATGGATCTAGTACACCGGAATAATTATGTATAACACGTATTGCACAATACCTTCGCCTGTGTAACATACTGTACATGGATTTATTACATAATTATGCAATCAGACTAGTCAGAGTGAATATTATCCTCAATCACCTGCCAGCTCGCATTCCGTGTGTATCTGTACTCGATATGCGGATTATTGACTTACCATTAATTTTTGATAGTTGTGAATTTGTGAATGTTCTGCTAACATTTTAAATATAGTATCTAGTCGTTCGATTTGTGAAATCGCAGTACTCTGTGTGCACAGGAACGATGTCTTGCCGGCGGTACCGTCCGGAGTTTATTCACGGAAGTTTGGTCTGTACTTTTGCTGTACATTGAATTATTGTGATGGATGCGACAGCCGGAAATGTACGGGTTTTTCTTTTATAATTATCACAATGTTTTTATACGTGAAACCGTGGCATAGCCGGTACCAACTCACACAGGTACACTGTGACTAAACATGTCTATACACATTGTCGGCATGCTGACTGTAATTAGTAACCACCATTATCAGTTACGAACTTACGAAACACCTGCACCGCCCTCGTTAAAATAAACAAAATTCTGTTATACAATCGCTATACTGTTTTTGCACGTTGCGCACCACTTTCTATGTTCTTGTACAACTTTTTTAACTCATTTTTGCCTTCAATACATAAATTAGCTAAATGGCAATGCTGTTGTTTCGTGTATCTTATGACGATATGAATATATGAAAGGTTGCAATCAACATAAAGGTCTCTAATCCATGAAAGCGTCGAAAACGCCCGCGGAATTGTTTTCTGTCAGAAATCAGCGACTGCCATTCAGTTTATTGCATTTGAGCTAGTTTGCCATTTAGTTTACCGTTAGACCAGTTAATTTTGCAACCTGGAAAAATAATCGATTTCACATACTACTTAAAAACTCGTTATTTGTACAAAAATAAAAAATAAAAGTAACATAAGGCATGCAGAAATGAGGGAGATTTTGTTGGAAAACGACTGGACTGATTACTTTTGGTGGACTTAGTTGGCTGGTTAACAGCATTTACGCCGTGGGTATTCCGCAGTCAGCGGGGTTAACATATTGGACTTTCACCTATAAAGCAAATCCCACAACTATGTACAGCTGTATCATGACTGGACATTTAACAAACATCCGATTCCGTGCCGAAACTCACCGTAAGATCTGACGTGGCTAGTAAATCGGTGCCCTTTTTAAGCTGCAGTGTGCACTGGAGCGTGGTATCGGCTGTATATGTTTGTGTCGCACAGTTAGATTTAACATAGATAGTATCGACATAGGCGGCCAAACACGTTTCAGTCCCGCAGTTCAACGATGACACCACGTTATCCGAAGGGGCTGTGCCGGTATTGAGGTTATCTCTAACCACAGGAGAAAGGTCACCGGTTTTGGTACATGCCTATCAGATTAATTTTTAACTGTTTAATTATTTATATCCGGATTAATCATGCAGTAATAGACAGCTAACTGCTTATACACATGATTCCGGGATTTAAGCGCAGTGAGTAATGTCATATAAAATTGATAGTAAATTCAAACCGCACATGTCGAAGCAGAGCGTACCCCGTAACGGTAAAGCAGGAACGCGCTGTCCGTAGTCGCGGTGCCGTATTGTTGCAGCTGGCACGTCGTAATACAGACCTCTTCGGGAAGGTTTACAATAACAGCTCTGCCAAGGTCAGCCTTGTCTACAACGGCCAATTTTTTATAGGAACATATACAGTATAACACGGTGCATACACAAAGTGTGTACACGATTAAACTAACTTTGCCGGAAATTTTGCAGTCTACTATAACGTACCGCCCGCGCTTTTGATGAAGTCGGCGCACTGCTCTGCCGAACAAGCATAGGGCAATGAATTGAAATAGCAGGGATTATCCGTGCACGTTGAGGGAGGGGGCGCCGGAGTGGAGGCCGGACAGGGCGGAGCACAGGCGGCGCATGTCGGGCAGGTCTTGGAGCTGGTTTTTGTGTAGTTTTTGTAGTTGTAGTTATTGTAATACGATCGACGGACGCGGGCTACTGGCTCGTCTGCGGCAGCGAAGGAGGCCAAGGCAATCACTAGGCAAAATATCTGCAAATATTTTGCTTAATTCCACAATTTAAAAAAAAAACTTTGTGTTAGATTGCCAGTTTTTGTAATTTAACGAAACAATGCCAATTAGAAAATGCAATATATTTAAAGTTACACTACGCAGCACACACACAGTTAAAATGCGCAGTGTATCGTTTTAGTTTAGAAAAACTAGTAAGCCATAACCTTTTTCTGCTTTAAACAAATTCTGCATCCGTTGTTACACTAGTACTTACCGGTTGCACAGAGAGCACTTTCATCCACAAATTTTTCTCCATGGTGGGCAACTGATGGAATCGTATCACTGAGATCGTTTGCTTATTCGTAACAGGGAAATGCCGTATAAACTAAAATACTATTGCTGTGATTCTGCACAAAATTCAATTAATAAGTCCAATCGAAACATGCAGGTACTTCTTGCACCGCTTAATACATTCGCACCCGCCGAAAGGATAGTTAAAGTTGACCTAAAAATTGTGTCGTGAATTGTGCAACAAAAGTCTACAAAAAATTTAAAAAAAGTATATTTTTGTTACGTCTTGGATTATCAAGATGAAGACCATATGTGCGTAAGACGTAACGCTTGTGCAGGAAGTTAACGCATATATGCAAAAGTAAAAAAATGAGCAAAGGTCAATCTCATAAGTTTGATTCTCATTACCACGCTATCTTTGTATCTATACTCTTAGTGCTCTGTAATTTTACTCGACATATTTTGTAGGTGGCTTCGTCGTATCGTTTTGATCGTACATGCAACGTCCAGTTAATTTGTTTTCATATTGATATTGTTTGATTAATGCGTCTATTATTATAATATACCCTTTATTATACAAGGATCGCATTTCAGTAATACTCACTCTTTAAAATAATTTTGTCGCCTCTTTATCTGTTAAAGAACAGCTGAGTAATACTTTCTATCAGAGACTATCGCGGAATAGGCCTTGGATAAATTTTGTCTTATATACGAAGTACTCTGTATTTGTTTACAATATTGTGCTTTTATGAAGAAATAAGGCAGTTAATCGTGTGTTTATATTAGTTTTTTGATTTTTCGTAACCGTAACCAGGGAATAAAGAAAATTACATTAGGTGCAATTTTATCGTACATGTTGTGCTGTAACTAAACCGTCGTTTTCCACGTGATTTCTTGATACGTAGTACTGCGTTTTGCTGCTCTGATTTTGTGATCCACAGTATAAGTGTACCACCGCAAACGCTGCATGTACGGCATTATCTTTATTTCGATAAATGCAGATAAGATCAACCAGCGCATTGTACAAAATTACGGGCAAAGCAGACAATTATTGCTATGGTACATAGTAAACAGAAAAACTTTTGTGCAGCAAAATCTACATCGTGTACACATAACCGGCGCAACCGGTACGCTAATTTCCGGGGTTCTGGTTTATGGTGACTCCTCGTAGTGTATCAGCACCGGCAATCGGGAAAGACATTGATCTGCAAATTATTTTGATTAATTCCGGATTCGGATACACAGATATCTGAATGAATTTTTTCAACGACAGTAATTAAGGGTGCTTCATGCTTAATGGAAAGCCATCATTATTTTCAGTAGCTTACTTCGACATCTTCCGAGGCCTGAACTTGTCCCGAATCGTTCCAAATGTACAAAGAGCAGTGCAGTGTGACGGGTTGCGTCAGCGACCAGAGATTGAAACACAGCTGCGGATCGCGGACATAGACGGATCCTTTCTGGGCCCATAAACACTCCACCTGGGTTGTTTCGACGCAGTCGATATTCTGCCGGTTGTCCGGTGTCAAGTTTAGAACGTTAGCGCTGGAACCAGTCTGCTGGCACACCTGCATCATTCAAAGAAAAGATATGAAACTAACTTATTATCGGCTAGAAGCTTTCCGCATGTTTATTACTTATGTCATAACTAAATAGCGGCTAAACGTTCATACACTTTTTGTTGCTTACATCATAAATAAAAAGTGGCTAAAATTTTATAGACTTTATTGCTAGTTGCTTACGTCATAGGTAAAAAGCTCGGTCTGAAATTTCCGGAATACGCACTGGGAGACATTGACCTGTCCCGGGGAGAAGATTTTTATGGGTAACCCTTCCGATGCTGCAAAAGCACCAGTGACCAATCAGACAAAATTGAGACGTACGTCTATTTAGTATTGCGTGCGTACCGGCCTGTTCGCACTCGGCAGCTGTGCAGCGAAACGGAGCCGACGGTATGGCACACTGGTTGATGTAAGTCTCATCACAGAGATCCGATAGCTGCGTAAAATCCTGGATTGTGGAATTCACCGGGGTGGTCGTAGTTACGTTGGTTGCGTTACAGGCCGGCGGACAATCCGGGCACTTGGGACAGGTGTTGTCGTACTTATAGTTGTACTTGTTATCATAACTCCGGTTGCGATAATTGGATGTATACTGGTTGTAGTCGTTACGGCCATATGAAGATCTTCCTGATGTGTACGCTGTCGATCCCTGCCGTCCGTAATCCGAGCGAGAATAATCCTTCGAATTATAGTTATTATACGCATCGTTGTACCCGTACGTGTTATTGGAATAGGACAGGCGTTGACCGTAGTTGCGGTTGTCGTTATAGGAGTAATCATTTCGGTTTCCGTAGCCATTATACGAATTGTCATTCCGGTCGTAGTTCAATGTCCGGTTTCCGCGTGGATAACTGATGCTGCCGGTATTGTCGTAACGCGATGAACTGCTGTAGTCGGCGTTACTGCGATCGTAAGAACCGTCGTAAGAACTGTATGCGCCGGACGCCGGTGATTCATAGTAGTTGACCTTTGAGCTGTACCGTCCGGTGTCGTAGTTGTCACGATCGGAATTATAATCGGGGTCAGGACCGTAGTCGTTACTGGTGCGGACTTTGTAGTTCATACGGCTACGGTACTCTGACCCTGAAATTTTATTTGATATGGTGGTATTCAAGGCTAAAGAATTCATAAGTAACTATAGATGCCTCACCGGCATACGGTGCCCGTGGTGGTTGGTAGGATCCCGGATAATTGTAGGCTCCGGCTTGCCGCCGATAACGGCTCGATAGGGAATCACTCTGGTCATTCTCCGCCAAATATCCACTGAATATAGTTAGTAAAATCTATAAAAAATTAAACAGATTGTGTTTGAAAAATGTCGCCTTTTAAGTCCATTGTTTCATATTCTATAAGGCAAATCCAGTAGCTGCTAAACAATTTTAGGTTGACATTAACCCGTTATTGCATTTTACCTGTATCCTAAGGAGAGTAGAGTAGCATATGCCGTTATGCATTTTCCACGCAAATAATTAGATAACAATTCCCGATGCTGAAGTCTTGCTCCAAAATATACAGACTTCAATTCAACTCAGTTCTCATTTAAAATGCACAATAAATTAGCGCCCAGTTTCTCAAGGCGTTCATAAAGTTTGTTAGTACTTCAGAATAGTAGTTTGAATTTCTAACTACTAAATCTTGCGCAACCGGAAGCAGTTAATGTTTCGCACATACATAACACCGTCTTTTTGCAAAAAAAGCGCCTCGTGATGTTTTTCTTGATAACATCGTGATATATTTTATGGTGTTGCGTGAAGGATAAAAAGTTAATATGATCAACCCAAAAAATAGCTGCCGCTATAACATCAGTCTATATCCTTACACTTTCATCATGACCTTGGCATTACGAAAGTTTGGATTAATTGGCTGTAGTAGTTGGATCGTTACTGCATGTTACTGCACGTCACAAATGCGTGTACGTAGGCTATACCAGCTATACTATCCAGCAAATTTGCTGCGAAATAGCTGTATTCGCACATACTCGTATGTAAGAAAATCGGATTCCGGCAACAAAGTGCACCGAGATGCGCAAAATTTGCAGATTTATTATAGAATTCTGCATTCAACATGCAATTGATTTCGGAAACATACTGTACATAGGTTCGCTTAGTTTGTGATTTCTACATATTTATTAAGCGTTACCAAAATTCTACATGTAGGGCAGGAGTGCAGGACTGTATTTGCTGGTATTCTACAGTATATTATCCTGTAGAATATCGATAGCGAAAAGGCAACGGATTCAACGATAGTACGAGTACTCGTATTTGAACAAAATGTTTGCTCATTCTTAGTTTTAACTTGTAGTCGTGCTTGACAGAGTACATTCATCGTGCTCTACTCTAGAATTGTGTGATTAGTATATTTTGCATTTGTTAACGGCCTGCTTGTTGTCTCCGCATATTGTAGGTATCGTTTTTAAAAGCTGCATCATCGCAAAGTGTGCATGGAAAGGAAAACACATCGCAATCCAAGACCTAGTTAAAGCGGAAAATAAAGTCGGTAACACTTAATAATACCAGTATTAACGGCGCTGCTGGTTGCGAAGTTGTTCGTCGATGTTCCTCACAAGAGCTGCTGATTTTCAGTTTGTTCCTTACAATTTGTAACTACTCTGTATATAGTTGTAAATGTAATTAGACCTTCCAACGCATAATTTTGACCAATTAATTAGAGGGTAGCACGGGTGTCTATAATTAAGGATTTGAGGAATACTGCCAGTGTCGTGACAACCACCAAAACTTTCGCTTTCACGCACTCCCAAACATTTCATAGCGTCCATTTTACATCGCCATATTTCGGCAACCGCATAAAAGGGAATCGATCCGGTGTATTATACAGATACAGAACACAGTACGAAATCCTTGCAATCAGTGATTTTTTGAGCGAATTCATTAGATAAGCTCAACGGAAGCTTAAAACCGCACTGCCATCATGACATCCGAGCAATTTTTGTATGGTGACTAATAGTGTGGTGACTTTTCAGATTTACCAGAAACTGGTCATGCATTTTCGAAGTGTATAACATAATTATGTCTGTATTGTTTCGATCATTTGATCATTGTAACCATAAAACGCCAACTAAAGTGCTGCTTCTTAAATATCTCTTTAATGTAAATTCAGCTAAAACAAAGGCTAGATTGCAATATGGAGATACTTGTACGTGTTTTTTATAGTTCGTACATTGACGAACCTTTTAAGGCATTTATTAGTATATTTCTAATTAATGTCAGTCAGGTTCCTTATTGTGCCTTGCTGCTTGAAAATACCCTGTATTTGCGTAGCACGAACAAACTTTATACGACAGAGCTGTATGTGCTGATGCTATAATTGATATTTACACGGTAAGATATCGATGGCAAAATGGCGATTCAGCGATAGTTACAATAAGCTGATTGTTTGCTCGTTATTAGTGTGGGTACTGTATTTTTGACATCGAACAAAGCGGTTCCTGTTTTAGCGGTGCAGTTTCACTTAACAGAAATCTCCTGCTTCAAAATGAAATAAAGACTGACTGAATAATAACACAATAAGGACTAAATTAAGACACCTTCCAGCAAATAGTTATATTTAAATTAAATTAACCATAAGTTACATCAAGAATTATGATTGGCCCATCAGATCTTTTCGTCCATTACTGGAATTACATAAATCCTATAATAGGCCTCACCGGCAGGCGGCATGCCAATCGCACCAAATGTTAACAATGGCAATTTAAAAGGAGGCAAAAACATTTAGGCTGGTCGATGGCTGATAATTCTACCATCTGGAGACTTTTCCACACTGGTCTTCGGGTACGTATTTGATGATCATCTGGAAAGAAACCAACCCGGCAAAATTGTTCATGTCAGATACTGGAAATTTAGGTATTACAAAACGTGAAAGGGATAATATCCGGCACGGATGCCAAAAAGTAAATATGAAGTCCTCGATGCCGCAGCTCTTAATTATAAGTAAAGGTCAACTTATATATGTTTATTGTTTGGTGTTCTGCAGGTCATTTGCCAATAGATTATTACGTTCAAACATACTTTCTGAAAGGTTCAGAGTTTATCCTATAGTACTTATTTTATACTGCTTAAAGATCAGGGTTTATCCTTGGCGTGCACGAACCTTGAAATCTGCCGTGGCGAGCAATTCATTATTCAGCTGATTATTATGCAGTTCAAGCGTGCACTGAAGAACGGTGTCCTCGTAATAATGCAGGCTGCCCATACTGATACGCGAGTAGAGGATCTGATCTATGAATGCACCAAAACTGATGTCCGATCCGCACCGAATAAGAGAGTTAATCACTGGTTGGGGAGTGGCAGACGTTCCCTGCGCCACTACCGCCGTCAGATCTTCGTAGCGTGTACAAGCCTACACAACAAACGCTTTTTTCTACTCTGGAATTGGAAAGCAAAAATATTTAAGTATTCATGCATGATAAAGACAAACTTGAAAAAATATGCATTATGACTTTTGTGGACATAAAATAACTCAACTCTAGAAAAGAATGGTAACCTATCGTTTGATGTCATGCACGGGAGGGCGGCTGCCATGGTGACAGATGCGCGTTTTTGTCTGTTAACTCTGTTTTCTCAGCATCTCTTCTATTTCTAGCCCCACAAATACGAATGTCTATATTCAGTATGATCTCTTGGAATATCACAAATCTTATGATGAGAAAAACTTGATAATATCTCATAAAAAGGACAACAAAATCTGTGGAACTATGATAAGCTTAAATCAACAAAAGGACGCTGGGCGACACAGGAAATGAACAGCATCGCTAAAAGTTGTTGCGAAAGCAGGTTTTCCAAAATAGTTGAACCTGTGGGCTTATCAAACGACGGGACAAGACCTGATGGTATGACGCTGATTCCTGTCCAGCAAGGAATGCCAATAGTGGGAGACGGTGCACTTTATCGACTTATCCAAGGAGCCTGAAAAGCTGGCAGGTGGCCCACCTAGCAGAAAGCGCGAAGCGATACGGGTAAGTTTAGAAACCGATACCCTTCTATCCTTTAGTGGTTGAAACGTTTATGCGTTTTCGGTCCAGCTTAAGCGAATTGTTGCACTTTATGGGCCGGAAAATTCTGTGACCTGACTGGAGAAGCGCACCTACTGCTTTTCTTAAACAACGTTTCAGTTTGGCTGTTATTAAGGAAACGCTACGGCTGCATGTTAAGTACGCTACCATTTAACCCACGGGTGGATAGAGATTTTGGTTGTTTTTTCAATGTTTGAAATTTTAACAGTAACGTAGTGTGCCTGCGCTTGCACTTCTTGTTACATTCTTAATAGCTATAACGGTGATAAGCTTAATAGTGCACAATGCACAGCAGTGCTTGCTGTATGCGAGCGTGATGACGTTGTGTTTTTCCAGTTCTTACAGCTATAGTAAGACTGTTTATTCTAGTATTGTACATACTGCATATATTTTTGTGAAATTACGTAAAATAGTCGTAAGTACGGAGCTATAGTACATTTGTAATTAGGTAGGTAATAACCGTCTAAGTAATGATATTTGGAAGCGCGGGCAGACTATGGGAGAGTGTAAACTGAATGTTTATCTGTTACGTGAGGAGCTACGGAAAATCGCTACCCCAAATCGATGGATCACGAAGCCATAGTTGGTGTACGACTGCATTTGGCACGTTGTTATGCACAGTTCATCAGGAAGGTCGATGATAATTGCTTTGCCAATTCCTGTAGTACAAGTACACATGTACGTTATTAACTTCGTATATATAGCTAGCATGCAAAATTTAGCAGCGATAAGCATCCAGGATTTTTGCTGTTGTTTGTTGATTATTTAGATAAACAGCTTAGACCATATAGTAAAAAAAACAGCGGTACCTGGGAAATATAGATAATTCACAACATGATAATTAAAATTGTATCAAGTATAGCGACTGTACTGACTGACCGTTTGTACTGTTGACAAACTCTTGGCACTGCTGGGCTGAGCAGGCAAACGGCAGCGAACGGAAGTAGCATGGATTATCTTGACAGGTATTCGGTGGCGGTGTTGATGGTGCTGTGACAGAGCACGGTGGTGGACAGACTGCGCACGTATGACAGGTCTTTTTGGATGAGGAAGAGTACGGATGAGATCCCGTCTGGATGACGATCATGAGCAGAAAGACCGCTATCTAACGTACAACGACGTAGCCTTACAGAATGAATTGTGTATCCATTGATGAACATGAATACACAATTCATTTTGTACCAAGGGTGAGCCTTAAACGTTTGTATGACACGGATAACTTTTAGCTAGCTGCATCTTACCATGGTGGCAAGTGACCGGAAATGCCGCATACAGTTGTGTTCACAATCAGCCATAATGTAGCCAGTCTAGCATATACAGTGTTAACAACAAAAGTATAAACATGAAGCTATGATTGAAAAGAGTACGTGCAGTCGGCATTTGGAGATTAACAGTTGGAAACTACACAACTCATCGATGGGCGATATTGTGCTTGTGTTTGCATATTGAGTATCGCAGCCCTTTGCATAACGTCTTTTGTGGTTAACTAGTTGTGTCGATGGGCAGCAATGATCGCTCGTTGATTTGAAAAAATTCCCGGTACTGTACTTCCGCGATGCAGCCGTTTGTGCGATACAGTTATAAGCGACTAAAGGTCACTATAAAAGCCGACAATTTACTGGACAAAAAATAGATGCGCTGTTTTGTGAGAATGCCGTTTGTGCGTTCACCTCAGCCAGCGAGGCAAGACCAACGAGTTTCAGGTTTTCAGTCCCAGAACCAGCGGTACTAATCTATTTAATAACGCCGATATGATGTCGATTCCACGTTTTATTTATAATGTTTTATTTGTTTTGTTTATATTTTTTTTCACCAGTCAGACTATCAGTATCAAAACAGAAAGCATCTTAACTAACAATTTTAAGGTACTGCAGCGAGAGATCAATGAATTCCCTACCTGAAATATTTTTAGAATGCTACAGCTGAATACTAAGTAGTGCGAGAAGTGAACAAAATGCATACGATAAGCATTGTGAGCCATCCTGTTTTTTATAGCGATATTTCAGTACAAAAGTACTCGCTACGAGTAATTACTGAATTACTCGTACTATCAAACAAAATAACATGTTGCATTAAACATGCGTAACTTTGCTGTGCAAGAATGATTGCCGAAGCCAGACGTCATAATTACCAGGTACAAGTACACGTGTACAACAATCAAAATAATTATGTGTATGCACCTAAAAATTAGAGGAGCAGACATATCCAAATTAAGAAATCTCCACGTTTGCAGAAGATGAATTTGAATTTTCTAATCCGTATGGTCAGCAGCGACAATCGGGATTGACGGTAATCTACAATAAAACAGATTTTCATCACGGTCCCACGTCATGCTAATTGGGACAAATTTTTCATTGGAGTGTTTTTATTGAGCGAAGCTCGCCTATGACTGCACGAAAACTGCTTTACATTGTCTGAATTGGCGTTATAATACACTGCAATGCATATAGTGCAACTGCACAACAGTTAAACATGGAAAAGAATATTTTTTCTAAAAATTCAACTAGCAACATTTAGTTCTGCATTAATAGCATGGGACCGAAACCGCCCAGTACGTAATATTATGCAAATAGTATTATTTTACTATTTACCTGAATTCCGGTCGAAGCGAGCAGATTCCCGTTGGAGTCCGCAAGGGACAAACTACAGTGCAGTACTGTCGGCTGGCTAACAGACCACAGATTGGTGCAGGAACGGGGATCCCGGACAAAGACCGTAGTGCCCATTACAGAAAGGCACTGAGAATCGGCCATCTCCGGGCAGTCGATACTCCCGCGAGTGCTGAGGTCGTTTAACTGCCATTTTGACGCTGGACGCTGACAAGCCTACGAAAACAATTGCAAGTAACACTACGGGTAGCCATACATTTGCACTCCCATGCAACAGACCATGAACAAAACCTTATATATTTTAATTTTGGTATTTATTATGACACAATGTCATCAGGTGCAGGGCTTACGTCAAATGCAATAAGATCACCGAAGAATTTGCGAAAGACACACTGGGAGACGTTGAGATTCTGGGGTGCAAAAATCTGCACTTTAACACCGGTGTCGGCTAACAAGCAATTATTCGGAGTTATTGACCGTGTGCGTATCGCATAATATCATATTATGCAGTCGTGTGTGTAAAATACCGGTGGCGGCGCACTGGTCATCCGAACAGCGAAACGGTGCCGAGGCATAGGTGCATTCGTTAATCAGTTCATCATCGCAGACACTGGCCAGATTTTGGTAGTCTTGGATCGGTGATGGTGGGATGGCCGGTGCCGGCGCCGGAGTGGATGGACACTGCGGTGGACAGTCCGGACACTTTGGGCACGTTAATTCCGGCTTCCGGTAACGCCCCCGATTGTATCCCTGGGCGTACGACGAGTCGCGGTATTGGTTGCTGGAATAAGCATTCCCTGAGTCGGCATATCCCCGCTCGGCTTTGTAGTAATTATCACTTCCGTAATTCACGGAAGAATTTTTGGAGTACGACGTTTGAGAATAATCGTATGGGTAGAAAAAGCGCCGGATGTTGGCAGCGGAATTATACGCCGACCGGTCTTGGTAACGTGTTTCTACACAACAAGTCAAGAGAAGATTAAGAAAGTCAGAATTTCCATAGGTACTTCATGTGGTATGCGTATACCGAGTTAGTTTCTTGTTTGTTTCGCGTATGTAACGTAATTAAGTACCATCAGTCAATTTTCTTTTAGTCAATATTATGATCATAAGTAAGTATGTATAAACATTATTCATTGTGACACCACTGCTTCACACACAGTGATTCGACATACGTATACTTACACGTTAATAGCTTTGAACGTTTTAGAACTTTTATTATTTGCTTAATTATGGAATTTCCGGAAAATTGTGTTACTTAAAAATGTGTGCCGTACACGGCGTACCGGGATAACCAATGGATAAGGGATTGTATCGGTACGATCCAGCCGCGTTGTTGTAGCTGTTCGTTTGCCTTTGAAAACGATGGAGCAAAGTTTCATCCCGAAAACTTTCTGTACGTTCTGTCCAGTATTCATTAATGCACAGAATTAAAATCTGTAGTGCAAGCAGGTAATTATTTGCCATGCAGACACACACTACTATCCTAGATTACTTTCAGAATTAGAACTCTGACGTATCTTAAACGATGCCGCCGTCTGAAGCCGGTGGTAAACGTACTGTATTTATATAATTTAATATATATAAAATTTATTTTACCTCGATGCACGTCAAAATAAAATTAGTGTAATTCATCTTGGAGCAACTGTAACTTGATCATCAATATTCAACAATAGTGTAATAACCTGAGTAGTTCACTATACCCAGGCTCATAATGATTGATAATAGTGCCTTCTCCAAGTATGGAATCCGCACGGAAGCCCTCAGCAGGAAATTTTCGAATTGCGCAATTGAAAGTTCACGTCCCAGCGCACAATAAGGAGCAAACAATACAAAGAAAAAACCAGGTTGTTCTGCATAATTTATCAGTTAGATGTGATCGACACTGGCAGTCCCGGCAAAACGGTGCTTGTGGTACTGCATATTGGATAAGTAGTCAGCTTTAGTCAAACGATCGTAAGCTTCATATCCATCCAGTTTTAAAATTGCTAATTGTTTTATTTTGAATTTTTTTACGATGACTAAAAATGTAGTGTTCTACGTATGTCATGAATAAGTACATTTGTTACATATAAATAATTCCATCATCTGCATCGCCATAAAGTATGCTATGAGGAGGAAACACTGATGCGGATTAATTTTTATCGATACAGATATTCTATACAATGTCTATAAGTCGGTTGTAATAATTTAAAATTCCCAGTCATAGGGCTATCATGATAAGACTTCTAAAATAAAAGTGTTATTTTTGTTGATTTGATCATTCACGGGGCAAAGTCATCTGGAACAAAATTACTAGTACGTACGATAATATATTACTAATGTGGACCAGTTAGCAAAGTGCTAGTATTTTAGCGGTACAATCTCAGGCAGAAAAACTTTTCTTTTCCAAAACAATTGCATTACCACACAATGAAAGCTTACAGTTACATTAAATTAAGAACAATCATGATTCGAGCTCCGCCCTGCAGATCTGTTCGCGCACGTATTGCATCCCTGGAATCCAAGTACTAGTACATAGCAATGCCGAAACGTAATTCAGACCATGTATCAAAATTAGGGTAACTGAAAGTTCAATCAAATATACTGGTCGGTGGGTTGCTGGTAATTCTACCAGCTGGAGACTTTCCCGCACTGGTCCTCAGGTACGTATCTGATGTTCATCTGGAAATAAAAGAACCCAGAATGGATAAAGGCTTAGTGCATGACAAGAACGAAAAACGTCAAACACGCACATTTTACAATGTAGATGTCGCCGCTCTTAATTAATTAAAATATAGCCTAAATGTATAGGTACGCTCAAAGGTCGAAGGTCATATTGCAACATCCCCCGTACCCACCTTGAAATCTGTCGCGGCATACAGTTCATTCACCGGCGTGTTATACAATGCCAGTGTGCACTGCAAAATGGTGTCTTCGTGATAATACGGGCTGCCACTGGCTCGTGCGTAGAAGATTTGATCGGCGATGGCTGAGAATCCATAGTCCGATCCGCACGTTAGGTACGAGGAAACCGTGGACTGGGCACCGCTAGGAAACTGTCCTACCAGCACCGCCAGATCTTTGTAGCGTGTGCAAGCCTACACAGAACAATTTGAACCGAATGCCAGCTGCGTGTCAGTCCGATCCGGAAAATAAAAAATATATAAAATTTATGGTGGATTACGGAGTTTCCACCACATAATTCGGGTATGTACAAGGAACAATGTAAGTAGTGAATTAATACTTATATATATGTTGTTTTGTTTGAATACCAGTTAATATTAAATACAAAAAATTACAGTAATTTGTTTTAATTCATATTTAATATAATTTATTTTAATAATAAGAATATATTATCATTCCTAGTTCATAAGTAACCACCGAGGTACTGATTGTGGGATACAAAATCTTCTACCCCAAATCGATGGATCATGAAGCCGTTGTTATTGTACCACTGCATTTGGCACGTTGTTATGCACAGTTTATCGGGAAGGTCGACAATAATCGCTTTTCCGTTCCCTGCGTTACACATGTGTTAATAAGCTTGTGCGTGAATAAGTATTTTATTGCCGGGAAACTACAGTAACTGTTTTTCTTCTAAACTAACTAAGCAAATCAATTAAACAGCATGATCGATATAATATACTGTATATTTGAATTTGAGCTATGACATAGTGTGTTTGCGCTTGCACTTTATTATTTTGATGGCGACCGAATATTACAGTATTAACAATATATAGTACCAAATTACGAATTAATCAATGCGGTCTCTTGGACATAAATCACGACATAATATTGCTCTATTATGGATAATCAATGTACTCCTTAGTCATACTCATTACTCAGCTCACCGTTCGTACTGTTGATGAACTCTTGGCATTGCTGGGCTGAACAGAGAAACGGCAGCGAACGAAGGTAGCATGGGTTATCCTGGCAGGTGTTGGGTGGCGGTGTTGATGCTGCCGTGGCGGCGCACGGTGGCGGACAGGCTGCGCACGTGGGACAGGTCTTTTTGGATGATGCAGAGTACGGATGACATTCCGTCTGGATGACGATCATGAGCAGATAAATCACTATCTAAGGAAATGTATTGTATGATGCATTGATGTTTAATTAAGTAATTTCGATCACCTTCTGGCACGGAAAGCACCTGAGCTAACGTCACCTTACCAAGACAAAAAGCGACCGGAAATGGGGTTCACGATGAAGATCATACTCCGCCATCATCGATGCAACAGTGCCATGCAAATTACTTAGCATAAGACATAAAAAAGAGAAAGAATCTTTAGCCGGTTTGATTGTACAGAATACGTGCTAACATGTGTCAGTAATAAGTCATGAAAAAGACATGAGTTCTTCCATCGAATATTCCCTCGTCCTAGTGTTTTCGAAATAAAATAAACCACTGGTTTCCGGTTACAACAACATCTAAAAAGCGGTCTCTTTGCGATAGTTTGCGCTAAACTTGCAAGAACCAGTTTCCAAAAAGCTTAGATGACTCTGTTAAAAAAAGGCATATCGCGCAGGTGCCGAGTGGCGACTAAGGCAAATTGTTATTTTTCAATTTTTTCGATTATCGATGCAGCAGACTGGATAAGCTGAATCGGGTCAATGGAAAAGTTTGTGTTTTGCTCCACAATCACAGATAACATCTCTGATTGTGGACTATGTGGAATATGGGTGAGGTACAATACGTATGCCGTTCGGCGTTCGCTGCTCTACTCGCTTTTTTTTAACGATCGATGAAGAAGCTACCTGTGCTTCCTTAATGCAGGAATTGTTTTATACGGCCTAGCGACGAAAATTTCCGCCGCCGTTATGACCAGATTGCTGGGGTCAACCGGCAAAAAAGGTACGTTTGGGATAATACGAACTTACTGGTGAAAACTTACTGGTGAAAACTTACTCGTAACTTACTGGTGAAAACTTGTCTCTAACGCCGTATTAACTTGGCTGACGAGCATGATAGGAAAAGCAACAGGATCTAGCTTTTTTTACCGTGACCAGAGATACTACTTTGTATAAAAATGGAACCAAATGCATCCCATCACAAAATAAATGCAGCGAATCTTTTTGATGCTGAAATATTCCTACAGGGTACGCTATAGCATTCGCAGCTGCATAGTTCTCGCGCGTAATACTGTAATTATTATTATAAGGTTGACGGAAATCACAGAATGCAAGAGTCAGAATGCTGTGAGCCATTTTGTCTTTTTCGACACAAAAGTATATAGATATTCACTCACTCACAAACAAAATATAATTATAACACCAAATCCGTTCAGCACAAAATTAATATGTCATGGTTTAACGATAAAATTAATACGATTGCCGTAGTCCAACATCAGGCGTAGTTCCACGCAACCTACAATGTAAGCCGCTCTCGGATTTCACAGTAAAAAGGTCATAACCATCCAAAGCAGGAACTCATATGTTCACAAAAAACATATTTTCCCTATAATCACCGCAGCGTAGCTGATCCGTATGGTTAGCAGCGACAATCGGGATTGACGGTAATCTGCGATTAAGAAATTTGAACATACCATGACTGCATCATAAAGTACGGGTGCATCAAATTTTATTACTTATTGGCACATTATATATACTTAAGTCCAGTATTACTACTTACCTCAAGAGCAGTGGAAGCCAGCGGGTTCCCGTTGTCATCATTGATATACAAACTACAGTGTAGCACTATAGTCTGTTTGACGGACCATACATTCGTACAGAATCGAGGATCAAACACAGTGGCTTGCCCATTGGAAATTGTCAGGCACTGAGGGTCAGTCAACTCCGGACAGTCAATAATCTGCTGCCAGTCCTTGCTGAGATCGTACCGCTGCCAGTGAGGTGCTGGACGTTGGCAAACCTGTACAAAAACAATATTCTAACATCAATCTTAAGGCGAATTCACAGGAAAATTAAATTAATAATGTTAATGACAGCATCGGCATGTGCAGCGCTTACGGTGAAGGCAAAGACCTCAGTATTGAATTTGTGGAACAGACACTGGGAGACATTGAGATTCTGGGGCGCGAATATCTGTATTTTAACACCGGCTTCCGCTGCAAATAATCATTTGAAATTACTGGACAGCCGTATGTAAAGTGCTAGGTAGCCATGTTTATATACAGATTAATTATACCGGTTGCGGTGCATTGGTCATCCGTACAACGAAACGGTGCTGATGAGTAGGAGCATTCATTAATCAGTTCATCATCGCATGCACTGGCCAGATTTTGGTAGTCTTGGATCGGCGATGGTGGAAGGGCCGGTGCCGGCGCCGGAGTGGATGGACACTGCGGTGGGCAGTCCGGACACTTTGGACAAGTTAATTCCGGCTTCCGGTAACGTCCGCGATTGTATCCCTGGGTGTACGACGAGTTGCGGTATTGGTAATTGGAATAAGTATTCCTTGAGTCGGCATATCCACGCTCAGCTTCGTAATAACTATCACTTCCGTAATTCATTGAAGCATTTCTGGAGTACGACGTTTGAGAATAATCGTACGTGTAGGAAGAGCGCCGGCTGCTGGCAGCGGAATTATACGCCGACCGGTCTTGGTAACGTGTATCTGCGCGGCAAAATACATAGAGGTTGAAATTAATAACAGTTCATTCGGTCTTTCATGATATGCTTGATAGTTTTCTTGTTTGTTAAAAGTTAAACGTACGCATTCCTACATTGTACCAGTTATTATATTGTATTAATGTACTAATCTTCTTATCAGCGTTAGAATTATGAGCATGTAAACGTTTTTTCGAAATGTATATATCTAATATCTAGGCTAGTTCTGATATTTTTAATACTTCAAACAGCGTAATCATGCTGCTTTGCTGGAAAAATGTACCACTAGGAAAACGGGTGAAGTACAAGTATACCGGGATATCCGATCGGTGCGGAACTGTATCTGTACGATCCAGCCCCGATGTTGTAGCTGTCCGCCTGCCGTCGATAACGATGGAGCAGTACTTCATCCTGAATACTTTCAGCACGCTCAGTCCAATACCCATTTACATATAAAAATAAAATCTGGAATATGCAAGCATGTACATATTATTCACCACCGGCATGTACGAATACTTTTGGATTTTTGATACAGTTGGCCAATGAACACTGACATCACAACATACTTATTTTACCTGTATACAAGTTAAAGTAAAACGAGTGAGATTTGTATAACCCATCTTGGTATAATTTACATAGCGTAATCAATAAAAGTCGAGATCGGCAAACGTCGGAGAATTGTGCGCATAATAATTAATAATGCTGCTGTCTCATAAGTGTGGGATCCGTGTAGACGGTTCTTTGCTGGAAAACTTCAAATTGCGCCGTCGGAAGATCGCTTTCCAACGCGCAGCGGTAAGCAACACAACACAAAAAAACCGGGTTGTTCTGTTCGTTATCGGGTACCAGTAGAAGTGATCGACACCATGTAACTGTCACCACACGTTAATGATATCACATACTATTTGTGGTACAGGCCAGTTGGATCTGGACGATCGGAAGCTTGACAATGCATCCCTCGAGTTTCAGGTTTATTGATTAGTATCAGGTTTATTAAAATACTAGAAGTATTTTTTATTTATTGAAGGCTATATTTGCTTGTGTTTTATACTTCGCATGTGACAAATAAATTGTACTAGCATCAGTAGCATGTGCGTTACCGTACAATGTGCATAAAAGGGCTACTAGGTACAGAGTGCAAAGATCATAATAATAAGGACTGAAGGGAAATGGCCCGGTACATTGTGTCAAAAATGAGATACATACAATAAAACTTTCGCTTTCGCGCACCCCAAATCACTACTTTGTAATACTTTATGTCATTCTAAAGCAAATGATTTGTATTCATTGTTCTGAAAACTGTTTGCGCGCGCAACATTCGGTTGCCGAGATATGGCGCACTAAAATGGGCTAAAAGTTTAAATGCACTGCTGTGTACCAAAAGTCTGGTTATTACCCGATCTTCTTGAAACTTTACTATATAAGACACATGGCCATAAAATCGAAAGTGAACCAATATCAGATCCATAGCAATTTTTTTCGATTTTAAAATGAATTTCAAACATTTTAAAATTCATTTTAAAATTATGGGAAAATGCTATGAACCTTGAACTGGTTCACGGTTCTCAGAACATTGTATACAAACCATTTGACATAAAGTATTACAGAAAGTGATTCTAAGTGCCCGAAAGCGAAAGTTTTGGAGCACGCATCCCATTTTTGACGCTACATCCGGGCGATTTTCCTTGTAATAATGAGGATTTATTTACTTTAACCATAGCGTAATGTTAATTAGTTAGCGCTGCAACATTATCAGCTGGCACAATAATTACCATGGTAATAAATCTCAACATGCGATGGACGAACGGTTATTTCACTTGTTTTCGGTTCAATATTATCCGTTTCTGTGCGTGAAGTGAAGTGGAAGCGCTTTTAAAAGAAAAAAATTTATTAGAATGCTAGCTCGCCGGGTTCCCAGAATATTCATACTTCAACAACATTGCTGGTTCTCGTTGATGTCTTCTGGTTTTCAAGCTTTAATGTGCGGTGCGCGAACTATAGATTTGTGTCTGAATATTAGCTGGGATGGCGCACATTTATAAATTTATACTTTGTATATACCCTGTAAACGTTATACACGCATACAATTAATAATTATGAGTTTCTCTTTCTTACTCGAAGTTGATTATGATTTATGAATACCGTATACAAACAGTCGACAACTATTTATTTTTATTAATTAATTACTTAGTATCAAACGGTTAACAATGTGGCTGTCAATGTTGGAAAATTTGAAGTTTAGATCAGCACATCTTTTTTTCTTGCATAAGTTAATGCAGCTCTTAACTGTTGTCACTACAACTGTTTAATTTATAAAACGAAGATATGCACTGCAGCACTATCATCCATATCCGGTCCCAGACTGATCTTGATGTTTATTAATAAAGCGTGCAACATCTTGTTATGGAGTCGGATCCGTGCAGGCTGTCGTGTATTTGATGAATATCTACAGTAAATAACGACATCAAGAACATTATTCTTATGAACCGACACAAAGGTGTACAAGTACACATCAAACTGCACTTGTTACCTTCTTCGAAATTAACATTAATTCAGAAACTGTTATGTACGTATGTGTACCAGTGATCTCTTCAACTTCCTAACTTCGGGCAGAATTACTTAATTTGTGAGCAGCGTAAAGCAGTGCCCTCTACATGAACCAAGAGGTGAAGAATTGTAATTAATAAATTCACTACAGCAAATTTTACCCACGCAATAATTACTTACGAGGGACATATTCCCGGACACGTCCGCATCAGATCGGCATACAATGGTAACATTAAAATCCATAGAAATTCAGCTATTTTCTCCGAAAATCAAAAAACCCCAGATAAAGAACTCCAGTTTAGGGATCTCTGAGACAACACAGATATAATGGCTGATTTCCACCGAAACGTCAACAGGCGCCATAAAGACCACAGTACGCTATACGGCGTCATTAGGGAATTTTAGATTTCAAATGGTTTAGGCTCCGTTCACTAGAAACTACCGCGTCAGATAAACAGTACGTTAGCAGTAAGGTTGTTAACGGTGCGGTTTTTTACCAGTGCACCGGTGCAATTTGAAAAAATTGCGGTGCGATTTCGAAACAAAATTGGTACAGGCGGTGCGGTTTTTGAGAAAAACCACACCGGCGCACACCGGTGTGGTTGGGTAACCGCGTTGACGTACACCGGTTAACCACCGGTTAACCGAAGATATCTAAATCTGTAGTGTTTTAAAAATTTAAAACATTTTATGCGATGACGCTGCTGGATGGGCACATGCCCACGGGGAGCACGGGCTGTGGCGCTTGTAAGTCAGTACCGTATCAGTCGGTATGACAAAGTAGGTAAGTACTCAATGCTGTTGCTCACTCACAGACTCACAATCACAAGTTTCAACTTGTAGCTGCTGCAACAACCGGGCTGCCATAAGATTAAAGAAAATGTGTAACATTGCTGCGTAATAATATTGGCGGCTTGATTTTCCACGCTCTACGTTGATTTGGTTTCGTCACAAATATTCTTAGGGAAACTGTTTTCGATATTTCACGTCTTCATTACAGTTTTGCTACGATTGGATACATCCTGCTGGTGATGCCTTTAGAAGGCTGAAAGCTAGCAGTGCTAAGAAGTTCTGGCGATTGATAAGTGATAAAATTGCTAATTGTTGCTTTTTCTTCTACTAACGTGTGCTACACCGGTGCACACCGGTGCGGTGCGATGTGAAAAATTGCGGTGCGATTTTTATTTTTCACCGCACCGTCCGGTGCGATTTTCGCTTTACACCGGTAAGGTAAGTGCGATTTCTTGTAAAAAACCGCACCGACGGCACACCGGTGTACACCGCACCGCACCGTTAACAACCCTAGTTAGCAGACTTAACAGCGTTTAAAATGCTTGTACGGATGGACACTTGCAGTGACGTACAGCTGAAAAATAAATCGAATCGAGAGTGCCGAGAGCGTGACCAACCTGCTCTCGGGGAGGCGGTTAGAGCATACAAAAAAGATCCACAGGCAGCATACGCTGGCTTGTCGCTCTAACAGATGGCTGAGCCGTTGCACAGATCCACGTAAGGCAGACAGTTTTTACGCGTCAGGCAACGACGTTGGGTTACGGCGCCTTACGTCGCGAACGGACGTAAATCAACCCGTAACGCCAACTTCTACCCGAACGTCGAACTGGACGTAACTTGTTTTGTGAAATCTAAAATTCGCTATTGTAAGGATACGTGATTTAATGCAACCGTCGTGCGTGCGATGTGAAAAATTGCGGTGCGATTTTTATTTTTCACCGCACCGTCCGGTGCGATTTTCGCTTTACACCGGTAAGGTAAGTGCGATTTCTTGTAAAAAACCGCACCGACGGCACACCGGTGTACACCGCACCGCACCGTTAACAACCCTAGTTAGCAGACTTAACAGCGTTTAAAATGCTTGTACGGATGGACACTTGCAGTGACGTACAGCTGAAAAATAAATCGAATCGAGAGTGCCGAGAGCGTGACCAACCTGCTCTCGGGGAGGCGGTTAGAGCATACAAAAAAGATCCACAGGCAGCATACGCTGGCTTGTCGCTCTAACAGATGGCTGAGCCGTTGCACAGATCCACGTAAGGCAGACAGTTTTTACGCGTCAGGCAACGACGTTGGGTTACGGCGCCTTACGTCGCGAACGGACGTAAATCAACCCGTAACGCCAACTTCTACCCGAACGTCGAACTGGACGTAACTTGTTTTGTGAAATCTAAAATTCGCTATTGTAAGGATACGTGATTTAATGCAACCGTCGTGCAGCGAAAAGTGCGAAGAAGTGTAATCTCGATAGCTATAGCAGCTTTTTATCTCACTATACGTGCAACAGCATCACCTGGCTGCATAGAGATCAATGCAACCGCGGATGCTGGTGCGCGCGATAGGGCAAAATGGGTGAGATAGCTGTCAATAAACCAATGCAGAATCTACAGATTTCAGCCAGACTATTCGTAACACATGGTGTATTGTCGCTAGGCTGGACATTGGGCTGACGTTTCGATGAAAGTCAGCCATCATAACTGTGCTGGTTTCTCAGAGATCCCTTAACTCGAATTCTTTATCTGGGGGTGTTGAAGATAGCTAAATTTCTGAGGATTCTAATGTGACCAAGTGTATGCTGAGCTGACGCGGACGTGTTCGCGAATGTCCTCGTTAGCGGAATTATATTCTCACATCAAAGGTTGCTTCGGCTATTTCCGGCTGGCTAGGTCTGCCCAGGGACAGCTTACAGCTCAGCGTTGTATCCTGCGAAAAGGTCGCGGTGTTGCAGTTAGTGTCCGATCTGGTTACGATCCGATCTATATCTGCTTTGAAGCAGCCGGTACCGGAAGTCGGACTTGTACAGCTTAACGAAGAAGCGACATTTGGGCCAGTTCCGGCTAAATTTTGGGTCGAAAGGTCATCAGTGAGGGTACAAGCCTAGAGGGGGCAGCGGATTTTGCATTATTACTGTGTAGATTTACCAATCACCATGAAATATCGCAGAAGTATAATCACCGCGGCCCTGCCAGTTTACAATACGTTACAGTATTTTAACAAATCTGTGTTAACATGAAAATTACAAAAGACGCAATTTTCGCATGGACTTTCTGAAGAGGGTAAGTGCGATAGTCTCTTCTATGCTTTTTCTAAGTCTTACGCCGAACTGGAACAAGATAAATCCAGCGTCTCCACTTGTCTGCAGCTGGCAGGACGTAATGCAAACTCGGTCCGGGACGCCGAAAATAATCGCCTTTGTGCCTGAATCGAAAACTATGGTCACATATACGTGTATATATATATTATATAGTGTTTATTTATCTTAGAAGGCCTTGCTTGTACCGGCCGGAATCCGGAGATTTTTCAAAATAAAACATTTTTCGATTTCACTCTGTACATTACATACATAATATTAATACTCATAACGCACCCAGTGCATTATCCGGTAAGGTGGCGCACTGTTCCGCCGTGCAGGTATAAGGCAGCGATTGAAAGTAGCATGGATTATCCGTGCAGTTGGATGAGGGCGCTGTCGGACACGCGGGTGTCGGCGAAACGGATGGCGGTGTGACGGCACACGGCGGCGCACAGGTCGGGCATGCCGGACATGTTTTCGCCGGTTTCGAATAGGAAGGCCACGGGCGATCATAATCACTCCGCTGCGGATAATAATAATCCGCCGTCGCCGCGCATAAGAAGAATACAGTGTGGTAAAGCCAAGTTGATACTGCTCCACAATAAATTCGTTTTAAAATTGCATTTTGAACTTCTCCTCACCATTCGTCTTCTACAGGATTCACAATTTATTTCTACAGGGAATCCTGCTTTTTTCTTTAAAAAAAGGTGTAAAACTGTTTTTTGTACAGATTTTAAAACAAAATTAGTGGTGAATTTTCTACGTACCACCTGATTTCCCGCTCAAAAATTTACTGGAGAATCATCAGAGCCATGGATAACTTCAAATTAGAATTTTCTTACTCCTACCAGACAGAACTACAGATCAAAAAATCTGTGGCTTGAAATCAGTGAGGGTTGTCCGATTTTTCGTGAGTAAAAAAACAGGGATTTTAAAAACCGGACATGGAAAAATGTTCATCCACTGTAAAATCTGTGGCGTCGTTCAACTGCATTTTACCGCGTTGTGAGCAGCACAAAACTTCTTTGTCAAAGCCTCCTCTGTCATTTAAGGTCATTTTTGAGAGAAAAGACGTTTGCGATGCTGTGGGGGCGGAGCCATAATAATCTTCGATGTTTCATAGCCCCGCCCCTTTTTTTGGTAAGCCATGGGGGTCACATTCGTAGCTCAAACCCGACAAAGTAATAGTTCTTCTGAAAGTTCAATCTTTTCTGAGTGTCTCACGATGAACAACTGAAAATTAGAAGAAGATACCAAATTTTTGTCAAATTTTAAAGTGGCTCGCCCCGTGACAAATTACGCAACTGGTCAGTGGTTTATTCGCCACCGACCAGATCTCAAAAAAAGGTAAAAACTGAAATGCGTTATAGCAAATTTTATTTTGTCTTTTGAATCATATAGCTATCGTTTCAGGTAAATTTGCAAGAGTAAGAATTCAAACAGAAAATGTGAAAAATGATAAAACCGACAGTATCAACTTGGCTTTACCACACTGTATTATCAGCTAAAACATTAGCCTGTTAAGTTTCCATGAAATACTGCACGGTAGTGTAACGGTATAGCGTAGCGCAAAACGAAGCAACATTTAAAAAAACTGCGTGCCGTAAAAAAACGAAAGCATTTGTGTAACTAGAAACATTGTTATGCTAGCCGTCTACGAAACGCCAGCTTTCTCAAATAATTATGCGTTTTTAATACTATTTAACGACTTCGTGTGGAGTTTACGAAAATCATACAACATATTGTATCATTTACCGCTGCAAGCCTTGCATTGGAAGAGACGAAGCACCAAGCACGATGGTCCAGCATGGTTGATTATGCCTAAGGTACTACGGACCTGCAATAACAAGAATAAAATGCCGGTAATTCAAAAGCAGAAAGCGTAGAAGGTTTTTCCCAGTCGCGTGCCGATGACTTGCTGAATCACTATCATGATTGTTTCGTGTCTGAAGCGATGCTCCAGAAACCTTTCCCAAAAAAGTTGTGCGCTTGCAGATGAGCAGATGCCCCAGTTTGGCTAGCGCTACGTTCCAGATAGTGCCAGACGAAATAGTCCTGGTTACGAAACCATATCGGTTGTAACGTGGGAAAAACCCGCTACTAGGGTGGAAAATCTTGCATTTTGCCTGTTCATGGTATATTCTTGCTAAGATTTTGTATTTTAAATTTTTTCTTACCTGTTTTTCGAAGTCAGTGTTCGACATCACGTTCAACATGATGGACCACGGTGGTTACCATCTTTTTACGCAAAATTAGAAGCCTTTTTGTATGTTGTTTAGACATATGAGTACAGTATATCTATACTGTGGATTATGTATACTGTATAAGTATTGTTATATTCTCACTAAACAGATAGGTTATGTATACAGTATACTGCCATAAATAATAATCACTAAACGGGTGTCTAACAATTTTATGATACTGTATATATTGTGCATAATTAATGTACTGTATATTTGTGTGTATCTATAGAAGTATCTAGGGAATCAGATCAGCATACATAAATAATGACAGATATATACCCATCCTTTATACCACCAAAAATAAAAGCTGTACCGAATTCCCATTGATAACTCCGAGTATGTAATATAAGTTTGCAAACACAAGTACAGTGGAAACGATGCAAAGGTGAAACCGAGCATTTATCTGCAATCTTAAATTTATAAGTAGATACAGTATATGTGATTCCGTGGGCGTGTTAAAATGACGTAGACTCGACATTATTCAATTTTTTCCACACACCAATTTTAGTAAAACCTGTTGATAATGCTGGGTAGACTTTGTTATATACGCGCTACCATAATTAAAACCTTCTTCAAAATTGTTACATCAGACAGCGATATTGCAAGAAAACGTTTTTGCCGTCCGTCCGTTTTTGTTGTCCGTCTTTCAGAAGCCATGAAACTGCTCAGCATCGGCAATCTGGAAGCACCGTTATCTGCAGCAATATGATAGCGTTATACAGATACATACGATGTTGTATATAATATTTGCATTACGAATACAGTATTTGCATTACGAATTTTTATTCGGTATACACATTTACAACAATATAACCGTAGTATGATGATATTGATTAAACTTAAGCGGGAACTATTATTGATTAAACAAATAGTAAAAGGGCGCGTACGTTGATAACAGCGGCATCCAAGACATTGGAGCCATCCGAAAGCGACAGTGTACACTGCAGTGTAAAAGGTGCCGTGGCGGATGATAGGTTGACTCCGCATTTTTTCACTTCGGAAATGGACACAGAGGTCGGTCTGGGTTTGAAGCAATCGGTGTCCACTCCACCACATGCAAAGCCTTTGCTGACATCGTTCAGATTAAAGGGCTTGGCTTGCGGGATTTGACAGACCTTTAAATAGCGGGTCATGGGATCTGTTTATGTTGCGACTTATCCCAGAACTATACAAAGCCGTCCTGCGCTCTCGTTCGAAATAAGTTATCCATTTATACTCGTAACTAAGGCTAATGTAAATTAATTATCTATGCTTATGTAAGAGAGTATGTACGGCACTTATAAGACAAAAATAAGCATAGTTTAGTTTGAAATCTTTTATCAACTTAATGTAAGCAGGAGTGTGCGCTTTGGAGTTAATAATATGCATGTGCGCAAATTACGCGTACAACATTGGCAAAACGTACGTTATATGTAAAGAGTAAAGTATCATATTTCCGGAAAACACATTGTGATACCGTCACACTGCTGGGAGCGAATATTTTGACGCCAGAATTCTGTTGCGCTGTAACAAAACGTGATCTTGAACACGAGTAATGCATCCACGGGCGTGTATACGCGATCCAAAACAATGAAATTACTACTTATTACTCTATCATGGCTACAATTTTAAACGTTATACCTAGCTTGTTGTTGCTGTTTTTAATTAGTTTAAGGGCTTTTTAGTACACCGGCTTATTAATTAGTATACCGGCTTATTAATTAATATACCGGCTTTCGTCTGGGCGCACTGATCCTGTGTACAGCGGAATGGCGTTGACTGTTTCTTCAGGTAGCAGTCATTCGTTGGCGATTGTAAATCGCAATCGGACGGCAGCACCAGTAGCCCGTTGGAGTCAACGCCGGATATGGGCGCCGGCGAGCTGGACTGGTCATCATCATCCGGTGCCGGTGTAGCCGCACTACTACTGGCCATGGTGCTCGTGGAGGGACATGTCGCCGGACACTGCGGACATTGTGGACACGTATCCGGGTAGGTGTAGTCGTCATACCGGTATCGGGGCGAGGACTGTCTTCCGTATTCACGTGGCTTGTATGGGGATCGGTCGGATGAATCATAGTAGTCATTTTTCTTATAAGAAGAGCGTTGCGGGTAATCCTTGGTGAGATTTCTATATGAGTACTGGTCGTCGTAATTCCCGTTGTGCGTATTGTTGCCGTAGAGCGATGGGTAGTCAGCATAACGTCCGGAATTGTATTTGGAGCGATCCCTGGTGTTACCGTAGTCGTACTGCCGGTTGTTTATCCGGTTCAGGTAGCCACCGGTACGCGCTTTGTAGTTCATCCGATTTTGATATGATCCTGTAAACACGGAAGCATATATCGTGCCGGTTTAAAGCCAAAGACGATGATTACAGACATGATACATAGATAGTATGACCGTAGAGTATATCTAAAGGTGAAGATATACAGAAAATTTCATCTGTACAGTATATGAAATAAACCACCTATTAGTATCAACCATCAAGATAATTCAATATATAATAATTATAATATAATTAGATATATTATACAGATAATAATAATATTGCAACCTCGTAAATTTCCGTAAGCGCACGCATTTCCGCCCGGTGCATACACAGCGCGAACATTCTTCTCAAAATAGTTGTCATCATATTCTGATGATGAATAGCGGATGGGAGCCTGTCGCCGGTAACGCTGCACCCCATTACTGTGCTCTTCATGTGACGAACATCCGACTGAATTTATGCATGCAAGTAACACAACTGGTACAATGATCTGCTGAGAAAAACACAAAACGGTGGCAGTCACGTAAAATCACGTCTTTAAAGTGCATGCATCTGTATACGTATATGAAAAACCATAAAACTTTAAATCGTCTTACCGGTAGGCAGAAGAACCCACGAAGAATTTTATCCATAATCCAACAAACGGAAACGTACAGATTTTCAGTAATTCAAGAAAGCTTATGTGTTCAACACAATATCATTTTTCGCTCCTTCAGGACGATCTAGTGGCTGATTTTTTATGGAGAAAACAACGGGACTGCATCCTTCCCGGACGCATAAAATAACTACTTCTCGTACTTCGGAACTTTTAGTTCGAACGTGATAAAATATTATGCAGTATATTCTGGTGCAGATGAGAGGACATTAATTTGTAGGTCACGGTTGCGGGTTTTTTGTGCCGCCCTTACCAGCTACAATACGTTTCTCAGTTCCGATGGCACCGATACGAAAATACATACGCTGCAATATTATGTAGTACAAGTAGTACTCGTACCTACTGCAGATCACCGAAGTATAGGTTTTTACGAAGAGCAACGAAACCTTTTTCGCCTATAGTGAAACACGAAACCCGCTTAAAAACTTCACAACCACAGAGGACATGTGAGAGCTCCAAAATCAATTTTTTTCAATATTAAAGATAAGATTACAGCACTGTCGCAAATAGCTTCTAGTATTTTTTTAATTTTCTACCGGTAAGAAGTTTCTCAACATAATTCTCATAAACAACTATAAGATCAATGGTTCTGTTTTTTGAAGAAGACGTCACAGACGGCTGAACAGATATCTGCTCTTAAAAAGATTTATTTCCACGTTTAGCCGCCGCGTCCCCCCATAAACTGTTGCAACTTGCATCAGCATCAGATACTGCAGCAGCTGATTCAGCACCTGGTTGTTCTGGCTTGGTGGGCGGGTGGTGGTCGTCGTGGTGCGGCGGGTGCGGGACGGTCGGTGCGACGCGGTGGAGGGGGCCGACGAGGCCGGTGCAGAGGAGGCGACCGACGAGGCACGTGTAGTGGACGCAGCCTGGGACCCGGTTGTTGAAGCCGGTGCCGGTGAAGTGGGGGCGTCGGTCTTCCCGATGGTGCCGGAAGTGGATTGCACCGTGGATGCGGTAGTAGGGGAACCACCTGTGGTAGCGGAAGTCGGTGCGTCGGTTTGCTCGTTTGGCGAATCGGTTGGATCCGTACCGAAAGTTTCCGCGGGTTGATTGGTTTGCGATGTGGCGTCGGTGTCACTTCCGGTCGGCTCGGGACCTTCGCTGTTTCCACTGGAAGTTGAGTCCGAAGCTTCATTTATTTCCGGTGTAGTTGAAAACGCCGACGATCCGGTGCTTGGTTCATCGGGAGTCTCCTGACCGGCAGTCGAGGAACCACTTCCGGTTGTGGTGGAAGTGCCGTCTGGCCCATCAGTATCACCGGTGCTGGACGTCGACGCTGGATTTGGAGAAGTTATACTGTCTTCCGACTCGGTGTTCCCGCTGGCACTGGTTCCATCATTTTCGTTCGAACTCGTTGTCGTCACCGAAGTCAGCGAGTCGGTTTGCTCACCGGAAGGCTCGCTGGACTGACCGGCACCGGTAGTTGTTGCAGTGGCGTCCGGTGTTTCCGAGCCGCTGTGTGACACGCTGAACCCGGTCGTTTCGCCGGTTTCGTTCTGGTCGGATGATGGCGTTGACGATGATGCGGACGAGTCTCCAGAGCCTGTTGCCGGGTCACCGTTAGCTTCGGAGATCCCGGATGAGGTTCCCGTAGCGGTACTGGTCGACTCGCCATTCGTGCTCGGCGTGAATGGAACTTGCGACGTGGAACCGACGTCGGAGGATTCCGTGGTGGAGACGTCCTGCGTCTCGGAACCGGTAACGGATGTCGTGCTGGGTCCGGTTGGGTCGCCGGTTTCATTTTGATCGGTCTGTGGATTGGACGACTGTTGTGTTGAAAGGTCATTCGTATCCCCGGAAGTAGTTGAGCCGGGTGTCGTGGATTCATCGGAATCCACATCAACCGTCGATGTCTGTGTTGAAGAACCGGATTCTTGACCATCGGGTTGGTCACTTCCAGAGGTAGTCGGCGAGTCGTCGTTGCCCGCGGTAGTAGTAAAACCGGAAGTCATTGATTTACTAGAAGAATCGGAGTCATCGGTAGTTGTCGTTTGAAACGATGCACTCGAGTCGGAACCGTCAGGTTTAACGGTTCCGGATGTGGTCGACGGACCGTCGTCACCACCCGTTGTGCTGGAACCGGAAGTGGTGGACCCCCCGGACGCATTGGAATCTCCGGTAACTGGTGATTGGGAAGATGAATTCGAGTCGGAACCGTCAGGTTTATCGGTTGCGGATGTGGACAATGAGCCGTTGTTATCCCTGGTTGTGCTGGAACCGGAAATGGAGGACGGACCGTCGTTATCCGCCGTTGTGCTGAAACCGGAAGTGGATGAATCTGAATCATCGGCTGTCGATGGTTGTGGTGATATGCTGGTCGCATCGCCATCAGACTGCCCGGTTACAGGGACAGATATCGGGGATGAGTCTTCGCCACTGGCAGTTGTGCTGAACCCGGATGTGGACGATTCGGAATCGCCCGTCGATGGCTGCGATGATCCGATTGAGTCGCCACCGTCCGGTTTATCGGTTGCGCTGTTGGTGGCGCTGTTATCTGTTTGATCGGAGCCGGAAGTGGTCGGTGTCGACCCGGCGCTGGTTATATCGTTATCGTTACTGTCCGATGGTGTCATTGGCGAAACAAGAGTTGTGCCATCTTGGTTATCAGACTGGCCAGTAAATGATGAGCCGGCAGTTGTGATAACGGTGCTGCCAGTAACGGTTCCAGCAGTGGTTACGTCGTTATCGTTGCCATTGGATGTAATGCTTCCGGTACTGGTTATATCGTTATCACCAGTTGTTGTAACAGTTCCGCCACTGGTTATATCGTTATCGTTAGGACCGGATGTGATAACGGGGGCGCCAGTAACGGCTCCAGTGCTGGTTACGTCGTTATCGTTACCGTCGGAAGTAGTAACGGTGGCGGTGACGGCTCCGCTACTAGTTACATCATTATCGCCTCCATCAGACGTAGTTATGGTGAAACCAGTAGCGGCTCCGGCGCTTGTTGCACCATCATCGTTACCACCAGTCGTTGACATTATGGGAACAGTCGTTGCTTCGTCTTGGTTATCCGACTGGCCAGTGACCGGAACCCCTGATCCTGTGGTAAGTGTGCCACCGGTAACCGTTGATGCCGGTGGTACAGTGCCACCGGACTGGCTGGGTTGGTTGGTCGGGTCAAAATCCAGAATGTCCGAACCCTCTGTCGTTAAACTACTCCGTAGGTTGGACGCCGTAGCGCCGGTTCCAAGGGTGCCACTTGAAGAGGTCACGCCCCCGCTGCTCGTCGTTGTTGCCGCACCATCGTTGTCATTTGTCGACGAACCGGAAATGCCGTCGTCGGACGTTCCGGTTGACGGCATCGTTGTGATGAGTACACCGAGTGTGCTTTCGTTATCATCTGTGTTACCGGTTGGAACCACCGTTGAAGCGCCCTCGGATACACTTTCGGTGGTGGAACCTGTTCCGGGAGTTGCGCCACTGGCGACGGTCGACACTGAACTGGTCACTGAGCTTGAGACGCCGGTATTCGACGTACTTCCGGATAATGGGAGAGCACCAGTAGTTTCACAGAGTCAACCCGAAAAAAAAACTAACCAAAGTACGTGAATTTTGAGCGTCACGGATGCTGGGAACTATTGCTTTCTGACTTTCCAGCAAATTTACAACATTAAGGTCCGAGAAAAAATTAGTCGCCGGAAAAGTGCAAAAATGAAAACTGACTTATCAATCTGATTTAATCAATGCTTGCAGCGCCCCCGCTTTCCCAATGGGCCAGCACCACCTCGCAGTAGGAGGGGCTTCTGTGCGCAGCTGTGACCATTGGGTGTCAGCCCAAGTCCATTGAATTCACTCTGGCACATCGAGACCGCCGTGACGCCGCCTTTTAATCAGTCGATCCTTTTGTGGGTTCTTGAAAGTTGAAAGTATCAGCCAGTTTAGCGCCTTCCATCACTTCAGTTAGGTTTATTCGCTGAGACTGGGTTGGTCATGATTTGTTGATTCTAGTAGAATTAGAACCCTAAAATTTTGGTTTTTGATAAAGTGTGTCGGCGAAATCCGTCCAGTCTCCTGGAATCTCAAAAGAGTTTGCGTTGTCGTTTTTATCCATCCCGTCCGTCGTTCTCCGGTTTGAAGATGAATGATCTGGTAAAGATCCTAGTCGGTGGATTCCTTCTGTCAACAGGTGAGTTATTTTTAAAATAATCATGGATTTCTCCTGTCTGTTTAAAACTCAAAGAGCTGGATGATTGATTTGAAATGAAAATTTTGGAAATAATCCTGCCTGAACTTCCTGGTTGTCTTGAACGTGTGGGACCAACTGGAAATTTTTAAAAAAATAAACGAGCCGTTTATGTATGGAAATCGATGGCTGTAAAATGCAGAAATAATAATATCATGGTAATAAATTAAAACTTTGAAAAATCATAAAATTTATATGGTGTAGATTTTTCCTAATTTTGTTCTTGATTTTGATTGAAAATGATATCGGTTAAATATTCATTTAGGCAGGCAGCCCATTATCAAGAATATGATCATTAATTAAGTGTCAGCGACACAGGCCAGCTGCGGTGCAGCGTAGCGTGAACGGTCAGTTTGATTATTATTTATTACCCGTCCTGTGGCCGGCAATAAAGCATGACCGCAGATTACATTGCACGATAAGGCCGAAAAATTCCAGAAATTACCCAGCCTAGTAGTGACAATTAAACTCTTAATTATGCTGCGAATTAAACATTATGATTGATTCAATTAAAATTATGGCGATTTTGATTAAGTATGCTGAGCATTATTAAAATTGCGCGTTTTTAATTAAGCTTGAGCATAATTAAAACTAATATAACAGCGTTCCGTAATGAAAATAAATTGAATTTAATTTCGTCACTTTTAGCCTTTAGATGACTTGAATGCAGAACATTTTTGAATTAAATATGAAAAAAAATATGTGAATTAACTATAATTTATGCCAACAGAAACTGCATACGTGTTCAATTTTTGTAGTGTCCGCGGTATTTAATCCGGATACCGATATCGTATTCGAACCCTGGACACCGACGGTCGGTCGGTGACTACCACGGTGGAATTCTGGACGTATTTCGTGCCGGTCGGTGACCGACCGGCATAAAGTACGTCCAACAGAATTCCACCGTGGTAGTCGGATGTTCGGCCATGAGCAATTGGATGCTACTTGCTGCCAATGTGACTGTGGAAAGTAATAGCACCGCTAAATTGCGGTAAGCTATTTTCTGGTTCTATTATGCATAAGGATGATTTAGTTACTTTTTTAACTGTAAAATATAAATGTCGTGTTTTTTTGAATAATAATGATAGTATTAAATTCCGGCCCTCGCGCGAAAAGTTACCCGCAGAATTTTTTTGCAGATTGGAAGCGCCTTCAGTGAAGCTGCTGGGGGACGACCGCTGCTCGCCACACCACTGCTCGCCGGTGACCTCCGCCAAGATTGAGTATTTCGGAGCTGAGCACGTGGGCAATTGCCCACGTTGCCCACGTGCTCGGCTCCGAAATGCTCAATACCTGCTTGGCGACGATTGGCGGGAAAGTCGAGGGTCACCGCAGTGTCTTCGTAAGTTTTGCCAAAATTAACGTAAAATAATATTAAAAAATAATATTATAAGATAATAACATTGTTGGTAGTTAATTGACAGTAATTACGCTGATGAAAACAAATTCAAAAATGCCGCGTTGTTTTTACAGCCAGCCTGAATTTGTCTGGAACACTGGAAGTCGTGTCTAGTCATCTCGGAGCCGAGGCGGTGGAGCTGGTGTGCAGCACGCCGACGGTGCCCCACTGAGCGTTGGGCGGGGTCACCGCGTACTGGCAGTTTCCCAACGGGACCAACATCACCACGAGTACCTACGTATTTTCTGCTAGTTTTTGCTCTCTATTTTTGCCTCTTGTGCTCGGTGAAAAATGGAGAAGAGATTGTGAAATTTTAATTTGCAGCTCGTGAACTTATCCCCAAGTATGCCGTCAACGGACTAACGCTGACCATCACGAACGTTTCCCGGAGCGACGCTGGAGCGTACAAGTGTATCGCCTACCAGGTGATGCCCAACGCCAGCAATGACGGCAGCGATCACATCGATGTGGCATCGCGGATGATTACGCTGGCCGTCGAACGTACGGGGTGAAACAGATTTGCAGTCAGTTTTTATGTAATGTGCCCGCGCTTCTGATTTTTGTTATATGGGTTACTAGTCCTTATTGAAAAGAATTTAATAATTCGATTTTGCACACTTATAATTTATTAATTTGGATGATCATTTTTATTTATTACTGCTGTTGATTATTTTAGGTTAACTGCTTTCGGAGAAATTCATTTGTATGTTTATCGCAGGTGCTCCGGAGTTTTTTGAATCCCTGACCAAAGTGCAGCGTGGTGCAGATAATATGGTCAATCTGACGTGTGACGCCGTCACGCGCGGCGCGGTGGATCCCGTATTTACCTGGTCCCGCAACGGCACGGAATTGCGCGAACTGGACGACAAGAACGCGCCGCCCTGCACGCACCGCATTTGCCCCATTCCCTTCAACGAGGACCATTCGCTGTTTGACGATATCCGCTGCACAGCCACGAATGCTTTTGGTGAAGCGTCCAAAGCCTTCAGAATCATCGATGATAAGCCAAATTTGATGAATGGTAATTTTGTAATAATTAGTAACTGTAACTGTGCTCTAGTTTTAGTAACTGTGCTCTAGTTTTGGCACATTATTACTAATTATGAGAATCTTTTACGTATTGCACAAAGATTTTGACTTCTTTGATTAGTAAAGTAATTACTAATCTAGTTTGTACTTTGTACCGTAATCATGCAAATAATTCGAAATTTAATTGGTATTATTTTTACGAGATTATTTTTCCTGATGGCAAGAAATCGGAATTTTCAATGCCGACATAACAGGAAATGAATCTAAGTCTGGTAAATCATTTGTCATTTCTGTAGGCGTCAGAACGGCCACCAGCATGGACGCCGTCCATCCGCCCGCTGGCCAGACCGGTCTCGTGCCCACCGTCCCCGGAGTCAACGTGGAAACACAGCCGAGCGCCGCGGCGGGTCTCGGAATGCAGGCAGCGCTCGTGGCCCTTATTGCCCTGTTTGTTGTGTGTGTAGATTGTGAAAACTGGACGTTTTTACAATATCGTTTTGAGTTGTGTAAATACAAAGATATGTCAGAATGTGTGTGTATGTGTGTATGTGTGTTGATGGGTTTGCGGTTTTGCTTGTTTAAATGACGGTTTTAGATGTCTTAGATTCATAAAGCTATGTTCGAGACTTTTTATTTTATTCGTTATATTTGATCAGCTGTTCTGTGTTGTGCAAAAGCGGAATTCGGAGTTAACCTTCATTAAAATAATCGCAGGTTTTGTATAAATTCCGTGGTATTTTCATGACGGACCAGTGAGTTAACAGCAAAAGTACAGTAAAACCACTACAAAAACAGGAACGAAAACGGAAGAAATTCATAAAGCTATGTTCGAGACTAAATAAATTTTGAATTATTTCAATAAGCTAAATCTGAACCATACAGAAAACGTACACACCAGATTAACGAGCACTGAAAACGAACAGTACCGTTTGAGAGGCTATTGTTACAATCTTATTTAGTTTTTTGCAGCATTATCAGTTTTCGCGCCGTTATTGATTAAGTGTCAGCCACACAGCGGCACAGGCCAGCTGCGGTGCAGCGTAGCGTGAACGGTCAGTTTGATTGTTATTTATTACCCGTCCTGTGGCCGGCAATAAAGCATGACCGCAGACTACATAGCACGATAAGGCCGAAAAATTCCAGAAATTACCCAGCCTAGTCGTAAATCGGCCATTTTCCCGATTGAAATTTGATAAAATAAATTCCCTGCAAATTAGTGGTGTGGAAAATTGCGGTCGAATTGTCGTCCTTTGGAATGTTAATTTGTTGTTTGCTTGTTTTCCTCCATTGAAGCGAGGAGCATATGAAGATAAGAAAATACGAGTACATAAGTGTGTGTTTGATTTTTGACCGAAATGTGACCAATAAATTTGCTCCTAAACCACGCGGGCAATGCAAACGTAATTCTGCAGTTATCTAAACGAGTTCGATGTTGACGATTAGAGTGCAGGACAATTGCTGCAAAATATGCGAATAATTTTATCTAAAAATATGCGAATTAACTATATTTTATGCATACGTGTTCAATTCTTGCAGTATCCGCGGTATTTAATCCGGATACCGCGGTGGGCCGGTAAGGTAGCCGTAATGTCTTTACACTTATACACGCTGAACTGGGTAGAATTACCTTTAATTACGGGTTTTGGTGCTTCAGGGAACTTTGCATTCCAAAAACATACCATGTTAATGAG